CCGTAAGGGACGGAATAAATAGAACGTTGGCTGCTGACTGCCTAAAACGGAAGGTAGGCAAAACGGACCCTGCGTCGCTAGTGTACTTAGTCTACCCGCCGTTACCGCGTTATCTTAGCTCAGCTTAGGTCATGGATAAGATAAGCCATTACTGTCTGTTCCATTGTGTCTACCATTACTGACTGTCAATGTGTGTGCTGTGAGTGGATGAGGGCGGCGTGGGGTGAACTTTACACACTCCGGCAATACGCCGCACAAACCCTCACCTCTCTGCAGGAATGGTCTTATCGCCGTGCCCGTATTGCTTACCCATCCATCCACCATCCACCAAGCGAACATTCTCGTATGCTGTCATCGGCGTTGGCATTGCTATTTTCAACCTTTGCCTACTCGCGGTCGGGCGCCGGTGGCACCACGAGAAGGGTGGAAAAACGAGGTAGACAGACGGACGCCGGTTCGTCCGTGACACCTCCATCGCGGCGGTTACGTTACAACTCGCAAGCCAGTTTGCGCCTCCTCGGGCACTTGCAAGTGCCCTACGACTCCGTGAGGCCTCTGCACAGTCCGCTCTGTACGTAGTATATTCCCATACCCCCTCCTAGTATACTATAGTAGGCTTTGAGGCTTGGTGGTGGGCGCGTGGGCGCTCCGTGCTCCCGTCCGAAAGTCCGTCGCTGTCTTGTGTGTGTTTATCTTTAGACAGCTCCAGGAACCGACAGCCCCGACGCGCGCGCCACAGGGCCAACACCCCCCTGGAGGATCCCGCCGTCGTCCCATTCAGTGTCTCCCAGCGCCCCAGCGCCAGCACTTACACCCCAGAGCCTAATCAGCTGTACGGATAGCAGATACCGTATCTTGCTATCCGTAGCTCCGTACTCCGTATACTTGGTATAATTCTAGGGCCTCGGAATCCGAACGAGACGAAGCTCAGCGCCAGGAAAAGACGGGTTTGCGGGCTGTTGTGATAAGCGAAAACGGATTCCGAGTCCGCGCCATTTCCGTCGCGGGGGTATTCACATGTGCTGGCTATTTACTCTTCCCGACACCGACGATATATTACGGTCTATATGGCGCGAACGTGGGGGTGTTGGTTGGGTAGGCGGTGATGTGATGTGATGTGTGGTGTGTGTGTGTGTGTGTGATTGATGTGTGATGTGTGATGTGATCTGGACCGCCGGACTCACTCCGCCTGGGCATTCTTTCCCCCGAGCATCCCAATTTCCTGTTTCTGCGTGGGTGCGTGCCTGCTTGTCTGCTGTTCTCTGCGCTGGCAGTGCTTGCGAGGTTATCGTCAGATGCCATAGCAACTTGCTTTTTGCGGTGTGTCCCTCTTTTCATCTCTGCCCAACGACCATCATCACCTCATTACAACAACAAGGTTCAATTTTTTTTTTCTGTCATTTTATTTTTATGATGGCGCCGCTTGCTTCGTTTTTTCTTTCCTCTCTGCAGCCCAACCGCAACCTCCCCCATAAAAGGTGAAATCAATCAAATCGGCCCTGGGCGGCAGTAGACGAAATGACAAGTGACCGGGCCAGGCTCCGCGGCGAGGGTCGGGTAATCTCCCAGCGAGTCGATCACAACCCAGCTGTCCGGCGAACCCAAGGCCTGGGTCCGGCCACGACCGCATCTCGCAGGAGACAAGCAAGGCTGTGCGGCAACAAGCAAGCAAGGAAGCTCTGTTTGCATTTTGCGTCCCCGGGAGATGGATGGGTGCTCCTATCCATCACCCCCGTACTCCGTATATCCCATCACGCATTCCACGCGAAAAACCAGCCCCAGCCAGACAGACCCAGAACCCGCTGTCTCGTATCGTTTGCCAGGGGGGCCTGCAAGCCCCCTCCGTCAGCGGTGAATACCGCAATTACCATGCATTCACGCCCCCTTCAGAGGGGGAGAGGTCAGGGCCCGATCTCAGTCATGATACTGGATACCCGTATCTCACACCCTCGGCGTCTGGTTGACACCCATCGCATTCTCATACCCGCCGTGATGGAGCGATAGAGGGGGCAGCACAGGGGCAGACAGAAGAAGAGTCACAGAGAGGGGGAGGGAAAGGGGGTGTTTGTCATCCCAACGGTCGCAAACTCCTTTCGCGGTCCCCCTCTTCGTAATGCTGATGTCGAAATACCTTCACCGTGATTCGCGATTCCCACACCATCTATCCCACCAACCTTTTGGGTTTTCCCCCCCACGCACCAAAGCGCGGGTGGCCTTGGATGCTTGGTTGAAGACTGCTCGCGCTCTCAACAATCCGAAAACCGGACGCCGGACAAATCGTCTTTGCCCATCGCGATATGCTGCCCTGATAGGTTCCGTCGGCGACCCAACCAACTTGGCCTCAACTCAACAGCAGGGTGAAGGGGGAGAGGTGGGACCCATGGCACCGCGTCCCATGGCCGGCGCTCGGGACCTGACTGGTCGGGCGCGTGCGAAACTATCGACTTCCGGCGCTCCAATCACCGGCGCATAGCATACACACACTTACACACTTACACACTTGGTTACACACACACAAATGGGTTGCCGAGGGTGCTGTCGTCGCGAATGATAGTTTTCAATCAAACCATCAGGTCGGTGACTCACTGTTTGAAGACTTAAATTGACACCCGTAATACGAAAAAGAGGCTTTCGTGTAGGTTGCCGTCATCCTCGTTCCTTTTCCTCTTACGGTCCCTCTCTCGAATTTCCCGGCGGCATGCCGTCCATTCCCCGCTGCGATGGGCTGCGCAACGCTGCGACCTCTGGGTCACATCCGGCGGCGGGCCGCCGCTTTCGATAGACCTGGATGGCTTGAAGCTTACAGCCTTGCATCACACCCTCTTCTTCCCATTCCCGTCCTTCCGCGGGCCCTGCATGTGTGTATATTTGTCCTGTCAAAGGGTCAAAAGGAGCAATAATCAGGAAAATTAAAAACAAGCAGGTAATCCCATTTCCCTTACGTGCGCTAGGTTACGGACGGTGCTTGTCGTCCATGTGGGTGAGGTGATTCCCCGATTCGTGCTTTTTTTCCCACCCATCGTGCATTACATCTGCATCCCGATAGGAATAAGAAAACATACAGGACGCAAGCAAGAGCTGAAACCTCTACGCCCCCCTCCTTGTCCAAGTCACATTTCTCATACCGCCAATCGACATGTATGCAAAGGTCTCACCGCTCCATGACGATCACGATCCACGCAAGGGGGAAGAAAATTAGCTATCAGAAAAAAAAAGGAATGATTAAAAACGAGGCTGCGAGACATGATCCTTTGCGATCTTGGCGGTCTGGTCTCACTTGTGTTGTAAGTGAGATATCTCCCTGAGAGATGTCTTGTCTCACTCCCCTTTCCTTTCACACTCCCCCTCCCGAAAGAAAAAAAAAAAAAGAAAAGAAGACATCGCCAAAACGAGACTTCCACATTCCAACCGTGATCCCGTTTGCGACATATACCCCGGTCGCAGCGCCCAACTGCCAGGTGCACCCAATCCTTTTTGTCTTTTGTCTCTGATCAGACGTCAGATCGTCAGGGGGAGAGGGGGGAAGGGGGGAACCGACTGCTATGCGGCGGTCTTGTTTCTCACTTACACCAACGAAAACTTGCTTTTGGAGGGGGAAACGCACGATCCCTCTCTCTCTCTCTCTCCCGGTGGCCGTTGATGCTTCCGCGCGCGCCCTGACCACACTCAAATTCATCTCCCCCCCTTCTCTCTGTGTGCCTTTTTTCGTTTGCATGCCCTGGCCCGGGGAAGGACGGGAGAGGAATGATGTGGCTCAGGGGGTGGGAGATGCGAGGAGAAGATGCTTTTTTTTTTTCCCCCGTATCCTTTCCCGCCCGCCGGATGTGATGGCGATCGACTGCCGATGTGTGCTCTTCATCGATCGGTGGACAGCACAGACAGCCTACTTCAAGGTTTCCCATCTAACCTTTGGACCTTGTTGTGTGCCTGTGTGTGTGCTACCCCGCGGATGCAGGAAGCTTTCGCCTGGCGAGCTTTGCAGAATACCTTAAAATAAAATAAAAAAAACTTGGTCCGCGAACTCCCCCCCCCCCCCCCCCCCCCCCCCCCGAGAAAAGAAAGGGGTCGTCGTCCGAGCTTTGCATGCCGAAGAGACTGCCCATCCCGGCGATGCTTATGTCGCATGGGGTTTTCCAGCAGTCGATCGATCGCAATCGTACAGCTTTCTGAGTATACCCTGCCCGGTCCGCTTCCGTATCGTGAGGTTGTGGAGAGGTTAGAGGAGGTTTCGCGGAGGTTTGCTTCTCTCACTTATCCCCGCATACGGCAGGCCTTCCCCGGTTGCTCCCCTGTGCCTCCTCTTCTGGAAACTTCTCCTGCATGTATACATGCGTGAGAGATGGAGCCGCGGCACTTGTTGCAGTCTGCCGTTGCCGCTCCCCCATCATCGGCGGCGACGTCCTTGACCCATTCGGCCCCGTTTACACCGTGGTGGTCCGTGAGGGTGTGCTCGCGGCGGCCCCACTTGACGGACACCGTCTGACCGTTGGGGTCCGGAACCGGGGACCCATGACTTGCCTTTTTAGGAATGTCAACGTCGGAACACCGGGTTGACAAGCGGAGAGACTAGACGATGAACGGGATGGAAGTTTCGCATTCGGAAGTGAGCTACTTCAGTCAAAAGGGAGCAGTGGAATTCTCTTGATGATTGATTAAGAAATGAGATGAGATGAAAATGCAAGTGTCAGTGTATCACGCAATGGGGACTCGAGGTAAGATTAAGTGCATAGATTCTCTATTAAACCTGCTTTTGACTGTCGCGAAACAAGACCGTTCAAAGGACGGAAACACTCTAATGAATAGCCACGGGGCTCGTCAATGAGAGACTAGAAGATGAAAAAAAAACAGGAGAGGGGACATCCTCATCCTTGAGGATTCCCTGCCGTTTGTTTGCCTTTTTTTATTTTTGCTTGTATCCCGGGAATCGTACCATCCTCCCATTAATCTCTCATATTAGTTGCGTTGAAAGCTTGAAGAAGCCAACACGACGAGCGGATAGCTTAGCGGCGGGGGGAAGCCTTCTGGCCGTCGTTGATGGTGCCGTTCTCGACAGCAGCGCGGTGGCCGCGGGCGACGTAGCCGTAGACGGGGTAGTACTGGTCGAGCCAGGGAAGGACCTCACCGACACCGGGGGTGTTGCGCCAGTCGCGCATGAGGTCCATGGCAATGGAGAAGAGGGAGACGATCTGGACACCGGCGGCGGCCATGCGGTCGTTGGAGACGTCGCGGATGAGCTCGGTGTTGGTGCCGGAAGCCTCGACGTTGGCCCAGACGGAGTAGCCCTCGGCGCGGAGGGAGAGAGCGAGGAAGGTGGTGCAGACGTCGGTGGTGATACCGGCGAGGATGATCTGGGACTTGTTGGCAGCGCGGACAGCGTCACGGAACTCGGAGTTGTCCCAGGCGTCGACCTCACCGTTGCGCTTGATGAGGGGAGCGGTGGGGTGGTGGTCGAGGATCTCCTGGGGGAGGGGGCCGTTGGGGCCTTGAGGTTATTTTGTTAGCATCGGGTTTCTGGTGCGAGCAAGAAGAGGGTGGTTAGGTGCTTACCGGTCTCGGCGGAGGTGGTCAGGATGACGGGGAGGTCAAAGACCTTGGCCAGAGAAGAGTGGGCGAGCATCGCGTTGCGGTAGAGGGTGGCATCGAAGTCACGAGCGATGTTGAAGAGACCCTCCTGCATGTCGACGACGAGGAGCAGGGTGTCGTTCTTGTTGAGTCTCTCGAAAGGGACGGCTGTAAGGCGTGTTAGTCGAGCTGCTGCTGCTGCTGCTGCTTCGAAGAGAAGCTAGGAAAACTTACCATCGCCAACAACGGCGGAGATGAGGGCAGAAGCCGCGAGGGTGAAAGAGAACTTCATTTTGCTGGAGGGTGTTTGGAGGGTTGGTCCTGGAGCGAAAGGCTTAAAGTCTGTTGGGAGTTGAGAGGAAGACTGTGAGCTCGAATTGTCTGCTGGATGAGGATGGAGAGAAAACAAACCGATGATGGCGAGAAAACAGTCTTCTTATATACAGAATTTTCGAGATACCCAACATCAAAGATACCGCTGTTGCAAGGCCTCATCTCGGACTTGGCTCCGCTAAGGCCGGAGTCTCTTGACCGGGCCTCTTTTTCTTGCCAATAGTCAACTCAACCCTTGAACAACTCGCAGTGCGTGCCGAACTATGCGGTGTTTCCGCCCCTTCGGCTGTCTTCCAATGTGACAGGCAGCCACTTCCGATGTCGTGCACGGTTGGGAAAAAAATGCCCATCCAAGCCATGCCCTTCAGAAATTTCCCCATTCAGCAAGATGGTGAAAGGCTGCTTGGATGAAGGATGTTGTAACGGTTTACTGTACGTTAGTCAGCTCCCCCTGTTGTGTCTTGGCAGATCTTAAGCCTCTACGGCACTTCGAAGAGCCGTCATTGGACCGTTCGTTTATCCCGAGCGGCCTAAAGTGGAGGACGGTGGTGGAACTCCGCCGTTGAGATCCACTCTCAGTCCGATGCCATGGTGTAATAGGCGAGAATTTGCGGAGAATGACTTCTTCCATAGATTCTCGAAGTTGTCAATCTCACATCTACTGGTCAATAAGCTTGGCATAATCAGCATCCCCAAGATCTCGGTGCTCGAGCCGATGCGTGGGCTTGACTAAGCTTGACGCAAAGCGATGTCACCAGGCGTCGTGGAAGCGGTTCCTCAGCATCAATAACTCATTTCCTAAAGCCCCGCTCGACCTAGGCACGCAACGTAGGTCCTACCTCGTTGGACATGGCGGGTTGCTAGCGTCGGTACCCTTCGGTGCTGGCTTAGCTAAGGACCCTGGTTGGCATTTGATAAGATGGGAGCTCTGCTTAGACAAGTGCGTCCCGCTCCGTTGTGGGGTAAGCCCCCATCGCCGATGCCGCGATCGCGCCCGATTCCTAAGCTGTTATGCTAACGTGTGTAAGCAACCACCTAGGGCGAAAAAAAATGCCAATTATCTCTATCAACTTCAACGGAGAAATCTAACGAAGAAGCCGAAATATCCCGCCTCGGTTTTCTTTTCTGCCTCGGCTGATGTTTCTTTTGGTGAAACACTCTCTCTCAAGTTTAATATGTCACATGGAATGCTCAGTCGCTTCTTCGAACATTGGGCCGACTAATCAGTCTCTAAAATTTCATTCTCCAAGCACTCTTTTGATATGATCCCAGGCGAGCGCATCCAAGCGTCTGACCAAATAATTGCTGATGAACGTTGCAATGGGCGGATATTCTCACTTCATATTTCATAGTGTCGGCGCAATGTCAACCTTGGAAATCAACCTGCAAACTTGAAGCCAATTGAGGCTGTTGCCATTGTTGGCAAACGCTGCTTTGGCACTTTTCACGACAAACACCAGCCAATGGGCAGAGTATTCTATGGATGAGTGTTCGACAACGGTAAAAAGCAGAGCTGTTCTCTTGAATTGAACTACTGATCTTAGTACCACGTCTCTCAGTAGCTTTGAACTTTTGCTACGAGGCGTGGTTGATACCAAAGAGGCAGACACCCGACGCAAGCAGAATGCCTTCAGATTGTAACTGTTGGTACTGCCACGAAGTATACTAGTCAATCCTCTCGTACGCCGTGGTTGAAGTAACGCGTCGCCGGCGTGGTGTTGGGAGACAGATACGTTTCGGTTGAGACTTTTGCTTTCCAATCGACACATGTCGTCAACACTCGACAGCCAACAATGGCATAGCTCCCATGAGAGACGTTAAGCTTCGCGGCCCCTTTTCTAGACGTTGCATTATGCATGACTGCGGAGACGTACCCGGCAGTGTGGGACAGAAGGCTGCTGTAGACCAAATTATGGCCTGATGTTCCACGTGGCCTGTGAAAATATCCGAAATCAGCAGAAGTAGTTCTTGGTTCAGATCTTTGTAAGCAGGTAGTTGAGTCATGCAGAACGCTGCGAGGCGTTGTTGGATTCCCCAGACCAAATAATCTGTTGGTCGTAGCTTGCTTGGCCACGCTCAACTCATCAAGTAGGCTGCCTGGTCCTGAATCGTAATCTGGTTAAATTCACATGACTACAGCGTAATATTAGCTGCCTCAAAACATTGATAGAGTCCAATATTCATGCAAACAGCTGCTAAACATGCAGTACAGCAGCCATTTTGATATGTTTATACAGGTAGTGTAAAAGTGCCCCAAAAAGACCACGTGCCTCGGCGGGGACTGGAATGAACAATAAGAATGATTTAAATTTAAGCTTTAAATCCTTCTACCACATACACTCGTCTCCTAGCTGCTGTATGCTGACTAAAGTGTGTGGATCAGTCCTAATGTCAAGCAGACAGTCGTAGCTGGCCGATTATCACAAGGCTGAGGATGCGCCGAGTAAGGATTGATAGAATAGAAGTAAACCAGACAAGTTGAAAGATTCAATAGAACTTGATAAGTTTAAAGGCGAAATATACAACGAGTTTGAAGTTTTCTAGCAACCATAATTGTAAATTGTTTATTTAACAAAGTTGATGTCGTTATAGTTCGTATCTTACTTATGGAATAGTAAAACTCAAATAGCAGGATTAATATAACTCGGGTGAAACAATGTAGACTGTAAAATGATGCCATCTCCAACAAGTACCTCGCCGTTTTATTTTCTGCAAAAGACTCACAATCCGTCCGCACAACTGAACGACTGAGCGAGTTCCACTGCACCGTAACTTTTGAGAGTGAAGCACAGTTCTGACGCTCAGCAGTAATGGGAATCAAAGGATATCCCTACGAGCTATTTATCAGTCTATGTAAAGCCGAAATATTAGCTATCCTCGCGGACATATGAAAAGCACAACGGGAGCGTTCCTGAGTTGGCTCTTGTCACGTAAAATACAAGCTTGCCTAAATAATGTCAGCCTTCATCTCATATCCTCTCCCGACACCAAGACTACAACGGAGATCAAAACGGTAACATAATAGGACAGAAATCTCTTGAAAAATCTTTGATAGGTGTACATAGATGCACATACTGGTATGAGTCGAATACAAGTTTCATCCTCGTAATGGAGATGGCTTCAGCTCACACCCAGCTGGCCATCTAATTGACATGAAATGTGGCATATACTTGCAAATATTTCCTTTGGGTCAAGTCGCCGATCTGCGAAGCAGTTCGAATGTGTATGCCTTCCCAAGGAGATGTTTGGAGTCATCGTCGAGACCCATTGAACCACGTGACACAATTTAGTCAAGAACCAGGTGAACGAGTATTAGCCTACAGAAGCAATATGATATCTACCGAGTTATGAAGGCCACAATCACTCAATGATGTCTCTGGTATGGATGAATGCCTATCTCACTGCCATACGGCCACACGCAGACGATTGTCCATGATCCCATGCCCTAATACCCAATAGATGCCGATATTTAGCGTGCAGCTACATTACACCCCGATTTTATAGTCATCTTAATTCAGACATTAGTTCGATTTGTCCGTGAGATCATCAAGTGAATAGAGGTTACATTCATTAGGCCTCACCTGGAGTGAGTCTAGGCAAATACAGCGCCATGTTTGCGAATGAGTCTCAAGTGACTTGGAGGGATTGCAAGTTTCTGAATGACCCTTACGGCATGCTTTATGACGACCAGCATTATTCGTTTTCTACCGTTGATGACACCGCATCCTTGACAGAATAATTATCAACTGCAGCATGCGTATAGATGGGTTCTTCACGGCTAACTCATCGGCAGACAATTCGCCTTGCTTATAACAGCACCAGCTACAGATAGATGCTCTGGTGAGAGTTGGTTCGCTACTAAGGCGAGGGGCAGAAGGGCTCATCTGGACGGGACTCGCTAGGTCTTCTCTAATGAAGCTGTCAGACTGCAGCAGCGGGATCTCTATTTCTATCTACTACGCCACAGGACACAGTGTATACAACTCTATATATGCTCAAAGTGGGCTATTCACTACCTACGTTTCACAGTTCGTTATTATTGCCATACCATGAGCTGAGTACTTTCACTTGAGCTTGGACTTGTTCGAGCATATATTTATCAGTTGGCCTCCAAGTTAGTGGTTATCTAGTTGGACGGGTAAAAACGCAATTGCTGATGAATTTGTGGCATTGACCAACCTAGTGGTGTAAAATTCGTCTATCTTCATACTTGTTCTTATCTTCTTCCATTGGCCTCTCTTTTTTTTTTTTTTTTTGATCCTCCTTACTGACTGGTACAGCAGACTTCACAGTTCGGATTATTCGGTGATGCGGCCTATTAATAGGACTCCGAATCGTCATGATATCATCGAATTGCCCATTGAAAGAACCCAAGTAAAGTTTGTGACCTCGGAAGGGCTTTGAGGAATTGTATATCTCTTTATTTCATCTTCTCCAAACGCCGGACGAGACATGTAGATGATATGTGTAACAACAAACGGATGAGTTGCAGCAGGGCCGCCAAGATATAACTGGCTCAAGCTCCTCGGTGCCAAGCGCCTACGCGACGCTGTATCAAGAACCCACGTTAACCTTTCCCGCAACCGAACGCCGTGTACGCCGTGTATATCGATATGCAAAAGATGGATGTCGCCCCATTTAGCTCCGCAAAGCCTCGAGCCTGTTGCGCATCTGGTTCATCATGGCCTCGGCCTCCTCTTCCTCCTCCTCGGCTTCGACCGGCTTGGGTTCCTGAGTGACGGGCGCGGCGGGCAACTTCTCCTTGGACATGCGGTCCTTGAGAATCTCGCCGAGCACCTTGTCAACCTCGCCCTCTGCCTCCTCCTCCTCGAGCTCGTCCATGTCCTCAGGTAGGCTCTCGCCGACCATCTCTTCGATAATGCCGGCTTTCATCAGCTCTGCGCTCAGCTCCTGCATCGTACCGGCCAGCTCGGGCAGCCTGATCAACCGGTTGACATCCTTCATGACACCGACGCTCGCACGGATGCTACCCTCAATCTTGCGTACGGCGAAGGCTTCGTTGACCTGCATCTGCACGCTATTAAGCTGCGCCTTGGAAGTTATGAGCCGAGAGCTCGTTTTCCGCGCTCGGATGAGCTCACGGGCGAAGTCGCGTGCCTCTTTCTGTGCTTGCTTTGCTCTCGTGGGGTCTCGTTGCGCGCGTTTGTCGGCCTGGACAATGAGGTTCTTCGTCTTGGCTTCGACTTGCCTGACTTGATTGATATCGCGGTCTAGTTTGCGGATATTGGATCGGATGAGGGCATTACATTTTCGCAACTTCGTAAAAAAAGATACAATTAGTATTCCAGATCTGGATGCTGCGATGGACCTGGCATACCTGTTGCTGCGGGTCAGGCTTGACAAACAGCGACTTGAGAGTCTCCATGGTGGGCTAGGCGGCGGACAATGGCCGGTGGAAGCCGTCAATCTGTGGGGTTTTGGTTTGAGTTGTAGGTGCGAACGCGAAGCTGATGGATACGTGATGGCCGGTCACCAGCCTCGTTTGTTGGCAATCAGTAAGCGCTGCCTTGGGTCGGGAAGCGATGTGTCGTCATTCCTTGGTCCGCTACCTCAACTGATACGGGCCGTGGTGGGGGATTAGCGTCACGTGGAGAAACAGATGTTGGTATGCAAGTAAGCCGCACATCATTTAATCCAGATTTCTTGCAGCATAGCGCATGCAAATCATCAACCGAGGCGTGGAAACCATCGGCTGGCTCTGAACAGGCAGGCATGGCCTAGATTTACACTAGCTGGTTCATTTTGAAGCTGGCTTCTGATATCCTTAGTAAGATGCTTCTTTTCTTTACAACTTTGGATCATATCTAAAACGAAACAAGCTGTGTCTACCAAAGGATGTCCGGTGGACAAATGCATGAACCAGAGGTAGCAGGCAAAGATTACTTGACTTGGCTAGGTCCCGTAAAGAAACAAAATGAGGGCCTGGCTGGACCCACGATGATCTCACTGCCATTTGGCAGAAAAGATGAGGCGAAGTCTGTTGACGAGCACATGGTGTCTCGGATAGAGAAACGGGGTCTGATGGTACGGAAACGCTCTGCGGTAATGGGGGAGATAGAACGGCTGTATGCGTACTTTTGAAAGAAAATATTTATAGGACCAATGAAAGGAGTTTTGAGAAACAATGCGCCTCATTTTGAGCTGCAGTGGATAAGCTCGTTCAGACAACTCACTGCGATGCGTCTGGAATTTCGTGGGGTTGCAGGGGGGGCTGGAAGCCAAACAGTATACAGCTAGGCTTCACCAGGCCTGAAGCGATTGAAAAGCAACGTCAGCAGAGAGGGGGAAGGCAGGGAAGAGGGTACCTCCGGCTGAGTGGGACTTAGCCTGGCGGGGGAGGTACCTGGCAGTTACTGGAAGGGAGGTGTGCGAGGCTCAGCCTGCAAGCCCAGGTGCCTGGAGCAAAGGGACTGTAAGGGGGTCAGAGGAGGGGAAGAAAGGGAACGGGATTTCCTTGGTGTCCAGTGCGTTCAGCCCTGCCAGGGTCCGGTCCGCAGCGGTCCAGCGGTGCAAAGTCTGGTGGGTTACCTACCAAATCTTTCGGATTCGAGCGCCTTCTACAATTGCCCGTGATCTCCCAGGCGGTAACTGCGACTGGAACCCACCCGACCTCACCCCAACCCAAGGGCCCAGCCTTTTCAACCGCGTAGCCTCACAAACCCCTTCTAGCTTCCATTTTCCCCTTCCCACACTTTCAACTTGCTTCACATACCACCAAATTAGTCGTTGGTTAATTACATCAACCTCTCAATTTTTCCCTCTCTTTAGGCTACATTGCAATCTCGCGATCTGCCTAACTGCGACGTATTTGCGCCTTTCCGCGTAAAAAGAACTACCCCTCATCCCCGTCATAGCTCCCTACGCGAATCACATTTACCACCATCAAAATGTCTAACACCACGGCAACTCCTGAAGGTACGTGCAAGACCACTGTCGCATTCGTGGCGTTAACCGCCGCATATAAAACACTCATCATCAATTCATTATTCCTACTCTGTTGTATACTTTTTTTGCGCCGAAAGCTAATGACCCTTAACAGTGCTCTGGGCCCAGCGCTCCAGCTCTTCCGACGCCTCCAAGAACTTCGTCTACCTTACCATCTCCGTCCCTGACGTCCCTGCCTCCAACCTCAAGCTCGACCTCAAGCCTACTGGTCTCTCCTTCAGTGGTCACTCCAACACCCTCAAGCGGGACTACGCTGTCGACCTCGAGTTTTACGCCGAGATCGACCCCGCCGAGAGCAAGATTAACCACACCGCCAAGAACGTCGAGCTCAAGCTCCAGAAGAAGGAGCTTAAGGAGGAGTACTGGCCCCGTCTTCTCAAGGACTCCAAGAAGGTTCACTTCCTGAAGACCGACTTCGACAAGTGGGTCGATGAGGACGAGCAGGACGAGGCTGGTGAGGAGGACTTCTCTCAGTTCGGCGGCATGGGTACGTAGAAGCTCGAACCCCCTGGCGAACTGTCTACCCCGCGCTGGCGGGGCGCTTCGTTGCTCTTCATTTTCGGTTCTGCAGAACGCTAACGCTATTTTTTCAACAGGTGGCATGCCCGGTATGGGTGGTACGTGAAGACTCTGGACAGACCGGAGGCTTGCCCAATGGTCAAACTTGGATCTGTTGAAAAGAGAGCTAACCAAAGATTGTAGGCGGCGGCGACTTCGGCGGCATTGACTTCTCCAAGCTCGGCGGCGGTGCTCCCGGTATGGAAGACCTTGATGACGAAGAGGAAGATGACGATGACATGCCCCCTCTGGAGGGCGAGGAGGACGACAAGGCGGCTGCTCCCGCTGCCGGCAAGGCTGCCGAGAAATAAGCTAGTCTTTTCCCCTTTAATACCTGTCAAATCGACTGCGAGGTCGAATTCCTCCGATTGCAGGGCCAAGCCAACAGCATCTTCGGCTTCTTTGTACGGCCGCGGAATCTACGCTCTAGACTCATGACCTGAATGTACTCTTTGATCAAGACGAAAAAAAGACGATTCGTGATGTTCTTTTAGGGATCTATTACTGGCGGAAAGCAGAGAGAAGGCACGCGGCGAATGGACGTGATGTTCTCTGCTTCCCTACCCAGGAGGGAGTTGAACTGTGTGGCGGTATACGACCACTTTTCATAGGCATCCGAATTTGAGTATAATCTCGGTGAAGGGTGCAATATGCAAGAAGACGGATCGATACATTAGTAAATTCAGCAGTTTTCTCCACCCAGATCTCTCTTCTTGACTACTGAGTGATGCGCATATGATTACGCAATGTAGGAAATGGATCTCAAGGATGCGTAGTTACACGCCGACTGTTTACTAGACATCAAGACTACGTGACCTGTACGCTGAATGCTAACACGCACCAATCACTTCTATTGGGAAAAAAGCGACACATGAAGGTAATGTACAACCTTGGAGGGCCATTGCTATAATCCATACTATATTCACGTCATGATAATTCTTCTTTGGGGGCTCGGCGCTTTGTGTATTAAAGTCTCTCTGACTTGGGGGGGTTTGCTATAATACATGCCCGTTACTAAACCGAGCGAAGCAAATGTGTTGTTGGCAGTAATCCGGCTCATTCCAGCTGGGTACGCCCTTTTGTAGTTTTGGGTAGAGCCGGAAGGCTGTGGAGGCAATCTGTAAGCTTGAAAACCAATGCATGTCAAAACCAAAGCCAGAATCCCATAGCCTCCACTTGTCTACTCCCCTTCCAGCAATCTGTTTGAGTGTTCCACGAAACGCGTAAAAAGGAAAGATCAAGGCGCCCCCACGCGTTGCTCCTCTTCGACCTCCGCAATTCTTGGCATTCGTGGGCGTGTTCGAGGCCAAGTTCGTATCAAAGTACCGTTTACATGATGTCCTCCTCCATGGCAGCGTCACCACTGGGGGCAGCAGGGGCAGCGGCAGGAGCAGCGGCGTTTTCGTTGTTGGCGTTTGCACCGGACTCAAAGTAGTCAGCCATCTCAGAGTCCAACTCCTCCGCGGTCTTCTTGGCAGGGCGGCCAGAGCGAGCACGGCGAGGCTTCTTGCCATCACGAGCGTTCGCCGCAGCAGGTCCCTTCTTAGCGTTGGCATTCCGCTTGTCGTTGGCAGCGGACTTGGGCTGAGCCTTAGGTTGACTATGATTGTGTTAGTACGGTCATCGTCAATCCTCACGTTCAGATAGACTTACGAGGTGCGTTCAGCAAGGGTCTTGGAAGGAGGAATGACGTTCGCGGCCTGGGAAGCACCAACGACGATCTCGATCTAGACAACGTTAGTATGAGCATGATGGAAATAAATGCGATGTCCAAGTGTACCTTAATGGGGCGGTTGTCGACAAGAAGGCCGTTCAGCTTCTTGAAGGCCTTGCTAGCGCCATCCGGCTCGCGGAAGGTGATGTTGGCGATACCGCGGCTGACAGAGTTGGGTCCGTAGGAAATCTCCACCCTCTTGATGGGTCCAACTGAGGTGAGAAAGTACTCCTGATGGGAAATTCGATGTTAGTTATCCGCAAGTGCTGTAGTTCAGTCATGATCGTCGTCCGAAACCGCGCCTAGCAGGGGCAAACCCCGAGAAAATCCAAGTCTTGCCGACAACACAGGAGGATTGGCAGCGAGCAGAGCAGTGAGCGTTAGTACGCATGTTAGCGTCTATTCCCACAAAGTGGCCAATCAAGGCTGTAGTCGTCTCGTGCTTGTTCGCCATCTATTCGAAGGGTATCACCCCAAGTCGGAGAGGCAGCAGCCACAGGCAAATCTCGAAGCAAATGGCATTGGCAGCATTACCAACAAAGCATATTTCAACTTTGTTGATCAGCCGCATTAGCCCCCAGATCCCGCCGAAGTTCGAGTTGTCATAGGTAGGCATATCGATAGCCATAAAGCCGGATATTGAAGCCGTCCTAGCCTGTGCTGCATTGATGCTCACTGCTGTGCTCGCTAAAAAGGGCTTCATCTCGTTTGCAATGCTGAATAACCAGCTTTTTGCAAGCCAAGCTGTTGAGATGAACATGCCTCATGGATAACCAACGTCCCATTTATTTCAGTCTGCGCTACCAATCTACTGAGGTGCTGACCAGGCTACCTAGAGAGACGTATCATTGCGCGACAGGGACGTGCTCAACTTCCAATCGATTATGCACCGTATCTCAGGACTGCAGTATCAGGGAAGGAGTCTTGTGGCATCTTGGCATGTTCCAGCTGGAAAGTGGCAATGGCCACAGGGGAATCTTGATCTCGCTACGATGCCGGCTGGGAAAGAGGATGGGCGAGAAATAACAGGTCGAACAAAGTCCGAGGGCTGGATAGCCTTATCGGCAACATACCTTGATCTGTTGCTCGGAGACATCCTTGGGCTATACGAGAGTTAGTAAAGATCCATCTTGGTGGACGTAGATATGACAACTTACCAGGTTGCTCACGATAACCTTGCTGTCGCCAGTGCCTTGCGCAGGCTTGGCGGCGTTGGGCTTGTTTGCAGCGGCACGCGCAGGCTTCGATGTCTTCTGAACACCGCCGACTGGGGCAGCAGGCGCAGGACGGCCAGTGGAACGTCGCTGAGAGCGGCGACGAGGACCGCCAGAAGAGCGGCGCTGGGTGGAGAGGATCTCGTCAAGAGACTGGTCAAGCTTGCCAGACATGGTGTATGTAGTGATTGGGATAGCTCGCTTAGTTTGTGTGATTATAAAAATGCTGCGATGAGTTTGCGCAGCTGGGTCGGTCGCTCCTAAGCACTATTCAGGCGACTATTGACGCGATGCGACGTGGCGTTGGTGATGTGAAGGAGAGGATCTAGGTTTGACGCGTAGAAAGTTTGCGCGAAGAGCTTTCTTGTGAGCGTTGGTCGGTCCGAAATAGATGTTATGAGCAGTACAGAAGCTGCGAGGTGATCTCAACGGTGCAGCGATGGAAAGAAAAGAATTATCTTGGAAATGGAAATGGTCGTGGTGTTTGGGGATTCTTATGAGATTTGCCTTGGGGGAAAGGAGAAGAGGGTTGCAGAAGGAAGATGGAACAGTCAGATGCGGGCGAAAAGGGAAAGGAGACAGCAGCCCCATCTTGCCGACAGAGCGGCTGGCCCAGAGTAGGAGCAGGCTCTGGCGCGCCTGACAAAAACAGAGGGGCGTCAGGCAAAGGCATGATTGGCTGAAACTAGTCTATATTGGGCTGGATCCGCCTAAGCTGCTGCCTCGCGCCCCAGCCACGATTCCTCCGTCTGCGCCTTCCGATTGTTCCATTTCAGGGAGGCAACGATTTGCTTGCTTGCTGAAGCTGTGTCTCATATTGACATTACGTAAGGCAAAGTTCGCACCTTTTCCCTTCGAGGTATACTGTCGGTGAGGACTGCGAAGTCAGCTCAATTCAAGTCCATAAGAGCTACACGGGGCTTTACAAGTGGTAATTCTATTATCCGTCTGTGCCTGGCAGTTTTGTTGTCTGTTGTTGTTGTTCTTGTTGTATGATCGGGTAGCAGCTGCTTTTCCACTGACACTGTGTCGGGCGGGATTCCAAAACGCATGTCGTTCTCACAATCATTCCATTTTCTTGGGAAAGTCATCAGTGCTAACAAGATGCATGGTTATTTCTCCCCTAGCTGCTCTGTTAAGTCTAGGAGGTCATACTTGTCTTCTGTGCTGTTATGATTCTAGCGCTTGTCCTGCGACGGATTCTATGAAGCGCTTGCAAGTACAACCGCGTTAGAGTCGAATCGAAAGTCGACAAGTTAACGGACTCTCAGTGCGCTATGGTACAGGTTCAGTGTTTGCTAAGCAGTTCTCTAGTCTTCAAAATTCTAACAATCAAGGAACCTGGATGCTCAGATGTCTTGAATTAAGTAGACTGAGAAAGACGACACCTGCAGCTGCTGCGGTTCTGTCTGTAGCTCCCTTCGCATTACAAAGGGAGAAACCGTGAAAAGGACTTTCCCATTTTGTATGTTCTATTGTTGTTCTTAAGAGCATCTCGTGATGCTCTTCTGCATGCTGATTGCAGCATTTTGTCCCTCTCGGCTGAAAATCATGTTCCCAATGCTGAGAGGGTTGCTTGCGTTGAGAAGCGCTCGCGAGTAAACAAGTCGCTGAAAACCCCCCCAGTGCCAAATATCATACATCCAAACATTCCTTGATCAACATCCCGACTGCCGGAGCAATTACGCGCCTTTATGATGAAGCCTTCGCGGCTTTGACAGACTGCGCAGTCTTCTGCTCGACCTTGTTGTTTTCTTTGGTGTTGACTTCGACGTAGTGGTAGACAACAATCAGAACCATGGCAGCAGAGCCAAGGAAAATCGCAAGGCGGTAAAGGTCGTTGTCGGAAATCATGGTAGGCTAAGGATCGGCTGCGGGATTGTAATAGGGGTGGGCGTTCAGAAGGTAGCTTGAGGCAATGTCTACACTTACTTCATTAGCTTTGCCTTTTGCTTTTGAGTGGAATATCCAGAACTAGGATTGCTAATAACTCACATACCCCCTTTTAGAGTTTCAATGCGACAAATTCGGTTGGTTATCTGAATGGTTCGGGGGAAGATGTTCGCGCGACACAGATGAGCTCTGAGAGTGGTGGTGATCTGAACGGGACAGGTAGACCACTGGAGCTTTCCTGCGCTAAGGCCTGCCGCCCGGAGTGACACTGGACTTGGGTCCTCCACTACCGCACCCCAGCCCCGGCCAGGCGGCCTTGACGCTCCGCCCCCACCAAGACAAGCCCTTCACGTGACCAACCCACTATGACTTGAACTTCTGACTTCATCCACGCCCTCCCACTCGACTCGGGTTTCCTGAGAGTCGACTTTTTGCGTCCCGTCGATCGAAGCGACTTCTGACCTCCTCGGCACCCATACAACGCCAACGCACATCGAGCATCCCAAATTCGCCTTCACAGTCCTTACAGAAGCCATCAGGCTCCCCCACTACAGTTTTCTAGGCCTCGTCGAATACCCCGCCAAGATGCCTCCCAAGAAGGCCGAAAAAGGCGGTGGCAAGAAGCCATCCGCGACCAAGGCTGTCGAAGACAAGACCTTCGGTATGAAGAACAAGAAGGGTGGTGCCGCTCAGAAGCAGATTGCCCAGATGCAGGCGTCGGCAAAGAACGGCGGCAACGCTGAACAGAAGCGCAAGGAGGCAGAGAAGGCGCAGAGGGAGAGAGAAAAGAAGGCTGCCGAGGACGCTAAGAAGGAGGCTGCACTGCTCATGAACAAGCCTGCCCAGATCCAAAAGGTTCCTTTTGGCGTGGATCCCAAAACCGTTGTCTGCATTTTCTTCAAGAAGGGCAACTGCGAGAAGGGAAAGAAGTGCAAATTTTCCCACAACTTGGACGACGAGAGAAAGACGGAGAAGAGGAGTTTGTACACTGATACTCGTCAAGAGGAGGAGGAGAAGAAGAAGGCTGAGACTTCGGCCGACTGGGATGAAGACAAACTCCGGTCAGTCGTTCTCTCTAAGAAGGGCAACCAGCAGACCACTACGGACAAGGTCTGCAAATTCTTCATTGAGGCCATCGAGGACGGTAAATACGGTTGGTTCTGGATTTGTCCAAATGGAGGTGACAAGTGCAAATACAAGCATGCTCTGCCACCTGGGTAAGTCAAATTCACACTATACAAAACTGAGAGAAAACTAACAAAATGCAGATTCGTCCTGAAGACCAAGGAACAACGGGCGGCAGAGAAGGCACTGATGGACAAGTCACCTCTCAAGACTTTGACCCTCGAAGACTTCCTCGAGTCCGAACGACACAAGCTCACCGGAACTCTCACACCCGTCACACCTGAATCGTTCGCCAAATGGAAGAAGGAGCGTTTGGATAAGAAGGCTGCTGAGGAACAGGCGAAGAAGGCCAAGGAAGCGACTGGTCGTGCGCTCTTTGAGAGTGGCAACTGGCGGTCAACAGAGGACGACGAATCCGAGGACGATGACGACGGTGTTTGGAACTTGGAGAAGCTGCGTGCCGAAACCAAGGCTTTGCGGGACAGAAAGGAGGAGGAACGCCTGATGGCGGCCAACGGCGGTGTCGTGCCTCCAGAGTTGGGTACAGCGACTGCGGAAGCGTCCGTCTCTTGAGGTTGCTAACGGTAAGGAAACTTTCCTGTACACGCCCAAGGCTGCGAGCATCATCACGAAACAGGCCGATTCCGAGCACCTGCAAGACCAGGTCTACACGGCGGCCGTGCGGATGCGACGCGAGGCCGCAAGGCGGAACCGTCTACTTTTTCAGCCCTAAGATCAATGAAGTATGACTACGTTCGCGACGTACATATCACGTTTTGAGAATCGAACTCGTGAGGCATCCAATTAGAGGGGTATGATTTGAGGATCTCTGGCTATTTAGACATGCCAGTGCAAGACTGGCAATCGGATATCAGGCATGGAAACGAGTTTTGAGAATGTTATACCCTCGACCCTGAGTACAAGTTTGTTCTCCTAGAACTTCTCTTAGAACTTCTCCACGTACGGTCGGATGTCAACCTCTTGCGTGAAGGCAGACCGGTGTTGAGTGTGCAGGTGCCAGTAAGTCTCGGCGATCTTGAAAACTTGTCAGCAATGAGGTTCGATAAAGTACATTAATGCGAACTTACGGCATCGGGGGAAATCTTGCCATCCTCCACGCCATCGTTGAATGCAACCCCTTTACCCCAAGGGGTGTCGATACCTCCGTCGATGATGGCATGCGATACGTGTACGCCCTTGGGACCAAACTCTCGAGCCAGAGACTGGCCTAAAGCGCGCAGAGCGAACTTGCCCGCGGCAAAGGAGCCGAAGTAGGCAGAGCCCTTGACAGACGCCGTGGCGCCTGTGATAATCAAGGATGGCGGGTGAGGAGAGTCCGCTACCGAATCCAGAAGCAGAGGCAGCGTCTTTTGAGCGAACGTGAAGAATCCCTTACTGTATTTCATGTCAGTCATGCTTGTTGGCACCAGAAGGGCGATGTACGCACGGTGCGGCATCAAGGCTGGCCTCAAGCTCTTCTTTCTTGAGCTCTAGGAACGGCTTGCGAGCGAAGCCGCCATTGATGTTGTAAATAGCGGCGGCGAGCTTGCTGCCAGGCAGCTCCTTCTTAATGGTCTCAAAGGCGGCGTTGACAGCGGCGTCATCTGTCGCGTCGGCCGTGATGCCGAAGGCCTGGCCGCCAGACTGCTTAATCTCGTTGACGATGTCGTTGTAGCTCTCCGGCTTGCGCGCAAGGAGCACGACAGGGTAAGCCTTGGCGAAGCGGACAGCCGCAGCACGACCTGCAGTGAATGTGAGCTGCGTTACTTGGCTAGAGGCTTGATTTTGCCTGTCTACCTGTTCCGGAACCGGCTCCGGCGATGATTGCGTAGAAGGACTTGGACGCCATGTTCTCTGTTACTGTATCTGTTGCTGAAGTGAGATCGTTACAATGTATGAATCGAGCGTTATTAGGTTCGCGGATTATGATTGAGGACTACTGGAAACGACTTTGAAGAATGAGGGATGAAGCATTTAAGTCTTTGCAAGTTTACAAGTGTTCAAGGTGGTGTTTTGGGAGATTAGACCATTGCTCGGATGCATGACGGCATGAGCGGAGTGCCGAACGGGATGGCCGATTAATAATATCTCTTCCCGGCTCCTCCAATTACGGTCTCCGACCCGGTCCGACAGAAGATGGCGGAACTGATTGTGAAGCAACGCTGACTGAAATGAAACAGTCCAGTTTTTGCCTAGTTTGAAGACGGTCAAGTACTGTGCACTAGCATTGTACGTTCAAATGGCAGATAAACTGGCGCTTTGGTGATGGAGGAGTACCATGGCTGATACTTACGTGAGTTCACTGTGAGAAGCCCTTTGGGTTCTCACAGAGAGTGCTATATAGAACTTCAGCGTATGCACATGAAACACTCTGAACTCTGACGACCTCCCAAATTGATGGACTCCAGGCATACAACAAAGTGGCATGTTGAGCGCAGTGGAAACGAGCGTAGTATGCGCTGCCAGGAGGAAGGGGAGAGTTGTACCGGACAGGAACTATTTAGGTAGCCACCTACTGTAACTCAGGTAACCAATCAGGCAACCCCACCAAATGATTCCGGACCCTCTATGGTCGAACCGCGCTTCAGACCTATTAACGCGTCGTGACCTCACATTCATCAAATTATCTGGCTTCAAGTATGCCAAAAACCTGCTGAAATCTTGGCCTCCTCTGGGCTCTCATCCAATTGATTTTCAGAATACATCGAACCACCTGTTTCAGCCCTGTTGGCCTGCTAAATGACCCCACCTCATGATCTCTTCAGTCGAATTCTCACTTTGGTCTCAAGCGCGCGTTCATCTGAGTTAAGATACTTGGGCTTCCACATCCCAAGTCAAGCACAATCCACAATAAGGCTGCCACGATGCCGCCGGCAATTTCCCCAGACTCCGCGGCGAAGGCTGGCCCCTCCCGAGGCCAGAGCAAGCCACTCGTGGCACGACAAGGCACTCTAGACAAGTTCTTCAGTCGGTCGGGGGCCAGTTTTCCGCCAGCTTCATCCTCGTCGGCAATTATAAAGAAGACGTCACCGGCACAACCCGAGCCCAGATCGACGTTCGCCGTGGTCATAAAATCAAGCCCTAACAAACGCTTGGAACCGACGCCAATGAGGACGGTGGAGGACGATGCGGACGACTTGGTCACATCGGATCTCTCACCTCAGTTCAGGAGGCTTGCGGCTCAGGCGGCCTTGAGTGTCAGCCTCTCCAAGCCGGCTCTGCCAGCCGCCGCCAATACCGATGACGCAGAGGCAACCTCATCAGGTCAAACTCCTCAGCCACAGCCGAAAAGGCGTGGCCGGCCAAAGGCAGCCGTCACCAAGGATTCAGAGGACAGAGCGGCTGCAACCGGAGCGAGAACTCTACGGCCGGACAGGCCAAAGGTCGGGAGCATGTACGCCGGAAAGCGGCGAGGTCGGCCGCCAAAGGCACCATCACCCAAACCTAGAGCAATCTACGAGGGTCTGGACCCGCACTTCAACGTCTTTATCTGCGAGTGGGAAGGGTGCCGCGCCGAACTTCACAACTTTGCGACTTTGCAGAAGCATGTCGTTGTGGTTCACACCCGGAAGCCTCCATTTCAGTGTCGATGGGCCAAGTGCGCCGCACAACAGCCGCCTCGTGAGTTCTCCACATCGGCGGACCTCAAGTCACACACGGAAGATCTACATATGCCTCCCATCGCCTGGCAGGTGGGGGACGGGCCGCAGGTGTCACTTAAGCGATACGCCCCCGATGACGGAGCCGAGCTTCCTGACTACCTTTTTGATAAGGCGGGCAACCAGATCACGCCGTCGATCCGGGATCAGAAAGAGGAAGATTTTCTCACATGGCGCAACAACAGGCGGAAACTCAAGGACCTTTTGCTCCTGCGAGATCAGAACATGGCAAGTGAGGGAGAGGAGGAGGAGGGGAACGGAGTTGAAGAGCTGCCCGAAGGCGGGTGATGTGACCGATCGTTGCATAATATGGCATACATCTCTCATGTTCATTACACCCCGCCCTAGTAGTAGGTGAACGAACGACTACGGCGACGGGAAGCAGCGGAACCAAAAAAGACAGGCAAGACGGGCTGGATTAAACTAGGAGGAACCAAGCTTCGTGGCATGGTTTCAGATGATGGTTAATCGACTGCGCCTCGCTCTCTGGGGGGGAGGTCGACGTCAAGACGACGGGGCGTGGTCCAGTATAGTTCTGCGCGCCCTGGAATCATCGGATAGAAGGAGCCCTGGTTCGTATACTGAGAGAAGGCCCGTTAAGCGGGCTTCCCACTTCCCCAGACGTAACGGTGGATGGCTTTTTTTTGCCAGGGCCTTTCTCGCCGACGGAAGGCGGGAGCGGATGGGCCGGAGAATGGTCGTCTCCAATTTCAAAGCACGGTACTCTTTTTCACCTAAAGAGGATGACTTGGCATTGCGGCTCTTGCGAAATTGAACGGTTAATAAGAAAAAAAAAAAAAGGAAGGGGTTTGGCACGCATTCCCACCTTACATCATAGGCGGGGATATGCGGTGTTTTGTGGGGGAGATTGCTGGACGTTGCATGAGGAGTCGGGGTGGAGTGACACCTGAGCATCCAGGGAGGCCCGCTGTTCAAGAAGAAACAAGTCCCAGCCCATTTTTCTTTCGCCCTCACCTCAGCAAGGGGTTGGAGGGACGGACGGCTAGGCCAAACACCGCATCTTCAGTTTGCATCGAGTTTCGAAAGTTTCTGGTGCACGGCGCATATCAGGCAAAGCAATGGGGGGAAAAAAGGACGAAAGGTAGGTAGTACTACACATCACAAAGATCAACACCCATACGTACGCACACACACACATTCAAAAGAAAGGACCTGAAGATCGGTTCTAGAATATTTCCCAGGGCGACACAAGTCGACGGACTGGCGGATGGACCAATACAGAGCTGAGAAATTGGGGCAAATGATTCGCTGAGAAAGCAGGCTAGGGGATCAAGTGGCGATGGGCTAGGCGGGTTGGCGGCGCTGGCGTGCTGTTCGATTTTTTTCTCTTTGCTTCTCGCATTTGAAGCGGCAAACCGAAATCCGCCATCTCTAAGGGCCCCCCAAGCTGCTGGTTCACCAGTCAGAAAGCAGCCCTCTCATCGATGGGTGGATTGATTAGAATGGACCGATTGAGGGGAGGGGAAAGGAGGGGAGGAAAAAGGCCGGTGCCGCTGACGGTCCCTGGTAGGTTGGGTGGGTGTAGTAAGTGGTGGTGTACTTGCACTACCTGTACTTCCACTACGACGTAGTGTGGTGCCATTGCCGTCCACAGCAGCAGGACTACTTTAAGGAAGTGTCCGTAGCGCGGGATTGCACGGCACGATTACGGGAGCAGGGTATGCCTTTTGGCTGGCAGGGTTATCCGTAAGTGCAAAAAGTAAAAGCCCGGGTGTCTCGCAGGTATCGTGAATGTCTTATTAGACATAGAGACAGAGACAAGACCAATCCAATCCAGTCCTCAACCCAACGCCCAAAGTTTCCCCCCCTCCTTCTCCCCACACCCGAAAGCCGCAGGCATGGATGGAATGGCCTGCATGGCCGAACGCAATGAGGATGCATGCACCCAACATCTGTGCTCTCGCCTAGCCATTGCATCCGATCGGTTCCTGTTCACGGTGTTTAGGTATGTTTCTTTCTGGCTCGAGCCAAACAACAAGCCCATTGCAACAGCAACCAGAATCCCGCGGTGTGGCGGTCTTGGTCGCAGGGGGGATTTACTGCGTAGTACAGGGGATGGATTGCCATGGATATGTCTTTGGCATGCAATTGCCGATGTGTTTTCGTATCGTCAACTGCGCTGGGTTATTCTTGGCCCCCAGTACTATCTATGTGTGCATGGGCTGCGCTCAGTACCAAGCCCTTCGGCCAGGCGTCCCATTTCTCCGTCCGTATGTGCCTCCGGCTCCTTCTTCCCTGAGTCGTGTGGCATCGTCAAACGACGAGGTAGGGTGTACGTGTGCATTCATTAGTAAAGATGAGGCCGGCCGCTTTGAGAGGGCATGGGAAAGGATAAAACGGGATCGTGATACGAAGTTCAACAACGGGCGAATAAACAAACAAACACGTACAACGTTGAGACAAAGAACAAGCATCATTCAGAGATAGAGTTGGGGAGGAAAGAAAGAATAAGAAGAAGGGGGATCGGATCAGAGATGGCTTCGGTTCTGAATTACAAAGCCAACCGTCTACCAGAGCAGTACCACGAAGCTACAGAACAGGTACCTACAAGCAAAGCAACGCACGTAGATGGGTGGAATGGAGTTCTGATCGCAATCGACACAATGCTTGGAGAGAGGATGAGGAGGAGGCGCTGATTGTGGTTTGACATGGGTAAAGGACGGCAAAAAAAAAGGCCACGCCAATCGCACAGCCCATGAGCCAACGGAGCCAGAGAGGACCAGGAAGGAGACATCAGCAAGGGAACACACGCAACAGACGCCAACACTGGGGCCCGGCCTACTAGTACTACGTAGTGGTAGGCATCCCAAGCCGGGGCCCGCCTTCACCGGACACCCCTGCCATAAATCCGTCCCGTTCTGGTCCAGCGTGTGCCAGAGCTAGGTAGACGAGGTACTGTACGGAGCGCTACGTACACAGTAGGCCGACTGACTCCCTTGCCCTTTCCTATTCCTAGGCGTGTTTCTCGCTGTCTGCGGTCCTCGGCTTGCACTGGGCTGCCCCCTGTGCCTTGCGCTGCACTGCCCGAGAGCGCCAGTAAGGTGGGCAGGGCAGGCCCAGGTGAGTGGTCAGCCATAGGAGCGAGACCACCCAAGCCCAGCCCGCTTTCCGCCTCAGCGGGCCTGGACGCCCACCACGCTCTCCATGTCTCCCACACCAGTGGGTGGCCCAGCCAGTGTGCGAAGCAGCGAGCCCAGAGCAGCGGGGGTGTGCCGCACTATGTGTGAGTGAGTGAGTGTGAGAGAGACAGAGAGACAAGAGAAGCGAAGGGTGTGAAGCCGTCCGGAAAGACGCTATGCCCACATTACTAACTCGCTCCAACTCTCCCCGTCACCTTACCATCCCGCCCATACCTCTTTACCTTCCAACCCAGCCTTGGTACATTACATTTGCCAACGCTACTTACACCTCGCGTCTTGTCCCACGTTCCTCTCACCCTCACTTCATCACCACCACCACCTTACACCTCTCTCCACCCTTCGACCTGCTCGTCTTTTTTTCCCCCATTCTCTACTGCTCCCCCTCACACCTCTCTCCCTCTCTCTCTCTCCGCGTCTCCATCTCCCCCAAAATCATCGGCCCCCCTCCGCATCTTCAGCCTGTAATTGCCCGCCTAGCCATGGCATCGGTCGCTTGATTGCGCACCCCCGAGATACCGATATGCCTGCCAGCCGAACCCATCAGAATGGCGCCGCCCAGTTCAATCAGAAGCTGAAGAACCTCTTCCGCATCAATTTAAACAGCGGCGCCGACCGAGACCGAGACAGGGAGAAATCCACCGCCCACGTCCACTCCTCGCAAGATGCCACGCCCACGCGCCCCGAAGCACGGAGCAAGTTCGGCAGCAGCTTCTTCAAGGGCACCGTCGGCCGATTGAGGACAAATACCACCGCCAGCGAAGGTAACCCTCTCGACGAGGCTCTGAGTCCGACCGCACATGCGAACCCTTACTTTGCCCATCAAGGCCAGCCAGGCCTTCGCCACCATAATAACGAATCCGTACCACCCAGTCCCCCAGATACCCCAAACTTTAAGATCCAGGGCCCTGACGGCGGCCCCGAACAGACTACGAGCGCCGGGAGAGAGGAATTGGCCCGGAAACTTAGGAGAGTCGCCAGCGCTCCCAATGCCCAGGGCATGTTCTCCAAGGGCAAGGGTAGTGCCGAACGTCCGGCCACCGCCGAGTTGGCCAAAGATCCGCTTGTGATCAACAAAGACTCGGGCACCCTCGAGATGGTTGACGCCGCCAGCATCAATGGTGCTGCGTCTGCGTCCAACCTGGGCATCCCCGATAAGGACACTCTTGGCAACCTGCCACCACCCAACCGCAACAGCCTCGCCTTCAGGAGGACGTATAGCTCCAACTCCATCAAGGTCCGCGACGTCGAAGTCGGCCCTCAGAGCTTTGACAAGATCAAGTTGATTGGAAAGGGAGATGTTGGAAAAGTTTATTTGGTCCGTGAGAAGAAGAGCAGTCGGCTCTATGCCATGAAAGGTAGGCGCAGTCACAGGGTGCTTCTACCGCTATCGCCGACGTGATGCTGATTTGCTGCAGTGCTGAGCAAGAAGGAGATGATCAAGCGAAACAAGATCAAGCGCGCTCTCGCCGAACAGGAGATTCTGGCCACAAGCAACCATCCGTTCATTGTCACTCTCTACCACTCCTTCCAATCGGAGGACTACCTGTACCTGTGCATGGAGTACTGTAGTGGTGGAGAGTTCTTCCGAGCTCTCCAGACACGCCCTGGCAAGTGCATTCCCGAGGAAGACGCTCGATTCTATGCCGCCGAGGTAACTGCAGCTTTGGAATACCTGCATTTGATGGGTTTCATCTATCGCGACTTGAAGCCGGAGAGTGAGTCTGGAATGGGACAATTGCTTACCAATCGGTTGCTGACACAATCGCAGACATCCTGCTCCACCAGTCGGGTCACATCATGCTTTCGGACTTTGACTTGTCTAAGCAGTCCGACCTTGGTGGAAAGCCCACCATGATCGTCGGCAAGAATGGGGCCAGCACTACGTCAATGCACGTCGATACCCGATCGTGTATCGCGAACTTCCGCACCAACTCGTTTGTCGGCACGGAAGAGTACATCGCACCGGAGGTCATCAAGGGTAGCGGCCACACTAGTGCGGTAGATTGGTGGACGCTGGGCATCCTGATTTATGAGATGCTTTACGGCACTACTCCTTTCAAGGGCAAAAACCGCAATGCAACCTTTGCGAACATCTTGAGAGAAGACATTCCCTTCCCCGACCATGCCGGGGCTCCGCAATTAACCAAGTAAGCCCGCCAAGGCCGCTATGGCAGAGAAAACGGACACTAACAAGCTTACAGTCTCTGTAAATCCCTGATCCGCAAGCTCCTGATCAAGGACGAGAACCGGAGGTTAGGTGCCAAGGCCGGTGCATCGGACATCAAGGCGCACCCTTTCTTCAGGACGACCCAATGGGCTTTGATCCGCCACATGAAGCCACCAATTGTGCCTGTTGCAGGACGTGGTGTCGACACGGTCAACTTCCGCAACGTCAAGGAGAGCGAGAGCGTGGACTTGAGCGGCTCACGGCCAATGAACGTTAAGGGAGTACCCCTGGATAGCGGCCTGGCGACTCCCGGTGGTGATGTTGCGGATCCTTTTGAGGAATTCAACAGTGTCACTCTTCACCACGACGGCGACGACGATCACTCAAGGTGAATGGTTCCGATCCACGAATCGCCCTCCGCGGTTTGTGCACGCGCACCAGTTTGCAAACTTTGACCTGCCACGAAGGTTATGTGTATAGGAATCGATGTTAGCCGAGTTGACTTTTACTTATGGACTTGATGAGAAGGGATGAGTCCCCCTCGCGCACGAGAGGGGGAGCAAGTGCTAGGTTTGGGGAACCCAGTGCTTGTAATCATGGATTATCTTGTACAACGACGAAATTGGAGAGAGAAAGGGAAGGGAAAGAAACAAGCCAGAGATCTGAAGGAAGAACGACGAGTATGAGAGCAGGGAAGGATATTCCACGTCTTGCGTTGCAAGGCGAAAAAATCACATTTTACGACCCTTCGGTCCTCCTTGGGATTCTTACGACGAAAACAAAATCGAACCAGCAGCATATGGTCTCCGTGCCTTCATCATTGGGAGTTTTTATGTTTTTTTTTTTTTTTTTCTTTCTTTTATATCTTATTCGGTCGCCTTTTTTTGTTTTTTGTTTTTTTGCCTTCGAAACCTGCTTTGTTTTACTGGAAACCGAACCCCCCGGCGTTTTTCGAGTGGGAATCATTCAAACCAAAGACACAGACAGGCAGACAGCGAGAGAGAGAGAGAGAGGGACTGTCAGGAAGGAGCGTATGGATAGGAGATAAGAAAGCTTTTTTTAAAAAACAAAAAATTGCGTGTGTCCCTGCGTGTGAAGGTGTCTCTGGCTGTTGAGTATCTGTGGAAGGCCAGATGTAAACGTATTGTAAATCCTCCCATCTTTCTCATCCTGTGAAGTGTAGAAAAAAAAAACAGTAATGTTCGCAGTATCTGCCTGTGCGCCGAGTGCCCCCCCCCCCCCCCCCCCCCCCCGGTCTGAAGTGTTTAATGTGAGTCAATTGAACGAACGAGCTCTTGAGACTACGGACGGGGTCTGGGTCTGGGTCTGTTGGGTTTTCCATCCGTCCGTCCCATCCTGGTTCTCATCACGAAAAGACTAGACGGACCGCGCGCGTTCTTCAGTCGAAAAAAAAAGGATTACCAAGGACACGATGAGATGAGATCGGGCGTCTACTCCGTCGGTAGGAACTACAGATCGTGTGAGGGGAGGGGGGCTTAAAGATGGATTTGGGCTCAACTCAAAATCGTTTACACGCAGGAATCCCAATGGAACAATAAATCTTATTTGTCTTTTTTTTCCTTTCTCAAAATAGAAAAGTCCGGTGTCTGTCTCGTTGGACAGCCTCCTGTTGTCGCTTTACAGAAAGTTATTGGAAGCCGTTCAACGACTCCTACTTTCTGTCCTCCTGTCCTCGCCTTGCATCGCTCTGTTGGGCGGACCGGAAACATTGATACAGTCAAAACATACACAACCTCTAATACAACACAAAACAGATATCCCCGTTGATGGTCGCTGTCAGAGCTCTGCCGCGAGGGGGGAAATGTGTGGCTTAAAAGTTTAAAGCTTCGCCTTGATGGGCTGCTGCTTGGACGGGGCCGTAGCCTCCTCGTTGAGGTTGACCTCACCCGTCTTCTCGCCATGGCCAAAGAAGATGACCTGGACGGTCAAGTCGTCCCTGGTTCAATGTAGGTTAGTTCTGGTCTATCGGTTAGGTAAAAAAACACACAAAACTTACCTGTAACGTCTGGAAAAGGGGGAGGGCAGGGTCAGCAACGCAGAAACCTGCTCCTCGTTCTTGCCGCCGAGGGCATTGCGCACAAGGTGAGTAGCCACGTTCTTGTCCTGGACGACGAAGCGTTCAGGAGCGTCGGGGGAGAGTCCCCACTGCTGCATGCGGATAGGTGTCTTCTGGCCATCGACACCCTTATCGTTGGCTTGCTCGACAGGCAGACCGGACTTCTTCGAGCCAAAGATCTTAGACCAGGCCGAGTCGAACTGCGATCCGGAGCCGCTGCTCTGGCTCTCGATCCACTTGCCGACAAGACCAACAACCTCTTCGTTGGTCAGCATCTCCCACAGGCCGTCAGTGGCCATGACGACAAAGTCGCCGTTCTCGGGCTCGATCTTGGTCGTCGTGACGACGGGCTCGGCCGTGACGTAGGGAGGCGTCTTCAGGAGGGGCGAGGCAGAGCGGGCGAAGAAGGACTCTCTGAGGCGGTTGGTGATCTCGCGGCTCCACTTGTAGCTTGCGTCGCCGAAGGCACGGGTGGGCTCTAGGCCACCGAGGACGCGGCCGTTGTGCACGACGCGGTCTTCGCCAGGGTGGAGCTTGCGCATGCGAGCAGCCTCATCGGGGTTGCTGCCCGTCTGGTCGACGGAGAGCGCGGTAGCCGTCCATTTACCAGAAGCCGATCGGCGACCGAGAACGGCGCGGGAGTCACCGGTGCAGGCTACGCGCAGCAGCTTCGATCTGCTATCGTAGAAGGACAGGAGAGCACAGGATCCAGAAAGAGCGGGCGCGAGAAGCTCTGCGGCCATGGTCTTGGAGCCAGCCTTCAGGACCCTCTCGACGCTCTGGTTGACAATCTCGTCATCCAAACGGGTAAAGCCAGACTTGATGGCGGCATCGATGGCTTCGGCGGGCGGTGACAAGTCAGTGGACGATTGGTAAGTGGTGTTGAGCTCCTTGGCCACAGAAAGGATCAACTCCTGGCGAAGCTTCGCCGAGGTAGTCCAGCCACTGCCGAACTTGTTAGTGTCTGCGATTGCTTGTCTTTCCGTGTGCAACTTACGCATGGCCGTCAAAGACACCCCAGAACATCCAGTCGTTGCTTTTTCCCTCCGCACCGGCCGCCTTGTTAGGGACCTCGACGATCTTTTCGGCATGATCGTCCTCGATGGGGTCGTTGCTGGGCAGTTGAACCAAGTCATATCTCACGACACCCTGTCCTCTGTTGACGAGGAATGACTGCTCAGTCTTGCGCAGCTTCTCCGTAACTTGCTCAGGTGTCAACATCTCGATAACCTTGCGTCCGTCGTCGCTGGTCGTCTTGGAGATGGGCCCTTCCCCTACAAATGTGCCGGTGTGTAGCTGGTCGGCTCCAACAACAAGGACAGCGCGGGTCGGGGTAGCATCTCCACCGGTGGCGGCACCTGTGGTGAAGCTCCTCGTCAAGCTCTGGGACTTGTCGAGGCTGGAGGTTCCGTTGTACGAGTACCAGGCGCCGTAACCGACGAGGGTAGACACAAGGGCGACTGAGAAGCGGCGGATGTACATGGAGGACTTTAGCGGCTGCACAGCATGCTCAGGGTATGGTTGGTGATGCTGGGTCGCCTGAGAGGAGGATCGCAGGCCGTGTCGGGTCGAGTAGGAGAATGAGGAAGGTGGTTGATGGTCGAAGAGACCTCGTCGGCTGTTGCGTGCGAAGCTACGAGCCGTACATCGGTAGGTTGTCCGCAAGGCCCTCACTGCTGCGCGATGCATTTGGGGCGAGCCGGGAAGAAGGTGCAGCGTTTGGACTGGATGGCGGCCCGAGTCCTATGGAGGTTAGAAAGCGGTCGTGAGAGGGTTTGAGGAGTGAAGCTGCCGGTCTAGGATTGAGTGGGAGGGAGTGGGTGCCGAGACGTCGTGCCTCAGGCTAGCGTCTGGGGGAACCGCGGTGGCGGGCGTTCTGTCGTTGGTTGTCGTGATTGCGATGCTGCTAAGTATAGATTGGAAGATCTGTAAGTCAGTTAAAGACGATGTTTCCACTGCGCTACGAACGATATGACACCAATCACGGGATCGAGCAAGTGATTTGTGTCGTCGGATGTTTCAGGGATTCACTTGACCCAGATCAGCCTGAGCTCTGAGTGTTATTTGTTACATGACAAAGGAAACTGAAGGGGGTGGTGGTTGCTTCTCTAGGAGCCACTACAGCAAACAGGGTCTCACCCATGCCACCCAAAATATGCTAATCCAGGACGACGTTAATCTTATCGCCCTGCTGATCCCGCCCAACCGAATTGCACTACACTACACTAGGGACCGCTTCTTCGAACGGGCCCGCCAACCCCAGATCTTTCATCCACATTGCTTGCTCCAGTTGACTCGTACATCTCAAGGTTGGCAGTTTCCGAAAGACAAAAGCCTGGACCATGTCACTTTAATAATATTCGCCAGTACCTTGACATATTTGATTTGGACTTGTCGAATATGCACAAACCAACAGTCGATCTGGATTTGTACGCAGACGCATAAGAGCTCATTGAAATCTAGGCTTGTCTCATTGAGTTCCAACGCAGTTCGGGCTCTCAGAACCAATTTCTGAAGCCAGATCCGAACAGTGTGTGCGCAGATCTGTCTTCTGACTAGGTACGGAGACTCTGACAGGTTTCCAGACGGAGGTTTGGTGGTAGAAAAGTGGCGCATTTTGCTTCGCCAAGTGTCACCATCTTCTGGGCTGCGGTCGCAGGCCAAGGGCCTGCAAAAGTGACACATGAACGATCGAGGAGGCAATCCAACGGAAGATATGGGCAACCATGCTCACAGACCACGCAGGGAGCCTTGATGTCCGATTGTTCGTTGTCCTATTGCACTATGTTCTATGCTATGCTGTTAATGACACAATGACCCTGTGTATTGTGATTCTGAACCATCCAGAACCGTTTGCTTAATACCATGTACAACACGTCTCTTTCCATCCCCCAACGCCGGCCAAAGTGCAAGAAAATGCTCAACAAGGTAATTGCTCTCGATTGGAGCGTTCCAAATTCCTTGCTGTCGTTTGTTGATTAAAGTCCGCGGGCTGTTGCATCCAGATCAGAAGGCACCTGCCAACCGTGAGCGGCGGCAGCTCGCTTATACGCGTCAATAGCCTCAGATATTCCATAATCACTCGTCGAAGAGCCCCCAGAACTGCCCATAAGTCGGGCTGGGAACGGCTCGAGATTGCACATCGCCATGCGGACTTGGAGCAACACACTCTCCATGCTACTCACTGGGCTCCAACCGCTGTTCGTCAAAAGTTCCATGCACAAGGCGCCGCCGCCTGTAACATGACCACCCCCCCTTTGCGAGAAGGGCAAGAATCTCGGACGAATGACGCGGACGAAAGGCGGAGAGAGTGGAAATTGTTGACCAAATCGAATCTCGAGAACGACACTGTTGACGCCGTTACGTTTCATGTCCTGCGCCAGTGGCAGAGATAGCTCAAAGCTGTGGAGCTCGACAATCCATTGGAACATGTTCGTGATCTTTTCAAAGTCAATATACCAGCCAAGCTCATGCAGAGGAGTCATTGATTGAAGCTTCTGTAGCTTGCTGAGCTCTCTACCGAGCAGCTTCCGTCCGTTGTCCGTGGCCCACATCGGGGGTGGGAGTTGGGGGAGCGAGGCCACATCAAGGGTGCCTTGTGTGAAGCTCAACTTTTCCGGGTCAGATCCAAGGATGATTGTGTTATTCTCCTCTTCTTCATCTTCTATTTGATCATTTTGTGAGTTATTCTCCTGTATGTTTACGATAGTATCGAAGTCGTCGGACTCATCATCGAGTGCATTGCTTGCCTCATCGTCTGCGTTGGTTTGTTGAGACAGAGGTAGGCTTGAAGTTGTCGCATTTTGACGCCATTTCGGAAGAGCAGCCGCAGGAATCCTTACGGGTTGACTCTTGAGTCCACAAACAACCCATTTAGGATCCTGAGCAATGTATCGTGTTTCGGAATCGTCCTGCTCGGTAGTGGGGACTTGAGGCGTGGGAGAAAGCTTTCTCTGGATAACTAGGTAGCGGCATTGAATCCAGTCGACCTTGTCGACGACATAGCATGGAGATATACATCGGAACTGGCTTGTTTTGTTGACAATCTCACAAAGACTGAGGGCGATAGTTACGTTCAATTCCGATCCAACCCAGACAGTGGGATTACTTCCGTGTCCGCTATAGTGCTGACTGGTACCGAATTGATTGCTGAAGTACACTCCGTGTCCGTGGGCACGGCCGTGGAGTGTATCCTTGAAGTCAAGGCCAGATCTGATGATGCTGTGCCAGTTTCCAAGCGGACTGCCGTGCCACGCAAAGATTGTAGGGTGAGAGCTTGACGTCTGCTGATCCAGGGCTTGTTTAAATCGGTGCTCCTTTTCAGGAGATCCCTGCGCAAAACGGAACTGCATCCAGGTATTGTCCAGTCCGTCTATCTTCTCATGTTCTCTGCTGCGGTTGTTCACGCCCGAGCCATTGTCAACCTCGTCGCTCTGTTCAAGTTGAACAATGTACGAACGGTTAGAGGCCACAATCCATCGAAGCAAAGCAAGTGCAGATTTGGGAATCTTGTCACACTTGTCCAGAGAAGAGCCTTTGTGACTTAGGAGGTATTCCCGCAAAGTCCGGATAGGGGGCACAGCTTGCACCAGGGTAAGCAAAGCCTCTCTTTGACACACAGGAGGTAGGTCGTCAAGGTCGTGCTCGTATAAGTATAGCTCCATATTTCCTTCGTTGTTTTCGGTTGATTCGCTGCTCTGGTCTTCGTTGGCTGGAACTGAAAGCGACTCCGGTCCATAGCATCGTGATTCTTTGCTTATGTTGGGATATCGTGGCGCAGACACCAGGCAGTCAAACTCAACAATTCTGCCAGCAACGTTCCCGTCGGCGCCGCGGGCGATGTCCACATTTCGAATTCGACAATGGTGTACTTCATAGTAATTGCTTCTATCGGTGACAGAAGGCTTTTTGGTTAAAATGATGATATCTCCCGCCTTCAGTGGATAGTTTTGTGTACTGTCCAGGTTAAATTCACCGGCGGATATCGAAGTCCACACAGATCTAGGCTCATGAACGACCATCTCAGTGGGAGGCGTTGCCACTTGGTCGCCGAAACTGTTGGTATCCCCTGAAGTGTATTCAAGTAATTTCTGCAAGGAGTGAGTCATCAAAAGAGGCACTTTGATAGCTAAGCCCTGTGGCCACTCTCTGATTCGGTCAGAATGCAGCCCAGCAGCGCAGAAGCTTACGAGAAGATCGACAACATAAGGTCGGGCAATGATTTCATGCTCAATACTAGGGCCCAAGCCCAAAGCCATGTACTGAAAGAGACACAGCGGCTCGGTGCAAACGTATGGTTTAATCGCGGTGAAGCCCGGCTCTGCCTTTCGATGGCAGACGACACAATATTTTGTGCTTTTAACGAAGTATCGCAAAGCAAACTGCATAGCGATCAAAGGCATACTTAGCTGCTGAGTTTGAGGGGGGGAGTTGGCGGTAGCATAACCGTCTTGAACATAATCCCGGTTGAGCAAAGGTCGGGCTGTAGCTGAAACCTGTTCTTCTTCTTCTGCAGTATCGCTAGTATCGTGAGCCAAAATGCCATCATCTTGGCGCAGATGACCTGCTTTAGCATGTTCTTGCAGCAGTTCTTTAGCTCGGTCCCATGAAACTCCATGTTTCAATCGGTACTTCAGCAGCAGCGCCAGTTCAGTGTTCATGAATGTGTTGATTGAGTTGGTAATGGGCATCTGAACGAATGGAGCGCCCTGCTCCTCAGTTTCATATCGTAGGGAACCTTCAACTGGTTCACCTTTGATGTGGTTGAATTTGGGGTTGAACGCAGTTACGGCCGAGCTCAAAGTGGGTTTGTAGTTTGCACATTTTCCGAAGAGGAACTGCATTGTTGAAGGGTGGCCAGGAGGAAGATTTGTAAAGTTCTCCACGCAAGGGTATCCAGAAGTATATCGGCAAAGCAAGACGACATAACTTGAGGATTCAACATCCCAGGCCTCGAGAGTGTCGTCTGGAAGTCCAAGATGGTGAACGGGTAGGGAAAGTGCAAAGATGCAGTCTGTCTGGTGCTTGGAAACGTCACTGAGTAGTGCAATCTTGAAGCCAACCTCTTTGGCTTTGCGAATATCGTCAATAAAACGACTGGTGATCTTAACTTCTTCCTTGGTGGCTGTGGGCAATTGCTGGAGAGTAGCTGGGGTTGTGGTACCAAGACCAAAATCAACATCGTCGTTGAATCCATAGTCGTATTCATCCTCTGTATCAATGCTTTGTTCGTCTAAGTCATCCACATCCGTCATCTCGACATCAGAACCGTTATCGGACTCTGAAGTGAGGGCAGCACTGAGTTTCTTTGACAGCAAGTCCAGCGTTTCAAGTACTGTCTTCCTTTGGCTCAGATTGGGGAGGTCGTCAAAGAGACCAGAAACGGCATGAGGGATAGCCTCATCGTCGGTGTAAGCCAGGAAGCCAGAGCAGCTTGGATAGCTATCGATACTCAGAGCGATCAAACGGATGACAAGAGGGGATGACAGATTGTCATGTGAGAAGGTGAGGACAATCTGACCATCATCGTCTCCTTTGGCGACACTGGAGATATGCGTTACTGCCTGCTGGGAAGCGTAAGCCAAGTCGGAGTTGAACTTTTTACGGGTCATGGCGACTCCGTCATCAACAAGTCTGTTACTAGACTTTGACAAACCGGACTGATGTGTTTATTGGTGAGCCACGGTCTGACAGGACAATCAGCGAATCAGCATTGTAGCCTCTGGCGGTTAAGATAGAACATATGTTCTAGGCGGATGTTCAGTGAGGAATAAAAGGATGGTTATGGAGTATGTGATGAAGAAGTATGGCGACAAAGCTTGTGACAAGGAAGGTAAGAACCTGGTGAAGAACTCACTTTGGTTGTGCGAAGAACGACAAAAGCGGGTGTGCTTCTTGGTATACAGCTATAATGGAAAGAAGTTTAGGGTTAACACAGGTTGGCAACGTGAGAAAGGGGAGAAAAAATAATACCTTCAATAGGTGCCTAGAAGAATTTGGGAAGGAACGGCGGGGAAGGTTCAGTGACTAGCCTACACCTTCCTCGAACGTTTTCCTCAAGCTACCTCTTTGGAGTAATCAGTCAGACCATAGGTGCTTGGGTTGCGGTTGGTCCAAGCAATAATTACACTCTTTCTCCGATCCAAAAAAGTAGGTGAGAAGGGACGTGAGCCGCTTAAAGATTGTTGGTCGTTTGGCCCAGGCTGCAGCGCCGCCTGCTGCCTGCTGACCAGCCAAAGTCATCCAACAACCGCGAGTGTGTGACCCGACCTCCGCCAAGGCTCCATTGCAGGTGGCGATTGTCCGCCTATCCAAGGTTCCTTTGCTCTCGCTCGATATTATAGCCCGGGAGTTCCCAGAATATCGTACTTGGTTAAACAATTTAGATATTCAAAAACGTGGTCAGAAGTCCGGGTGTTGTATAACCTTGCCGGACGTGACATCCGGCCCCACGCCGTCCCGTACTTGCCTAAGTCTTTTTATGCTTTTGAGCATACCCAACTAACTAGGTACTTTCTTACGAACCAATGCAGCCTAAGTAACCTAGATGGCTCAATTTTGATGGCAGGACCCAACTCATGAAATGAGAAGGACATAGCGAGAAAAAAAAAAAAAAGGTCCATAAGCCGGGCAGCTTCAATAGGCTAGATGACCTGGCAATAAGCTGCAACCTTTCTCGTGTTGTCATCTGGGATAAGGTACGAAGGGCAGAGTATGTGTATTTTATTGAACCGCTGTGTTTGGACGTTTTCGAGCGTTATCTTTTTGTCACTCCAGTATACGTGAATGGTCATTGCATGCCAACTTCGCAAAAAATAGCAAAACCGCCGATATGTCTAAACAACCACTAAATCATCTTCATACGAAACCTCTCCGGTCCAGTCGTACTGAATTGCACCGGCATGCCGCCTCTCCACCTATAATACCCTATAACCTTCTTGAAAGCGCCGCCCCAGCCCAATTCGCCTCTCTGCCACGCTTTAGGCCTTGAACCGTCCCGGCATTGTTGCACAATCATCGTTGGATTTACCGCGGAGTCGGCTACAACTTCCATATCGCCCACACCAGGCTGCGGCATGTCGACAAGCATCTCCGTGTTCCACCGTGAGGGCAGTCGCAGCCTAGATGGCAGCATAGAGGCTGACCCGAGCCCATTGCTGCTGTAGACACGGGCTTTGCCGTCACCAGATGCGAATATCGATTCGATTGTATCCGCGGCAGAGATCTCGAAGTAGACCTCGAGGCACCGCAGCCGGTCTAGGTAGATGATGAATAAACACAAAATAGCAGCGCCGATGGAGGCTGCCCAGAACACCCAGAATCGAGGGGCATTTGGGGAATATTCGTCATTCATGGATAGAATGGCTGACACTATGCTGAAAGGGAGGAGAATGCCTCCTAGATATGTGACACGGTCGAGAGCTCGCTGGTCCATCTCCTTTTCACCAAGCCAGTCACGATCCGCAACGGGATACGCTCTTGACGTCTTATCAAGCATGCCTGTTCCACGCGTTTGTGGTTGCGCTGTCGTCAATCCCTGCGTCGAGGGCAGCCAGGAGGTTTGCGGAGCTGTAGTGGTCAGGCGTGAGATCGTTACGCGGCGTTGTAGTCTTTCAAGTAGGCGACGCCAGTCAGGGTGGTGTATGATAGGAGGCGCCGGATCATGGGCAACGTCTAGATTCTGTTCCAAAGACTCTGTAGCCTGCCAAAAAAGAGTCGCGTCCTGGAGGGATTCGGGCTGGGAATGTGACGGAAGAGTTTCGAAGAAGTCGGCCCATTTGCCATATACCGCGTTGCACAGTAAACCAGGTAATGTCTGTCTAGTCACATTCGTATGCCGGAACGTTCTCAGCAAGCTATCTTCAAGCCCTGGGAGTTCGTCTCCTTCCGCAATCAACACGTTCCACACAGAAGTGCCGTCGTGCTGGGATTCGTCAATCTTTGTCTGCCATGATCTTGCCACAGACAGCGGCCGTCGTGCTTTTCTGAGTTGCGACGAAGGATCATGCCATATTGGACGATCTAGAAATAAGACTGAAAACATGTTAGCGACTGACGACATCATACGAAGTGTGAGAGACATACTATCAGCCTTACTGCCCATCCATAAGGACGCATGACAGAATATGACTGCCTGGCCATCCCGAGACATTGAATAAAATGGTGCCTCATCCATCACATCTACCAAGTCCGATTGCCTTGCCGACGGCTTATATCCCAGATCTGGCCCAATAGCAGCCTGATGGACCTTGACGAGCTCTGGGTACTCAAAAGAGACGAAGCTTTCGCCATTGTCCTGCGTCACCGGCCGATACCGTCGTCTTCCCGCATGCGCTTCGAGAAATCCCGGGCTGACACCCAGCGAGTCCCTCAAAACCTGAACCAAGTCCAATGGGAGCCCCTGAATGATGGTAAGCCTCCTCCGCCCGACAGACTCTCCTAAAAGGTCTTCGGCACGGCTTAAGAGTCGTTGTCTACATGTACCGCCCTCCCAATCGAGGACATAAGCGGAAGACCCAGTCTCGGGAAGCTTGCTTCCAACTGATGATCTGCGGACGAGCAATGCCGGCCTATTGGGGCGCTTCGTGTGTTCGGCAGGATCGTTCGCTGTAAGAGGTGGTGATTGTTGATCAAGCTTCTCCGACATTTTTGCAAGTCTTCCCAAGAGTTTCGTCTCGCAAAGGTTTCGTTTTCATGGAACTGGCACCTTTAGACATAGTCTTTCACCAGGGGAGAAATTGTTGTCATTAAAAAAGACTGCCATAGCGGGCATGCTTGTCCACAAGGCCGTCAAGTGACCTGAACTAGACCGTCCGAATTGCCGTATTAAGATTCCCTCACCAATCCGCCAGAGGACACTAGTTTCCCCTTAACCTAGCCTAAGCCACTTGGTATAGTCGACAACCATGACAGCTCCATGGCGGGTTTTCCGTGAAATGAGAATAGGCGTGGCGTTTGGTGAGCTTCTAACCTTGGAACTACTCAAGGAGATCAACAGAGCTTGCCACGTCAGGCTGCACCACGCGCATTCATGAATGAAAGCCGGCGCTTTACCCCCCCTCCCTATTCTTGAAGAAGGTTGTGTCCATGCTGAGAAGTAATGGCTCGACGGCGCGAAGCTAACCATGTGGTGTGGCGCCTGATTCGCTGTCATTTTATTGGATGTTCACCGATGCCCCCCTTAAGTGGGGTAGTCATCCCGCGGGTTCGCAACCACAACGCGTCCGCCGCGACTCACCGAAACATCAACCACCACCGCCCTACCACACAGTCGCCAGATACGGCTGCAGCTCGACTTAGCGACGCCATGGAGCAAGGAAGAGATTCAACGCTGGTACACTCGCAGCCCGAGCTAACTCCTCTGGAGGGTGAGGTCTTGGAGGAATACGAAAAGCTGGCAGACAACATGAAAAAAGTTCGTTCTTCTTGTCTATTGAAGGTAGATTAAAAGCTGTATGTGCTAACCAGGCCGCAACGACAGCTTGCATCTACACTAGAAGACTTAAGCAGCTCTCCAAGCACCGAGATCCTTGACGGGCTACGCGAGCTGGAGCGCAAGACAAGCTTGGTCTTCACCCTTCTCAAGGCGAGCGTGTACAGTATAGTGCTGCAACAGGAGATTGATTGGGGCGACCAGGCTGGTAACCAGCAGTAGAGGGCATAGGAGAGACATGTTGAAACGAGAAAGGTCATCGGATTACGCACGTCCGCTGACCAATGGTCATGATTGAGGGCACATACCTTCTACGTGGGTGAAATACACGGGCATACATGGGCTGATGAAGCATACGACTGAGAGGATATACCCCTTGATTCAGAGCAGGGCATTCTGAAGAAAAGGTCATGAATTCCATGGCATAATCACATAAAAAACAAATCGGTTGTGGGAGATCTCTAGTGATGCGCTTGACATGTTACAGTGGTATACAAGTGGTACACAAATTAATATACAGAGCCGCCATAGTACACCTTCCTGGCGTCAACCAGCTTCTTTCCACGACCAATAGCAATCTGCTCAGGGTCGGGCTGGTTTGTGAGACACTCAAACACGACCTTGACCGTGTTGTAAGGGTTCTTGGATCGGAGGATCTTGGCGGCCAGATCGTGGATACCGGCAAGGCGGGCCATTTCGAAGATGCGGTGGGAGACGCGGAGTCCGAAACCTACATAGTGCAATTAGCATGTCATTTCTTTCATGTCAAAAAGAGACTGAGGGGGCAGCAAGAATAAAATACCTGGAGGACGAGACTGAAGTCTCACGACAGTTCCGGAAATCTTCTTCTCGACTTGGCCGTAGATGGTACGGTTCTCGTACCTCCGGATCGGCTTCATGTTGCGGATAGCCAACATTCTGGCTGTGGTCCTGGCAACGGCGAAATCCGTCGACTTGGCCTCTCCCAGTCCGAGTCTGCCGTTACCATTACCAGCAACAACAATGACGGAAACACTTCGGATTTTACCCAGACGGGTCTGGTTGTGCACCTGACGGACGACGATGGGCTTGGTAATGAGAGTCTGGAGGTCGGCGATCTTGATACCGGTAACCGCCTTAATCTTGGCAAAGTCTCCCGTGGGATCAAGGTCATCTTCCTCGGCGTCCTCAGGGGTGTAGAGGCCCTTGACACCCTCAACCTTGCCAAGTTTGGGTGCCAGCGCCGAGTCACCGTCCTCACCCTCCATGGCCTTCCATGAATCCAGGCGGGACGTCTCGAGGGGGTTCTCATCCGTGCTGAACGACTGCTCAAGCTCCTTATAGAATTCCTGATCAAGCTTGCTCAGCCATTCACTGTCCAGAGCCTCACTGGTCTTCTTCGACGATTTCTTCCCGAGGATATCGGTGTCCTCGTCGACCAAAAACTTCCTACGCAGCTCCGGATTGGACTCAAGCTCCTTCAGCTCCTCCTCGGTAAAGTCGAGCTTGTCGGGGTTCGTCTTCTTGATTTTGCGCAGAGCTCTAGCATAGGCCTTGCCCATGGAGTCTTTGAGCTGAACCTCGACCCGATCTGCCATCTTCTCGACGTAGTTGTCGACCCATTCCCTTCTCGGGAGCCACTCTACCTCTCGTGGCTGCACCGGCTTCTGAGGTTTCATATCAATGACGGGTTGAATGGTCGCAAAATCCTCAATGTAGTTCTGTTTGTACGGATCGACACGTAACCGGCCCTGGACAGCCAGATCTTTGGGGTCAATGGCGTCCTCCGCCGCCTCGAGGGCTTCCATCTGCTCGGGTGTGTACTTTTGCCGCAATGCCTCCTTCTCTTCCGGGGTGTACTCGGGGAACCGCCGCTTCGCATACTCATCGATCGCTTCGGGGGTTGTCAGACCCATCTTCTCGGCGGTAACATTCTTGAACCTCGATCTTCTCCGTGTCGACCGGCTAGCGGAACTGTGGAATAGGCGGATGGGCAGTGCCGGAGCAGTGCTGCTCGAGGAAGCGGATACGCATCTCGACAGGACGCCCCGGGCCGGGCGTACCGCGTTCATCACTGCGGATAGGAGCGACGTCTCTGCGCCAGTCCAACGCTGGCTGCAAAGGGTCTTGCGAGTGGTGGTGGTGGCGGTGGTGGTAGGTGCAGTCGCGTGATGGCTACTCGAATTGAGCTCAGGGTCGCGCGCCAGCTGGTCGATAATTTTTTTGGAAGCTCAATTGGATCGGCCAATGTCCAATTGCCTGAGGCTGATTGAGACGACTTCATTGGCTGGATGAGCCCCATAGACTTCTGCCCTTGGCTCGTGCGTCTCATCCCGAAAGCCGGGCCAGAATTGATCCTGAAGTCACATGATTCGGGAGAATGATGGTGGGCAAGTGCCACAACGACAAGCCTCATTCAGAAGTGCCTTTGAGGCTTAGCTGAAATCGGGTGTCTCACCGAAAGGCGTTGCTTGGCTAATTTCCAAGGGTCGGGTTACTTAAGCAAGGCGCTTGGTTGCTCTCACATTTCACTCAGCATCGTTTTGGCTGATATCCGCCTTCAAAGGCAACGGATGCTAGTATAGACGATGATCACGGTTCCTGACGGCAGTGTCCCCGGCAGCTTCACCAAACCTCTTCAGACCGGAAGCCGCATTGAATGCCCATAGATGTTCAATACACGCACAACCACAAACCAGGTGTTGTTCGCTGGACCCCTTGCCCATGCCGACTAACCGCTGCAGCTCGTCTCTGAACAACCAATCAGCTGCTGTAGACATCAGTCGACTTTCTGCTGCAGGCCTGAAACACGCAGTGAGCCCGGCCCCTCCCCTGTGGCAGGGCAGGATGGTACATCCTCACACTCATCACTAAAACGATGTCGCGTCCCAGTCTCATCCACCCAAGGCGGTCTAGCCTGCGAGGGCACTGTGACCACCATAGGGCCATTTTCCCAGGTCCTTAAGCGTGCCTGAATGTGACGTCTCCCGTTTCGAGAACCTGAGCGGATCTTTTCTACATCTTGGCCCTCTGCGAACCCTCCCTCGTTTTCCTTCGTTGCATCTCGTGTTCCTCTTATCCTTCGAAACCTTCTCGCTCTAATCACGCCCTCCCATCCCACCTGTACATTTGTGGTGTTTATTCCCTTGTGACTGGCGCACTTGAGACTCAGACCTTCATTTTGACTTTACGATACACACCTTTAATTCCAAAGCACCACAGTCCATACCGATCGCACCCAACCTTTCCGAGCAGAACCTCCTGTCTGCGTGTCCGTCGACTTTAATCAGCAACCTATTGAGCCGTTTAGCACCGTCAAACGCCGTTCCTATCACGCGGAAGTCATCAATCGCTGCGTAACCGCGAGACCGCAAACATGGGTCAATTTGACTGGTTCCGATCCATTGGCGCTACGCCTCAGGCCGTTGCCGTCCTGAACGATCAACCGATTCTGTTCACGATCCTACTCATCGTTCTTGTCGCCATTATCCTCCAGATCGTTTTGCTCTGGTACATTCACTTCGCGACGCTGAAGCCCGAGCAAAAGAAAAAGAAGGAGCCCAAGAAGGGTGGCAAGAAATAAAGGATATTGGGAAGGGGATATGTTTTGTTGACGAGTTTGTTTCGACAACACCTTTGCTGGCGCATTTGGAATGCGGCCGTGCTGGCCTTGACTACTGTCAAGCGCGACTTTCAGGTTTGAACGAGAAGCAGGTGGGACGATGTCGTGTTGGAGGAAACAACACAACGGCGAGTTTGAATAATGGATGGGCTGAAAGAGGGCCGGGAAGTTTGAATCTGGCCTTGTTCGGCCATGATGGAGGGCGGATCCACATATCATGATATTCAAGTGTCACAGGCTGCATTTGATGTCAACTTCTTGCAACTTACCTATTTCGGTATAGATTTTCTCACCTATCAGGCGCTCAGATATGGATATCAATCGAGTTTCTGAATTCAGCTGCTTTCGAAAGTTGAAGTTATAATCATTACTCCTGTCCGTACTCGAGATGTTCTGTTACGCCCTCATCCTCGAACTCCTCCAGCCACGTTTTTGGACGACGCAGCAGTTCGACGTTGTCGAGGTCGGAATTGTCCTGGATGCTGTCCGACCATGATGTTATAGTTGATGGTATATCTGAGAAACTGTTTTCCATTCTTATGTCGGGTTGTTGAAGGCTTTCGGCTTGTACAGGTTGAAGGCTCAAACCGACCTCATCTGTCAAAAATCCATCATTTACGTGATGGAAATGATCGCCATCCGCCGCGATGAAGTCTGCATAGCTTGGGCTCTCTGCAGGAAGTCCATCATCTAGAGCCATGAGCGGGTCGGAGTTCTGGAAATCTTCAGATATTGGACCAGTGACCGTACTGTAGTCTATTGTATGTGAAAGCTGTCCCAACACCCACTTCTCAGTTGCTGCGCTGTCGAATGGCACCAGGTTTTGGTCACTATATATTTCTTTCTGCGTATTGGCCCGCAAGCTCCACCACTCATTCAAGAGCTCGTCGACAATATTCGTGTCTGGCTCTGGGCTCGTTGTATTGATACTGTCACAAGGCGAAATTGAGCAACAGCATTGGTCGTGGACCAGCTGGTCCAACTCAGTGGCTAATGACGGCTGTGGGGAATAGACATCTTCTTCCACGGCGTCTTGATGAGAGAACATCTCTTGGTTCCTAAGTTTCTCCCGATTAAAGGTCTGAACGGGGTGTTCGTCGTAGTGGTGTTCGAAAGATTCTCGGGTCGAGGTGATAGCAGAATTTGAGCTTTCTTTCACGAGTAGAGTACTTCCGTACTGATTGTCATAGTCAATATCTGGCGAAGTATAACAGCTATGAGGGTCTCTAAGTGGCTCCGACGTCATTCTGCCGTCAATGATGTGATTCACTCCTCCCGGAATTGTGCCACTGGATTCTTCATTGTCTTGTGTAGAGCTGTATATGGTTAAAGCTGCGAGGAACTTGTTTCGATTCTTAGGCGGTTCCCATCGTTTGTGCAGACTGTGCCCTCGAAGTGGACGCAGTTTGGTTTTGGTGTTGACGAGTCCCCATAAGTGCTGGCAAAGAAGCTCAGTTTCGTTGCCGTTCGCGACTTCGGCCTGCTTCTGCTTTTGACTTGTTTCTTGAGCCAAAAGACCTTGAGCCCTTTTCAAACGGCTAGAGTCGATGCGTGTTACGTCATGGAATATGGAAGCAAGCTTGAGCAGAAGATGAGATCGAATGGCAATAGCCTAGATTTGTTAGTTCGTGGTCTAAGGGGTGACCTCACAGCCATTAGGTTACCATACCGAGAGATACCTCCTATCTAGAACCTGTGGCAGTAAAAGGCCTAGTGGAGGGGATTTCATCTCTACAATCATTTGAAACCCGGGCATTTTCTGGGGGCCAGCCAGAAGGTTGTACAAACTAGCTTCTACAAGGCCCCGTGTTGAGTGGAAGAGCAAAGATCGGCCATGGTCCTGGATAGACCACTCCATCTTTTCTTCGTCATCAGGATGATCAACACAATGTCTCGAGCCTTGAGCTAACAAAAGGTTTCCGATTTTATGCTGGTTCTCCTATTTCGCAGCCACTTCATCGGAATCCCAACTCCTGTAGTTGCCAGGGCTCATGGTTAGGACCGGGAGGTTGCTTGTTGATTGGGCCAACATCTGAGCATCCGAATCGTCCTGTACTGATTGATGAAAATAAAAGGTGCATGTGAGGTGCTGTAATATAACATCCAGCACACCCGGTAGTTCAGTGGGCTGTGAAATGGCGTCTTGATATTCGATCTTGAATGATACACAACGGGACTTCGGGGAGAATTCAGTATCGCAGACAAGATCGATCCCTAGCTGACTCCATATCTAAGTACTTTTATTAGGTAAAAGCTACCCGTTCTAAATGGAAACTCTCACCGAGCAGTTCTGGATACAGGAGGCCACGTGGCTAATGAAGTTGGGATTAGTGATTTTACCGTCGGACCTCTCCTCGATCACTGAAATATGCAGTCGACATGTTGAAGCTTTGGAGATCTGCACCCGACCTTGGTGGACAATGTGCCGAAGCTCGTCAGCAGTCGTGATTTGGATTTCGCCGCATAACGAACGGAGGGAAAGGTTGGATGCAACAGTAATGCTTGCTGTGGTATTAGTGTTGCGCATTGTGAAATGGTCTAAATCGATGACAGATGTAGTCATGGTCAGAGTTGCGCAGAATAGGGAATTCCGAGAATGAGACGGACGCCCATTTTCCTTCACTACAATGAGATTCGGCCTGATACCACGGCAGTTGGTCCGAATCTTTTTGGTAGGTTTAGAAAGGTGAGTTGATGCTGGAAGGCCATGCCGAGTCCAACTAACGGCACAGTATTTTATTCACCGGGCTTCTGTAACGTGCAGGCAGGGTCAGGTAAGGTAGAGAAGGTATGCTGGCAGGTAGTTCCTGTCATTCCTGGATTTTCATTTGCGGGGTTGGTGTGAGCTTCTTACATGCTGCACGGTGTGTAAGGAACTGCAAGAACCGTTAATATATTCGTTGCCCGCCAGCTTCTACAGGAACCAACAGCAACTTTTGGCGGCCGATCCGCGCCACCTTGCGCTACTTGAACCGTTGAGCCACAGCCTTATATGTATTTGCTGTGTGCTTGGGTTAGCGTAAATCTTCCGGCGCACTCGAACTGCTAGTGGATGTACCTACAACGATACGAAAGGGTGGCCCCAAGGCCTAATAGCGCCTTGAGAAGTTCCACATGATGGCTAATCGGCAGGGGGCTTACAGTGCGCGCAGTGTCATCCTCGGCATAGTGCATCCGATTTTGTGGGCAAGCACGACAGGACGCTTGACCTCGCCGCTGCCAAAGCCCAATGACGCAGGCGACCACTTTAGATAGCACAACTCAACTTCCTGCTGGGGCCTGCACATACCACTACGGAACATATTCTCGCAACTTCCAAGGAATCCTTGACCATATCACCAAGGCATGCGCGTGTGCATCAACCCACACCCTGACAACGCTCTTCTTGACCTGTAACCAGTCGCGCACAACGTCGCTAGTTGCGCGGGTGCCAGTGTGAATCATCCACGCGACCACCGCCACCAATCAGGGACGACCAACCACCGCGGCAGGTAGTCAGAGAGACTGAACAACACCAGGCTATCTTGGCCGCAGCCGTTTGACGACTCATTGCTCCGTTCTCGCGCAAGGAAGAGGCCAGGATCTGCACCCGCAATCCTGTACCACTACACACTCGGGTCGGCATCTGACTAAATTCACCCACACATCTCGTCGACCACCCGGGGCTAACTGTTCCCTCTTCCGTCTCCCCCGTGCTCCTCCACCACCACCATTACCTTTTGGCTCGAAGCGCGGTGTGCGGAATTGCGTTCTGAACGCCCGCCCAGCTTGGAGCATGCCTCTCTTCGATCTTGGATCACTCTTCCTCGACCATGTCGTCTTCATCACCAACCTCGTCTACATGAATATCGCCTTGACTAATGCCGAGCCCAGTCTGCTGTTCCCTCTTTATGTTGTATCTAAACTGCTGGCTCGAGGACCAGAAGATTGGGATTCCCCTACAGCGAAATGGCCACCGCCCGTCCCCAAATGGTAGCCGATTGTGGCTACCAGACTCCGGATGAGCATAACCGCCCGTCCTACTTCGCTCCTGCCGCTGATGCCCCGTCAACCTCTTCACCCAGCGTCCACGCTCCAGTGAGGCGTCCGCCATTTGTTCCTCATCCGTCTTATGGGCCAGTCCTACCGCCGGAACTTGGCTCAGAAAATTCAAACCCTGACGGTTTACCGGACATGAATGGCCAAAGCCCTGACAATTTGAATGCTCGTATGGAAAAGTCTCCTGGCAACGGTCGAGTTGGACTCCAAGATCGGATTGCCTGTCACAAATGGACATGGTTTACAATGGTAGGGTCCTGTCCCGTTCACCTAGACTCACCCAGCTAACCGCTAGCAGACAATGGTATGAGATACCAGTTCACTCCCTTCAACTTTCACTCACAGCGCCACAGGCAACTGGGGGTATGGCAAATGTGATACACTCATGTCAGTATTTCTGCATATTTGTGAGCTTTAGTCTATAACTCACAGCGGAACAGTACCACAGCAAGCTGCCTGGTTAAATGGTATAGCCGTGGCCTTCTTCTTACTGAATGTTGTTCTCTTCATCATCAACTGTACCCTCGCGGCACTCCGTTTTCATTTCCGGCCAGGGGCACTGGCGCATTCATTCAATGACCAGACAGAATCGCTCTTTATTCCGTCATCTGTAAGTAAGGTTCCAACATTCTACGCACATAGCTAACATGCGAGCCCAAGGTTGTCTCGTGAGTACTTCTGCAAATAGCCAAGGTGGTGTCTTACATGTTACAGATTTGCTGTCATATCAATCAACATATGCCAGTTCGGTGTTCCACATGTCGGACCATGGCTCTTGAGGATCATGCAAATATTGTATTGGTCATATATAGCCATGAGCGTGTTATCCAGTGCCACCATGTATCTCATCCTTTGGTCGACACTGTACGTTATCTATTGTTAAACTGTCCAGCCCTGGAGACTGACTAAACGTATGGCAGTGTATTCCCCATTCATACCATGACCCCAACTTGGGTATTTCCGGCGTATCCGCTTCTTCTCACGGCTCCTTTCGCCTCACAACTTATTACGGCTGCGTCACAGACAGACCAGCAGCAGGTAGTCCTAAATAAAACGGCAATTGCTTTATGCGCTGTTGCTACTCAAGGCGCCGGATGTTTAATTGCCTTCATGATTTCGGCTGCCTTCATTTATCGGTTGATGACACAAAAACTCCCTCGGGACTTTCAGCGGCCTGGTGTGGTAGGTACGGCTGTATACAAAAACCAAAGCAAGGCTTATCAGTGTCTAGTTCATTTCGATCGGTCCATTTGCGTTCACAGTCGGAGGACTTGGTATGTTTTCTTAGCCTGCATTGGAGGATATAGAGCTAATCATCACAGTCCAACTCGGAAACCAAGCGGACAAGATTCTCCCTCACGACTTCTTAGGCACTGACCTAGCCGTGCCTATCGTCAAAGTATTTTCTGTTATGATCGGATTATGGCTTTGGGGTCTGTCTGTTTGGTTCTTCATCGTCTCTGTCGGGTCGCTATGGAAGTATGTACGCCCGGAACGCAAGATGCCTTTTCAGATGACCTGGTGGTCATTCGTGTTCCCAAACACAGCGCTCGTTACCGCCACCACTGCTCTCGGGAATGTTTTACAGAACAAAGGCCTGCAAATATTTGGGTGTACTATGGCTGCTTGTTTGATCATTGTCTGGATCATTGTGTTTGTCACCATGCTTCGATGCTTATATAAGAAAGAGTTGTTGTGGCCGAAAGATACCCAGTAGTGGTTTAGTACTAGACTGAACCCATGCAGTTTTATTAAACATGAGGTACCAGATGCATGCGACTCGTACTCAGGTCCTGGAAGAAAAAGTGTTACAGTCATCATGCTCATGGCGTGCAATTATGTTCAGTGGAAGTAGAAGTATCGCCGCATCCTGATAACCCCCTGCGGTGAACGTCCCGACATCGATGCCCCGGCAGTGCCTGTCATTCGCTTAAGGGAGAGCGACAGCGGGATGTGAGTGGGGCCAGGTGGTGTCCCAAGTGTCCTGCGTGTCCAACCTCCTGTAAACTCATAGCAGGGCCTCACCTCACAGATGTCAGGTGTCCTTATCATGAAATTAGGTTGATATACCAACTAGCCTACTTTCCACACACACATACATTCAATGTAATACTGCATAATCAGCTACAACCTTTCAACAGAAGTAATGTCGTGGGACTCTAAGTCGGTATCGCGTCGCCGCCAGGGCAGCAACGCTGCCTCAACCAAGAACCTCCCTATTCATACAAGCCAGGAGCCCAAGCCGACGATCCAGCCAAAGTCGAGACATGTGGCAGACGACTTCTTACAAGACTTTCTGGACCCATCATTCGATCCCGCGGCATACCTAAACGCCTCTCTGCCGCAGCTGCAGCCGAGCGGGCATCATTCCTCAAGGGGCGGTAGCCAGGCCGTCCAGCTGGCGGATCTATCTAGTGAAGCGCAGACTTTGCTGTCCCAGCTCAACGTCCACACGACGAGGCTATCAGGCACCCTGACGCAGCTTACAGACGATATCCTGCGAAGCGGGAGCCGGCTTGCGTATGAGGTTGAGCTTTTACGAGGCGAGACTTTGAGTCTTGCGGAGACAATGAACGATACTCTACAGGACGACATCAAGAAATTCGTGCCTGGCGGGCTTGAGGAGGCTGCGAAAGAGTCGTCTGCCAAGGCTACAGACGGGGGAGAGAGGAGGGCGTCAGTCAGTGCAGCCAAGTCGGAAGAGACCCTGGCGACAGGAGCAGCAACAGAGGGCGAAACAACGACCGCGGAGCCACCATACGTTCACCAGCTCCGGACGTTGACTGTCGTGCGGTCTCGACTGGACTCCGTTATCAAGACTTTCGGCGACGCCATGGAATTTGTGTTCCCGCCGTCTGAGCTCTCAGTCAGTTCTTCCTTTCTGTCTGTCTCAGCACCGGAGCCAGGCTCGGATCAGCATAGCACAGAAGACAAGGGCCAGCAAGTACTTCAAAACCTGCGAGACGAGATATCGCAGCTTCTGCACAAGTCGGAAGACCCCGTTCAGGGTATAGAAAAGGCGGCACAGCGAATTGAGGAGCTCAAAGACCTAAACCAGGTTTGGAAGGGGACGGCGGAGGAGAAGGGCCGAACCAAGTTCATTGAGAGCCTGGCAAAAATGGTCGAAGATCGCCATCGGGATCTAATGAGGGAAGTAGATCAAGCTAGCCGGAGTCAGGGCAATGGGAACGAGGGTAGGGCGAGGAAGGGCAGTGTTCATGCGGACGCCGTGGAGAACAAGCCCTATCTCGGCGGTTACGGCTTAATGAGTCAACTGCAGAAGCTTAGAAGCGGCTTGTAGACCGTGACATGATGGGCTTGAGATGGCTTGACCAAGACTCGAGAGGATAATCTTCTCTGTACCATGTTGTAACTGCCGGTCCAATAGGTACATCAACGAGCGCTGAATCATTAACTCTAGAAAGTTTAAAATACGAAATAAGTTATTTTGGAATTCCTCCCTTTCCATATCGTTGCTAACTTTGAAATTCCGGCCTTGGCTTTGAATCGAAAGTGTTGTTGCTGTTGTTCGGTGAACATCGAGTAACATACAGGGATAACACACTAATAATTAGCATGGCACAGTGCTGCTCTTTTTTGCATCCCTTCTGTCCACGGGTACACTGTGCCTGGTCCCAGCGGAAGTCATCGGAGACCCCAACAGCCAATGAGAAAATTCAGCCCCTCAGTGGTCAGGAACAGAATACGGATACCCATGCAGCCATTTAGCGGGAAGGCTGACAAGGCCAACCGGCACAGGACCATTCCATTTCGTAGTGCCCTCACCTCTCTCCCAAATCTGATCTCCCACACAATCATCGTGAAGAGCTGTTTTCGAATGGGCCTTGAACGGTTTTTCTCCCTTCTTGAGAGGTGTGATTGAGAGATATATTCTCTCTCACATATCTTGCTGCATCTTTTATAAACATTCTCTTCTTTCCCCAGCACAGTCCTCTCGCCCGAGCGGCTTGCGACACCCGGCCTTCACACTACCCAGCCAACTTCTTCTCTGCCCAGAAACAACAATCTTCTCATTCGACCAGTTCTGCTGGTAGCTCACGATATAACCGACTGACTTAGGAATCCAAATATACTACCGTCATGGCTTCCAATGACACAGCTCCCCCCAACCTGGGGGGCGCCTCTGATCAGGCAAAACCTGGTAGAGCGTCTCCAGCACCACAATCGAAGCGCGACCGCAAGCGCCAGGTGCTTGCCGACAAGATTAACAATCTACAAGAGAAGTTCAACAGAGATCGTGATCTCGGATATCGTGACCAGCTCCAGAAGGTCCAGGTTGATACCAACCTCGTTCAACGTATCGACCCTTACTCGGAAGATGTCCTCAGTGTCATCGCCAGTCTGCGCCAGGAGCATGACGAAACCCAGGGGCAGGAACCGCTCGCAGAAAACAGCCGTACCCTTCTGCAGATGGCTGGCCCCAAATTTGAGGACTTTGTCCAGGGAATCGAGGATCTCATTGAGTACCGAGACTTTCATTTGCTCCAACACATGGTGAGTGCGACCAATTTTTCGTCTAGTCGGCCCAAGCTAACAGTTGCAACAACAGCACGAACATGAGCGCCGCCTCCACCAGTACAAGAACGAATACCTCTACAAGATCGAAACTGCAAAGCGCGAGCATAATGCCCTTTCTGCTACACTCCGTGACCGTCTCGTCAACACTCTTCTCTCGAGAAAATACCGTCTCAACAAAGAGAAGGAGGCTTTAGAGATCTCCGATTCCTCTGCGCTGCTACTCCACCCCAATCAATTCAGCATTACCAACCCAGCGAGCCCGGGCGGCACACATGGAAAGCGAGCGACGAGATTGCGCAAGGATGCCGAAGATCTTTCCGGCTACTCGGACAGCAAGAAGCGAAAGAGAAATCCAGGCGAGGACGACGGCTCTCCTGTTCCGTCCCGACGAGCGCTCGACCCTAACAGTACGACGCCCCTCTGGCAGAACGAGAAGCTCCGCGTCGCCGCCAAGCAGAACGGTCCAGCATATAGCATCGACAAGCTCTTTACCGAAAAAGAGCTTACGATGGCTTATAACGCCGCAGCTATTGCTGCCCATAAGCACATCCTGAGACACAAAGCTTACGCAAATGGTGGCTCGTCCCCTGGCAGTGACTCCGGTCACGGCGAGGACGGCGACCAGGATAGCGAGGCTTGGCCTGCAGCGCCGATGATGGAGCGCACCAGCTCTCACGCGACTAGGAGCACAAGAGCTGGTATTAACCAGAACCTCATTGACGCTGTTGAGGGAGCCAATGGCTTAGAACTGCCCAAGTACCTTGAAATCATGCACCCGCATGAGCCTGCCAAGCTGCCATCATCGTCCATGACCAACTACTTCAAGCCGGTCAGAGGCAACACCGACGCCAATCTCCCACAATCATTGTCGCAAGATGAGATAAGCTCCGACATCATGGTTATGGACTTGTTCAAAAAATATGACGCTAGCCACAAGCCTGGCGACTCAATTGATCATCCCAACGGCAGCAGAAAGCTTCTTGAAGCTGCCATAACACCTTACACCAGGACGCCGTGGTCGGGCTTCAAGCCAGGCCCTCGACCGGACCCGACTAACCTTAGGGAGGATCTTCAACCGATCGAGAGCAGCGTTAGAGACGAAGCCCCTGTATCATCGCTGGCGGCTGTAGCCGCAGTCCCAATGAGTCGCACTAGCAGTGCCGCAGGTGGCGCAGCCATGAGCCGACAGGGCAGCTCCCGTGGCAAGGGCCGCAAGAACCAGTCATGATGCGCGAATGATTTCTCGGAGTCTCGGAGTTTTTGGAATTGGGATGATAACTGTCCTAGTCATTGTCAAGGAGGCTTTCATACGGACAATATTTGGGGAAGACGGCCCCCCTTACCGCGGGTAGACTCCGCTGCATAGAGCGAATTTGCATTTTCACAATAAGGAGCTTCTATGATTGAGGATTGAACGTCGTGGACGCATATGGTTCCAAGACACAGGGTGGCATGTAGCACGAGAGCTTACAATTACGAGGGGATAGACGAGTCCCCGTCTGATTTAGAACAGCTCGCATGCATTGATACCCTAATGCTCTTAATAAAACATGTTCTCATAAAGTTCGTGATATTAGCTTAGAATCTTCCTCCCCTCCTTTCTCATCAAACCCCATCCCTCATGGCCCAAATACCAGTGCCCGTACCTCTATACTTTCGCGACCTTCGGCATCAGGCCTTGTCCTTGGGTCCACAAAGGCAGTATGAGCTAGCCTTCCTCCGTGGACTCCAGTACCGTCTCGGAGACCCTCGCTGTCGAAGCATTCAAGCAGCAGCCTCTCGTCACCAGTCATACCGCTCAAGTAATACCACTTCTGATTAGGGCTGAACTTAATGCCGGCGGTCTGACCAGTATACCCGTTAGAGTAACGGTGTTCAATGGGAACGATGTCGGCATCATCCAACGTCGACGAAGATGCGAAGCCCAAGGGGAACGACTCGACAGGGTTCTTGTTCAGCGGTCTCCAGACATTGATAATCCGATAACGGCCAGCAAGCAACTTGTCCGCCTCCTCTGGCAGATGTTTCTTGACCCTCTGGATTACAGACACAGGTGTCTGGTCAATGTGCACCCTGGTCACGGGGTTTCTGTTCGCCTTTGGGTCTGCCCGGCGGACGGTGTGGTCAAAGAAGAGGACCCTGTTTGAGCCCGGCACATGCTCCAGGAGGAGCTTCTCAAGCTCGGGGTAGTAGTTCTGCTGGATGGACTCGTCATCCACAAAATCCTTCTCGGCAGAAGGGGGCTGGTTGCGGATCACGGCGAAAGCGTCGTGGTCAAGGTTGAAGTCGGACTCACGGCCGCGGATGTCGTGAAGGAGGGCCTCTTGTGGGTCGTCAGAGTAGTTGCGTCCTGGGAGGCCCTGGGGGACGATGAGGTTGTAAGGAGCGGAGCCGTCTTCGGGGCCGGCGAAGAAGTTCAAGGTTGCGCGAACGTCTCCACGAGGGACGGTGTCGATGGCCATTTTGGTGATTGTATATTACAAAATAGTTTTGGGAAACCAATTGAGCAGGTCACCTGTAGTTTTCTTTTCAGACTTTGCGCTGCGTTTTAGGAATGAGGTTTGAAACTGAGGTCAAAATGACTTATACTGAGGTATGCAGTGGCCAAATCGGTAAAGGATATGCACAATGTGCCGTTGATGATGCTTTAGTAGCTGGATCTGATGACATTCAAATCACTAACAACATGGGAGATTTACTTTCTTTATACTTGTAGCTGCTTGTCGTGTATTTCAAAGCAAGACGGAACGAGAAGCAATTATGAACCACAAAATGGCCATTGCTTGCGAAAGAGTAATCACGTCATTTCGGTGATTGGGCGGGAAGGGAGCAGTGCGGAGGAGCCCCTCGGGATTGGATTAGTCAACTTCAATTCTGGAAGAGTGCAGAGTGGAGGAGACCCTGAGGTTTGTTTGGCTTGGCCACTGTACAGCATTAGTCAAGGGCGTATGAAAGATACTTCAAATTCCTCCGAGCGAAATAAGATGGCGCCATTGGTTGGGCCCTGAGAATTCATTGCTGCATGGGCGAGAGACTCGAGATAATACAGGGGATCGAGTTGATCTTGATATGAATTAGGACTGCTCAATTTCCTCTCCAGATTGACAGGATTAAATGGCTCATCTTTAATGTTTCCGTCTTAAAGGGTTGAATGATAGGGTCCGCCTTCAGCTCACTAGAAGCTTAGTTAAGGTGCAATTTCTTGCAGCTTCACCAGACAATTTAATGTGGCGGGATCAGATCGTGGCGCTGAGGCATGCCGACAGAAGCCCGGGAGCGTTCCGCACTGGGACTGTCGGGAATAAGGATCTCAATAACATAATCAACTTGGTCTGGGGAAGCTGGTCGATGATGACATAGATCCGTGCGAATATACCGTGCTATCGGTCAGTGAACTGTCGCAGGCTTTATCGCTCTCTTATCCCCAGGTAAGCGCCGGCTTCCTTTTGATTTTCTTCAGCGCCTAGTGGTTTTTTTGAGCGGGCTAGGATGCACTGACGCGCTGTTTGCAGCAAGGCCCTGGGTCTAGAAACCCAATCAGCTGTGAAAGAGAGCGTACCTCGCAATTCAGCAATGGTTAGCGTTCAACACCAATTTTAGTAGCCGTGACCTCCTCCCAACTTAATCTGCAAGGGCCCTAACACAACCCTGACTTTGCCTGCCGGTTGATTGATGGTTGGATTGACCGAGCTTTCTCATCTTGACGGAAGCTCCATTAAGACGGAGCCGAGAACTTCCAAAACCATAGAAGAATCGCGTCGACATCAGCTTTACATCCTGGTTGTATCAAGTATGTTCACCGTCAATGATTATCATCTCTAGTCCGGCAATACCTTGACGATCCCCAGCCACGTCGCGTCCCCTGTTGTCTATTCATCATCGCCTTGCTTCGCGCCGGCTGTCAATGCCCGCTGTCCAGCTCACGCTTTTTCGGTGATGTTGTTTATTGAACAGAACCCTTCAACATCGACTCATGCGCAATGATTTTCCCACAGGTATCGATGCAGCAGCAGCATCAGCAACAGCAGCCTCCAGTTGGCCTGCATGAGCAATCCCAGTCACCTGCCATGGCACAGCAGATGTCAGCCTCTCCACGGCCATCCTCGTCGGTGGTGACAGCGCGCTCGGCTCTCCCAGACAGAAATGTAATGGCAGATACTATCGAGGACGCCTACGTGCAGTTTGTGTTGTACTGCAACCCCGCTGTGCCGGCTGAGACAGACACGTCCGGGTTGCGAGAGGCGTTTCGGATACCGCCCAAGAGTGGCGGCAAGACCTTTAGCACTTTTACCCTCTTTCAGCTCATCCGGCAACTGGAGGTTAAAGAGATCAAGACGTGGGCCGAGTTGGCCCTGAAATTGGGCGTTGAGCCCCCTGACCAGGACAAAGGTCAGAGCTCACAGAAGATTCAGCAGTATGCTGTCCGGCTCAAGGTAATTGTGATGAGCCCAGTAGGTGAGAAGATACTGACAGTTACAGCGCTGGATGCATTCCATGCACGTAGATGCCTTCTTTGAGTATTTAATGGATCACCCGCATCCATACTGGACTGAGATCCCCACTGACCCAACTCCTGTATGCGAAACTGGGAGGGATGGCGTACTGGCAGAGGACGATATGGCTCTTCGCGCTTTGCTACCCGAGATCAGACCTCGGCGTGGTAGGAAACGTCCGGATGAGGATGACCTCGCGAAGTCTCCATTGCAAAGGGCGCGGCTAGATTCCCCGTCGACTGGAGACGGTTATCGTGGAGACAGTCTTGGGCCATGGTCCGCCCACGTAGATGGACGAAGCACTTATGGCGGTTCGGATACGCTCAAGCAGGGCGCAACTACGGCTTCAACGTCGGGATGGCTACCAGCACCTGACCCGACTCAGACACCACTCTCGGCATATCCTCAAGGGTCAATGTCCGCGATAACACCATCAACAAATCGCACTGCGTTCTGGGCCGATTCTGAGCCGAAGTCGGCAGTCACGCCATTGAGATCTAAGGCTTCGCATCGTCGACACGGCGCGAAGGTCGTATCGTCCGCATGGCGGAGCAGTGCGCTGGGTGCTTCTGGCAGGGCTCGTGGTAGGCCGCCGTTGAACAAGACAAACACCGATGGGCCATTTGTAGCTTTTCCTGTCGAAGGATCAGCATGCAACCCAAGCCCAGAGAGCAAAAGTATACAGACACCAATCACACCCGAGGCATCAATAACACAGAGCACGCCGCCAGCTGTGGCCCCAGATCATCAACCGCCCTTGCCCCGGCCAGCGAAGCCCAGTATTTCGTTACAAGTCCCTGAACGCCATGGCGGATCCGTTCGTCTCGCAACACCGCCGCCGCCGGTCGTAATAGTCAACGGGAATATAACAGACGCCGGGAATCTAACAGCAACGGCACCCCCTGTAGACGTTCCTCTGGAACCGCCACCGAAACCTCCCGTATGTCTGCAGGCACAACAAACAACCCCAGACGTACCGCCCCCTCGAAAAGGAAACGGACCTGCGCCGCAGCCGAACGACATCCCTATCGGCATGTTCGAGAACATGGAAGACCGGACGAATATCGAAGCGGTGCTTGGCTATTTCATTCACGAAACAGCTAACGGGGAATGGGTGGACTCAGAGAACAACCCTATCGAGGGTTGTAGCATGGCTGAAGCGTATGCGCTGGTGCACACAACGATAGAGAGAATGTGGCAGACGGCGGCGAACGAAGACGCATTCATGATTAATCTAGCCGTATTGGCGGGCGGCAGGGCACTGATGAACACGAGCAAGTTGAAAATAAAGAGGGAAGTTGAATACGAGGACCGCGCCATATACAGTTGTTCATGGCAATTTAGAATGGGTAATATCCGTGGCAATTACAACATGGTACAAACAGTTATGTACAACCGGTGGAAGAAGACCGAGGAAGAGAAGAAGACTGATAAGCCAGTCGAAAAGACAACAATAGGGGGAGGCACCACCCCGGAATCGGACTGGGAAACGAGGTACAGAGACTTGTTGAGAGTATCTGAGCTGAGGGATCGAGAGCTCCAGGAGCTGAGGGCAGGGGTGTTGTCGTCGTTAAATCAAACGTTCACGGATGCCAAAGAGCTTGGGGAACAGGAGCGCCCGTAATCGAAAGGGAACGTCGATCTGACACGACCAGGAATTCTTACGTAAAATGGACAACACTACAGAGCATTGTGGCAAAGTGGCCGTTGGGGATAGGGAAGCTTCAGGTTTGGTTTTCGGGAGCAAAGGAGCGATAAATGGCATTTGGGCAATATAGCCAAAGGCGTCAAGCAGGCGTACGGTTTAGGAGAATTGCATCAGGTTCGGTATTAAAGACCGAAAGGATTATTAGTTATACCACCATTCATGACACATTCCCTCTTGTACTTCTTCAGCCTCATGCTGCTCATCACGTCTGAAAAAAGGCCGATTGTGATAATAAGAAGGGAATGTCAAAGAGATGACAGGCTCTTGCTGATGGACTTTAGATGTGGAGGAAGGGCTTACTAAGTCCCCGCAAAGTGAACGTCAAACCCGGTCAACCAATGGGAAGTAAAACCACTCAACTTCAACATCTCAAGCTCACAAGCTTTTCACACTGAGCACTAACTGTTCTGTTCGTCCCTCACAAGTACGCCAAAATGCTTATCCAAGAGTCTTACGTCGACGTGCCGACCACGGCCGACGGCAAGGATGGCACCATGCGTTTGTCTCTCCAAATCCTCCTTCAGACAGGAAAGCTAACGTCTCACCAGGAATCTTCCTTTTCCACCCTTCGATCCCCGGCTACCCCAACGCGTAAGAGTTCTCGGTTCAATTGCAAGCTCAAACAGACTACGTACTGACTTTCCCACAGCAAATTCCCCGGCGTCGCCCTGTTTTCTGAGATCTACCAAGGTCAGATCACCTCATCCCACCATGGCGGGGTTTGAATTGCGCGCTCCCCGCACAGCACTGCAGAACCCCTCCACACCCACGTTTTTACCCCACACTCACCGGGGCTCACCGGCCCACACCGGGTCCTTTACCGAACATATTGCTCCCACTTACATCCTATTCCATTTTGCTCTTACTTGTCAGTACGCTCATACAAAGTGACCACCAGTGACCGGCCCCGTTGCCAGATTTGCCCGTCAGATCGCCGGACACGGCTACATCGTCGCCGCACCTTCGTCTTACCACGACTTCACTGGCCCTGAGCCTCTGGCCTACGATGTTCCCGGTACCGACAAGGGCAATGCCTGGAAAGTCGAGAAGGTGAAGCCGTCTTATCCTTATCCAAGCAATCATTTTCCATCACATGTGCCATCGCACTAACACGATATGTTCATACCATCAGACCCTCGAGTCTTATGACGAGGACTCCCGCCGGACCGTAGACCACCTCCTCAGCCTGCCCACCTGCACCGGTCTCGTCGGCAGCACAGGCATGTGCCTTGGCGGCCACCTCGCCGTGCGTGCTTCCGTAAGTCTCAACCTCCCTGGCCCATCTCGCAAACTCCCACTTCATTTTTTTTTTTGTATCTTCAATCCCATCTACACCCTAACCTCCAACTAAACCAACTACCTGCCAGCTTGACCCTCGCATCAGCGCCTGCGTCTCTTACTTCGCAACCGACATCCACAGCCGCACCCTCGGCCCTCACACCGCCAAGAACACCTCCCCTACCCCTCCCGAGAACAGCACCCACACCCTCGACCTCTTCCACACCCTCAAGCACGCCGAGGTCGCCATGATCTTCGGCGTCAAGGACACCCACGTGCCCCCCGAGGGCCGCGACCTCATCCGCGCCAAGCTGCGCGAGGCCGGCGTCACGACGTCCTTTTACGAGTTCGCGTGGGCCCAGCACGCCTTCATCCGCGACGAACTGAGCAAGGGCCGCTACGACCCGGCCATCACCAAGGTCTGCTTCGAGGTTTTGCTCGAGTTGTTTGGACGCGCGTTGAAGACGGATCTGGGGCTCAAGGAGGGTATTAGTGAGCCGGAACACGTTTGCTAAGCAGTTCCGGATTAATCTTTTGTCACTGAGATTTCGCGCTGAGTAGAAAAGGAAATAAGAGTTTATGCACTCTCAATGGCATGTTTTTGTATTTTAAACTGCGGACGACATGTCATCATACTCTATTCGTAATCTATCTGTCCCCCCATAGCGAGTAAGGAAATTCATTAGGCATGAGGAACCAGTCTCGATGCCCAGTAATGAAAGAGCGGTCATTGCTAATGTGTCTGACCGGCTTGGTATTAAGTTTTCTCCATTTATTTTGTTTTACATCCTCCCATTGTTACTACTACTACTACTTCTGGGTGCTTTGCTGAGCATTTTGTTGCTGTTGGCTGTTGGACACACTCCGTCCTCTAGGGCGCTGGCCGGATGGAGGAGCGCTTTGCAGAGGATGGGGTGCGTCGAGGTGGGATGCTGCTGTGCCGGGAGGCTGCGAGACTGTGGGTGAGAGAGATTGTCCCGCGTATTGTGAGTAGCCAGTGGCTTGGGCACCGTAGTATTGGGAGTTGTAGGTTCCCGTCACGCCAGTCTCGGCCTCCTCGTCGTACGCGCGATTACGCGATGTAGTTTGCGTCAGGTACATGCTGGGGCCCTCGCCAAGAGGAGAAGCGGGGATCGCCTCGCCGGGCTTGCGACGGCCACCACCGCCCTTGGTACTACCTCGCTTCAGCAGTTGGCTGCGGACGCGTTCGATATCGTTGGAGCGGCGGCGGTCTTCCGACTTGCGGTCCCTTGATCCCGATAATGTCTGTTCGTCCGCCACTCGGTATCCCCACTCCTCGTCGGCGTAAATGTCGCGCGTGTTCAGTTCATTAACGGCTTGTTTCTCAACGCTAGAGTTAACACTGCTGTCGCAACCGTCGGCGGCTGCAGAGGGCACCATGCGTGACTCATCCTTAGCCTTCGCGGCCTTCTCACGGGCAGCCGCCGCAAATTCGTCAGAAACAGCCACAGAGTAAGACGGGTTGCCGGGTGCACCAAGGGCATCGGAGCCACCGCCGGGGGCGTAAATGGGGATTTTCTTGAGGGCAAGGGCAAGAGCACACATGAACTTGGAGCGGCGGGTGGCCCGGACAGCTTCGTTGTGCCAGTTAGACTTGTGCTTGATAGCAATCTTGAGTTGCAGCTTGTCCAAGTCGCCCACGCCGTATACACCAATGGCGATATCCTGTTGGAAGTCGCGCGAGTTGTCTTGATGGCGTACGAAGTTCTCCATCTCAACGCGCAGGAGCTCAATGTCTTCGAAAGTGGTGTCGTATGAGATGTTGAGATCAATAACCTCCTTCATGGCCTTGCTACGGGAGATGTTCTCGATCCAAAGGTTGTTGAGCTGAATGTTGGGGACCTGTACCACCTGCATCTTATCGATGCGAGTAAAGACGGTATAAAGAAGGGAAATCTTGTCGACAATAAGCTGCTGCTTCTCGCCACCAGCAATGTCGACTCTGTCGCCGACGTCATAAGGGTGCTTGACGAAAAGGAAAATACAAGAACCAAGAAACTCTTGGGTAGTGACAGCGAAGACGAAAGACAGAGACAAAAGTGCAGTTCCGGCAGTAGCGACGGTCTACGGCTGTTAGCAATACTCTGAAGTCCAGCGATTGGCAAACTTACAGTCAAGAAGCTGGACTGGAACCAGGCGAGGAAGATGAAGACGACGATCAAGAGAACAACGAACATGAGGACCTTATCAAACACGCGAAGTGCCTGACCAATGTCCTTCATTCCTTCGGTGATAGCCTTGCGTTCCTTGCCAATCTCGACAACCTTGCGCGTCATTTCGTCCAAGCTAATATCGCCATTCTGATCATTGTCAATCATACCAAAGGCCTCCTCGGCCTCCTCAGAGTAAGCGGGTCCGAGAACTTCCTGGAAATCTTCGATGTAAAGCGAATCTTTTCCTTCGACGACAAAAGACATCCAAATACGGCGAGCAAGAGCCTCTGAAGGCTTCGTCTTCTCAAGCGCCTCGATAACGATGGAGTGAGCCGAATTGGGGTTGAAGACCTGCTTTCCGGTGATTTCAGAGGCGATGTTGCCAAAAACACCCGTAATTTTGTCACCCATGCGACCAATGTCACCAACCAGACGCAAAGGAGTGGCTGAGCCGTTACCCTTGGCACCCTTCGCGGCCTTGGCCAAGATCAAGTCAAGACTATCGTTGATGATGTAATCCTCGTCCTCGAATTCAGGGCAGTACATGGGAAACAGCGTTCGCGAGGCATCGTAGAGAAGACCGAGCAGGCGAACCTCGCGCTTAGAGTCCTTGATGCGGAGGGCGAAGGACCGCTGATGATAGGAGATACCAATAAGTTGGACAATGGCCTTCTCGCCCAAGTAGACGGCCGACGACACCATGGTAGCGCCGAGAATGCGCACCATGGTGGTGGCCCATGAAGGAGTATCAGTATTGCTGGTTTTGAACAAGCCCTGGAAAGATAGCCAGGATGCGAGGGCCCAGAAAAAGAGAGACAGAGCGATCTGCAAGTTCTGAAGGACGGTAGCGTACTTTCGGACACCGGAACTGACGACACCGCAGAAGAACATGAAGATGTGAGGAAGGAACCAGGCGACAAGCTTGCCAGCCCATAGGGTGAGCCAGGCAATCTCGATCCATAGGAAGAGTCGGAATAGTGAGAGGTGCTGGAAGTTTGCTTTTTGGTCTTCTTCTATTTTTAGGTTTCCGGTCAACAGAATGTCGTCTCTGAGGCCGAGAATGGGTAGAACGATGAGAGGAACGGCTAGAAGAAGGCCCACTGGGATAATGTAGACCAGGTAACGCGTAAAGACAGAGGCATTGGTAATTTTGCTGTAAAACTTGCCCATGGCATTGACCTTGACATCGTCGGAACCACCAGTTCCATGGCGGCTTAACTCAGCAGCCTTCTTGCGACGACCACCCTTGCCGTTGCGATGAAAAAGGCCATGCTTCTCATTGTCGCCGGTGCCAGAGTCGTCGTTGGCGGCAGCGTTCATGGTGGGTTTCCGCGCACCCGTGGAGGCGGCGCTCTTGACCTGGGTCAAGGGGATTTCAACTTCAGGCATATCGTTAGACTGTGTGCCGCCGATAGGTAAAAACCCAGAGTGCCGTGGGGAGAGGGGCCCGGGCATGCCGACTTCACGAGAGGTGGGTGAAGTATATATGTTTCTAGCCGAGGAAGCAAGAAGAATGCTGTGGTATAAGAGTAACTGGTGAAGGCTGGGTGTGCCACTCGTTGCACAAGCGCAGTCTAATAACGCATAGGTGAGTGGATATCGAATCCGTCTCTGACAAGAAGGCAATTGAAGACTCGTAGAACTTGGGAAAAGTGGAAAAGGGCGTGAGAGCCAAGGTAACGATCGAGTTTGGTTCTGCTACTAAGTTGGCGCGTGGGTAAGTAGGAGTCTGTGTTGTGCTCCGTATGACGACAAGCTCGATTCCTAAAGCGAAAGTAATTACAAGGAAAAGGGTATCGTAATATGAGGAGGTGGATGTTAGATAGAGCAGGGCGGGGAGAGAGAAAAGAGGTCGGAGCAAGGAGAGGTCAGGATGAAAAGAGCGTGAGGAGGGGAAGCATTTCAGGGTTTAAGCGAAGGCGAGTGATAGGAAAAGAGTGACGGTAAGGTTGGCTCTGGTTGAAGATCTCTTCAAAGACAGGACGAAAGGGGCCACAGCCGCTAGAGCGCGTTAGTGGAGGGACGGAGGCTTGGAGCGTGCAAACCCCTGGAAGTTGGCTTTTTTTTTTTAGGGGGTTTCCTTCTCTGTGACCTCTGGGATTCCTCCAGAAGCCTGTCCAATAGTTACGTACCTGTACCTGCCTTTTAGTGACCAGGTCGAAAATGGCAGGCTTTGAGGTACAGGACCGGTTGGTAGCTTTGATGCAGGGGGCAAGCCACTGACAGGCGAGTTTCAGAACTCTCGGATCGATTGCTGGGATTGGCCGGTGCCGATACTGTGGGTGGTGGACAGGATGTAGCTCCACTCAAGTACGTATTTCAGCTCAGCGAACGTACCTCACCTTTCAGCCAGGTGGACCTTGAAGATGCCGTGCTCCCCGATAAAATTCTTGGGCCTTTTTTCCCCTGTTGGTGAGGAATGCCATTGGAGGTACGGAGTGCAGGGCAATTAATTACAACAACAACTTTTTATTTTTTTTTTCTGGTGACTGTGCTGTGCAGGATAAACTGCCCGACAAGGTGAATGGACGCGTCGGGAGTTAGGTACTCCTTCCCGTCTGCATATGACTGCATACAGGGTTGAGGTTACGGCATAGAGCGCCACTGGGCAATTCCTACTTGGACAATACTCCATAATAGTAATTACCATCTGAACTCTGAGCTGGCAGAGTTGGAACACCTTATTGACCTGCACTGGCTATCATTGCCTCATTGAAGGCAGTGCTCCGTGTCGGGCGCCGCCCAATTGCAGAAGCTTGATATCTCTTCAAAGACTCTGTATACAAAGCGTACTTGCATACACTGCACAGTATTGTTTAATGAGTGCGCCTTACAGATGTGTAACTCCATGTCCCCATGCACGCATTCATCAGTCGTTTCTTGTTCCTTAATATCATCACATATGTCCAAGGTCAAGACTTCTACCGGCAGTCTGAAGGCCCCGTTTTACTGTTTTGGAATGAGCTGAGCCTTTGGGTTAGTGGGCAGTGGAAGGGATTCTTCGGACCCCAGCCTTCCATCTTCCCAGCAATTCCAGCGGCCCCTTGCTCGGAACAGCCGCCACACTCCTGGCTGACGTCGTAGCGTCTACGGGGGCCCCGTCCTCTGTAATCCGCTGACCACTCAGCCAGCACAAAACACAGGGGACATTAACGATAGTCGCCTCACAACATCTCTTTGAGAATGGCCCACCCTGATGACGAGTCGCTTCCCAGTCAGCTTCCAATAGAGGCCTATCTCTCCGCCGAGGTGGAAACGCGGTGGAGTGTTAGAAGCTTAACCTTTGCCATTTCCTTGCGTGGATCATGTTGACCTCTTCGTAACATTTTAGTGTACGATCTGGCCTGCTGGCCAACGCGATCCAGGAATAAACACACCAACTCACGACAAAATACCAAGCTCCACTTCCAAGTGGAATACGAGCATGGAGAGTTTTTATCCCCCTCAGGGATTGCTGCTTTCGGGGTCGAGGCTTCCCTTACCCCCACCGCCCGCTGTCGGCACATGTCAAGGGCCTCTCAGTGGCATGTTTGCCATTGACAGCGTCGAGAAGGATCATCCATTCAGTGCATGATGATGGCATCCACTGATTTAGCCCATCGCCTATCATCCAACTTCTTGGAACCGATTACTTCTCCCCCATTTGGAGACCATCCGCGTTTCTTGGCACACCCACCACCCCAAGCACCCTTTTTTCTTCACACATGTTCTCTCCATCTCTCCCTCCACCTCCTTCCTGGCTGCTGCCGCCGGTACAGCCCGTCTTCGACAATAATGCCGACCCGTCTTTAGTATCAAAAACTGGCCCTACCAATGAATACGACATACGATACATTCAAGCCTGCCCACAATCCGATGTTGTTTCTGTTTCGTTACCGCGGCTTCGCATCTTGTTGGCACCAAGCCTCTACCTCGCCCACTTACGTCCGTTGTCTTTTCCCTTTCCGCCGTCTCGTCTCTACGGTACATACATAGTAGCACTCCGTGGTAAACTTTCAGTTCCCCCCCATTATTTCCTCAAAACCCACATCTCCACCCCCTGCGGCCGAGCGGAGCCTTACAAGGAAAAGAAAGAGAGACAAACTGTCACAGGAGTTGGAAGCACCGCGCGTTCGAGTCTGGATGGTCTGGAGTGCTCCATGGCCCCTGCTTTGGACAGGCCACTCAATCCTGCACTCGACAAATTGAGAAATTAATCCAAGGTCTCTTTGTTTCTAACACTGCGGCTCCAAATGTTCCTTACAATAATAGTAATAACAACACCTGACCATCCTCGTGTCCTTGACGCGCCGGCTCAACCCCGGTGGCCTGTCACTCCGTCGTCTCGGCGCCTCTCTCACACAGGTACTGTAGCCCTTCCCGGGACTTAGTCAATGAACCGTCCAAACCCGGCCTGGCCCAGCCGCAAGTGCCACTACTTGTTCCCGCGGCACACGGCAGCCCAGCAGCCGGCGCCATCAACGGCGTCCCTCTAGCCCGACGTTGGCTTGATTATGGCTCGCGCCAGTGGCAACCAATGACACAACTGCTCTCCCCAAGAACGTTTGCCAAACCCGAGGGGATCGTCAGAGACATCTTAGACCCTTACCGACACGGGTACCTGAGAAAGTTTTAAAAAAAGCAAGCGCTAGAGATTTGCAAGTGCAAACGGAACGAGGTTGAGGCGCGAGTCACAACAAAGCCACAAACAGATGCGCGAGGAACTACCTAACCTCCCCCGCCCCGCGCAACTCGTCCATTCCAATGTGCTTGCTTTTTTTTTTTTTTTTTCTCTCTTTCTGTTATTTACTGCATTGTATACGTATAATAGGCTTGTCCATCCTGCAGCAGAACGGCGTGCCACGTCTCACATGCTCGACAATCTGCTACCGGGAGGGGGAAAAGCGATCGGATCTGCAGGCCGTGAGCGAAAATCATTATTAACTGATCGCCTCAGACTGCATTGCTGGGGTTTGACGCTAGGCTCAACACGCAAAGGCGAGGAGGAATCTCGATTTGGCACAGTTCGCGGAGACTCTCCAATCGAAAAGGAAGTTTCCGCCCTTTGCCCGTACTAGCTGCCGTTTACCCTCGTGTCAAAGTCGGGATTGTTTTTCCTTCAACCACGCGTTAGCCGTAAACGTCTTTGATCATCCCCCCATTCCTTGCGTCATTGTCCGTAAAGGGGCCGCACGGGGATACTGTTCATGTTCAAGACGGTTCCAAATGGCCGAGGGCTTTTCTTCTTACCCGCTCGTCAACAAAAATTACTAGCTGAAACAATTTCTTCTTTTGTAAAGAAAAAAGCATTCGCATATGGGGTTGGAAAGTTGTGTAAATGATATCCTCGGATGCCAGATTCGTTAACTGCTCTTGAATGCCCTTAATTATTCCAAAACCTCTCCAACGGTTTTGAATGTTTGAAGATAGTTTTGGATACTTGAGCTGTAAAGTTGCTAGACATTGGCAAAGCAAGTATGCAGATCAACACTACCTTACTGGTTCACATTGAAAATCCACCGCGCCTCCATTTACTCATGCAATCCTCAAAAGACTAATCGAAATAACACACAAAAAAGACATTTCAAAAACAAGGGGGAACAAGCGTTCCGTCGGATCTACCTGGGGGAGGGAGTTTCGATATCAGAGAGAAGTAGGAGAACCGGGGGGCGTGTATACAAACCGACGTAATCGTTGACGAGTTTACCATGTGGAACTCGACGAACTCGACAACAAGTGTGTGTGTGTGTGTGTGTGTGTGTGTGTGTTTTTGTATCGATTTCCATCCCTGTCGTCCACAATCCGTATTCAACATTATCAAAAACGTGTTCGGAATACGCCCCGATGATTACCACCTTCGCCCCGTCTCCGTGAAGAATGACTTGCAGTTCAGCTGCGCCTCTCGTCTTCACGAATCATGACAACATTCTTTAAAAGGGCTCGTCCACATTCCCAGCCGCCACTTAGCCCGGTCGGAGAGAGAGAAGGGGAGGGGAGGTGGGCAAAGGAATGTCTCTGGCTGAGGCGGTCAGGGGGAGGGGGGGGGCGTCGGAAAAAGTCTCAGTGATCGTCCGAGCCGGCGCGAGACGGCGGCTCCTGAACTGGGGCGCCGGAGTGGGGGGTTTTTGCGTCAATTGTCAAAAACACCTCGGTCGGTGGCCGCGGTCGGGCTATCGGCTGCGAAGATGGGGGTATGATATCAGTGTCGAAAAGGCAGATGTTGACAGGGTGATGTGACCCAGGAGCTGGGATACCTTGGGTATAGTTGGATTCTTTGTCAAATCAGTAGCAAAATGTGCCCTATCTTGAGCAACAATTCATTGTTATGGTTGATAACAGATGCCCTCAACCGACAGCTAATTCAAGGTGTTCATGCCTGCTGGTCAACAAGTTATACTGTCGGTTCATAGACCAGCCATGAATCGTTCCATTATACGTTCACCTCAAAAAAGATAATGATCGAACATGGTATATATACTATGAGTATCATCTGAAGATTGCTAGACTCTCCAAGTATCAATCATCTTTTTTGAGCTTTGTTTCGGCCGGGAGGTGGCCGGGAGTATTTACATGCTGCCTTTCGAAAACTTCATTTAATTGATAAACTGCATCCACGCTTGATGACAACTACCATCCCTTTAGGTGCTGTTCTTCGTATCCCGCATCTCGACCTGGGGCTTCTCGTAGCTCTCATTATGGTCCTCATGTGTAAGATCGAACTTGTACAGCGGCTCAAGAGTGGCATCTCGCTGCCAAAGGATCCAGCGCTTGAACCAGTACGGAAGCGCCTTTGTAAGCTGGTACCGCATGAAAACCCTGGTGGGAACGGCGAAGACGTAATCGAGCTCCTCGAGGGTGCGCTGCTTGGTCTCGGGCATCCAGAAAAAGATCATGACAAGCGCCACCACGTTCAGGCCGGCGTAGAAGCAGAAGGATCCAATAACGCCCAGGTCTGCCAGCATGATGGGGAAGGAGATGGACAAAACGGCCGCCCAGAAAAGGCAAGTCGCGACTGCCCATGACATTCCCACCTCACGGTGGGATAGAGGGAACACCTCAGCCGAGTACGTGAATGGAACGGGTCCCTCGCCGGGCGAGTAGAATGCTTGAGTAACACGTTAGCCCTGGGATATCGAACGGGACCCTCAAGTCGGATTGACTCACCAGCAAAGAGATAGACGAAGAGTGCAACAAGTCCGAGATGGAGACCTCCGGTCCCCGGGATGAGAGTGCAAAGACCGGCCGCGAGCAAAGTCCACGCCATTTGAGGGAAGGTAAAGAGCAGCAGTGAGCGCCGCCCAAACGTGTCGATAGTCCAGATGGCGGGCCAGGCAAAGATAAAGTTGACCATGCCAAAGCCAAAAGACGCAAGGAGTGCGTTGAACTCGGATGTGCCTGCCTCCTTAAAGATGGTACTGGAGTAAAATGCGATGATGTTGATGCCTTCATGCTTTGTGAGTATTGGATCAGGAGGGGAACCATCAAGTGTCTCTTACCACACATCTGCTGCGCAATCATGACGGTGAAGGAAGCCAGTGTAGCTCTAAATCTTCCGTGTCAGCCTTGTCCTTATCCTCTCATCATCTAAGATGTTGCTTGCTATAGTATAGGTTTACTTACCGTCTGACACGAGGGATGGTGAACAGCTCAACGAATCGCTTGGCATAGGTAGACTGCCCAATAATCTCGGCCTCGATCTGAAGCTGGGCATGAATGTAGTAAATGTCACGCGCAGCTTGGATTGGGTGATTGCGCAATCTGAGAAGCGACTTCATGGCGTTTTGGTACCTGTTCTTCTTGATGTACCATCGCGGGGATTCCGGGCAGAAGTAAATGAGAACGGCGAGCGGGACGGCAGGAATGAAGGCCGAACCGAGTTGCAAACGCCATGAGATATCTCCTGTCTTACCAACTGCAAGATTTGCGCAAGTGCCCAGAAGGATACCGAAGGCAGTCCACATTTCTGATATATTGTCAGTATATGTGTGTTATCGAAGAAGAAGCTGGGTCAAAGGGGCTCTACTCACGCCACGACATTACGAGAGCGCCTCGGATAGCCGCGGGCGAATTCTCGGCAGCGAAGATTGGAACGGTACTGGCCTTCGCGCCCATGCCAATGCCGAGCAGGAGACGGCAGACCAAGAGCTGCTCCCATGTTTGACTGCAGGCGGCACCAATTACCGGCCAAATGCAAAACTGGGCAGCAAATTGAATGGCTCCTCTGCGTCCTAGATAATTATTCAGAGGATCAGAGAGCCAAGAACCAACCACAGAAGCACCAATGTATGGAGCACTGTTAACAAGACCAACCTACGTTCTGTTAGTACACAATTCATGTGACCAAATCAGAAAAGCAGCCGAAGGGGCATTCGGGAAGAATGACAGTCAAAACAGTAGTCTCTTACTTACAAGTAGAGTATCATGGTGTGAGGTTCCTCCGATGCCAAAGACCGTGGGGAAAGACAAGTTGGCGCCGTTGCTTCCCGTCTGATCCCAACCTTGGACAGCGGCACCGATGGAGCAGGTGATGATGGTCAGGTATAGGATCTTGGGAATACGCCACTTGTGTAGGATCTCATCGCGCAGCGCCTGCAACTCATCGGTGTCAAGAGCCTCAGGGCCATCAATGTCTTCAAAGCCGGTGGGGTCTTGTGCGACAAGAGCACCCTTTTTGAGAATTGGCAGGTACTCGTCTAACCCCTTGTCATGAGCGAAGTGTTCGACATCGCGGAGAAGCTCGCCGCGGGCTAAGCCAAGAAGGGGGTTCTTGATTCTGGTATTAGGTTAGCATCCCTCAAGGCAGAATCAGATTCAGTGATACAGACTTGGCCTCAGTATTGTCGTTCAGATCCACGGTTGCTTGGGACCCGCGGCGGTTCTTTTCCATGTTGGAAACGACGTTGCCATCCAATCTGACATTATTAGTTGAAGAAGGAAATGAGATGAATAGGGAGCTCGTACGGCTCAACACCACCGCCAGCACGCTTGTCGTCCGCCATGGTTGCGACAAGGTGGATAAATCCAATTGAGCAGTGTTTCCGATTTGTGAACAAGTTTCCTATAACCGGTATATGTTGCCGTAAGACTGGACTCCTCCAACAAGTGCAAGATAGGAGCACTTTTCCGTGAAGTTACAGCTGAGGTATAAGTGAGTGAATAGCAACCTGGCCGAGGCTTGGATGAAGAGGGGAACAATGGGATGGACACGGTAGTATTTGTAGATGGCACACAGACATTTCATCCCACGGGTCGCATGGTTGAGACCGGCGCAACCACCTTCCCCCGCAAAACAACCTGGCGGTTCAGAGTTCCCCTCATCGACGAGCGCTTGCTACGATTGGAGCACCATGGAGAAATCCAAGCATTCGTTGATGGGTCCGCTGGGGTTGACGCCAAGGAGGTAGCCACTATGTTCAGATGAAGTAGACCGCTCGAGTGTGGAGAAGGGAGGTTCTTGCGGCAGCAGTCGACAGCCTCCTCACCCGTCCATTGCGAGAGCGAAAGGCCGGAGTTTGTGACCGGAGTTTGTCATTCTCAAGATTACATTGGACTCAATGTGCCAATGTAACAATACTCCGCCAGGAAAGGCGCGTTGGTTGGTAGCCATCACTAAACATCTCCACCAAGCTGTCTGTCACTCGCAGAACTTGGGGTGCGAATCAATGCCCGGTCCCTCGGTAGCGTTCTTCAGAGTTGGCAGAGATCGGCACAGATGATACCGGCTATAGTGGTTGCAGCTTGTATGTAAGACGACCCAACCTGTGAAGCAGGCGGTTTGGCTGAATACCATCCAGCTCGCTGAAGAAAAATGGCACATCTAACGAAGCGAAGGTTGAGAACTTGTTAGGTACCGAAGTAATTGGTGCTATATTGTCCACATCTTCTTATGTATAGGTGTTCACTTGCTCATGCGGATTGAAAGTCATAAAACTTGGCTGAAAGTACGGAGTGGGCTTCCTTTTGCAAGTTGACGAACAAGTTACTTCTCCAGCTTAACGTTTTCCCCAGGCTTCCCCAGCAGAAGCATGCTCCAGCACCCACCCTTTGGGCTTTCACGTTACGGCTGGTGGCACGGAGTCCCTGGTCCGGGCTCTAGACGTAATCAAAACGGGGACCCAGTCAGACAAATTCCGTTAGAAGTACAATGTCCCGGCAAACTCAGCCGACTTGGAAGTCGCGGTGATGGCCACTGCCCCTGGCAGGCACACCCGGCATGTGGCAGAGATACGGGACAGGTACTAGACGACCAAGAGGTCACTAAGTGCCGATCCCACCATGTTTGCGGAGTAGTGCCGTTTATTTGTCAAGCTTGCTGGAGGTGGGCTTGTCCAAAGTGGAACCGTTTTGGTCGTTTGGATCATCGGATGCTGACCTGGCTGCCAGGCCAGGTTACTTTGGCCATGGGGAAATCTTGAAGCCAAGAAAAAGACAAGAGATCCTCAAAGCTTAGCCAAGAGCGACGATGATCTGCTGCAGACCATCATATCTTTAGCATCTCTATCTCTATCGAGAACCTGTGTGTCCAACGATGTTGTCATTCATAGATATTCACGTAGCAATAGTAGAGAAAGAGATAACCACGCGTTTCCCTTGTTTCCAAGTTGCGGAGAAGCGGCCGCGACGAAAGAAGTCCTGCGCAAAAAAAGAGCATGCGCGACCGGGGTTGGCCAACTTCTCCTCATTCGAAGGCAGCGAGACGACGTCACTAGATTTCGACGGCATGCTTGCTATTGGTCTCTACTAAGAAACTATACTCTAGATATCCACTTGAAGGCCGAATGAAGTGCTAGGTAGATAGATTTTTCACCTTGGTTAGCTTACAGTGGTTGGAAGTATTCACTCGGGCGGTAAAAAGAGGCAACAGTATGAAACGTTGCATGCCCGCTATTGTAGGCACCTTTGAATTATTCCAATAAACTCTTTTTTAAAATTTCCCTCGTGAGATAACGAAAACCCCTTTTCTGTTTTCCTCGGTGCTAAACAAGTACCAGAGAGTTGGAGTGTCGTTGTTGGATTACAGCCAAGACGTGCCATTGAAAGAGCCGCCTTTAGTGCCCAGGAATGCCGAGAAGATGCCCAGCCCTCCTAAAGGCTTGTATTGCCACCGCAAAGTTTGACTGGCCAGGCATTTTAGGGTTTCCATCTGCCTGGTGGTCGCTTCCAGGCCATGCGTCGCCACTGGCTGGAGTCACAGCTGTTGGACGACTACTGGCCACCGTCCACACCCTAGCGTTCACATCAGGCCGACTATACGACCGGGGTTGTCTTGAAATATCTTGGTTCTTGGTCAACTTCCCGGTCGATATGTGAGGCCTGAGTCGTGTCGTCTTGAACTGAATGAGAAAACACAGTGGTTCGAGTGTGGTGTGTTTGGCCAATAAGGGTGTTTGTTCCCCTCTCCATTGGATCCTCATTTTACCCCCGCGGGGGCCAAATGCAGTTCGTTTCATTTCTCCAACCGGCCGGGGAGATGCTCGTCTCGTAGCGTCTTCACCCTCCAACAGCTGGCTCCGTGGTGGTGGTGGTGGGGCCAGTGCGAAAATCCGCGCACAACGGACATTCAGGCAGAAACTCCAGGAATAGTGTTGCCAATTTGGAAGCGTAGGTATGCCAAGCGTGAGGTTGCCTGACACCTATAATATGCTCTTAGTTTTTTATTTATTGTTTTAATACTCCGCATGTAGGCAAGGACCGCCTCAGTTAGGAGAAACTCAATATAGCTCATACCTTTAGTTGATCGAGGGACTTTAAATTAGATCTCAAGTGCTTGCGTCTTGAGTGAACGTCCAATTGGCTAGTACTAAGATGAACACTCGTCACATATGGATTCTACAATCTTTGTTGAGGTAGTAGAATATACTTGAGATTCCACATACTATTACAAAAATGATGAGAAGGGTATCAACCACCGTGTATTCGCCATTAAATGTAACTTCGGCACTTTTCCACAACCACAGCTTCTCGTTGTCACACCGCATGACTACTGTGTTTGAGATACAATTACAGAAAGAGTACCAGAGGGTTAGTAGTTGTGCTTGAGGACCTGCTTAAGTGCCGCCATGTCTTTCTCGTACTTGGTAATCTTTACCTGACTTCCCTGAAGCTTATCAAGTAAATAAGACACCCGGGCACCGGTCTGAGCAGGCTGCTTTGGCAGGCTACCCAAAAGTGCCAATTCGCTCTCAACCTTCTCGATCGTCTTAGCTTCGACTTTAGCAAGCTCCTTCAACATAGCAAGGTCCATCTTGGCTTTGAGAACACGGTCTTGAAGCAACATGCCAAATGCTGCCTGGTACATGGGCTTGCCGGCGCGAATAGTCTGCGGGCGACCGTTATACGTCTCAACTGTGATGAGCTCGGCATTGGAGAGACCATCGAGCGCAGATTCTCCGTTTGCAGCTCCGGGGGTGGTGGAGGATGCGAAAGTGTCTGAGAGGAGTACCTCATTGTATCGGAGAGCGTCATGCGAGGCAAGCTGCTTGATCAGATACCATGCCTGCTCAGTAGACCACTTCTTGCCCTCGACCGTATCTTTACCGCCCAAGAGGTACATCTTGACGATTTCCGTGGCGCTCTGATTGATGATATCTTCGACAGCCTTTTGCGGGCTTTGTCTCCCCTTCAGGCGGCGGGCGAGATTTTCAAGGTCTGTAAGACGACCACCCAGAATACCGATGGCTGCGTCGAGCTCCGAAAGGTCAGGTTTTGCTTCCGGTTCTACAGTAGCGCTGTCCTCTGTCTCCTGTTGTGCTTCCTTTGAATGCTCCCGAACCTTCTCGATTTCATCCTCCTCTAGACGGCTTATGACAAAGTTCTTGGCGACATCGGGAGAAAGATCTCCCAAAGCTGCTTGTCGGAAAACCCGATCCGGCATGGCCTTAGCAAGGGACTTTGAATAGGATGTATCGTCTGTTAAAAAGATGACATGAGCGACGTTGTTTTGAACCATGGCAGCTGCCCATTCAGCAACCTTGTCGTAAACAATGCTCGAGCCCTCGTTCTTGTGCAGAAAGTTATCAATCACAACCACTGCCCGCTTATCAGGGTGGGCTTCTAGGTAGGCATCGTCTGAAAGGTCGGCATCCTTGCCGTCCTTGTCACGTCCGGCGAGAGAAACTTCTTTGAGAGCTTCCGCAGTGGTGTGTAAGATCTTGACTACTTGTGATTCAAGGGTCTCCGAGAACCCAGCCTTGACACCAGTAGTGCTCTGAACTGCAAGGTCGATCATGCTGCTCATACTGTTCATAAATGCGAAGACTGGCGTATATCCTACGGCATTGGCGAGGCGTTTGATCGTGCCACTTTCTCCTCTGGCTTCGATGATGGGCTTACAGTCAATGACGAGAACATTCTTGCGACCTTTCAGTGATTGATCCAATACGAGCTCCTTCTTGCCGGAACCTCGAGGGCCCTGGATAACAATGAAAGTATCAGAGCTCTCGAGGAGCCAGGTCTGGATTTGCTCGATGAGATCTCGCCGATGTTGCCATACAGCATTGAAGCCAGCCTTGTCTGCTTTCTTGTGCCCAAAGGAAGAAATAATATCGGATGTCTGACTCTTAACCCACTTGTAGAGCTTGCTGTCCGAGAATCGGAAAGAATGTTGGATGTGAGCCTTGACGAAGAATTCGCGAATAGGGTCGAAGATTGCTACGGTGATGGCGGCGAGAAGAGCAGCGACTATTGGCACAACAATCCTCGGGTGGCTGGAGAGCCAGTTCCAGATGTTGTGCGGCTTGACCCTTTGCTCGTACGACAGGCGAAGTTTGGTGCCATTCTTGCCTCCCCCAAGAGCTTCTCCCACAACAAAGCCGTGAAGGCAATTCCTTGCCATGATGGCATCGCGAACCAGGGCGAAATCAACATATGCGTACTTTGGTAGAACCTTGGAGTCGGATGGTTGTGACGTAATTTCAGCGATTTTGCCGTATTTGCGGAAGAGACTGTACAGATCTTCTTGGGACAGCTCAACGGCCTCACCACCAGCATCTTTTCCAGTAAACTCGACCTTGACCCTACTTTTAGGGAACCGGTATAAGTCTTCCAGCCAAGGAACTCCCTTGACAAGGCCTGCTTTAACGCTACGAAAGGGATTGAACCATGGGCGTAGGGGATTTTTTTCCAACGACCGTGCGAGAGTACCTGGCTGCAGTCAGGCATGATGATCTCTGTTGCATCCGATTGACTTTACCTTCAATTTCCTTTGGCTCAACTTCAGGCCCATGGCTGAACTTGACGTATACTCCACCATCCTTGAACCGCGGTAGAATTTCGGTGACCTTGATAGGCAAATCGCTCGGGATAGCTCGCTTCACCAAGTTGATTGGGTCACCAATACCAAAGCTCGAGGTCTCAAAACGCTGAAGGAGGTCCCCAAAGTCGCGATCTGACTGCCACGCCCGAGACCGAAGGAGGTGGGTGAGCTTCAACGGGAAGAGGTCTTCAAGAAAATCGAGGTCAGCCCACTTCCCTTGTGACAGAAAGCCATGCCAGCAGCAATTAACTTACTATCAAAGAAAAGAATCGATTCGCTCTGGGATTTTGTAATATGTCCAGAATTGTCGTCCCCTGTTGAAGTACTCTCCCACGCCTTTGTCGCGGCTCGCACAATTGTTCCCTGGTGATGCTGGGATCCAGCAATTGGTCGAACAGGGGCCCATGTCCTCTGCAGCATGGCTGCAGGACCAGAGCGAAACATCGCTCTGCTGGAAAACATAGCGACACCTTGGGATTGAAGCAATTCACATGGTATTCTGAGGAGCGACGAAGAAAGATGGAAGAAAGGGCATGGGCGGAGCTGGGCGAAGGTGAAGCGAGCTACTCGCCTATCTTTTTCACGAACCCGTTCGCGATAAATGATATCATCGCCTGAGGTCCCACTACCATGGGCTGGACCTTGTCCTCTCCACAACCTTATTCGACGCTGGGATGCGGCGGAAATAGTCTTATCCGAACCGGCGCCCCACCAGAGCACTTGCAGTGCAGCAAAAATAATGCAAGCACTCATTGGCCCGACGCGCCGTTCTCAAAGGTCATCGACGGGTAGTGATAACCGGTTCCCCCTCATTTTTAGGCGCTTGCTAAATTGACTGAGACCGTTGTACTTCAAGCTTGATTTCGCTGTTTCCAACCTCTATTCTTCACTCCTCAATCACTTGTCAAAATGGGTTGGCTCTGGGCATCTTCGTCTCCCCCTAAATCTCCCGCCCCGGGACAAGCTTCCCAAGCTCCCACCACAACCCCGCCATCCTCAACTGCCCCAAAGTCGACTGATTCCGATATCGACCCTGAGATCCAGAAGTTCATCTCCCTCTTCCAGTCAGAATCTGGCAACAAACCCGAAGAGCCTACCCCTGAACCGGCGCAACCATCTTCCTCAGCACCTTCGAAGGCTTCCTCCTCGTGGTTTTCTCTTAAATCTTCTCCCAACGCCCCATCCCAGACCAACAACCGCAAGATCACGCCACCTGCAGACCCCAACTCAGTCTCCGAATCCCTTCTGCCGACAGAGATGTCTTGTCGTCAGGCCTTCGACATGGCCTTCCACTGCCAGTCCGTAGGCGGCCAGTGGAATAGCATCTATCGATACGGAACAATGCGCTCGTGCAGCGAGCACTGGGAGGACTTTTGGTTCTGTATGAGAATCAAGGGTTATACAGGCAAGATGAAGGAGGAGGCAATCAAAAGCCATTACCGGCAGAAGGAGCACGACAAGTATGGTGATGGGAAGCCGAACAGCGAGGATGTTTGGCAGGCGAGGACGACCAAGGTCCCGCCAGGAACAGTTTTCATGGACAAGTTTGAGGAGCCTACACTCGATGACGAGGAATGGCAAAGGGCTGAGATGGAGCGACGACGTCAAATCAGGACTGGCTTGGGCATTGAGACAGCATCGACATGAATTGATAAATGAACATCGGCATGAGCTTGGTAGTATATAAGGACTGGTAGCAACATTTCCTTCTTATAATGTCTTTAGAATCCCCCACACATATCAATTTAGTAGCAAAGTCCTTGAAACACCCAACAAACCTTGTGTTTAGTGTACTAGTGCGTTCAAGTTATACCAACAGAAGACATGTCACATAGCGAGAGGAACATCGGAATTATTTTTTAACGTTCTTGTATTAGGCTTCCTAAACCTGGACAGCCAAACTAGAATACATCTGACCCATGCGTAACCGTGCTTTTCCCATCGTGATTTCATAAATGCAAAGAAAGCAAAAGTCTAGTCGTGAAACTCAGTGACAACCTCCTTGTTGTCACACCCATGACTGCGACTCTAAGGAAAGGACTCATCAAGGGTATCAATTTAGTCGACCTCCTCGACGGTGGGGCCGTCGTCAGAGGCGCCAGGGGGGCCACCGGCACCAGGAGCGCCGGGGAAGCCACCGGGAGCACCACCAGGGGGAGCACCAGCACTGCCGTAGAACTTCATCATGATGGGGTTGGCAATACCCTCAAGCTCCTTCTGGCGGTCCTCGTACTCCTCGCGAGTAGCCTGCTGGTTCTCGTCGAGCCAGGTGACGACCTTGTCAATCTCAGTCTTGAGCTTCTCCTTGTCGTCAGCGTCAAGCTTCTCGTCAACCTTGGGGTCGCCGAGAGTGTTGCGGAGAGAGTAGGCGTAAGACTCAAGACCGTTCTTGGCAGCGACACGCTGGCCCTCAGCCTCATCCTCATCCTTGTACTTCTCAGCCTCAGCAAGCATGCGCTCGATCTCCTCCTTGGACAGGCGGCCCTTGTCGTTGGTGATAACGATCTTGTTGGACTTGCCAGTGCCCTTCTCAACGGCAGAGACGTTCATGATACCGTTGGCGTCAACATCGAAGGTAACCTCGATCTGGGGAACACCACGGGGGGCGGGGGGGATGCCAGTGAGCTCGAACTTGCCGAGAAGGTTGTTGTCCTTGGTGCGCTGACGCTCACCCTCGTAGACCTGGATAAGAACACCAGGCTGGTTGTCAGAGAAGGTGGAGAAGACCTCGGACTTCTTGGTGGGAATGGTGGTGTTGCGGGGGATGAGCTTGGTCATCATGCCACCAGCAGTCTCGATACCGAGGGAAAGAGGGGCAACATCGAGAAGCAAGATCTCGTTGGTGCTCTTGGAAGAGGTGTCACCAGACAGGATAGCAGCCTGGACGGCAGCACCGTAGGCAACAGCCTCATCAGGGTTGATGGACTTGTTGGGCTCCTTGCCGTTGAAGTAGTCGGAGATAAGCTTCTGGATGCGGGGGATACGGGTGGAACCACCGACCAGGACAATCTCGTGGACCTGGGACTTGTCGATCTTAGCGTCGGTGAGGACGCGGTCGACGGGCTGGATGGTGGAGCGGAACAAGTCCTGGCAGAGCTCCTCGAAACGGGCACGAGTGATGGAGGTGTAGAAGTCAATGCCCTCGAAGAGAGAGTCGATCTCGATAGAGGTCTGGGCAGAAGAAGACAGGGTACGCTTGGCACGCTCGCAAGCAGTGCGGAGACGACGCAGAGCACGGGCGTTGGAGGACAGGTCCTTCTTGTGCTTGCGCTTGAACTCGTTGACGAAGTGGTTGACCAGACGGTTGTCGAAGTCCTCACCACCCAAGTGAGTGTCACCAGCGGTAGACTTGACCTCGAAGATACCCTCCTCAATGGTCAGGAGGGAAACATCGAAGGTACCACCACCGAGATCGAAGATGAGAACGTTGCGCTCACCCTCGGCCTTCTTGTCAAGACCGTAGGCGATGGCAGCAGCGGTGGGCTCGTTGATGATACGGAGGACGTTGAGGCCAGCAATGAGACCGGCGTCCTTGGTAGCCTGACGCTGGGAGTCGTTGAAGTAGGCAGGGACAGTGATGACGGCGTTGGTGACCTGGCCACCAAGGTAGGCCTCAGCGGTCTCACGCATCTTGACGAGGACCATAGCAGAGATCTCCTCAGGGGTGAAGGTCTTGGTCTCGCCCTTGAACTCAACCTCGATGACGGGTTTGCTGTTCTTGTCGACGACCTTGAAGGGGAAGTGCTTCATGTCGGCCTGGACCTCAGGGTCGTTGAACTTGCGACCGATCAGACGCTTAGCGTCGAAGACGGTGTTGTGGGGGTTCATGGCGACCTGGTTCTTGGCGGCATCACCAATCAGGCGCTCAGTGTCGTTGAAGGCGACATAGGAAGGGGTGGTGCGGTTACCCTGGTCGTTGGCAATAATCTCGATCTTGTCGTTGGCGAAGAAACCCGTGCAACTATCGGGAAAAAGTTAGCAGCTTATCATTGAACAAGGAAAGAGGACTGGAGAATAAATTTCTTACCTGTAGGTTGTACCGAGATCGATACCAATAGCCTTGCCGGAAGCCATTGTGATGGTTGTGATGTGTGAATGTGTACGTGGGGTATCAAAGTAGTGTATGCGCGAAAACCGGTAGTTTGTGTGTTTTCCGGTAGAAAGATATCAGCGATCAATTTTCCGTGAGAAAAAAAGACGCAATGGACACTTTTTGTTTATTTAGGGTATTTGTTGATGTAGAGGAATTTCGTGAAGAGTGAAGAACAAGAATCGGATTTGTCTGGTATGAAGTTGGTCTTAAAAGGTTGATGGCAAGAGCGACGCCAGGCCCCGCAAAACTTCGAAAGGGTTCTTCGCTCTTCCACCTGCTCTCCAATGGTGGGGTAGAACCAAGCGTCGCGGCCCAGCAAGACTCTTCCACTTGATTCAGGGCGCCTCGAGAAGGCGCTGAAATTTTCTACAAGGATCTAAGAACACACTAGCAACCGATTCAGCCTCTTCAGGAGGGCAAGTCCCAGTTTTCCAAGGATTCGAAAGGCTTTCCTTCCCTTTGGAAGCAATTCGATGGAATCCGTTTGAGTCCATTCGTTGACATCATATCCACAGGAAGCTTCTACAATCGCTAGAGGGGCAACACCCCCCATGTCTCCTGTACCCTAGTCCTCGTCCCATGTGCACGTTAGACTTTGGTACCTTCTACCTCCCCCTCCTTCCAAAGCCCCTCCGACAGCAGCCATCCTCTGCCAGAAATCCACACCGCTAGTGATATCATTCCCCATCACCAGAGCGTTTTTAGGTGGTTCTGAGACTCTGCAAGAAGCATCGAGACTTGATACCCACTGTATTGTAGAGCCAACATAGGAGCTTTGCAGTTCTATCTGCTTCTCAACCCAATAATCTGGGGCAAGTTCAGGGGCAACGGAGGCACGTAACCAAGATTGATGGCAAAGAAGGCAATGGAAGACGCTGACAGGGATCGAGTGGCCAGACATCGGACAGGCGTTAGAGAAGTGAATAGACGCCAACAGAGACAATGGCAGCAATAGACTAGAGTCTGAGGACAGGGGGGCAAGACGGCCAGAGACAAGGCAGGAACAGTCAGCAACCAACATCAAGGTAAGGGGACACAGCCATGGAATTGCATCCGACAAGCAGATCGCAAAACGAGCAATGCGATAGCATCCCCGAGACATGGAAAAAAAAAAGTGCATCCATCCATGTCAAAGATTTCTTCTATTCATAGCAACTACCATATGTGTGAAAAATATTCCACTTCAATCTCAATGGTTGCATGCAGACAGAAAAAAAAAAATTCATCTCTTTGTTGCTGGGCAGCCACAGCGCGGCGGGCAACTTTTTTTTTTCCCCTCCCTCACTTCCCCCTCCAATCCCTCAAGCATGTGTCCGCCCGGTGACAACTAGGCAACGATCTGAGTGCAGGGCACCTTGCGATTGCGTGCCAAGATAGCCTTACACACCCGCAGATGGACTTACCTAATACAGGGGCAAAAGACGGTGGTGGGCACTTTCAGAGTCCGTGCTTTCGCGGCTGGGCTGGGGCCAGCAGCCCCCAGAGAATTTTCCCGATGCGGGATGGCGATTACTTCGGCGTGGGACCTGCTATCGGTCACGGATGTGGACAGACATGACCGGAGGGGAGGGCACTGAGAAACTGTACCCGGGTCATTAACTCGGAGCGTCAGTCCGGGAGGGAAGGCGAGATTCTGCATTCACTACTTCCTCTAACGGAGGTATCTTCCGGAAACACTGACTGTCCATACGGATTCTATTTCATACGTAGTAATGACGAGACATATTAAGCTAGTGGCGGTCTCAAACGAGATTGCTGTATTGGTCTTTAGATGTCTTTTAGTCGCGTACACAAATTGATCTAATTAGCTGCTCCCACAAAGCTTTCTGCTGGGTTGCCAATTTTCCTTGTTTCTGAACCTGACCATAGAAATGGAAGTGAGTAAACCTCAAAAGTTCATCACTACCATCGTCAGCGATCGTACCATCTCGGATTGCAGTAAATACCCGAGGGATGTAGCCATTAGTAAGTCTATGCCTCGAAGGGTTCTGAGGCAACCACAGCAGCCGTTAAGAAGAGTATAGATAGATTCAATGGGACTGGGGAAAGTGGGTTGGGCGGCAGCCTCGTTCATCGAATGCTCATTTGTAGTGATCAATTGAGCTTTATTGCTGAAGCATAGGGAATCCAATCCAGGCTGACCAGATTCGACCGTGTCCCCGTATAGAATGTACCATTCTTGTTGGAGCCGCAGTGAATTGGTCTATAAGTAACCAAATATCTACAGGGCGGGGACTTACCAAGCCAGAGGGAACGAAGAACAGGGCGTCGATGACCTATAGGCCACTGAGCGCTTTAATTATATCCGCTATATGCGAGCGAACGAGCAGGCGACATGCCAACTCGCATATGAATGAATTTGTAGGTTAAAGGAGTACAGCCAAGGACTCCAACATGCCAACAATAGACGTGCCATCATTAAAGATGAGCGTTGGCGATGAAGGGAGGAAGGTGGTATAAACCAGGATCATGACTGCAGCCAGGGCTAGATAACGCGAAAAGTAGCAACTAGTCTTCCTGCTGACACCACCACCGAGATGTCACATTCGCTGGAGGGCAACAAGAGTATCACCATGAACGGGAACGCATATGCACAGTTAACGCACTTGCTGATATGATGAACACGGAAATACCGTATGATTATGCCAATCCATCGCCGTTCCATCTTCTCTCGTGCCATAAATCGCTACACCTCGTAAAATTCCAACATGAAATGGTTTGAAACCCAATACGCTCGCATTATAGCATGCCACTACGTCCGCTAAAGCGTTTCCCATCTCCGGCCTGCGGGCCTTCAAAACGCCGCTATTGATGGAACCCAATAAAGCTATTGTAGGGTATTAAAAGCTCAAAGGGCAGCTTTTCATCGATATGCAAATAGTACTCCGCCTAATCCATCAAGTCCCTCAGAAAAAGCCACGCGTGGTCTTACTTCGTCTGCTCAAAATCAGCCCATAATGGTAGTATCTTGCGAGGGACCCGGTGTCCCAGCCATCATGTTGCTCACTTCGCAGCCCTGGGCGAAAAAGATACGTGCTGGGTTCTCGTAGTCATTGTGGATGCTGTAATAGTTTCCTGTCATGACTTGTTAGCTTGATTGATGTCGGTTTCCGAAGACGTAATCCTCACCTCTCGGCACAAACCACATTCCACCAGCACCAATTCTGAACTGCGTCTCGTGAACCGTCACCAGAACTTTGCCCTGGAATACGAAAAAGACCATCTGCATCTTACGCGAGTTTTTGGGTCGCTTCTCTGCGCCAGGCGGAAGGTCAACAACGCCTGAACCAAAGAAGGGCAAACTGAGTGTCTTTGCGAAGCGGAAGGTAGCGTCCCGAATATCACGCGTCTGGATGGCGCTCGCCGATACGGCAATGCGGTCCTCGTCGATCTCGACTTGCTCGTTAATAGCAGGCGGGTTGAATTCGTGTTCAGGCTGCCAAACGACGATTTCGCCTTCAATGTTGCCGGGATCCATTTCCCATGGCTCCGGTTCTTCTTCATCCTCGGAATCATCTTGTCGCCGTTTGCCCTTTCCAGGCTTCCGACCCCTCGTCCTCCTCTTGCGTGCTTCCTGCTCCTCCTCGACACGAACAACCTCCTTGATGCTGGGTAGCAAAAACCTGTCTTTCTTGCCAGCCTCGAAAGCTTCGTCGTCGTCATAAGTAACGTGCTCGTTCTTCCAGTACGCCAGTGGGCGGTACGATTGGCGGCCAGATCTTGTCTTTGTGATAGTATGAGGATCTTGCTGCTTTTTCTGAGAGACCAAGCCACGAGCCTTCGGCATGGGAGGTCCCTTCTGCACCAATCCGACGATTGAATCATCTCCAACGGCAGCTTGAGGCTTGCGCCCCGGCCTGCCCCTGGCGGCAGGTTTGGCAGCAGGTTTGGCGGCTTGCTTGGTCGATGCCTCAGCCGCTTCCACTGGAGCAGTAGCCTTGGGCCGTCCACGCTTGCCAGGTTTTGCGGTCTCAACTTCTGTGCGCTGACGTTTAGAGGCGCGATCCTCCGCCTCCTCTCTCCCATGCTCGTCCTCGTTGCCCTTGGAGTTCCGTGAGCGCCTGCGCTTGGGAGCGTTGACCTCCGGTTCGAGCTCAACATCGTCGGCCGTGGCCTTCCCTTTGCCCTTAGCCGGACGTCCTCTCTTCTTCGGTGGTGCTGGTTCATCCTCAGGTTCGGGGGCATCCGAAGACTCTCTCTCAGCCTCCTCAATAACAGGCGCCTTCGCTTTGGGTGGTCGTCCTTTACGCTTGACTGCTTGCTTAGGTGCCTCCTCCTCTGATTCTTCGACATTATTTTGTTCCACATCGGGGGCCTCCACCTCGGATTCCGGCTCGGGTTGATCGCCCCCATCCATGCCTACCATTTGCATTGATTCTTCACCACCATCATCGACTGGCGACCCATTTGCTACAGGCTCATCCTCGTCATCTTCGGTAGAGCGCGCGCGTCCATTAATTCCATTGGCACGTTTTCCATTTAGGCCAGCGCCATGTCGTTCCGAAGCACCATAATCGAGTCGACGAGAAACGGACTCCCCACGGACGGGTTGAGAGTGCGATTGAGGAGGGGAGCCTCGGTAGGGAGATCCTCGAGTCGGTGAAGATGAAACGCCAAAATTGGGATGTCGTACTGCAGGTGAAGAAAGGTTCGTCTTCCGTGGCGAGGTTCCACGGGGGATCAACCGGGGGTGGCCCTTCAAAATGGTCGCAGGTCCAGCTCCGGTATCTACCACATGGGTTTCGTTAGAAGGCACACGACGGTGCGTACCGCCAGCAGCGAGAACTCACCAGAGTCAAGCTCCATATCTTGCTCGCCTCTCGTGGCATCGTCGCCCGGTGATCCGCCATCCTTTTCTGGCGAGGAAAATAGCCCATCAATGGGCTGCATGCCATGTTCATCGCGTACACCGGTGTCAGGCAATTCAATACCGGTTTTTCTATAGCAGAGTTATTCCAATGCCCTCGTGTGTCCTAATCCAAAGCTGTGGCTCGAGCTTTGTGGTGTAAAAGTCATAACATACCGGCCCTTGACACCGAGCTCATGAAAATCGCCCGTAGACGTCTCGCGACGCCGGACGTTCGTCGGTCGCGGTGGCATCGCGACTGTGGGGTCCTAGGAGAGCTCAAAAAGAAATCAACTCAGTTGCCGGAGCAAAATTGTAGCCTCGAGCACAATTTCCAGAGTTTGCGGGCAGTTTCGGGCAGAATCCCAAGCCAAAAAGTCGTATTTGTTTACCCCAAGCAAGGTTGGTGGTTGTCGTCGTGTTGGGCGCGCAACTTTTTGGATGGTGGAAAGATGGCGTCGCGCGCCGAGAGACTCCTGGCACTGGCAATGTTTCCCGGGCCTGTCAGTGGCTGACCCGCTGCAATCCGGAAGTTGATGGGGCACGTGTGCGGCTGGACCCACTATAATTAACGACCAGAACGCGTCTCCAGTCAACTGGGACGCGTCGAGGGGCTGGATCTGCGACTAATGATTGCCGGATCAAGTCACTCTCTTTCAGTCTTCACTTTCTGTTTGCTCAACGAATTTTCGGTTTTGATTTTGAAGGGTTCGAATCAAAGATTGAGAAGTCGGTACTTCACCAAATATATACCTAGGCGATACTTGAACCTTCCTCATCTTCTACAAGGCTTGAGAATCAAATACACCCACATCATTCTTTCAATCTCCAATTATATAATGGAGGACTCTCAAACAGTCGAGGACATCGCCCTTGAGACCCCGGTCTCAAATGTCTTTATTCCACCCTCAATCGATGAAACGGCCCTCCTGTCTGGCGACTCATACTCATACTTCTCGCCCATTCCCCCATCACTTCTTCCGCCGACATCAGAAACCACAACATCCTCAGAGACACCAGCAACAGGAACCCCCGTCTGCCTCGGCGTAGACGAAGCCGGCCGCGGCCCCGTTCTGGGGCCCATGGTCTACGGCGTCTTCTTCCTTCCCCTTCCCCTCTCAGATCCCCTCCTCCGCGAGACCCACCATTTCGACGACTCCAAGGTCCTTACTCCGGCCGTCCGCTCCCAACTCATGACAGCGCTCTGTACCCCCGGCTCCGACCTCTTTGAGTCCTGCGGCTTCGCCACCCGATCCCTTTCGGCGCGCGATATCTCCACGGGTATGCTCCGCCCGGGCGCCACCTACAACCTTAACGCTCAAGCCATGGATGCCACCGTTGATCTCATCAAGGGTGTCTTTGCCCGCGGAGTCAATGTTACCGAGATCTATGTCGATACCGTCGGCCAGCCCGCCGCCTACCAGGCAAAACTCCAGCGCTTCTTCCCCGCGACCAAGATCACCGTCGCCAAGAAGGCGGATAGCTTGTATCCCTGCGTCTCGGCGGCCTCCGTCTGCGCCAAGGTTACTCGCGACGCTGCGCTCGAGGTTCTGTATCGTGCGCGTGCGCCTGAGGCCGCTGAAGCGGAGGAAGGCATGGCTTGGGGCTCTGGTTACCCCTCTGACCAAAGATGCGTGTCATGGATGAGGGGCAACATGCATCCCGTCTTCGGATGGGGCCCCGAATGCCGGTTCAGCTGGGGCACTGCTAAGGACATGCTCGAGGCCAAGGGGAATTTGAAAGTGGATTGGCCGGTCGACGATGACGGCGAGGCTCGCATGACCGATTTCTTCATGTCGGCAGACAGAGAGGACGGTGATGAGTTGGGAACTTGGTTCGGAAGGCCTGCAGGCCTTGAGGCGTTCTGAGAAGTTATGTGTGGGCTTCGGGTAATGGGAGGCGTTCAGCGTTTGTATATCATGTAGGATCACCATGGACAATCGGCAAGTTTACTGTAAACGTATTTTATAGACATTATATCCATGACTGCATTTTTTGGTGTCCCTTGCGTCTGGACCGCAGCTGAGTTTCAGCTCAATGAGTAATCTAGATGTCATCAATATCATCTTCCGCGTTCTTCTTCTTGCCCCGACTGTCCAACGTGTCCATGCTAACAGAATCACTATCGCGAGCAGGCATGGCCAGGGCCTGGCGCGCTGTGTCCGAGTTCTCGATAAACTCGCGCAGCTTCTGCTTGCCAATCTCGACTCCCTGGTTAGCCGCCGCATTGGCCATTTGGTACATGGGACCGAGCATGTTCAACGTGTAGGCGACATAGGTGCCTCCCGCCAACAAAATGAGGAAAATAAAGAGAAAGGGGTTGCGCAGGACTATGCCACGTTAGTATCGTTGTCAAAAAGCATATCGTCGGATACTTACCAGCAACAATTTCGTTCCATCCCAGGGCGACGAGCAGGGCATAAAAGTAAAGAGGTACTTGCGCAACACCACCAATGGCACTGCGCTTGGCCTCCACGTACACACCGTCGGCCGTCTTCTTGAACCGGATCACAAGATCCTGACGCTTGCTCTCGCTTAGAACCGTCATCTCCTCCTCAAGACTCTTACCGTCCTCCTCATCCACACCGCCGATCGGCGTAAGGTCCTCCTCATCGCTCGCCTCAACACCCCGCGGTTGGTTGCCGATCCAAGAAGGCAGGTCGGGAGGGCCAAAGGTCTCTGACAGTTTGAACTTCGACAACAGAGGGATGAGAGTCAGCGTCGACTCTCGCGCCTTTGTGTATATACCCTCGATGTCGTCGGTGGGTCGCCATATCCTAGGAACACCCGCCTCGTCGTATCTGAACTTGTCCTCGAAGTTTTCCCTCAGCTTCAACAGAATGTTACCCTCCATAACCTCCTCTTCGATCTTCTCTCGCAGAGCTACCCAGCTCTTGCGTCTAAGGCGCCAGAGGCCGATCTCAACCTCCTCCTGAGTAGCTTCAAAGCTCTTGGCACGATCGGTGAACCTGCTCTGCGCATCCTTGACGATGTCGACAAACACATTCCAGATACGGTCCCAGAGGTCCTTCTCTGACGGCTTATCACCCGTCTCAGGTGCGCCAGAACCGGCTCTGCCAGAGCCCAACTTGTTGAATTCGAGCCCAATCGCATCGCCCAATCGAGACTTGACCCATCGCTCCACTCTCGTGGCCAACCGACGCATCTCTTCCTTACGCAGCTTACCGCTCACATCGTCGAGCTCCTTCTCAAACAATCCGTACTGCGACTTGAAGTTGGACCATGCAACACCTGGAATGGCGAGGCTCTCAGCCTCAGTCTTGAAAGACTCGAGAGTTTTCTTCTTCTCCGCGGCAACGATCTCGGCAAATTCGTAAGCGGCACCGGACTTTTGGCCAGCCTTGACGGCTCCTGAAACAGCATCACTGAAGGACGCAATGCCGGACTTGTGTGCGGCAGACAGCTGGGCGTTGTAAAGATTCTTAAGCCTGGCGTCGATCTTGCCCTCCAAATCCTGGCGCTTGCGCGTGTAGACGCCCTTATGGTATCTGCTAGCCTGGATCTCAAACGCCTTCAGGCACTTTTCACGGGATTCACGTCCAGTAACACCGAGCTCCGATAAGACGGCAGGCTTGCCAGCCCTGGCAGCGTCGGCCTGTTTATCTTCCAAGGGAACAATAGCGGTATCAAATCCAATGAGAACCTCACGCGAAATCTCGTCACAACGGAACTGAGCAAGCAGTTCCTGTTGTGTTGGCAGATCCAGGTCCTTGTTGTTGACAATCTGGTCCCAAATGCCCTCGGCGTAGATCGAGAATCCGTCGGCGGGAATGCGACGGTGGTACTCGGGCAGGAACACACCGCCCTCGAACTCCTGACTGGTGGCTCCACCCGAGCGGTGCCCCGCAGTGAACCTCTTCCCCAGGTTTTGGATCTCGGTCGCGAACTTATCGGCTTGTAGAATCTTATGGGGAAGCGCGGCGAATGCGAAGTCGAAGTAGTCCTCAATGCGGGAGTTCTCGAGACCCTGCGGCTTTGAAATAGAGGTCCAAATCTTAGTCAGATCCTGAACAAGGGTGTTGCGCAGGTTCGCGAGGGGCGTGGTGCCAAGATGGTCTCGGATGACGAAGAAGAGCAGGGACCTAAGGCTTGATCTGTGGTGGTGGCATGTCAGAAAGTGGCGGTCTGCTCGTGCGGCACAGACGACTTACTGCTTGTCCTTCAGGAAGAGCTGCAGGTTCACCTCGAAGACAGTCTTCAGGAGGCCCATGTTGGCGCCGTTGTACAAGCCGACCTGCGTCTCCCACAGGTTGACAATCAGTACCTCACTCGTAGCCAAGGCGAACAAGGCGCTCTTCCTCTCAAAGTCCTGGTCCTCGCCGCGCTCGCGGCCGTCGGTTCCCTCAACATCCATGACGAGAATGTTTTGCGCCATGCCGGCCTCCTTTTTGTTCTTGGACATCCAAATACCCTTGGTAGTTTGCTGTCGCATAGTCTCGGACATGACGGAGAAGTCGGTTCCGAACAGGTTGTTCAGCAGCGTCGACTTGCCGGTGGACTGGGAACCGAAAACGGAGATGAGGTGGTAGTTGAACCCCGCCTCGGCGACGTGGACTTTTTGTAAGTATTTGCTGACATTGACGCTGTGAGGTTGCACGTTAGCTATGATATGTCGTATGGCCGTAATGGCGGGGGAGGGGAGTTGCACTTGAAGTCCTTCTGGTCGTCAATGACTTGAATGCCATGCTCATAGTTCTGAGCGTCCGGCTCTTCGCCGACGGCAGCAAAGTGCCCGTTCATGGTCGCAGGGACGGTTGAGGCAAATATCTAAAAGAAAGCGAAGAAGAGCTTGTGTTTTCTATATGGACATTGTCGTTCCTCCCAAGAAATAAGACAAGGCCAGGCGTCGGTGCGTTGCAATTACCAGCAAGGGGGGAAATGTGGCTATCGGAGTTGGCAGTAGGATGGGAAGTGTCCAGATCAACCCTTGTGATCAAATTACCCTGTCATGGGCTGTTAATCTTGATTTCCAGCGGTGCAAATGCGCCGGATGAATAGATGGTCCGTGTGTCTCCCCCTAACCAGCGTCCATAATAGGCTCGGCCTCAGGGCAACCCCTGGCATGTGAACCCCGGCAACCCCCCCTATTGTTGCAGGAAATGCCCTTAGACTCACATCAGATGGCATGACGACACCACTGACATGTTTCCATCGCTGTTTTGACAGAGCATTGAACATTAAAAAGCCTCAGGTTTGTTGGGCAGAGGGGCCATAGCATGAGCCCTCAAAATGCGACGAATTAAGCCCTTCAATGGATACGCGTCGTCTCTGGAAATAAACGCCATTTACTAGCGGAGATGCACTAAGTTCTAAACGGCGCGGGCCGCTTTAATATAGAAGGGTCCTTCAATTAACTCACAACCCATAGAATTTCGGGTATGCCTCCAAATAGTCAACTAGGTACCATGCCCATCAGCCGTATTTCGAAATCAGCTTCTTCATAATACCCATCGCTCCGCTCCGGTATCCTCCACCAAATATCGCATAGTGGTTGAGGTGGTGATACCTGTAAAAGCAGTTAGATTGTTGACCAGGCAACGCAGGGGGGAGGGGGGTACACTTACAGCTCATATAGCGCAACTCTATCTTCCCATTCTTCCTTTGGCTCCGCCTTGGGGACCAGCTTGTTGTACTCGTTCCAGAAACTGCTACCGAATCCACCAAACATCTTCATGATGCCCAGCTCGTACTCGGAGTGACCGTACACGGCCGATGAATCGTAAACAACCTCCTCCGCGCCGCCCTTGCCGGCAATCTGCCCCCTGCTGTGGTTCCCGCTCCAGAGATCGCCGTGGATCACCACTGGCTTCATACCCTGCACATGGCCATCACCTATCAACCGTGGAACAACTCTACTAGCGACTGTCTCCACGGCTTTTGAGAGCTCACCGTCGGAGCCGTTGTTCTTGTTGCCTGCTCGCAAGATGTTTCGCAGTCGGTTCTCAGCATAGAACTCGGCCCATGACTCCTTCCAGGAGTTGTCCTGCGGCGTCGACCCGCAGCATGTAGTCACAGGAAACCCATACATTGGTTTGTCAAAGCCCTCCGGTATAGGGGCCGGAGTTGTGTGCAGCCTAGCTAGCTTTGCCGCTAGAGAAAGCCCAGAGCCGCCTGAGGCCGACGAACCCAGGTCGAGGAAGTCTGTAACCATGAAATATTTGCCGGGTGTGGACTGGTATTGTCCATGGGCATAAGATTTGGGGCAGAAGTTAGGGACGGCATTGTGAATTGCATTTAGCGATTCATGTTCACCTGTCAAGTGTCAGGACTTATACTGATTTATGACGCAAAGAGTGTCTGAGGAGCAATTCTGGCTTAACCAAATTTTACCTCTAAACATGACTTCGGAATCCTTCCCGGAACCAGTCTTAACAAAGAAGTTGGTGGGCTGGCCATCAACGACCGATGTAAGCTTGAAAGATGATGCGAAGCCGGATGCGCCGTGAGAGGCGATCTTGGTCTGCTCGGGGTCGAGCTGGAGAGCTTCGATGATCGCAGGATCTACGCTTGGTGGCATTTTGCTTTAAATCATTTAGTATTATGAGCTTCGAGTTGCAAAAAGAATCGCTGCCATGATGAGCTGCACTCAACTTAAGCACGTAGCTACCGGCCCATCCAGCCCAGACATTAGATGAGCTTTGAGTGACGTAGAACGGCAACGGTCTCCACATTGAGCGGGCCGCAGTTTTGGCTCCACCAAACCCCCAACCTTACGGGTTCTTACCACCGTGTCCTCACCATGTTGGTTCATCAACTCTCACACAAGCTCAAATGTCAGCTTCCACAGCCACTTGGATCGATAGCTCAGTGGTAGAGCGAGAGATTGCAGCTTCCGCAGCAACCTATCTCTAGGCCCCGCGTTCGAACCGCGGTCGGTCCTTGTCCTTTTGCTTTTGCAAGTAACACGCACCTCAGTTGTGAAATAGCCATTTTAAGAGCTATTTTTATCTTCGAGGTGTTTTGTGTCATTTGCCCAAGTACCCAATTGCACCATTTCGGCCAGTTTGCACTTCATTCTGGTTATTTCCAATTTGTGTTATTCGAGTCCCGTTGTGCAAGTGGGCCCCGTCTTCCGACAAACGGCGCCGTAATGGGGCCGTTGTGCTCCACGCATCGCCATACGCCATGGTCATATGAACTAAGCTCTTCACGAGAACAATACAAGTCACAAGGCCAAGTATGAAATCTCATATTTTGAATTTCTATGCTAGCGCTGTAACCAAAGGAACAAACCATATTATTAAGCGAACTGGGACTCCGCATCCAGTTCAACCTTTCGCCTCGAACACCATAAAGCTTCCAAGTCATGCTCTCAAGACCCGCTCATGTCCTCGTCTCGAGGCCTCCGTCTCGAGGCATTACTTCGTCCTAGGCCATAATTTCTGCTGACCCCCAGAATAATAACGCAGAAGGCTGACTGACCTATTCTTCCCGCCTGACTGGCTGACATGCGGGAACCAGGCGCGCCCCCGGTCTAGGCCTTGTCAATACCCCAACTTTCCCCCAACTTTTCCAAGCCCAGCAAGTCGACACGCCAACCACATGCCCAGGAGCTACCCCTCCTTGTTTGCCTTCTTCGCTTCCCCAGGATTGCGACTGAGCACCAACCCAACGGGACAGTTCCCCCGCTGGCGCCCGCCGGCGCGTCCAAAATCGTCCAACGACTGCAACCCAAGGACCCCTTATCTGTACTTTAACCACATTGAATTGGCTGCCTGCATCCTACGCCCAGAGCTTAACGAGAGCCAGCTTCTTGGCGGTCCGGGGTTGCACCAGAATTTGAGGGGGTTCTGTCCGCTCCCGTTTCCTTTTCATCCTTCCAACCTGCCTGAAATGAAGGACTGCCGTTGTCGAGGTTGAGTAAAGAAATCAATACTGCGGGAGACCAGTCCAGGCCCAAGAACGCCAAGCTTCCTCCTCCTAGGGTAGCGTACGTGGCCTAGCTTAGATCTGTGTGCAATAAGCCACGGTTGAAACCTCCCCCTCACTTAGACAATCTCCTTCCCCCGAACGAGGCGGTGAATGTTTGTGAGCGAGATCCTGTCCGAGCTGGCCCTGCTTTCTTGGGAGTAGACACTGAGGTTCGTCGTCGAGGAGGTTTCTTCGCGTCGGAGGGGTGTCAGGTCTGTTTCCGTCTCTCGTCGGAGGGCAGACGTTCTCGTTTCCTTTTTCGGTGAGGTCTGAGACGACGTGGTCATGCTCGGGCCGGCAGTCTGAGGAGCGGTGGTCTTCCAGTGCTCGCCGTTACCGTTCCAGCAAGCGGAACAAGGACATTGAGGTGTACGGTTGAGCGCTGGAGGAGGAGTGCAGTGGCGCTTCCACCAGCTAAGAGGCTTTTGTTGTTCGGGAGACATCTTGATGACGGTGAGTTATGGGTCGGGCAGACACGAGATGTATAAAAGTGAATGGAAAGGGATCAAGGGACCAAAGGACCGAATCCAGGGTTCTGAAGGTACGTTGGGTAGGTATAGGTAGAGATCGACTGGATTGGCAGAGGTCGAACGATGACCCCTAAAGTACAAAACGTGAAGGCCTCACGGCGAAGGCAAGAAATAGACTGAGGAGTAGAGTGGAAACAGGTGGTCCCGGAAGGGGGGGCCGTGAAGCTTTATACCCACGAGAGAAAGCATCCTCCGAGAGAAGACCATGACGGCCGAGCCAAAGTCAAGGAGGCCGGGCTTGTGGGACCCTTGGTTTGTGTACCCATGACTGCATGTGAACTTGACCAGGACCAGATTGTGCTCGCAAGGCTCAGAGCCCGTGTACCACATACAGGATCTTGACTGGAGGGCCTAGCTTCAGTTTGTTTAGCCGCCGCCGTCGGCGCAGGTCTGGCCGCCCTGCCACAGCGTCGGGTCTCACCTCCCGACGCCTTACAGATGACCGTAGTCAGCACTTGGAGAGACTTTCAAGCATCACTCCAGCACACTGTTGACCACAATACAGAGCAGAATCCAAATGGAAAACTTTAGAGGGGAATGGGAAAAACCTGCCTGTGTACTTGTTACTCACCAGAACTTCAAGGTAGACAGTCCCATTAAGGGTAAGATGCAGGTACGTACTTGTTTAGTCACCTTCGCTAATCGCATCACCTTGTCTCGTCTCGGGCTGCGTCGGAGAAGCCTCGCTATGTTTGTGTCCACTTTTCGTCGACTGTCCTTACATTCGACATACGATTGTGGAGCCTGGCGGCCATGGAAATAACAGTTTTTTCATCTGGAATTCTGTTTGTTCCGAATATGCCCTATCGGAAGCTGTTTCGTTGGGGTTGAAGTCGTGATGCTGTCTTGGTTGTGTTGCGGATGCGACGCCATTGTCATTGTTGATGCGGCCCGGCGTAAGTTGCGGGTCATCCGGTCGATCGTATGTAGGTCCTATGCAGTACGTACTGCCTCATCGAGAGATCGCATATTGTCGAAGAGTGAAAAGTTTTAGGAAGAAAAGGACGGCTGACTACTCGATGTGGTCGGGAATGGTGTCTCGGGCGTGAGAAAACTCGGGAACCAGTGGCAAAGAAGAAATGACTGTTTTCTCCCAACCACGAAACTGAAGTCTAGACTTGTTCAAGGCCCCATCATCCTGACCAAATCACAGTCGCGTCATACCTAGCCCCTGGCAGATAAGGACAAGCGTCGGGATGTGTCCGCCGGGAAGGACTCTCGCTAGGATGCAAGCTAGAAAAAAAAGAATCAAGGCGAGGAAAAGAGACAAGGGAGCGCTATTCCCGTAGCCAGGGTCCGTGATGGGGACCTTAAAACCTTTTTCTACGAATGCCTGGAGGGGCACCACATGCCGTTGAGCCTCACTGTGGATCCTATGCTCTGGACGCCATTCACCCGAGAATGCAATAGCCGAAGGGTCCCCATATTGGGCCGACAGATGCTGTGTGTGGAGGATCTCGGGGTTGTACGCGGAGCGAAGTGGCCTGATTATCACAGCCGGCGTTGCACCTCAGGAATTTGGTGATATAGATGGTCTCGCGCCAGGGTCGGAAGAGCAACTTTCTCTTCTTCTTACTCTGGCTCTCTTGCATTGTTGATTATGTCTGAGGGCTACAACTTTAACGGTGATTATTTGGCAGACAAAGCAACAAGTGTTGATGAGACAAGATAACAACGCCATGTAAGACCAAGGACAGGGGTTATTTGCCCCTTTCAGAAGTTGCGACCAGGGAAGCTTGTGCAGTCCACCTTTTGTCTCAACCGCATATTCAAGCGTCAGCCAAGTTCAGCCGCCTTCTCTTCCATGCTTACCGTCTATCTTAGTTTAAGTTGAGGTATCCAAGACACTTGGTGAGTAAGACATGGCCCGGACTAGTGGTCGCTGAAAGGACTGCATCTGACAACGAAGTGCCTTGAAGCTTCCAATAGGTTCAACTGACTGCTTTTACCTTCAACACACAATGCGGTAGCCTTTGAAAATGTATCATCATAGGTGTGCATTGCCGTTGATCCCATCAAGCCCTCCACCTACATATGGACGCCGTCCACTTAGGTCCAACTTGATGTCAAGGTTGAAGTAAACCGGAATATCAAGTCAATCGCAATCGCAAAATCATTTCTCTTGACACCCGTACAGTCAAGTCGCTCGCGATGAATCGATATCAGCAATCTCACTGGCTGGCCCAGACCGCTTGGCCCTTTGATGGCACTCGAAGTGTCTGGAGCATCGCCGCATCACCGCCACCAAATCCTTTTGTGAAAACTTCAGCTGTAGAGGAATTTGGAAAGCGATGCGACGAAACATCTAGTCATGTTTACCATTGCTATCAGATCTCACAGTACGCCGAAACGCCATTTCGTAGAGCTACCCAAGAGGTCCCGTCTAAAGTGGTACCGAGCAGCGATGTGTCGGTCACCAGGCCCAGCCTTTACTCGTTCGTCTGGTGGATAACCAGCACGTCTATCGAATTCAAGAAAAGGGCTGAGGGAAAAACCTCGACGATGTCAAGGACATTGTCAAGGACGTTAGACCGGACGCGTGAGGAAGCGAGAACTTGGTGGCTTTCCCGCGGGGCAAGCCGCTATTTCACGCCCTGGGTGGTGGCGTTCGTGATCATCAGGGTATTGCTGATTTGGCAGTTGGTTTCGACGCTGGTACAGCACCTGAGGGCGGAAGATCCTCACATCTACATCTTAATTCACAATTGCCGGTCCTGGTCTGTCTCTCCGGGGAGATAGACTGGTTTCTATCAAACGTATTCCGGTAGCTGTTCAAGCGGAACTGGCTGTAGCGAATGCTATATCAGCGGTCTGGTTAGCATTCGTCGATTGCTCATTGTCTGGAGACGGTTCAGCTGATGAGATCGGAGTGTATCAAGGTTGTTCTCAACACCCAGCAGCAAAAGAAATCAAGAGTATCATTCTGCTAACTCAGCTTGCCTGATCTAGAACACCTCCCTCCAACGGGCGGCCCTCTTTGGCAGCATATATCACCCTAGGGTTCAAGAACGTCTATCCGATTTGATTCGAATGGTGTTACAACCACAATCTCTAGAGCTGTGAGTAAAAAAAGAGACAGTTTCAAGATGTTGAAAATTTAACAAAGTAAATTGAACTCATTGGAGTCGCTTGACGCATTTCAGTTTATCTTTTTTGCTCCTCATATCGGGATAGAGTTCCGATGTCTGAAAGTGACGTACGGGTTGGAGAAATTCGCGCCAACGCACCTCAGCCTGCAGAAGCTGCACGTGGTGGCAGATGCACAGGCCAGACAGCTCACTGTCAGTGACTGCAGGGACGATCCGGGAGCTCGGGCCACGGACTGAAAGCCAACCGCTGCTTTACCGGCAGGTTTTCGTCTTGCTGAAGTACCATGAGAGTTTTGGGTGGTGGGATTTTTTCAAACAACGTGCTAACTGTTGGAAATCCTAGAAGTCACTAGTTTTGTGTGTTTTATTCAATCCGTGCTGGATGATGGAAGATTTGTTAATTTTTAGAACCCATCTGTTTCAGCTCAAGTGTTAGGGGAGACGATACCCCTGATAGGTAAAGCGGCGGTGCATTCTTTTGCCGTGGTGTTCGGCTGCAGCGTCCCAATTGCGGGCACAGGACAGCTGTCTCGCTTCGGTCGAAGCTTTGTTCCGGGCGAAAAACAGCCAGTCGGCATCGGGAATTCCCGCGGACCAGACACCTCTGGTTTTCTGCTAGAGATTGCCTTGATAGCGCTTTTCCGCGAAGCCCCCAATTGCATCACATCACACCCAATCTTGGACTTTTTGGTCCTTGTTTTCCTTTTTTGGCACTTTCATTCTTGAAACGCGCCTCTCCTTTTCTCTTCTGGACCCTCTCCCCTCCAGTGTGATTTAATTGAAAGGGCGCGCTCTTTCTTACCTTGTCGAACTCCCGTCGCGACACGCCACATATTCCTTCATCATGTTCAAGCTTGGACGCAGCCGTTTGGCTTCTGCCATCCAGGCCTCCTCAAGGGTCGCCGCCTCTCCTGCCAGATTCCCGGGTCTTGCTCAGCAACAAAGGAGAAACCTCAGCATTCACGAGTACCTCTCTGCCGACCTCCTGCGCCAGGTAAACATCCCGCGACGGCCCCACTCTCCTTTCGACAGTTTTTCAGGAGCTCCCATCAACTAACATATCTTGTTCTCACTTTAGTATGGAGTCGGTGTCCCCAAGGGTTCCAACGCGAAGACTGCCGCCGAGGCCAAGGCCATCGCAAAGGAGATTGGTGGTGAGGACATGGTCATCAAGGCCCAGGTCCTCGCTGGTGGACGTGGAAAGGGTACCTTTGATAACGGTCTCAAGGGCGGTGTTCGCGTCATTTACTCTCCCCACGAGGCCGAGATGTTCGCCGAGCAGATGATTGGCCACAAGCTCGTTACCAAGCAGACTGGCGCTGCTGGCCGCCTCTGCAGCTCCGTCTACATCTGCGAGCGCAAGTTCGCCCGTCGCGAGTTCTACCTCGCTATCCTGATGGACCGCGCTACCCAGGCCCCCGTCATCGTCTCTTCCTCCCAGGGCGGTATGGACATCGAGACCGTCGCCAAGGAGAACCCCGACGCCATCATCACCACTAACATCGATATCAACAAGGGTGTCACCGACGAGATCGCCCGCGATATCGCCGTCAAGCTCGGCTTCAGCGAGCAGTGCATTGAGGATGCCAAGGACACCATCCAGAAGCTCTACAAGATCTTCGTCGAGAAGGATGCTACCCAGATCGAGATCAACCCTCTTTCCGAGACCTCTGACCACAAGGTTCTGTGCATGGACGCCAAGTTCGGCTTCGATGACAACGCCGACTACCGCCAGAAGGAGATCTTCTCCTGGCGCGACACCACCCAGGAGGATGCTGACGAGGTCCGCGCCGCTCAGTCTGGCCTGAACTTCATCAAGCTTGACGGCGATATCGGCTGCCTTGTCAACGGTGCCGGTCTGGCCATGGCCACCATGGACATCATCAAGCTGAACAAGGGAGCTCCCGCCAACTTCCTCGACGTCGGTGGTGGTGCTACCCCTGCCGCCATCAAGGAGGCCTTTGAGCTTATTACCAGCGACCCCAAGGTCAGCGCCATCTTCGTCAACATCTTCGGTGGTATCGTCCGCTGCGACCTTATCGCCCACGGTCTTATCAACACCGTTAAGGAGCTCAACCTGAAGATCCCCATCATTGCCCGTCTGCAGGGTACCAACATGGAGGCCGCCCACCAGATCATCAACGACTCCGGCATGAAGATCTTCTCCATCGACGACCTCCAGACTGCCGCCGAGAAGGCTGTGCAGCTGTCCAAGGTTGTGAAGATGGGTAAGTCACCCCGCACCCTGCGTAAATGTGTATGAACTGTGCTAACTGGGACTTTCAGCTCGTGATATTGACGTTGGCGTCGAGTTCACCCTGGGTATCTAACTCTAGCGTTGTGTTTAGACTGGCCTCGCCCTGTACATTAATTAACATAGCCCTAGGTTGAAAGGAGCTAGCACTGGGAGCCGAATCAAAACTTGTTCAAATGCCATTTCACGTCTTTATATCCTGCTGTGTGTCGTGCCGACGTGACCCTCCAACTGCCTTTTTTTTTTTTTTTACTTCTACCAGTTATACGTTTCACACGCGCAATTTACCAATCCAGGGTCCGCCCCACACTACTTGTCAGTAATCCGGGATATGTCTGGGATCTGTCTGTAACCAACACTCGCTTGTCTCTCGCTTCTGCATGTGCACTCTCCTTGAGCTGGTATTGCAGCGAACCCATCAAACGATTCGGATGACTAATCTCATTCAACCCAGGATCGATAGCTCAGTGGTAGAGCGAGAGATTGCAGCTTCCGCAGCAACCTATCTCTAGGCCCCGCGTTCGAACCGCGGTCGGTCCTTGAATCCTCCTTTGAGGTTACCTTTTTGCACATTTTCGAAAGACCAACCGCATGCTCGAGCTTCATGTCTTTCTTGGTATTAGTTTTTTCTTTTTCCTTTTCCGGTTCAACAGCTGTGTTGGTATGTCTCTTGAGGTCGGTTATTATATGGTGTTTGTTAGCCTTCTTAACCACAGTTGCATCTTTCATTTGGTAAGCCAATGCATCATTTCACTGGACAGTTGAATTTGGCTGGAAAGACAAATACCAAGCAATTTCAAACAACTGTAGAGGAAGAAAGAGAAAAAAAAGAGGGAGAAAAAAAAAATAAAAGATTGCGCGCCTGCTTGCGCAGACGGACGCTTTGGAGACGCGGCGAATCGAACGCCGGACCTCATCCATGCTAAGGATGCATTATACCACTAAACCACGCCCCCGGGGCTGAATAAGAGATTTTTGCGTGAGCGGGACCTATCCGGGATCCAGTAGACGATGGGTGCGTGAGCCCCTGTTCAACACGTCCATTGTCCCATGGTCATCCAGGGAGGTTTTCAGGCATCAGAAACCCTCGGAGGTCCTGGTCTGAACCAGATGATTTGAGCTTTCGCTTCGCATGTCAAGCTGATAAGACAGTATTTCGGTAAAAGCATTAGACACTTGAGGAACAAAAAAGATTTGGTTTTACGGACAGACATGAGAAAGTACTATACAGGTTGCATCGAGTTGGCACTGGGTCTTTAGCTGCGGTTGATCAAAGGTTCCAACGGCCTCCAGGTACCAAACATTACATAAAGATTACCGACATATCAAGATGGCCATGTACCGAGGCGAACTCAACGTTGGCGATGCCCCCGTAGGAACACTCATACAGAGATAACCCGAATTTGCACAAGTTGGAGGTTTCTATATACACCTTGTCAAGTTACGGAGCAGAACTATATACGTTGAGGCTGCCCATAGGATGCTTTTCCTGTTTAGTTTGAGTTGACTGAACGTCGCCATCTTAACATGCACTTGAGTTATAGAGCTCACCCCATAGTCCAACAGCTTCCTCGTTAATGTCTTTGGTACGAAGCTGTGTAGATAAAGAAAGTAGGATATCCCCCTCCAAGACATCAAACCTATAGCAAGGCTTTTTAGTAAATCGCTGCCAGTCATCTCCACAGAAAGTATTAGTGCTATGCAGGTAGCGCAGCTCACATGTCTCTAAGATGAACCACACAATGCCTGATGAGTAGAAAGGTTATTGAATTAGTCATCGGGCCTAAAACGGATGTTGACCCGGGTGTTTTGGGTATTGCAGTAAAGCGGAGATGTTCGAATGGACAGTCGCTCTCCTGCCGCTCACATGATGCTATCGCCCAGTCTCCGCTGAAGCTTCTCCCCCTTATCCTCAGCTGCCTCCTCCTCCTTTCTCCTCTCGATCGCAGCCTTCCGGTTGTCGTGATATGATGGGTCACGCGCAACGCCCTCTCTGCGCCACTTGCGCGGCGGCTTCATCCCCAACTCGGCATACCGTGACCATACGCTCACACCCCGCCGGAACCACCTCTCCTGCCGCTTCTCCTCCTCTTCCGGAGAGGCCTGCCACTTGCTCCTGAGAATTCTGCGGATACTTTCGGGCGACACCTCAAACATGGCCGCGAGCTTCGTAGTCGTGTATTCCTCGGGGAACTGCGAGTTGAGCGCCTTGATGCCAGCGATTGCGTCCGGGGATAGGCGCTTGCGTGGATTCCAACCCTCTGGAAACTTTTCTTTCAAAGCTGCCTTCTGAATCTGCCATTGCTCTTTATTGCGTTTCTCTCCGAAGCTGAAATTGCCGTCTTCATCTTCGTTACGAGGTGTCTTGCTGAAGCTGATGCCACCAGGTTTCTGCGTCCTCCTTGCCGCCGTTTGATCCCTGAATGTGACCTTTTCTTTGTATTCCCTCCCCCTCTTGCCTTCGGGTGGACTATCGGATTGCTTACGGCGCGAGGTCGTAGTGAATGGGGACTTGGGGCCGATTTGGAAAGTCGTGGCGTTGCTGCTAATGCGCTGCGGTAGTCTTGCTACGGCCGGCTCGGAGATGTGCAGCTGCGACATGCCCTTGATAAAGAGTCGCAAGGGACTCAAACGGCAAGAGCACAGCATGGTTGGAATATTGGAACTATCGTTCGAGTTCTCGGGGCAGGAGGAATTATCCAGAGATACGGTACGGTGGTTCAAAGGGGGGTTTAGCTGCAGAGGCAAACTGGATGCGAAAAAAAGTCAGGTTCTGGTTCTAATTAGTTCAGTCGCGACGGGACGGGGCGCGCTACGGTGGAACCGTCACAGGGGCACTCCGGGGGCAAGGTGCCGTTGCGCCGGTGGCACCGGCGCTGAGTCCACAATCTTGTGTAAGCCTGCAGGGACCCGGGAACCACTAAACAAACCAGCATAGCACTTGCCTTGCAGCTCGCAAGAATCTTGTCAGATTCAATCGGACCAAGTCTAAGACAACTTCACAAGTTCTACTTCACATACTAATTCCACCGCAAAACACTACAAAATGCTCTCTAGGCTCAACAACAAACTCACGCCATAAATTCAAGTTCATTGTTTTCTCGTGTGAGGCATTACGGATCGATATTGCGTAGATGTATAACACCCATCATTCCCTAACCCCGCAGAGCTAGCTGCAAATGCAACTCTGATGCACGTGCAAGAATCATAGCATCATCCATGCTCTGGCTTCGCGGCCGCACAACCAAGTTGGCGCTCGGCTAGTGTTCCACCCTCCATTCCACGCCTGCCAGCTAATTCACACTTTTGGATTGGGAGATGGGGTCCAGTGATTCGCCAGGCGTTGCCGAACCCCTCGTTCGAAAAGGGCCACCAACTCGTTTGTCCGTACTCGACGGCATGTGTCTAGATACGATGAAGAGGTCTCGGGTCAGCGAGTTCCAATGCAGTGAGGAAATCATCGTCTACGGTTGCGTATAGGAGTCCCCAGCATTTGGGTGTCATAGCTCGCAACAAGCTCGCTGAGGTAGTCAGAGTTCGATGAAGTCATTGCTTTTTTTGGCGGAGCTTGCCACATAGTGGATTTTGTGAACTAAACTTCAAGTACTAAATCACTGTTCGCCTCTCATTCTTATCTTCAGTTCTTCAGTTCGTAGCACAATTATTCTTGGGATTCTTCACTGCCTCTGGGGGCATTCTATTACCACTTTCATTCACATCTCATACAAACCAACTCACCAGGGCAATGGCAGGCCTGCTCTGGCACAGGGGCTCAGACTGGAGAGAAGTATGGGACTACTCATTCAAGTGGTCAGATAAACACCTTACATCTGACGACCTTCGACCTTTGATATATACATACGATGAGCTAGGAGCACAAGCTCTGGACCGGCTGGATGAGATATCACCTCCCGTCAAGCCACCGGTTTCAAGTGAGAAAGGAGACAACTCACCGAAGGGAAAACCCCCTCATCGCGATCTCTACGCTCTCTTGAAAGAAAATGCCAGCTCGGATGAGGTATTGGGGAAACTCTGGGACGAAGTCACAACCATTCCAGACTGGGTAGACTGGGCTCAGATCGAGCGTGGGCAAAGGGTCTTCGTCCGCTATGCTGGGCCCGCCATTTTCGCTGCAAGTTTCTCCCTTGAATAAGCATCATCTATGTCGCTGTTCACTAACACTTCATGACAGCTCACATTCCAGTCTCTCGTAGGCGGCTTTGGAGGTCGCCGTGTAGTCGAAACTCTTGCCCGAACGGGTGGCTTCGGCGTGAAAGTAACGCGTCGCCGCCTCCTTGAGACCTTCCAACACATTCTCCAAGTAACCCGCGACCTGCCCTCGGTCCAACCTGGCGGCGAGGGCTTTGCATCCTCAGTGCGCGTGCGCCTCCTTCATGCAGCTGTCCGCAGACGCATCCTCGCCCTCGCCCGCGAGAAGCCGTCATACTACGACGTTGAGGCATGGGGTATTCCAGTCAACGACCTAGACTCCATCGGCACCGTCTCAACGTTCTCGGCAACGCTCATCTGGATCGGACTCCCACGGCAGGGCATCTACCTCACCGACCGAGAAAAAGAAGACTACGTTGCACTCTGGCGCTGGGTCGCACATATACTGGGGACGCCGACAGACGTCTTCGAGTCCGTCGGCCGCGCGCGAGCGATGATGGAGTCGCTCATGGTTTCCGAGATTGAGCCCTCTGATACCTCGAGAGCGCTGGCGACCAACGTGTTGTCCGGGCTAAGCAACCAGCCGCCGTCGTACGTTTCCAGAGACTTTCTCGCTGCCGAGACATACTGGCTCAACGGGGCCAAGCTCGCGCGCGCTTTGGGTGTCGAGAGGCCGCCGTTTTACTACAGCCTCCTTGTCCTCGGCCAATGTATCTTCTTCATGGTCATGTGTTACTCTCACCGTTTGTTTCCAAAGTGGGACGAGGCCCGCGGCAAGGTAACTATCATCCCATTACAAATATCAATTTTTGGCACTTACAAGCGACTACCTCGGGGACTTACATGTCGCCTCAAAGCCGATGGGGATGGCGACGAACGTTTGAGTAAGCAGACTCAGCTGACATATTTTCCAGAAACTCCAAAAGGGCCTCTTCAACATAACGATCAACAAACCTGAACTCGGCGCATTGGGAAAGGAAACCAACTTCGAGTTCAAGTACATCCCAACTCTCGACATGATGTCTACCGAAGTTGCGGGTAGTTCCTACCACGTCAACGACAAGGCCAACGACGTCTCGTCCCCGACGCGGCGTGGGGTACGCAAAACCGAGCGACGGAACCTCGCGGCCCTCATCCTGGCCTCCGTCGTCGTGGGACTTCTCGCTTGGTTAGGTGTGAAGAGCGCCTCAGCGCTGTTTGGGAGACTCGCCGGGATCGTCGTCACCACCCGGCGGTGACGCACTGTTAGCTTAGCCCCAGGTGCGGAGCAGAGCAAGCAAGGTCAGGAAACTTTTTGGCGCAGAAAGCGGCGGGCTGATCCCCGACTGCGGGCATTGTAGTGTATCCCGACTGGCTTGGTTGGCCGGCATATCGACCCGACCGGGTTTGGTCCGCGTTCCGTAGGGCACTTTGCTTCGAAGTGTACGTACTTTGTTTTTTCGGGTGCATATGTTGGATCACTTAATCCTCCAGAGTTGTTTTCGCGACGTCGATCACTGCATCTGAAGATCAAACAGCTCTGGCTTTGTGTCTTTTTTTTGTGGGTTCTTGGGACGTCAGTTTCTCCACGGCATGAACGTCGTTGCTTCATCTTTGGAAGGAGCATGGGCCTTACAAGTCATGTTGAGACAAGACACAAGTGATTTAGGGACTAATTGATTATTGGTTGGTAATCAGTTTGTTTTGTTTCGCTGACCGTTCAGTGCGGTGCGAAGGGGGAATCTAGTGTACAAAAAAAGGTGTCCGTTTGCTCCAAAGAGCCGGCACATTGATAATGAAGCTTTTTACCATGGCTCAGTAGGTGGCCATTTCTCCGCACAGAGTCATTCCAATATCCATCAATCGAAAACAATCCTCTCCGACCCTGTATGCGTGCCCATCTTTCCCTTATAAACGCCGTCGCAAAGAAATTCCCAAGTGAAGATGCTAGATGCGCCCAATCCTGGTCACTGCATTATCCATATCATGTCCCAACGCCTGAACAAGCTCGCTCGGTAAAACATTCATTTCCTCATGCGCAGTGCATAAGCTCCACGGGGGGACGGGAGGTGTGCGCCATGATCGGCTTGGTGTCGATGGGGCTGATGTCCATGGGCTCGTCCGCAAAGTCCTCGAGGCAAATGGCCGGGAGGTCTGGACTGCAGCCCTGGGCATCGGGCTTGTAGAGAAGAGTAGAGCTGCGGCTGCGAGTTTGCTGAACACCGTCAACGGGGCTAATGGGGGTCTCGACGCCGGAGGGGCGGTGGTTGAGCTTGGCAAGCGCCTCGGCGAGGTCCTCAGCGTGAACCATCTTGTTGGGGGCATCCTCGAGCTTCATCTCCCAGCCGTGAGGGGGAGAGGGAGGAGGAGAGATAAAGAAGAGCTTGCCGGCGTCGGGAAGGGCAAGGTGACGGTCAGTGACCTCGACAGGAGTAGGCTGGCCGAAGTAGACGCGAACACGCTCGCCCATGATAGCCTCGCTGTCCCAGATGCGGCGGACGGCAATAGCGTCGTCTTCAGAGAAGAAAGAGACGACAATGCGGCGGAAGGACTTAAGAGGTGCCCATGAGTGGATGGGGGCCGTCTTGGAAACGAGGTCGCGAATGGTCTGCAGGTTATCGGGGCGGAAGATGTTGGTGTCGTTGAGGTTTGTGAAGAGGAGAGTGTTTGAAGGCGGTGTCGGCTGAACCAGAGGCGGCAGGGAGGAAAGGTCGAGGGAAAGAGACTTGGAAGAGCCTGTTGAGCGTCTCGAGAAGATAGGGCGGGTATCTGACTTGGGCGACTCCATTTTGTGTGGTTGGAAGAGTAGCAAGATGTGTGGTGGGGTGTGGTTGTGTATTGCGATGTTGATAGAGATGCTGAGGCTCGTTCTTTTATGGCGATGATGCTGTCAAGCTGTTGAGGTAACCCGGCTTGTTTGCAGTAAGCGAGTCTTAGATTGTGTGTATGTCTTTGTTTGTTTGGTACTTGGAATAGAGAATGCAAAATGATGGTAGTCTGCGGGAGGCGGTCTTAGTTATATGTTAGGCGTGCCGACGTGGGAGTGGCTGCGCAGTGTAGTCGGTGCTTGGCTGCTGGGGCAGGCGGAGTGTGGGATGGATGGCTGAGTGGGAGTGGACCACAAGACTGTGGGAGGGGGGTGTGTCTGTGTGATGAAACGGGAAGGCCACACGGACTCACAGGCCCGTTTGAAGTTTCGCCGCCTTCGAGCCGTCACAGTGGTGGGGACGCTGCAGCGATGTGGTTCCTTATCCCTCTGACCCAGTGGCCTCCCAGCAAGGTCAGCCAAGCCAAATAGACCGGATCGGATGAGAGGTTAGGTACCGTAACGCTATGCCAGTCAATCTAGGTCAACAGGTACCTGAAAGAGAAGAAAGGGAAGGGCCCTGAGTGCTTGCAGCTACTCTAAGCACAGAGCATGCTAAGCACAGTGTCTATGTTAGCACAGGACACTTAGCAGGACCAGCACGCCGGCAGAATGGGGCTGTGCAAAAGCAAAAATTCTTTTTTTTTTTTTTCTTCCGTCCCCCTCTCTCTCGCGCTCTCTACCGCTCCAGTAGGCTTGGCAGTTTACTGCCTAGGTTGGCAAATGGATTCTGATGACTTTGCTGACCCGGCCGGCCTATATTCCGTCCACTCACACACAGCGCATAACACACACACCGCAGTAGTTGTAGTGATGCCGCCCTCTCTGTGCCTGTCGGACTCTTTCCCAAATAGTGAAGTAGAACCTGATCCTCCTGCAGCGTACCGCGGTTGCGATTGCGGTTGCGGTTACGGTTACGGTCCACGAGGTTGGAGTGGCACTAGAGAAATGTTCCATTGTGGACTGGACTCTGTTAAGTGATGTATGTGGAGCCAAGACAGGCTCTGGTTTGTTCGCCCCGCCCGAAATCGAATTGTCGAGAATCCCATTCGCCACCCCAGCCATACCCTTAGTACACATAGTAGGTGTAGTACACTGCGTGACTGCTACATCCCTCAAGGGACAAGCACTTTGCCGCAGTTGCTCTCTCTCACCTAAACGCCCTTAGCAATAGGAGCGCAACTAACGACAGGCTTCGCCCAGCTGGTCATGGTTGGTACGTACTGTTACGGTAGCGGCGCCATTTATCTCCGCCTCAATCGGTAATTTCCACTCTGATTACCGACACCAAACGTGTCTCGTGAGGTTGAGGGCGGTGCTTTTCATTCCACGATTCCAAGGGCAACTGACCTGCCTGTTGACTATACGTATACCATTTCACAGGCCTCCCCATGCAGCACGCCTGCCTGCCATGGCCATCCGTTTCCCCCACGCTCAACTCAACGAACCTGGGCGCAGGTCACTAAGTTGTGCCAATGACGGCAGACCCCCCCGGGCCTACGGATACTAGTCCTGACTGCCCTGGCGAGGAAACAGCGCCTCGACCCGCTAATTGGCCGCAGCCGCCATCGGCGCATCGCCTTGTCTCTGACCCTGTTAACCAACCCCAAGGGTTATGGGCTCACGATACGATACGTTCAGAACCATACCACACACCCCTGTGACACTCCCTCTGGATCCCTCCTCCCTCTCGAAAGTACTTCGTTCTGGTTTTCCAGCGTCATCCCCTATGCCGCACTAGACCCTCCTCGAGGCGTCGTTGCAAAAGAACTTAGCAGAAGGAACTCAGCACAGCAACCACAGGCAGAAGACGCGCACTATGGGGTCAGCCGCCGATTACGCCCTCCGCTCCTTATTCGCTCTCCTCTCGCCTTCCGAAGGCTTGGGATTTGGGTTACCTCTACATCCCTACATGGGCTCCCGCAAATGCAATTGAACTTGCAGCCATCTGCAGACAGACAGCTGCAGCTTTAATCCGGTCCAGACTCGGGCATATTCCGAGTCCTAATATTGCCATCGGATTTGTTCCCTCAGTTGTTATTTGCCAGTTGCTATCTCGACAACACATCTCCCCGCTCTGGCGCTATCGGGCCCAAGAGTTGAGAAGCCAGGGGTTCGGAGTTCCATCCCCACATTGTCAAACAATCAAGCCGTCCTAGAAAGTGACTAGGGGCTGTGTAACGATCTTTGTGCTCACACGACAGTTTGCCGTCATGATGCTGAGGCACTTGTTTAATGTACTCACGACACCTGTATATTGCGGCCTGGTGTTGGGTTCGGGGCGCCGCCTCCTTGGACCACTACGACAGCTAAGCCGCCAAGGTCGCTTCTGCAGCTTTTGCTTCCGAGAAAGTTGACTGTTGTCAGGCCATAATGCTGCTAATGGTTGCGGTATGTTTTGTTGGTCTTGGCCTGCCAATTCGTCACCTGCAGGAATACGCTGTACGGGGCTGGGCTGGATAGCGAAGGTGCAAGACCCTATCAACAACCGCAGCAATTCTGCCATGATTACAGTTTCATGCCTAAGCACCACGAGTCAGAATAATTGAGGCGATTGAGGGCAAGGCTCTTCGCCTTCCATTGTGACGAACACTTGTAATGTGGTTCCAAAAAGCCTAGCGGTTGTCAATTCCTCGCCCAGGCTCCGCCCGGCAGTATACGAATCGCCCTACGCAGAGCCCTCCGCTCAGCCAGCTCTGGGGCAAATTGCACTGAACCTAAGCCCCTTCTCAACGCCGCCGAACAGACAAGACAGCGCGCGCTCATCCGATCCCAAGCTTCCACAAGCCACAATTGGTCTCCGCAGGCCATGGGATGGGAGGGAAATTTGCATTCAATAGCGTTATCACCTCGCCAAAGCCATCCGTCGCAATAAAATGCCTCTCCTCAGTGTACAGACATTCGATGTCTCAACTCAAATGATCCGGTAACACGCCGAATTCCTTCTTCCGCGCCTCCAGACACGGAATACTGGCCGAAAAGAAAAAAAGGAAGAAAAAAAAGGTGGTCAGCAAGTTCTCGGTTCCCTCGCGATCTGGAAACGAGGCTGTGCAGAATACCAAGACTTCCGACCTGCCAGATTGATGTTTCGCTCTGCAATCGGCTTCCCCAGACACCGTTCTAGGCCAAGACTTTTTGCTTTCCTGCATTCCTGCGCTCCGCATGCAGTGCTGCACTCCAATGTCCTTCTGGCTGACGCTTTGATTTATCGGGAAGCTGTTGCCCTGCCGAGGAGGTTGTACCTTTGGTGAGAGAAGTTACAACCTGCATAGACGAAATCAACAGCCGACCCATTCACATCCCTCTCCCCTTGTTTTCTATTGTCTCGAGTGCTCTTCGCTGTTGGTCTTCCAAACTAGTGTACTGACATTCATTCTCTTGTGGAGTATGGATTGCCAATAGTGATCCGCAACCCTTAGGAAGTAAACCCGCGAACCGTTTGGTACCGTTTTTCTCTCAGGTCCACCTTACTTTCTGCCACCTTACTCTGATGCGCTTAGCCGACGGTCTCCATACTATTTCATCGCGGGGACCCTCCCTGGCTACAAGGAAATGCTTGCCCAAAGAGATGACCGCCTGATAAACTTCTCATCAAAGTGCACCTGAAGCATGGCAAACTTATCTCATCCCGTTTGAACTTATCACAAGGAACCCGCTTGGGGAAATCGGTTGCAATCTGCCAACAGTCACACCTGACCCGAAAGGAGCTGGCTAGCCAGCTGTTGGGCATGGGGGCGTGGCTGAGCTGAGCTCTCGCAACTAGAATTTCTACTTCCCATACGTTGCAAGCAACAGACTGAATCTCCGCCCTATCTCGGGAGACATGAAACTGGCTTGCCAAAACCGTCCCAACTTGATGGGACGACGGGACCAAAGGTCTGCCCTCCTTCAAAACGCTACTGCGCTCGCCCGGGCATTGTAAGTTTGCGGATGATACAATCGATCTGCAACCCCGGCGTCACTGCCTCAGATCCCTTCAACAATCGACTGCTCGCATCCGAGCATAATGTTAATCATTCGAGAAACCTGGCAGAACAAACAAGGCACCGCAGATCCGCCTGCCGAAATGCCCCGGCGCCCGGGCGCTATGTTGGGTTTAAAATGTTTCCGCGGTTACAAGGCTGTACGGCCCGGTGCTGCACAGCACGAGTCTCCCTGCAACGGGTTCCCGAGAACGAACATCAAACGAACAAGCCAAAGGGACAGATATATGTAAGTGGACGGATACAAGGGGCCTTACAAGTCCCCGAAGTTGCCCTGAACTCTGATCTCGCAAATCATGGTTGATCCACCAAGTGCGGCTTTATAGTACAAGTCGTTCTATGATACATGGTGTGATATGATCACGGTACGAGAAACCGGCTGCTTCAACTAGGGCATAGATACAAAAAATCATGCCGTCGGGGCTTGGCAGCAATTTTCTCACGACATCTCAAGCGAGGTGCACAACTCACACCAATCTGCTATGGGACGTCGACCCCCGTTCGCGGGGATTCACTCCAATGGGGTCTTCCCGTTCTTTGCAAGACTGGCAAACTGTGTTGGCTACACAGCCCCCTTACCCCTCAACACTCGACGTCAAGCGCCGTCACTCTTTTACCGGATCTCGACACCCAGCTTTTCCACTAATTTCCGGGTAACTTCGCTATGTAACTCGTTCGTCTCTTCGTTGGTCAGGGTGCGCTCCAGACTGCGGTAGTTGATGCGATAGCACATGCTGCGCCTTCCGGTTTTGGGGTGGGTAAACTCGTCCACAAGCCGGACGTCTTCGACACGCTCGCCGGCAATATCGCGAACCAGTTCCATGAAGTCGTTCTCGTGGAAATCCTGAACGCTGGCTTTGGTGTTTCCACCCGCTGCCGATACACTGCGAAGCCAGAAGGACACGTCCTTGTGACAGGCCGGGTACTTGGAGAAGGGCACAAACCGCTTCATTGAGTCGAGCTTGTCAGACACGCCCTTAAACTGGCTCAGGAATCTCTCATCCTGCGACCAGAACAGGCGAATGTCAGGGATTTGGAAAAGGAGCATGGCAATGCGTTCGAGGCCAATGCCAAAAGCCCATCCAAGCTGATTCGGCACCCCGGCATTGATGCAGATGTCCTGCTTCACCACGCCGCATCCCAATACCTCAAGCCAGTCACCCGCATAGTAAACCTCAAGCTCCCAGGAGGGGCTGGTGAAGGGGAAGTACGCCTCTACCCAGCGAACTCGCAATGGCTCGTCCTTGTAGTTAGGGTCCGCCTTTGCGGCAGCAGCCTTAGCCCTCGTAAATATTTCAACCACCATGACCTCCAAAGAGCGCTTCAGATGAGCACCAATTGCCTCAGCCTCAGCAGGCGTGTGGTGTCCCTCCTGCAAGGGGTTTCGTTCCGCGTCAAAGGCGGGATGCGGGTCCTCGACCTTTACATCGTGTTTCGGCAGCTTGTTGATATCCTCCCACACCGCAGCCGCAATATCGCCATTGGGCACCTTGGTCCGATCCCACATGCGTGCGCCTTCCATCTGGTGGAAGACGGGGTAGTGACTTCTGTCAATGGCATCTCTTCTGTAGACGTCGGCGCTAATAAGGTAACCCTCGCTAAGGTTCTGCTTGAACGTCTGCGCCTGGTGCGCACTAGTGTGCGTCCTCAAAAGTGTGCCTTTGTTGAAGTAGTAGGTGTCGGATTTGGCACGGCCAGGGTGGTCCAAGGGAAAGCCTAGCGAATCGAAATTCTGGTGTGTCGAGACGACAGGGTCGAAGGTGTTGTGGTACTTGTACGTCGGCGCTGGGAATTGCGACTCGATGATCTGTCTCGTTATGTATACGGGGTGGTCCTTTTGGAGGTGAAGCTTGCGCGTTGCCGCATCAAGCACGTTCTTGGGGACGTTGAACCATTCGTCCGTCGTGATTGTTTGGCCGTTGACCTCGATGGTCTTCTTCTGGCCGAGAGACTGCGAAATCGCCGAGGGCTCTGCCAAAAATAGCTTTCAGTAACTGCCATAGCCTAATGACTATGGGTATATGTCTGACCTGAGGAGTAGGCGCGCCGGTTACTCGACAATAAGGCGAGGGTCTGCCATTGTCGAGGAGCTCCGGAGCAGATGGCGCCACGGAAGCAGCTGTGCAATTGCCTGCCGGCTAATCTGGGAACGAGCATTTTGAAATGCATAAGCCTTTGATAAGATGCAAAGGCACTTGGATTATGTGCTCATAACGGGCACCAGCAAGGCGTCGGGAGTTGTTGCGGCTGACACGACAATCACGGCCTTTCGCAAAAGGGAGCTTTACACAATCAAGAGGTCGATCACCAGAAAACTGTCGGGACGCACGGACCAAGGCCGTCTCGTCTTTTCCACTTGGGGGGCGCTTGACGGCGCAAGGCCTGCCGACCCGGCGCAGGGTTCTGGAGATGCTTAGCGCATGGCACCCCTGCAGGTGTGCCATGACGCAGCAAACACAGCAGCCAAGGTCGGTCACTCTGCGCCGACAAAAAGCGACCCAGCCGAGAGAAGGGGGGAAAAACACACTACCAGGACCGAAAAAAAAAAGTTCGTGATACACCGAGCCGAACGAACCATTCGGCTTCTTCCTCCCACCACCACTACCCCGAAGTCGGCTTTTCTAGCACTAGACGTCACCGCAACAAATAGTGACGTTCTCCAACTAAGTTGCCGACACAACGCCAAACTGAACCTTGCTCTTGGCTTGTATAAACCTTTGACCACCGTTGGAGGTTTTATCGCGACGCAAGTTCAATTGCGCCGCAGCGGGATGAGCTTATCAAGAAGGATTGCATAACTGCAAGAATGCAGTCCACTGCCAATATGGTCCCAGCAGCCGCCAGCAAACCGGCCGACGAGCCTTCATCGTCCTCCTCGTCGCCAGTGAGGGCGGTGCAGCTTAACAATCAGGAGGGACAGCAGGTTCAACAGAAACAGGCGACTGCATCCACACAGAAGAAGAAACCGGATAACTCTCTACGATACCCCTTTTGGTTTGGAGGCAGTGCCAGCAGTATGGCGGCCTGCGTAACTCATCCCCTGGACCTGGGTAAGTTTGTTCCCTCTGCTTGCGCGCCCTCGGCAGGAGGTGCATGATGAGTAGCAGTGACATGGCGATGTCGGAGTTTACAGTATACTGACAATGTCTCAGTCAAGGTATGCATTTGCTCGAACAATAAACGCCGACTACGCTGCGAAAGTCGGCGGCATAACGATATGCGAACACATACTTACAAGATGCTTCTAGGTCCGCCTTCAAGTCCGCCGTCCCGATGCCCCCAAGAACATGGTTGGCACGTTTGCCCACATTGTCCGTAACCACGGAGTGACCGGTCTCTATAACGGCCTCTCTGCCTCCCTCCTCCGCCAGATGACCTACTCAACTGTCCGCTTCGGTGCCTACGAAGAGATGAAGGTCCGCATGACCCGCGAGAACGGCGGCAAACCCCCGAAATTCCCGGTACTCGTCGCATTGGCCTCGGCGTCCGGCTTCATTGGCGGCATATCTGGCAATGCCGCTGACGTGCTTAACGTGCGTATGCAACAGGACGCCGCTCTCCCACCCGCAGAACGCAGGAACTACAAGCACGCCCTGGAAGGCATGCTGCGCATGGCGCGCGAGGAGGGCATCATGAGCTGGTTCAGGGGTGTCCTGCCCAACAGCATGCGCGCGGCGGCCATGACGGCGTCGCAGCTTGCATCGTATGATACCTTCAAGGGAATGCTGATCCGGCATACACCCATGGGCGATAACCTCACCACGCACTTCACCGCGTCGTTCTTGGCGGGCGTGATGGCCGCGACGGTTACAAGCCCCATCGACGTCATCAAGACTCGCGTCATGTCTGCGAGCACGCAAGAGGGGCTCGCGCATACCCTGGCCAACATTTACAAGCACGAGGGCCTGGGGTGGATGTTCAAGGGCTGGGTGCCCAGCTTCTTGAGACTTGGACCGTGAGTTTTTTTTAGTTTTTTTTTTTTTCCTTCTCGGCTTTCCCTATTCCTCCATTCCCCTTATTTACTTTAGTGGATTTTGTTACTGACTTCTTTCTACCAGTCAAACCATCTGTACATTTGTCTTCCTAGAATTTCACCGCACAGCCTATAGAGCGGTGGCCGACGTTGGCGGAGACGACGCCATCTAGGGGTAGCATTAGACTTGAGCATTTTAGACAGTGCATCTGTTATTAAGGCGGGGAGAGGCGTTGGAAAAGAGGCAATCTGCTGCATTTGACAGGAGTCTTGGGATACATAAAATAAGAGAAACTTGGAACACTTTTTTTGTTCTTTTCCCATTTCTCTGGACGTACACGCGAGTTGAGTCGTTTGGTTGTGCGTTGTATTAGAGGTATTTAGAAAGGGCAGGGATGTATTTTTTTTCTTTGAGTTGCCCATATCTCTCCCGACTCCCCTCTCTCTCTCTAAATCCTCGGCTTTTCCCCCCTTTTGATTGCTTTCCAATTGTCCTTTTTCTGAGCGACGTCCTAGCCCTTGCGGACGTCTATAGGCCGGTCTTAGAGCCAAGTACATGTGCCAGGTAAACTTGTTGACAGAGAATCAGACACAACCCTCCACTCTTATCCATTTGATGCTTCGTCGCATACCTCCCAGGCCTGGTCTTCAGTTACTTATACAGCAAACCCAGAATTGCTTATTTTATGATAATTAGCCAGCTTATACTGATACTGGCTTCCGCAACCCTTTGCAAAACTCCATTGCCGCCCATCTTTCAAGAGTGATCATTAACGCCTTTATGTAATTGTTTTTGTTCATGTTTAGTTCCAGCCGGATTGTCCAGATGCTCCGTACGGTGTGGTGGTAGCATAGGGGGTTGTCGCGTTGCCTCCCCATGAGCTCTGGCCGCCGCCACCGTTGAAAGGCGTCGTGTAGCCCTGATCCTGCCCCCATGGATTACCGCCATCCATATCCAGGTTGGGACTACGCGGGCCATCGAAGTCGGCCATGCCGTCATCGTCCGCCTCACCAGTGAGCATGTGCAGTAGCAACGCCATCTTCTCCTGGATGATCTTAATGCCCTCCTGAATGATCTGGTCCGGTTCGAGACTGCCAACGCCTTCAACCTCGAAGTAGAACTTCTCAGGCACCGCGTCGTAGTCGAACGGCTCTCCCTCCTGAGGAGGATCTTCCATCTTTGCATACTTGCTCTCGGGCCTGTACAACAATAATCAGCCATCGCGCGCTGTGACCCGCCACTTCGATATTACTTACCATTCCGCCTTCGCATCCTCTTCGTACCACATATCCAAGTGATGCAGCTTGTTATGGGGGTCATATTCGAAGCCGACAGCAGCCGTGGGCATCCATTTCGCGTGCTCCTTAGCGATTCCCTTCTTCGCAATGCAAGACACCTTAAGTTCTTGCCCCTTGCGCAATTTGCAGATCAAAGAGCCCAATCCATCAGGATCCATAATAACAGGGTTTCCCACGGTACCGTTTTGTCGGAAACTGTCGACAAGGAGGTCGCTCGCGTAAACCTTCATAGTCTCGTCCGAGGTACAGCGGGCGTGGAGGGTCAGCTTGACGCTACAGTTATCGCAGTACTGTTCGCAGTCGCAATCACGGGAGTAAAGGAGACTGTTGGCGTCTTTGGAGTGGAGTGGGATGAGACCGAGACGATGCGCGATGAACTCGTCGGCAAGAACCGAGGTGTTGGCCTCGATTTCAACCAGGTCAATGGCGATCGTAGGAACCTCGGCCTGGATGACGCGACGCAGCGAGTTGGCAAAGGAGAGGTCGCAGTTGGAGAGGTCGAAGTTGACGTGAATGTTGTCAGCCTAAGCGGGCGCCGGGCCGTTAGCAACAAGGTCTCCTTTAAGAAGATGAAGGCATAGAGTTTACCCCCGAGATCTTGATCTGCGGTCCTCCGGACTCGCCGTCCAACAGCATCGGCTCGTACTCCATCGTGCCTTCGCTCTGTCGGGACGAGGACTAGCCTAGGTTTCACGAGGACTGAGATGGTTTGCAAAGTAATAAGATAGCACGAGCTCTTGTGCACAGTATAGCCGGTAGGCGGTCCCTTGTGACGAGGATGGTCGGCGTATGTGGGTTAAGGCAAGTCGGTGATAGCTAAGCAGTGGGGGAGGCTGAATGGATATTTTTGCGACAGGAGGCAAAGACAGGCACAGGCGCGCTCCCAATTGGAAGTTACAGCCACCGTGCTTGCCTGGCGTTTCTGGCTGGCCTTGCCTTGGCGCTAGTCTTATCGATAAAGCTGGTTCCGGTCCCTTCATTCATCCGCCCCGTGATGGAGCTCCTGTTAAGCATGATGATTGGTCGCCAAAGTTTCCCGTGTGACCGGGGGCCAAAGGGACGGCAATTCCGTCACTTGGCCATCCCGATAAAATTTCATTCCCTCTTAAAAGCTCCTCCGTACACGCGACAGTCCCTGCATCGCCCCCCGATCTCACCAATTTCAATACTCCTCCCCCCAAATCCTCCATTCAACAGAATAACCCACCACAATGTTCAGACAAGCCATCACTACCTCCTCCCGCGCTGTGCGCTCCGGCCTGCGCACTCAGGTGCCCAAGTCTGCCTTCCAAAATCAGTTCCAGAGCTCCCCGGCTTTCAGGATACGTGCCGCTCAACCCGCCGTTGCGAGGTGGTACAGCGATGCCAAGGAGACCACCGAGGCACCCAAGGAGGGTGAGAAGGCCGACGATGCTGAGTCTGCTTTGAAGAAGCAGTTGGAGGCCAAGGAGAAGGAGGCCGCTGACTGGAAGGTTCGTTGAAGCGCAATGCGCCTACCGATGTCGGCTCTGAGAAAAATAACCCATTGGCTAACATGCAATGCGATACAGGACAAGTGCCTGCGCACCATCGCCGACTTCCGCAACCTCCAGGACCGTACCCAGCGCGAGGTCAAGCAGGCCCGCGACTTTGCCCTGCAGAAGTTTGCCAAAGATCTCGTTGACAGCGTCGATAACCTCGACCGCGCCCTCTCCACTGTCCCCAAGGAGAAGCTCAACGCCCCCGAGAAGTCGGGCGATCTTCAGGACCTCGTCAACCTGTACGAGGGCCTTAAGATGACCGACGATATTCTCATGACCACCCTCAAGAAGCACGGCATTGAGCGTGTCGACCCTGAGGGTGAGAAGTTCAACCCCAACGAGCACGACGCCACCTTTATGGCGCCCCAGCCCGATAAGGAGGACAACACCGTCTTCCATGTCCAGCAGAAGGGCTTCAAGCTCAACGGCCGCGTCCTGCGCGCTGCCAAGGTCGGCGTCGTTAAGAACGCTTAAATACTTTCGTTATATTCAACGCCTGAACTGAATCCCTCCAATGGGTTCACGCACACCATAAACAAATTTCATGGGGCTGGCCGGCCGCTGGGAGGCATCGGCGGCTACAGCCCCCCTTGTACCATTATGTTCTACGATATTGTGTCGATTCCCGGAACAGCGAACTGGGCGTTCCGGTCGGTGTATAATGCTCCTCTCATGATGTTACAATAGCATGGCGGAAAAGGAGGCCATAATGGGATGGCCTTCGGTGGATGAAAAAGAAAAAGGATAGAATCTGGATGTGTTCTGTACATAGGTCTCGGAAAGGGATTCCGAGGCCTCGCGATTCTCCTCGAAACCTTTGATACAATTTAATCACCGCCTTGGAGACATAGTTCTCCTCGTTCTTTCATCACACCCAATTTCAAAGTTCCCAGACGATTATTTCGTGACTTCCGAATAGAATATCGTTGCAACATGCTTCAGCAATGCTCGAGGCGATTAGGCAGGCCCTGAGATGTCGATTCCCGTTCTCTCCACTCGGAGTTATCGTACTCAACCGTTAGCCAACAACAGACCGAAGCATTGCGTAAGACAAAAGCAAGAAAAGGGAATTGTCTGAAAACGCTTGGTCCACGATTGTCGACAGTGTCGGCTTGTAACGGTGTTAGTCAATGGCTCCACCACAAATTGATAATTCCCAGCTTGGCAGTACCTAATAGTCGACCGATGCGGGGAACGTGACCAGTAATGGGGTTTGATATCTCGACAATTGTTGATCGATGTGATCAAGCGAAAGAAAACGAAATGAGCCGAAGGTTTTCGAAGAGAGCTCCGAGGCTAGAGTGCCAGGGTTGGCTCCAACCTTAGCAATGCATGTTTGCAACCGCTCACTTTTGATGACAACCAGCTGGGGTGCAGTATGCAAGCCGACATCAATCCGCAAGGAGCAGGCTCTTGGGGCTAGCCTCTCAAAAACAGTCAACAAGATCCAAAGCTGCCAACTTGTTCCGAAAATGCTCCGAGACAGCCTTCCGGACCTCATCAGGGCTCGACAGCTCAGCTCTGGCGCACTCGTTTTTGATCTGCCACTCAAGTAGTGCCAACTCTGCCTTCATACTCTGATTTTGAGTTTGCGCGTGCTTGAGTGCGTCAAACTTGCTTTGTATTTCGTACCGCAGCTCATGTAAGTGCGCCGATACCTGGCGAAGAATGCGTTTGTGTCTGCGCTGGCGCATCGCCATTTCTTCTGCAGCCTTCTTCTGGAGCAGGTGATCAACCGTGAGCCTGATCTCGCGCAGTTCAATCTTTGCTCGCTCAATGGCGCCGCGCATTTGATCGTTCTCTCTTACGAGGTCTGCGTCCTGCGCTTTCCAGCGCGTAACCGTCTGCCATCGCTGTGAAATGATGAGCGGTGCATTCTGTGGCGCAACCCCTGCGACCCGGCGGCATGAAGAGGAATGGAGTGCTTCGAGCACCTCGGCGTCAGTATAGGGTCTTTTATGAATGTCTGCCGCGGCATCATCGGAATTACTAGACGACGAGACAGAGCGTTCGGAGGTGGTGTCTAAGGGCGTGATGGGGTCGGTAGCTTCTCGAAACTGGATTTTACGGAAGCGGCGAGCGGCTATGGGGTCCATTCGGTCGAAGAGGCCAAACCACCAGTTGCGCATTTTGTGCTTCAGAGTAACACCTGCGGGGATGTAAGAGATTGTGCTTCCAAAGGCAAGTCAAGATATGCTCACCCGGAGGATCGTATATAATGGAAGGCTCCGACTCGACTGAGTAGCAAGGAGTGATCCAGCCGCCATCGTTCTTGTCTCTTTGCAGCTGGAAGGACATTGTAAGTCTGTCCGTGGTGATACGTCTATCGTTGTCGTTAAGTGGCGTTGGAGGACGCAACCGCCGAGCCTGGGACTAAGATCAGCCTCATAGTTCAAACAGATTCCGCAGACAACTCACATCCTCGGCCATGAAGACTTGATTCGCCTTTGGGTTCCGCTGAGAACAGCCCTCTGCCAGCAAGCGAAAGGTGCAAGGAGAAAGGCGTCCTGATTCAGGATCGCCCTCATCATCTGAGATGTCATACTCCGTCACTAGAACGAGTAAGCCGTCTGTTCGAGAAACGTACATCAGCGTCCTCTTACCAAAATGACGGTCGCGGCCCAATGGCTGCTTGTAAGCTGGGTCGAGAACAGTAGCACTCGCGGGTATGTAATCCTTGAATTTATATCCCTCGAAGTTCGGTGACAAGTGCAAGTATCTGGGACGAGGGACTTCGTAGACCGGGTTTCTGTCCAATTCAGGCGGAGCATAGTCTTTCGTGGCCATATTGGCTTCCTTGAGCATCCTACTTGATTGTAAGCAACATAATCAGAGATTGAACGCTGCAACATACTTGGCGCAGTCATCCAAGCCTTGGTTCTCTCTGAAGCTGAAGCCAGACATTCCGGCAGTGCCCTTCCGAGTTGAATCCTGTGCTTCGGTACAAATATCGTCTCGCCCCATATTACGAGTATCTTCACTATCCTCCTTATTACATGAGAACGAGTCAACTCGTTCCTGGGAAAGCGTATTGCCTTCACTGGTGGTCTCATGAACTCTCTTGGCGGATTTGTTTATAGACTCGTACATGGCCTCATTCGCCTTGAGAACCATCCAGTTACGCAAAGGGTCATTGCCAGGGACTAACATGGGGCCTCGCATGGCATTGTAAGCCATCATTGTTGAGTCTGTTAACTTCCACGTCTTCTTATAGGGGTGGCCAGCAGAGCAGCCGGGGATTCTCGGACTGGGCTCGTCCGGACCGTAGTCGACTAGATTGCTCTGGAAAATCGACCAATCTTTCGCTCTTAGAGCACCACAAATCTTGAAATCGGCATTGTGAGCAGTCGACTCTGACGAGAATTAGCATTTGCCCAACACTTGACAAGGGTGACAAAGAGATGGATCTGAGAGTAAAATGCAGGGATACGATGAGTGTAGTAAATTAAGCAAGGGAACGCCGGAATGAAGAATAGCAAGAGAGAATAAGTAGGTGAAGTAATGAGAATGAATACCTTGACAAGCTAATAGCCGGTATGACGCATCTGAGGATGAAGAAGTAGCATCGTAAGGCCCATCCATCTCAGCCAGGTCGTAGTGAATCACCGTATCGGGAGCTGTTTCAATAAGCAGTGTGACTAGCTACAAATCGATATAAAACATACTAGAACAACGGTTGAGATGATCCAGGTTGTTGTCCTGCTCCCAATTACCGTATAGCACAGTACCCGGGATGTTCTGCATGAGACTGCCATGCTGAAGACGGTGAGGGCCGACATTTGACGTAACTTCATCGAAGCTGTTTAAATCGGTATTCTGGTGCATGTACACCTCCGAAATATCTGAATTGCTGTACTTGCTGTTTGCCGAATGGTTGAGTAGGAAGCTTGCGGAAGAGCCAACTTTGTCATCATCTTGCGGCGGCGTAGGCATCGACTCGCAAGAAACCTCCTCAATCATTGAAAGCTGATGAGGACTGTGGTCGCGAAAGGCGACAGGTTCTCCCGACATGGCTGAATTGATTGTTACAATTACCACGCGGCGAGAAATTCCCGGTGTCGTGAAAAGAGCAAGACCAAGAGGTTTTAGTACTTACTGGACTGATTCCTCTTGTACTGCCTGATCTACTCGTTAGCATCCGTATATGCATTGCCGACCAACCTTGAGGAAAACAAAACCCAGGATTTTTCTGTGAGATTAAACCACTCCAGATGCAATTGTGGTAAGAAGCAAAGAGAGCAAGCGGCACCAGTCGTAAAATCGAGCTGTAGGCCGAATCGCTCGAGGGAGGTATCCAATGAAACCCACCAAAGCTTCAATGCTGGAAGAAATATCAAGAGCCTTCAGCACTCCAAGAAACAAAATCTCCTTGGGTGGCTGGAAATGGTTGATCGAGGCAAGGGAAGGAAATGGTGGGATGGTGAGGCGAAGGAATGATCTTGGTGTATAAATCGTCAGGATGTGTCAGTGAATTTCATTCCGAATTTGCATCCCTTGGCTACACGCAGAGCAGTTTTCAAAGGCAGTCTTTGTTCTAACCTTCTCTAAGTGATTTGATTCTCGTTCACCCTCTCCTCTGCAGCTGCAGAACTGCTGATGCCAGTTACGACCGAAGCAGCTTGTTTTCAGGCCGTTATCATTAATAATCATTACTGCAGATGGTTCATTGGCTCCAAGTCAAGACTAGATACCCTAGAACATATAGCAGCTGAAACCGTCGGTATGTGTATGTAGTTGGAACTAGAGACAGAGACTCCAAGCCTTGGATAAGCCTAGATCTTACTTCTGAGCTCACGGGAAATACCCCTCCTAGGAAGTGCAATAGCCATTAGGGCCTGTTAAAAGTCCGATTTAACGAGTCGGTGCAGGGGATACGGTATAAATCACAGAGTCATACGGCATATCAACCCGTCCAACGCATGGAGGCCATTGAAGTAGGGGCAAACTTTCCGTCGAATGGAATGGAATATGGCCATCAAAGAAGGTAGGTTTCTTTGACAAGGTGCAAAAAGCTGGCAATACAGTGTATGTTCTGCTCAATGACAGTTTCTTGTACAAAGCATATAGTATGTAAGCGCACAAGGTCCAGGATACCAGAAGCTGATCCCCCACCAATCCCAAATACTTGATCATCCGTGCCATGCTGTGTTGGCAGACTGTGAAAGAGTCAACACAGCCAAATCTAGATCGTTAAAATAATCATTACAGTGACTCTGCACAGTCAATATAGCCCTATTTCTTTCCTTTTCCCTTCGCTGTCGATGCTTTTCCTTTAGCTTGGCCTTTCTTTGGCTTGGCGTCAGCATCGTCGTCGTTCTCATCGCCTGCGGCCTTGACCTTTTTCGTGGCTCTCTTAGCCTTGGGCTTGGGTTGCTTGATATACTTGTCACCCTTGAGGTCAAGCTCGTCATCTTCGACAGCATCGGCAGGTTCAACAGCTTCGGCATCGTCCTCCTCCTCAATGGCTTCCTCAAGATCAGGTGCTTCCTTAGCAGCCTTCTTCGGAGCCAGGACATTACTAGCCTTCATGAAAGGGATGGGATGGGACATGGCATTGTAGCTGCGTTCTGTTAGTTATCGAAAATGGTTTACAGAGGGGCTGTTACTTACGTGCGCGTGAAAGCTGCCTTGGTTTTTGACTCGATCTCAGCTTGGCCTTCAGCTTGCGGTCCAACGCCCAGCTCTTGAATGGCGTCGAAGTCATCGCGTGTTAAATAGTAGCTGTCCATCAGTTGGATAATTTCATCGACACAATCCTTGCCCTCCACAGCCAAACGACGAATGAGCTGGTCCCAGAGCACTGGCAGGTATTGCTGACGAATTTCGTTGGCATCGCCTGATGATCTGAGGCGCATGTGGGAGTGCAGCTCACGAACATAACGGCCCAGTTTGCCAGTCTTGCTGTTGTTGCCGAGCCAGGATGTGAAGTTGGAGCCCATAAGTTGGCCGGCAACGAAGCTTGAGGGTCGGACGGTGCTGAAGACCGCATGGGTGGGCATAAGACTCCATTGTTGTTGCGGTCCGTGGATCATGCGGTCAACCAAGTCTCCGTCACTAATGCTTTCAGCTGCCTGGTCAACAAGTTCGAGGTACTTGAGGTTCTCCTCTCTCTTGTTGTATCCTTTGTGGTTGAGTGCCATGGGCTTGCTTCGGAGATAGTTCTCTTGAATCATAAGATAACTAAATTCGTGGTCGTTGAAGTACAGTTCGATCTTCTCATTCAAGGTTGTTTTGCTGGCCGGAGTAAAAAGCCCGCCTGCAAGCATCTTCTGGCAGATATCCCAAGGCTTCAGAATGACATGCTTTTCCCAAGCCTTTGTCATCGCTTTACCCTGATCGTAGTTCATCGATGCCTGGTCGAGCTTGGCTGTAGATATCATGTTAATGATTTGTCGAATGTCTTTGTTGCTGCCTTCGATAAGAGCATCTATCACCGGCACTGGCAACTTCAGCCCTTCACGATGGCAAATCGTCATGATACGGGACCGAACTTGCTCCACTGTTGGGCGTCTGAAGGGAATATCCATGGCCACGAAATCGAAGGGCTTCATCTTAGGCAGTTTGCGCTCGTTGCAAATGAGGATGAGTGGAACCTCAGTTTTCTTGCAGAACTTTGCCAGCGCGCCAACGCCGCCACGGTCACCAGCGGACATTCCGTCGACTTCGTCCATAATCAACACAATGTTTTTCTTTTCACCGTCGACCTTCTTGCCATCCCCGGCAAAAAAGCCGAGCAGTGACGTGTTGTTCATGACGTCGCTCACTCCATTCTCGACGAGCTTCTTGCTGCGTGTGTCACTGGCGTTGCTCTCAATAACGTCAAAACCCTCAAGTTTAGCAGCAAGGTGGGCAGAAGTTGTCTTGCCAATCCCAGGAGGGCCCGAAATGATGATGGCACGCGTACCTCCCATACCATCTGCGCCACGTTTTTGGAAGTCATATTTTCTCGACTTTGCCCAGTTCCTGAGCCAAGCCTGGATTTTCTCGACCTGAGCCTTATTGCCGCAGATATGGTTGAGCTGTGTCGGCGCATATTTAGAGGTCCAAAGTTGTACCGGAGTAGCCGCCGGTGTGGGAGCTACGGTTGTGCCACGGGCAGCGGCAGCTTGTTTGGCAGCCTTTTCCGCTGCAGCTTTTCTTGCCTTCTCTTCGCGTTCCATTTCTAGGGCCTGTTTCTTAATATTTTCCTCTTCCTGCTTCTTTTTCTCTCGTGCCTTTTCGGCGCCCTTGCCACTGCCACCGTAGGCCGGAAGTCGCCGGATGAGTTCGAACAAACCTTCCTCGTTAATGGTTTTGATGCCGAAGTCTTTGATTTTCTTCAACTTGCTTGGACCTGCATCATCGCCAAGTACAACGTAGCTCGTCTTACTGCTCGGCGCCCCTGTAACCTTACCGCCATACTTCTTCACCAGGGCTTGACCTTCATCTCGACCGATTGTGTGAAGCACACCAGTGAAAACAAAGGTAAGGCCTGAAAGACACTCATCTTCGCCCTCGGGCAACTCCACAGCACCGGCATTTGGAGGTACAGCACTACTGTTACCCCCGCCAGCAGCCGACTTTCGCCAGTCGAATTTCACATTCGGGTCCCTTTGAGGAGGTGTAGGAGGTCGGACAGTGGGAATGTCGTCCAAGATTGACTGGTAAGCGGCGTCTTCAGGCTCATCAGTCTTCTTGGCTCTTGGAGCACGAGGCTTTGCGGGGGCCTTCTTCTTTGGTGGTGGTTGATCCTCCTCAGACTCTTCCGTTTCCTCTTCAGGTGTCTTGCGCCTCTTAGTCCCCGTTGTCGCCTTGGTGGTTGTTGTCTTGGTGCTCTTGGTGGGGGTTGCAGTAGCGGCAGTTCGAGAGGCCACACGCTTCGGCTTGGGAAGTATCTCATCATCGCTTTCGTCCTCGACGTAATCATCGTTCTTTCGCTTACTTCGCCCTTTAATATCGGCTGCGAAGATATCGCCGTCGTCGTCATCATCGCCCTCGTCAACATAAGCATCCGCGTTGTCGTCCGAATCATGCTTGTTATATGATGTAGTGCCGCGCTTTCTGGGAGCTGAAGTAGAGCTCTTTGTGGCTTCTTCTGCTGGTTTCGTAGTGGTTTTCTTGTTTCGTGGGCTTGTTCGGACCTCCACTTCGGTTTTGACCTTACTCGTCCGATCAGTCTTCGGGGAGGGCGCTGCCTTTGTGGCTTTGCTTGACTTGGACGACGCGAAATAGTCACTGGCGGTGGTTTCGGTACCCTTTACATCCTCACTTCTGTATGTTCCATTAGTCTTGCTCCATAGGAGACAAAGGTGGTCATCGTACTTGGTCTTTTTCTTGTCGGCAGTCTTCACTACTGGCTTGCTTCAAACAGTTAGTAGAAGAGTCTGATCCGTTGATACATGATATCTTACGGTGGTGGGGCAGGCTCATCGTCATCGTCGCTGTCTTCAACAACTTTTCTGCCTCTTCGACTTTTTGGCGGCTCCTCAACCTTCTTCGGTGCAGGTTTAGGTGCAGCACCTCCCTTTGGTCCAAAAAAGGACCGAATATCAGCAGGCATTGTGATGTTGTTGTAGTGCGCCTTGGAAGACCAGTCCGCGATGGATAGGTTGAGGTTTTAAGGCCGTTGCACTGCTACTGCTGCCTACAGGAGGGTGAGATTCTAGTAGACGAGCAAAGCCAATTGATGTCGTCGTGCCTGGCGCCCGCAGCGTGCTCGTAATGGATTGCCTACGCGAAAGTGACGCGAGGCCCGTGACCCCTGGTCGCCCATTCCAGTCGTGCAGGGGAGTGGGGTGTGGCTGAAGCATGAGCTTCGAGGCTCAGAAAAAGCCAGCGCCCAAATTCTCAGGCCACATCAGCCACACCCAAGCTGAGTTGAAGCCAGGGACATTTTTTTGGGGATCCTATCATCAACCACGTTCAACGGCAAGTCGCAACCATGAGGCCCAACGCTCCCAAGGCGCTACTCAGCGCCTTTCAAGGCCTTAGAATTTCTGCGACGCCATCGATTAAGCCTTTTAGTGCTGCGATCCGGCCCCAATTGGCCAAGCCGCTGGTCGCATCACAAATCCTCCGTAATGCCCGCCCGTTTTCCACGACGCCCACAAGACGAGGCACCTGGCTCGAGCCATCGATCGACCGAACGAAGAAGATGATGAAAGGCCGGCCCCGTGTGGCGACTGGAGGTTCTACCAAGGGCACAACCGTAATCTGGGGTGACTATGGCCTTCGCATGAAGGACCACCACCGCAGAATCAGCGCAAAGCAGCTCAAGAACGCCGAAGACACCATTAAGATGCGATTGCGTGGACAGAAGTATCGGCTATACAAGAGGATATGCTGCAATGTTGGCGTCTACGTGTCTGGTAACGAGGTGAGGGAGACTGAGATATGCCTTACGATGACCCATTGCTAATGCACAGTCAGATGCGTATGGGTAAGGGAAAGGGTTCTTTCGACCACTGGGCGGCGCGTGTGGCAGTCAATCAGATTGTCTTCGAGATCAAGGGAATGCTCCACGAGGCTGTTGCTAAGGATGCCTTCCGTTTGGCAGGTAACAAGCTGCCTGGTGAGTGGATAACTGGATAACCAAATGTGGCATTGTGCATGACTAACTTGTAACTAGGCCAGTGGGAATTTGTTCACAAGGGAGAGGCTCCCGTTGTGGGTATCACGAAGCTTGATGGTGTTACGTTGGAGGAGTTGAAGAGGCCGAGAAAGCAGATTGCGCCCCAGGACCTATTGGCGGAGGCACCCACCAAGCCCACGAGCGCTTCATCGACCAGCTCGTCTTCTGCTCAGCCTTGAGAAAAAAGAGGTAGTCTGTATCATATACCCCACTCCATCCTGAGAGGCTTGGGAATACTGTCAGGATACGGGGTGGCTGTACTATAGATAACCATGTTTGATGATTGGCATGGGATCGTAGCTGTATAAAAACAGAATGGCATCCGCCTCACTTGAACTAAACCTTAGAAAACTGATTGAACAAAACACAATTGTGCAACTGAACCCCTAACTATTTGCCAAGCTGATGTCTTGGCATATTGGAAGGGCGAGCATATCAACCTGTGTGGCACATGCAGCTTCCGGAGCACAGACCATTTCACCAGCCACACATGGATTTCCCACTTAACGCGACAACGCCAGTGAACGCGTCTTCTACCCCAGCGCATCGTCAAAAAGTCTACAATTCGATTAACCAAACTGCAGTACCCGAAGCAGCGCAAAAATCAGTTGCAATGGCGCTCATCGTAGACAAACACAGACCGAGGTCACTCGACGCACTCACATACCACCAGGAACTGTCAGAAAGGCTTGGCTCACTGGTATGTCATCCAAGGTCGAGAAACTTCAGGCATTAGCTCACAGCCTCCAGGCACAAAGCGGCGATTTTCCTCATTTACTGGTGTACGGCCCATCCGGCGCAGGCAAGAAGACGCGAATTGTCGCTACACTGAAAGAGTTATATGGACCCGGTGTCGAGAAGATTAAGATCGATGCGCGCGTCTTCCAAACATCCAGCAACCGCAAGCTCGAATTTAACATCGTCGCTTCCAACTACCACCTTGAAATCACGCCGTCAGACGTCGGAAACTATGACAGAGTTGTTGTTCAGGATCTTTTGAAAGAGGTGGCACAGACACAGCAGGTAGATCAGTCGGCAAAGCAGAGATTCAAGGTTGTGGTCATCAACGAGGCAGACCACCTCACAAGAGATGCGCAAGCTGCGCTGCGTCGGACAATGGAGAAGTACTCTCCTAACTTGCGCTTGATCCTTCTCGCCAACTCGACGGCGAACATCATCGCCCCCATTCGGTCGAGAACACTACTGGTTAGGGTTGCTGCTCCTACCCACGAGGAGATCTGCGAGGTCCTCGCGGTTTCAGCGAAGAAAGAGAACTGGCCCATGGTTAAGGGCTTGCACATGAGGATAGCACAGGAGAGCGGCAGGAATCTTCGGCGAGCTCTGCTCATGTATGAAGCCGTTCATGCGCAAAAGTACGGTGCTCCTCCTCTATTCTGCATACCAAGCTAATCAGGCAACAGTGAGAAAGTGACAGACAGCACACCGATCCCACCTCCAGACTGGGAAGCTTTGATCAGCCAGATCGCGAGGGAAATTGTTGAAGAGCACACCCCGGCGCGGATTCTCCAAGTGCGGGCGAAGCTGTACGACCTTCTTACACACTGCATACCGCCGACCACGATTCTCAAGACTCTCACATTTAAGCTCATTCCCTTGATCGACGACGCCCTCAAGGCAGAAGTGATCAAGTGGTCGGCGTTTTATGAACACCGCATCAAAATGGGTACCAAGGTCATCTTCCACCTGGAAGCTTTCGTGGCCAAGTTCATGAGAATCGTGGAAATGTACTTGATGAGCATGGATTTGTGAGCAAAGAGGGTAGATTTGCCGGCGTTTAGGGGTTTACTAGGCGACATGTGTCGGGAGTAACGTTAATAAATCGGACGAGGTACAAAATGCCAATTTATTCACTTTGGTGCCGTCATTGAGTTTTTACATTACTGTGAGTTTGGTCTTGATACTTTGGCTCTTCTTGTAGGTGCGTTCACAGCCTATTGCGGAGCTAGTAGTCTACTCCGAGAGGGTGTCTAAAATCGTCTGGCATATAGCCGGCTGCTTAATTATATCCCACCGGCGTGCGGGTGGCCTTCTTTCATTGTTGCCAATTCAACTGCCTTCGATGAAGGTGCGCAGCCCCGGCATACTAAATTTCAAGGAATGGCCGATTGTTGAGCTGAGTAGGACAGACGAAGCGAGTAATAGGCAGAGACAAACACCAATCAGGGACGCCCCTGGTGAACAGAAGAAATACCGGTATGACGGATCAAGGGTTATTTTCGGTAATCACTTTTTGCTTGGCCAGAAGATGCCCTGAGATCGCCAAGTCTGGTCCCATGTTGGATTTTACTTTGTACCCAAGGTTTGGTATTAACTTGCCGAAGCCCAAATAGAGGATGTGTGCTAGTCGCATCACTCGATGTACATCTACGACAATGACTAACGGGATCGTCTATCGTCCCGCAGTGCCGTAATCAAGGGATAAAGCACTCCGGTTAATAAAGGGTAGAGGGAAGCTAGGAAGCACAGATGGTTCCTGCCGATCATATCCAGGCGGGACGGCCAAGGTCCACAAGGCCTAGAGAAGGAAGTCTTCCTCCATGGGCTCGAGTTTTTGCCTCGGCCTGTCTTTTCCTGGTAATAGTGGTGAGAACAACCTTAAATGGATTATATAGATATGGATGACAGTGACAGGATTGTCCGAGGGGCGGCGGAAATACCGTTCCTCTCCTTGATAAAAGTCATCCAAGGGACGTTTACCGTCAAAAATATAAGGAAAAACAAAGGTGATCACGAGCAATTTGACCAGGCAAAGTATACATAGAGTTCAGAGGTGGTCCAGATCCTTGCCAATGCAAGTTGACTGGAGGCTCACAACTGCCTAAAATAGGCAGGCAATACATTTATGTATGCCTCACCCTGCAGGATGCAGCGCAAGCAATCGGTGCATGGCAACGGCGCAGCGGCTAAGACGGCTCCCCATCCGTACTCAACACTCTGTCATCTCAAGAGCCCCAACAAATTAGGATTCCCACATGTCGACGGAGTACGGGTGGACGAGGGGTTCCATTCGCCGTACGATGCTCGGAAGCTACGGTGTAATTTTCCCATATGACCCCATTAAAGAGGGCTCCGGTTCTCAAAGATAGGGCCGCCGAATGGGCTGTATAGTCTGGTCTCCACAGGTCAGGCAGAAGGAAGAAAGGTTCTCCGTCCGAAACTTTCCACAGAGAAAAAGAAAGGCAGGAAAACCACAAAAAAAAACCCAGAGGGACCAGGTGTCGTTCAGGCCCCGCGGATGTCGGTCGCGCCAAGTCTAACTTCCATTCGTCCATCCTATAAGATGGCGGCATGTGGACTGACCAGGATGGACAGGGAACACAAGGACAAGGAAGCATGGGGGAAAGGCAAGGGACCCGGCCTTCTGGAATGGCAGCAAGCGCAAGTCTAAAACAGCGCAGTAAAAAAGAGGCACAGGCTGCGGCGGCGTCGGCGGCGCCCCAGGTTCGTTTCCCCTCGTGGGCGGGAAATCTGGGCACTGGGCACCCATGGGGAAAATGCGGGAAGTCAGTCTGGGGACACGGGGCTTCAAGGATGAAGGAACGTTCGAGGGGGAATGGTGGATGGAGGACACACTGGTTAACCGCGGACAATCTGTCGAATCGGCTGCGAGAGGCCGAGAATACGTATCGATATCTCGTCTTTTGTTTGGCACAAGTTCCAGAGTCAGGATCCATTGTTTTGGCCACTACCAACGAGTCTAGTAACCACGTCTTCAGCAGGGACGAATGACGGGCGTCAGCAAGGCGTCTTTTCGTCCGAAGGGAGAGGGTTCCTATCGTCGTAAGCCCCAAACGTGCGATACCTTTGCAGGGCGGGTACAAAACCAAGCCAGGTACCGTTACTTAAGCCCAGAAGCACCTTCCTGCGTCTGACGGTTTGCGAGGTACGTGTATAGTTGGGGTTGCATCATTACCCGAGGTGAGATGAATCCACCATCAAAGCGACATCCATCTCCTTCCTCCTGGGCGAGGGGGAGGCGGAACTTCCGTTCGACCCCTCCAACCACACACTACTTTTTTGAAGTGTTTCTCCGCATCGCAAGCCAAGGTAAGGATTGCCCCTCCTTGTTTTTGGTTCTTTCACCACAGCAAAATATCGCAATCTTCGCCGCTCCCCCGTATCTCTTGCAACGACATTGCCAAGGTTTACGCCCAAAAGAGATGTCCCATCTTGACGGGCCACGACAGCGGCCTTGCTTAATCCAAAGCATCTACAGACTCATCTTAAGCATCTACAGACTCGTTTTTGCCAAGTGGATACGGCTATGTCTTGCGACACGATGTAGGTTATTCGGTGGACCACAGCCGACGTCGGAGATGCCGCAGCACTGGATACTTGGACTGCAGTGCAGATTACACACTCAGTCATCACAGTGGGTTCGGTGACACTTTTCTCTTGCGCACCATCGACATGCCTAAGGCGCAAGAACCCACAATCTGCAGGGCGAAAGAACGTTTGCAAATTGCGGTTGCAGGAGTGGATTTCGACCCCAGAATCTGCGAGACTTTGTTGAATCCCGGCCCAACGCCAGGCCCAAAACCAGTCATGATTTACAGCGGGGGGTTCTGGCCTGCCTATACACTCCGCGCCAGACCCTGGGGCACCCTTACTTGCTGTGATCATGCCAGGCGCTCAAAAGACGACGGAATATATAAGCCGTCGTACAGAGGCAGCTGATATCGCCAGATGCTGTTTTGTAACGACATTGAAAAAAGATGTGGAAAGCCAAGCCGATGCCCACAATCATAACGATGTCATTGTTAGGATTCAAGCCAATCACGGGGGTTGTAGTGGCACGGCAGTCATGGGTAGCGCGTCGCGATCAGCAGGCATCGGTCTGGGCTGGCGCACAATTTACTGGGCGGCATCCCCTAACTCCACGTCGTCTTCAAGGGCGGCTTTGCTCGGCCATTACAGAGGACCTTGAAGGCGCACAACCTCGAAGTCTCTGGGGGAGAGTGCGGGGAACTCTGGGCGGATGAGGGGCAAATTGAGCTTGACGACACACACACACACACCAGTGAGGATGTACTGTACCTGACCTCACCGCAGAGAATGCCACTAACTAGGTCGCGGTGACAAATTCTTCTTAACGTCTCAAGTCATCTTTCGTCTCATCTAGCACCCATCATATTGCGTTGTGCCACGTCTGGTGATGGGCGGTGCTACTCATCCCACCGAGATGATGTGTACCAAGACCTCTTCTCGGTGATTCGAATTCAGATACGAGACAGGACAGGCCACACCGAGGGAGGGAAGAAAAATAAGCTTGCAAGGTGCCCTGCCACAGTGGCGGGATTCTGCCATGAAAGTATTGAGGTCCACCTCAGATGCCCGCTCAGTCATTTCTGGCAAAATAGACACAAGACGACAGGGAAATAAATTGAGAAATGAGCTTTAGGCGGTCATGGTCACGCTACATTGCAAGAAGTAGGCTAGCAGCAGCCCAACCTTCAGCCAGGCATCGCAGTAGAGAGATTGACACGCGATGCCCCCGTTTATAGACACATTCCCGGGGTGCCAATGGTGAGAGGAGGGATATTCCGCTTTCTGGACACCTCCACAAGAACCGGTAAATGTATTCTTGGACGTCGTCACCATCACCCCAATAACAGGCAACGATCAATGGCAACAAAGGGCACCGGTGCTTATGTTCCTCGGCCGGTCGACGGGACATCAGCTCGGAATGACAGGAATCACTGCTTTCAGACGAGGGCTCTAGCTATCTGGTCTAACCAAGTGCTGCTAGCCTAACAGGAAGTTTCCTGATGCAGCTTGAGACCGGTTTGACGAGGCCCAGTCAATTTCACATTTGTTTCTGGAGAGCCCCGCCCCCAGGCCAGGACAAAACCAACCAACCAACCGGTCGGCCCAGGACCATCCAGGCGCGGACGGCAGGCGTAGGTAACTTAAGGTAAAGGTAAGGTACATCAGGCCTGCTACGAGGAAGCGCTACTGCATAGTGGTGTTGTTGCCGTATCTGTATCCGTGGTGTGGGTTAGGTGCGAGGGGGGTTGCAGGGAGATGGGAAGTTCGCAGGTCGTTCGGGGCAAAGGAAAAACGCATCACCCCCGGCCAAGCGGTAACGGTACAGCGGTGCCACTACCTTGCGCCGCGCCGCCGTAATACCAGCGAAATGCAATGGGATTGCGGAGCGGTGGCAGGGGATTCACCAATGGGCGTCAGGTCAAGGGTGGATGGAGGTCCCCTTTCCGCGTGCCTTGTCCCTTTTCTCCATAACATCATCGGGCTGTACTGTACCGTGGCCCCGTACCCGTAAATGGGGCTCCCTGCCAGGCCTAGGCGCAGGCGCAGGCGAGGCCACGGGCGAGCCAGGGACACGGGGAGGGGACAGGAAGGAGACTTCTTCTTGTCAAGCCCTGATGGGAACTGCAACTGGGTTTGTTGGTGAGGAGTGACAAGGTCGAGTGACTGTGGGTGAGGTGTCTTTTGTGCAAAGTCACCTTTTCTCCATCAGCCAGTGTTCAGTCATGGGATAGGATAGATGTGGAGTGAGAGAAAGACAAGAGGTAGCGATTTCGGTCTCAGCTTCCAGCTCGCCAGCCAGTATAGTACCTTGCTTGGTTTGGTAGGTAGGTAAGGTACCTCACGGTCGGCAGGCCGGGCAACTAGCCCAGCGTCTCAACGCTGTCGCGCACCGTACCGAGAGCAGTGCCTCCGGCTCGAGTCCACCTCTCCCAGTCGACGTCCAGTCCAGTCCAAGTCAAGTCCCCATTCGTCCATTAAAAGCAATCCCGTTCCCCGTCCAATTCGAAGCTCGGCCGCCTGGAGAGTTGGTCTTCTTAATTAATACTTCTTTCTCCTCCTCCCATCCTCACATCCTCCGTTCTCCTCTTCCTCCCTCTCTTCTCTTTCTCATTCTTCCTCACTTGCTACAAACAAACCATAAAACACCACCCTCCCCCTTTTCCAGCTTCCCTCCAAGCTAAAGCATCCACTTTGCTCGAGAGAAGGCCCCATTGGAACCGAAAACTTGCTGCCACTACCCGCTCTGCAGCGCACCTGGACTGCCGTCAGACCAGAAACCACGCGACTTGAGCCCATTGTTGTCGAGAGCCAGGTTCGTTGTGTGTGGAGAGTTGCGCCAGTTTCCATACTGCCATTGCGCGACCTACCATCATAGCTGCAGACGAGTGACGAAAAGACACACCACGTCGAACGATTCCCGGTCTTAGCAGCTCCAGCGTCTCTCGACCTGCCTCACCACCAAACCACAAACCGCAAACCTGCACAAAAGTACCCCGCATCCTTCATAAAGCACACACACAACCCCGCCACCATGGCCGAATCAACAGAGCAACAAAAGGCCCCTGTGGTCGCTGAGGCCCACCTCGTTGATACCTTCCGTAAGCCCGAACCTTTCCCCAATTCCCAATTTTGCCGCAGCCGCAGCCGCAGCAGCAGCAGCAGCAGTAGCAGTAGCAACAGCAAGAGACGAGACAAGACACGGATTGAGGAGCAATCTCGGCCTCAATTTCATTTCTTCTTTCCTGTTGGGGGACCACCATGGCTAATTTTGTCCCAACAGATCCCCCCCAAAAGATGCTTGACAGTAAGTGCGCCGCCGTGTTGCAGACCCAGCCCACTCATAATCCCCGTTTCCATGACCTGTTGGCGGCCGAAAAGTCGCGTGAGGGGCACTGGAGAACTGTGCACAAGGGGAGGAAATAAGAGAGGGGCACACAAGCACTTGGGAGCTTTCCCCCTCGTCTGATTGGACCCTGGCTGACTTTATTGTGTCTCTTCCCGCAGAGCACCCTAGCAAGCCCCACTTGAGCAGTAAGTCGTTCCCCTCTTTACCCCAATTGCCTGCCTTGTCATTGGCTGACCGGAGCTCCCTTCCTCTCTCCTTCGCGCAGGTCTCGAGGATTACCAAAAGTTGTACAAGGAATCCATCACCGACCCAAAGGCATTCTGGGGCACCAAGGCTCGCGAGCTCCTCACCTGGTACAACGACTTCCAGACCGTCTACTCCGGTTCCCTGGAGGGTGGTGACAGCGCCTGGTTCGTCGAGGGTCAGCTCAACGCCAGTTACAACTGCGTCGACCGTCATGCTTTCAAGGACCCCAACCGTGTTGCCATCATCTACGAGGCCGACGAGCCTGGTGATGGCCGCAATGTTACCTACGGCGAGCTCCTGCGCGAGGTCTCACGGACCGCTTGGGTCCTGAAGCAGATGGGCGTGCGCAAGGGTGACACCGTTGCTATTTACCTGCCCATGATTCCCGAGGCCCTGATTGCCCTCCTTGCTTGCTCCCGTATCGGCGCTGTCCACTCCGTCGTCTTCGCCGGTTTCTCCGCCGACTCCCTGCGCGACCGTGTTATTGACGGCAACTCCAAGGTCGTCATCACCACCGACGAGGGCAAGCGTGGCGGCAAGTTGATCGGCACCAAGAAGATTGTCGACGATGCCCTGAAGCAGTGCCCCGACGTCTCCCACGTCCTGGTCTACAAGCGCACCGGCGCCGATGTACCCATGACCAAGGGCCGTGATTGGTGGTGGCACGAGGAGGTTGAGAAGTGGCCTTCCTACTTCCCTCCCGAGCACGTCAACTCCGAGGATCCCTTGTTCCTCCTCTACACCTCCGGTTCGACCGGTAAGCCCAAGGGTGTCATGCACACCACTGGTGGCTACCTCGTCGGCGCTGCTGCCACCGGCAAATACGTATTCGACATTCACGACGGCGACCGCTACTTCTGCGGTGGCGACGTCGGCTGGATTACCGGCCACACCTATGTCGTCTACGCCCCTCTCCTGCTTGGTGTGACCACTGTCGTGTTCGAGGGTACCCCTGCCTACCCCAACTTCTCGAGATACTGGGATATCATCGCCAACCACCAGATCACCCAGTTCTACGTCGCCCCCACTGCTCTGCGTCTGCTGAAGCGTGCTGGTGACCAGCATGTCAAGGGTGACATGAAGCATCTCAGAGTCCTCGGCTCCGTCGGTGAGCCCATCGCCGCCGAGGTCTGGAAGTGGTACTTCGAGGTTGTCGGAAAGGAGGAGGCCCACATTGTTGACGTGAGTAGCCCTTGACACTGCCGTGAGCCTAACATACCGAACTAACAACTTTCGCAGACATACTGGCAGACCGAGACTGGCTCCAACGTCATCACTCCCCTGGCCGGTGTCACTCCCACCAAGCCCGGCAGTGCTTCTTTGCCCTTCTTCGGCATTGAGCCTTCCATCATTGACCCCGTCTCCGGCGAGGAGATTCACGGCAACGATGTCGAGGGTGTTTTGGCCTTCAAGCAGGCCTGGCCCAGCATGGCCCGTACTGTCTGGGGCGCCCACAAGCGCTACATGGACACCTACCTGAACGTCTACAAGGGCTACTACGTAAGCATAACCATCAAACCACCGAGATGCCCCACGCTAACAGACTTAGTTCACCGGTGACGGTGCCGGCCGTGACCACGAGGGTTTCTACTGGATCCGTGGACGTGTTGACGACGTTGTCAATGTTTCGGGTCACCGTCTCTCCACCGCCGAGATCGAGGCTGCGCTCATTGAGCACCACGCCATCGCCGAGGCCGCCGTTGTCGGTGTCGCTGACGAGCTCACCGGCCAGGCTGTCAACGCCTTCGTCGCCATCAAGGATGGTAACGAGGCCACAGATGCGCTCCGCAAGGAATTCATCATGCAGGTGCGCAAGAGCATCGGTCCCTTCGCGGCGCCCAAGGCCGTCCACATCGTGCCCGACCTGCCCAAGACCCGCTCCGGTAAGATCATGCGCAGAATTCTGCGCAAGATCCTTGCTGGCGAGGAGGACCAGCTTGGTGACGTGACGACGGTATGTTTTTTTGCTACTTCTTTTCATCGTTGACAATCAAAGACTAACTCAACATAGCTGTCCGACCCCTCAATCGTCGACAAGATCATCACTGTCGTCCACGAGGAGAAGAGGAAGAAGTAAATATGCAATGGCACGAGAGCGAGATTGGAGAGAGGATGACTTTCGATACCACGGGCAAGGAGAGGCTACGAGACGGAAGGATATGAGTGAGGAAGAACCTCCTCAGACCCATGATGGATATTTGGGTTTCTTTTTTTACCACAAGCGACACATTGAATGTTCTTGCGTCAATCTGAGAGAGAAAGATTTAAAATAAATAAAAACTTTTCAAAACTACCTTGTCTTGTCTCTTGTCCCCATCACCTTGAATAACCATGGCTCAAAAGCTGACGACGACTGACGTGGGTGGTGCTCGATAGGGCCGAATCGTAGATGAACTGACGATGGAGGGACGACCGCTGCGCCTTGGTTGTTGTATTCCCCTTGATCTCCGCCACTGACACCCACCTTGGACCAGACGAGTCCCGAACATACGGGGGGTGGGTATTCGTCAGCACGGCTCGTGCGCCGGGCAATACCGGCGTTGGATCGAACGGGCCTCCGGGCCCCCCCGTTCTCCGGCAGGCCGGGCGAGGGATGGGGGGGGCGGGGGGGTTTTTCTCGCGTACCTTCTCATGCAAGTTGCTGACACTCGGATATCAAGATTGCCCGTACCATGTACGGCCTGGGGTATTCCTTTTCGGCTGCGCTAAGATCTGTCAACCACGATATCTTTTGTAGTGCTTTTTATACACCTATACATGTCTCTCCTGGAGGGATTCGTAGCCCGAGGACCGGTAGCTGCGCTAGGGTGCGTTAGAGGTGCTTCGAGGTGCTTTTGCGCACGGGTGGTGCGGGATGGGCTTGGAGGGAGCTATGACGCTTCGACGGGGATGCGATGAGCGAGGATGGAAAGGGGGGGGGGGGCGTCCTTGGTCCGTCTGGTTCGAACGTGTTGTTGCATTGGTCTTCATCCGAGTTCTCAGAGTGGGCTTAGTTTGTGCGGTGAAGAATGTTCGTCGGTGGTATCTTGAGATTTGGTGCCTGGAAAAAGGTCGTATCTGGCTTGCTGGTGTACTTGGTATTTGGATCGAGGCGTTATATCTGTGTGTTGGGGTGCGTCACTATTGTTGTCGTCGTCGTCGTCGTTGTCGGTTTTATTGTCGGCCCCAGCTGTTAAAGGGACGACGATATACGCTGCCCGACCGGAGGTATCCTTACTCCATTGGTGTTGAGCATATCGACTGTAAAGGCTGATTATACCAACTTGACCTTCAAATAACATGTATTAACTTATATTCCCTACTTAATGTTTCATTCTGCTGAAGTATCCACATCCATAACCGTTTCTGCCTGTATGCCGGATAGCATCTTCTCTACTATGAAGCTGGCTTGATGGGAATCGACATATCAGAAAGGAGACTACTGGTCAGCGACTCTGGCGAGTGCCGGAACTGGGGATATGTATTAACGTATGTTGCTTTGGGGACGACAAACAGAAATCAAAGACATCTACTGGACTAGCCCATGTGGGCAGGTTGAGATAGCATGTCGTTCAAACCAACCTCAACCCCAGCCCAGCCTTCGAATTTTGAATCCCACAACTAGAAACATGCATTTCAGACCTTGACCAACGCGGTCAGACCTGTCAAGGGATCTCAGCTACGCATGCTTCTAGCCGTACCTGCGCCCGCCAGAGGGTGGCTTTTCAATATGCAAAAAGGCTGCAAGCAGAAGCAACCGCTTGAATCAGGACCTGCATGAGGGTCGTGCAAGCAAACCGCAACAATCCCGCCTTACTGATCAACGACAAAGAAGTATTCAGACAACTGCAGACAATCCGAATGCGAGAGTTGTACCGCGCTAACATTTCTATCCCCTAGACACAAGTTGGTGGCCACTCAGCGAAACCTCCTCACGTCCAGTCGTCGTTGGTTCTGTCTTAGCACAGCCTCAATGAATTGCATAATGACCTCGCGAAGGGGGGGTGTGGAGGGTGGGTTGCGTTGCTACCGCGGCGTGAGAAGCAAACATGTCGTCGTCATCCTGCTCCTGGCGTGGGCGTCCTTATGGCTAGACCCGACACGGCATGCTTGGCATGTCATCAAGACTGTCTTCTTATGTCCGAGACATGGTGGAGAGCGGTTTCGGTGATGGTAACGGCCACAGATCTGTTAGTGGCGAGCCTTGTGTGAAATTTGGTTGTCGTGCAACAGCCTCCACCCACTGTCGAATGGCGCCTGTTCCTTAGTGGCGGAGGCGGGAGGGCTAAGGAGCCAGCGACGATGGCGCCTGGGTTGGTTGACAGCACGTTCTAGCCGCGACTAGAAGATGAGGCTTCTTTTACATGCGATCATCATTCTTGATATCACCGTTCTGTAAAGACATATGTCGACAAACGGATAGTCCACAACCTGAGAGTTCTTCTTAGACCGGCAGTCTGTGGTCATAATCGACCGTAGTTCGGCAGTTATCAACGCAGTGTTGGTTCCAAACAATCGGTCCCAGGGTCGAATCCTGCCGATGACATTGCCCCATGGCCCCATGGCTGTGCAGATGCGTTCGGATGGGGGAATCCAGGTTTCTCGTGTGCACTTGCTCGTCGTTCAGACGACGAAACCCGGTCAACGGCGGAGTGAATGTTGTTCCTACTCAAGTTTACCTCATCTGGCCAAGCAAGCTTGGCACGGGATATACGGCAGTCTCTCTCCCTCTCTCTCTCTCTGCCGGAAGCAATTTGACAGTTTGTTGCGGGGTGGTTGGGACCAACATCTTTCTCGGAGGCCTCTGAGAGAGAGCTGCAAGGTCGTCCAATGGTCAACTTCTATTCATTATTCAGCAGGTTTGTTTTTGCGGGAACAAGGCCAACGAGCTATGGGTTGTACGCGCAATGCAAAGGCAGAATATCTTGCTTGACAGCCCACACTTGCATAGTGACTAGCCGGCGTCGGAGGTAGTACTTGTCTTAACCCCGAAAAGAGGGCTGTGAAAGCGGGGGAGGAGAATCGTTAACCTTTTTTTTCTTTTCGCTGACTCCAGAATGGAGGCCATCTGAAGATTTTTTGAGTCGAGCTGGTCGTGTGAGAAGGTGATTGATTGGTTCGGTCTATGCCGGGAACTTTGAGTTTGTTCATGAACCCTGGCCATTGGCACGGGAGTTTGTTGGTGTTCAAGGCCAGGGGACCTCAAAAATTAGTATAGTTCAAACCCTGGTCTGGTTTAAGGGTTCTGGAAAGCTGTGTATCATCATTTTGATGAACTGTTGCAGAAAGAGACGCAGTAGCCAATAATGTGTCGTTTGGCCATGATCAAACAGAGAGAGAGGTACAGAGCGATAACGAACTCGCCTCCTGAGCCAAGACATTGAATCCAAGAAGAAGAATCGGTGACATCAAAAGCCGAACTGGGTCTAGTGGCGGCTCTCAGTGTACTCGTCAGAGACTGGCGGCCAAGCTTGCTCAGCCTCCAAGGTCAGGCCGGGTTGCAGAGGGGCGACGTAAGCTCATAAGCTTACCTCTAGACTGTGTAAAGTCCGGCACGGCGGGTCCAGCGTAGTGAGAGTTTGGCGATGAGAGAACTAGCAAAGATGCCAATTTATTGTTGGCGTAGTATCGGTGTCAATCGAAGCTCCACAGAATGGGAGAGGATCGCTGGTGGAAGACACTGATTTTCATACTTAATCATTGACGTGCATATCCAGCATGTCGATATGCTGTAATGCTTCGGTCTCGACTACGTTTAAAATACCTCTCATCTCCCTCGCCCACCGACGTCGACCGACAGGGCCATATTGCTCCCCGCTCATTTTCCAGCCAATTTTGTCACGACCTTTCCCAAGAAGCTCAAGATTAAGCGAATAATTGCTTGCTCGTAGCGCCAAAAGCGACCAGAGCAACGTACCGTTTAGCTGTGCACTCTCTGAAACACGAAAGCCGGAGAGGCGTTGGCCTGAAAGAGCAGAGGTCGCAAGTTGGCCAAGGGTTCGTTAAAAAAAACAGTACGTACCCTGCCTTATATCAGCAGCACTAAGAATAAACGGCGGGGGCCTGTAAGGAGCTGACATGCAGCTTAAGGACCTCTCTTTGGCACTTTAGGGGGCGCTGTCATCCCATCCGTCCAATCCCTATCGTCTCTGTACATCGGCTCCGTTGCCTACCTGGGCCACTACAACGCTGTTTGGGGCGGTTTCCAACTGCAACTGCTTCTCCTGTGTGCTTCAGCTCAGACGGGGGACGGTGTCAGAATTTTCGGAACATCTTGGCTTGTCGCCGGGATCCCCTCGTCGAATAACCGTCAGGTAAGTTCGAACGACTTTATTTCTTGCATCTTGCATATTGTTTTGCTGTGCAGAACTTCTCCATGAGATGAACCGTGGACGTCCACGCACGAGTGTCGCTGTAATGACGATGTGTCGGTGGTCGGACTGCGACAGGTGGGCGGCGTGACCCGTCCTGGACAAACCCGCCGCTTACTCGGCACTTGATTCCCTGCTGTGTTCTTCTTCTCTTGTCAGTGTCATAACATATCACGCGGAGGCGTCGCACCGCGGGTTTTTTTATTTTATTTGGCGTGTGGGTTGGGGGATCGACCGGTTGCAAAAATTAGACCTGGAAAAATGGGCTTGTCACCAGCTAACAGTGAAACAGGGAGAAGAAGACCTCAGGGTGCAGACACCATTGACACCACACTCAGCAACCAAGCCCCTTTGGGTCCCAGTCGTTTTCTTAGCACAGCGTCCAGGGTACGAAAGGAACGAGTCCACAGAGCGGGTGGACACTGCCAGGCCCGACTTTTGCGCTAGCGCTGTCCCCGTGTCCCAGCTCGGGAAGGGTACCTCGGCTTTGGCCTTGCCACTGCCGTGTCGCCTAGGTACACTAAGCCAAGAGTGACCAAGTTCGCCCAGCCGGCCCTGGAATCCACAGCAACTCGACGCTCCAATACAGTTGGTCCACGCCCCCGTACCAAGAGATCGTGTTGCGCAATCCCACTGTACGTCCGCTCGTTGAATGGCCCAGCGACACGCCCCCCAAGAATCCCATAGCCTTCTTTTTTCGTGTTGCTGCTTTCTCGCCTCTCCGTCAACGCCGGCACTAACGCCCCGGACTTCCATCCTTTCCATTCAAGACACCACCACATTCGTTCCCTTTTGTATTGTTCTATTCCCTTGCTTTCGCTTCCTGCTTTCCACGATTCTATTCTCGTTTTTTTGAATTTGTTCTAAATTCCCCTCTTCCGGCGGAAAGAGTTTTGGTCGATTTGCCGTGCTCCAGCATCTCAGAAATAACCCCTTATCTGGAAGCTTACGCAGGCAGTACAGTACCCTCTTCAGAGGCCTCCTCTCGAGCCTCACCCCGTCTCCGGGGACCTTAACCTCAACGATGGTCTCGTTCAAGACCGTCGTTTCCGCCTTTGTCGGCCTTGCAGCTATTGCGCAAGAAACTCTGGGTAATTCCCTACTTCATACTGCAATAGGCGGAGCCAAGAATAGCAACACTGACATTCTACAGCACATTCAACTCAGCGGAACCCGCTGAAGTACGTCACCGTCCTCGAAGATGCCGTCCTGCACTCGCCCTCACAACATTGCCATGCCCTGTCCCACTTCGACCTCACTTTCACCCTGCACGACAAGAAGCAACAGGTGCGCATGGCATTACAGCCGAACGAGGACATTCTCGGCAACGATTTCCAGGTGAACTATTTGGGTGCGGACGGAACCATTCGCAAGACGGAAGCGGTCGACCGGACGGAGCACCGCGTATTTAGAGGCAGTACGTTTATTCGACATGAAGGTCATTCCGAATGGACAAATGTTGGCTGGGCGCGCATTACGATCCACCGAGACGGTGTCGACCCCATTTTCGAGGGCGCGTTCCGCATTGACGGCGACCACCATCACATCCAGACTGGATCCAGCTACCGCGCACGCAAGCACCGCGAAGACCCCGATGCCCCCGACAGGCGTAACCCCGACGACTACATGGTGGTTTGGAGAGACTCGGACATCATGGAGTACTACTTCGACCGGGAGGACTTGAAGCGGGATGTTAAAGGCCGGACCTCTTGCAACTCGGACAACTTAGACTTTAACGCCAACTACGACCTCTTTGACGCCCGGGCGCCGCCCGACACCCTCCAATCCGTATCGAGCAACTCTCTCTTCGGAGCCTCGCTGTTTGGAAGACAGACTGACGGCGGCAGCACCGGTAACAACGGCGCTGGTGTTAATCTGGTTTCCACCATTGGACAAACCAATGGCTGTCCGTCTACGCGCAAGATTGCACTGCTGGGCGTTGCGACCGATTGCACTTACACAGCTGCTTTCAACTCCACTCAGGCCGTCAGGGCAAATATCATTCAAGTGATCAATGCTGCGTCCGAAGTATATGAAAGCACTTTCAACATCTCGCTCGGTATCCAGAACCTTACCATCAGCGACGCAAACTGTCCTGGGCAAGCGAGTTCCTCCGCGCCCTGGAACGTGGCGTGCAGCCCGAGCATTACTATCACGGACCGGTTGAGCCTCTTCTCGCAATGGCGTGGTAACTCCAAGGACACAAACGCCTTCTGGACTCTTCTGAGTACCTGCGGTACCGATTCTGCCGTTGGCCTGGCGTGGCTGGGACAGGCCTGCACGAGCGGATCTCAAGGCTCAGGCCAAAGCAGCAACGAGACGGTTGCCTCGGCCAACGTTGTTATCCAGACGCCAAGCGAATGGCAGGTTGTTGCCCACGAGGTCGGGCACACATTTGGTGCCGTGCATGACTGCGTATCATCCACTTGCAGCAATGGTGATTCCAGCATGAACAGATGCTGCCCACTGAGCTCCAGCCAGTGTAACGCTGGTGGGCAGTTCATCATGAACCCTTCGACTGGATCCGGTATCAGAGCTTTCTCGCCCTGCAGTATCGGCAACATTTGCTCTGGTCTCCTCCGCAACCAGGTCAAGTCCACATGCTTGACTAACAACCGAGACGTAAAAACCATTCTGGAGAGCCAGTGTGGCAACGGCATCGTGGAATCCGGTGAGGACTGTGATTGCGGTGGCGAGAGTGGTTGCGGTAACAACAGGTGTTGCGACCCCAGGACCTGCAAGTTCACTACCGGCTCGGTGTGTGATCCATCCAACGAGGATTGCTGCAACGGCCAATGCCAGTTTGCCTCCAACGGAACCGTGTGTCGACAAAGCACCGGGTCCTGCGACCCCGTGGAAACTTGTAGCGGCACTTCAGCCTCTTGCCCTAACGATCGCCATAAGGACGATGGAGATTCTTGCGGTGAGTCAGGCCAAGGCTTGACTTGCGCTTCCGGCCAGTGCACTTCTCGTGATCAACAGTGCAAGACTGCTTGGGGATCTCAGACCGACACAAGCAGCGTGACCGCCTGCGGTAACCAAGATTGCTTGATTGCATGCAATGTCCCGGGCCGCCCCGGTTGCTCGGTCATGAACCAAAACTTCCTCGATGGTACCTCCTGCCAGGGGGGAGGCAAGTGCTCCAACGGCCAGTGCGTGGGATCCAACGCTGGTGATGAGATACTGGATTGGATTAAGAACAACAAGACTATCTTCATCCCGGTTGTCTGCGTCGTTGGATTGCTTGTTCTTATTGCTTTGTTCAGCTGTATCTGTGGCGCATGCCGTAGAAGTCGAAATCGCACCAAGGCTAGGAGGCTTAGACCCGCGCAGCCGCCCATGAACACCTGGAACAGCTATGGAGGGGCTTGGGGCAATCCCAATGTGCCGCCTCCACCACCGGTGGCCACCCGTCCGGGAGGCCCGCCCCAATACTCGCCTTACCCGAACAACGACTGGCAGATGCATAGAACGCAGAGTGCTAGATACGCATAATCCGTCGGTGCCATTTTAGAGCACTAGAAAGAACTGCAGCAGGGTCGAAGTGACCCAGGAAAAGAAGGACAACAGTTGATCCAAATATTGCATAACTCGGAGTTGGTGGTGTTTACTATTACACTTTTTGTTATTTTTTACTTTATTTCTCGGTTTCGTATGCCCCTCTTCTTGCATGGGCATTCACATACGTCACGGCTTCGGCAGTGTAACTGTGTGATATTATGATGATCACGGTCTTGGATACCTGCAGATACCTAGGTAGAGACAGAACATAGCTTAGGTCAGCTGGCTGATCCAGTGTGGACACCAGCGACACATCTCTACAATCATTATAGACTTTACATAACTCTTACTTCTTGTTCTCGTATGTGATGTGAAGACGATATGCCAAAGACAAAAGCAACCATGGATAATACTAAAAGCATTTTACGCGTAAACTTCATAATTCATGTGCCTCTGCTGACAAGAAGAGAGCAACACCAGGAACACTTTGCGAAGTGTGGCTGTCTGGCGGCTTAACCTGGGATCTCTCTGACGCATTCCCCGTCTTCCGCTGACTCCTTGATCCCTCTTCGTTGCCCGAGGTGCTTGCTGCAACATTCTGAACAAACCTAGACGCCAGTGACCCCATGTTTCCAGCCTTGCCGAAGCTACGGAGCCCATGGCTCTCAAGTCTTGTTGCCAATCAGGACTCAAGTAAACCCTTCGCACTCCATCTCGATGAACTCGCCTTCACGCTCAGAGCCTAGTGTCGACCAACCCGCTCTCCGCCCGCGCTCCTACGACGAGGGTCCCGTCGCGAGGACGAAGCCTTGCGGGGGTCCTGCTGCTGCGGCCCCGCATCCTGGTCCAGGCCGCACAGGATGCGTGTGAAGTGAAGGCGGGTGCCAGGGATGCTCTGTCCCTCTCTCATTAGCTGTGCGGTCCTCAAGACCCGAGCGAGTGAAGGAAAAGGAAAAGGAAAAGGAAAAAGGGCAGGCAGATCAACGAAAAAAAGCAACTCACATCTCCCCGACTGCAGGCATACATGGCCAACTTCTCGGGATCATCCAAGATCTCAATGGCAAACAACTTTTGCCTGCGCTCCTCGAACGAGTCGCCGTCGTTCCCGGACACGCCCGAAGACGCAGCGCCGCCGCCGCCGCCGCCGCCACCACCGCTGCCGAGGTGTCCTAGACGTCCGACGCCGTTGCCCCGCGCCGAAGGCGAATCGACGGCGTCGAAATCCATGTCTGAATCCGACGGGCTGTCGTGCGGGGAATAAGGGTCCTTGCCGCGGGCCTGACGGTCGCGCATGGTCGGGGTGAAGCCTGTTCCTGTCGCTGTTGACTGGGGAGCTGCGCCGGGGCGGGAGGATGAGGTTGATGGGTTCTGGGGCGATGGGAAGTAGCGCTGCGGGGTGTAGTATTGACCCGACATTCTTTTTGGTCGTTGCCTTGAGGAATGAGGGGAAGATAGGAGAGGAAGGAGGGTGTTGGTTTAGTGTGAGTGAGATGTGAAGGAGCGGTGACAGCTTTCGTCTCTCTGTAACTGGTGAGAGGCAGGTAAATGCAGAACAAGAAGACGAGAGAAGATTAAAAAAGAAAGGAAGAAAAAGAGAGAGAATCGAGTGAATGATCGTTTATGAGGTTCGAGTAATGGGTACAATAGCGTTATGATCGAGGCTGAATGTCACCAGGGGGGGGTGGGCACTTGGGGGGAACAATGGTATTATCAAATGCACGGATGTCGTTGGATGATGGGTTGTTGTCGCTTTTGGTTGGTGACGCGCCGCGCGGGCGGACGGGCGGGGTGGATGGACAGGTCGGATCCGATGCGGGGAGGGGGGGCAAGTGACCATTTCACAAGCACCCTTGTGTGTTACCACCACCCCACGTTTGCCGTTTTGCCCCTCCTTGCCGGGCGCTGAGTTGCTGTCTGGACAGTCTGGACGGGGTAAACTGATAATAAGCTTCTCTACTCATAAATTTAGACTCTTGTACTTGAAAATAAGGTCTTTTTTTCGTTGACCGTTGGCCAAGCCATCTGGCCTCCTTTGCGCCACATTGCAGAGGGATTATGGTTGCTGGGATGAGAACATTTGGGTATGGTCAAGTATTGTAGCTTCCGCCAAGGGGCCTGTCTCACCCCAGAAGAAGATTTGAAACTTGTTTATAGCTGCCAAGTCGGTGCAGCTTTCTATATCCACTGCAGTCAGTCATTGCGAAGTTGATAACCATATTGGATAGGACGAAAGCTCCCTTAACGTCACATAACCACTCGCCTGTAAACGCAAAGCGAAGCGCCCCTTTACCAAAGTAATGGCATGAATACGCTCTCTTTACAAGCTCGTGGCCACGAAAAACTTCGTAAATGTCTAGCCAACAAGATTTACAAACCAATGCGTACTTTGCACAGCACGAATACGTCAATCAGAGTTCGGCTTAGCCATAAATGATCATAACCTCCTTTTTTTGTCATGTCAGTTGATATATACAAGCATAGTGTACAACGCGCTAGCCCTGCGAGTGCCAGAAATGTATCCCTCCGCTCCTAGACACAAAGCCCCTTAGACAGCCCGACCAGAGGAAAGCGACCGACTCATCTACCGCTGCCGTGAATCTAAACCAACGCTGACTCCAACTCTGTTTCCCCAGAAACCAATGTAGATGAAGGTATGCGTATGCAAAAAGGCAACAAGCTTCCCCAGTTCCCACCATGGAGGACCCAACCGCCTAGTATCCTCAGTATCAACACCGCCTCGACGCCAGAAACCGTAGAAAATGTGGGGTTGAAAACGAGTACGACGCGTTACGTCGGGTGCGAATGACCCAATATGATAATGCCGTAGGCTCTACCGCAGAGGATACCAGGCCTATTTTGGTGTAACCAAGAACCTCAAATCTCTTGAGACTCCCTTGGCGCGTAGTCGTGGATTGTTGATGTATTTGACTTGAACTTATAAACTTGGTAGACTTTTACCGACTGAAGTTGATGACAGCAAGCTGCAAATCGTTAGTTCCGAGCCCTGTGTTGATAAAATTTAGACATGAGTAACTTACTCGGCTGTTCGCTCCGTATGCGAGTCTTTGTCCATCAGCGTCCCAGCATAAACAGTGCTCGTCCTCTTCCTCGGGCTCCGAATTGGCCTTTGGGCTGAGCCAGCCCGGATGTGGTGCCCTGCTCCAGCTGGCACGAGGCATTGTGTGCTCTCCGACCTTCCAGATGAGGATGCGCCCGGCCGTGGCTCCAGCGATAAACGCACCGTCTGGTGTGAAGGAAACGGCGACAATCGGTGATTCCATTGTCAAGAAAGACTTGGGTTTGGCTTGCTCCGGGAACTTTGCGTTCCAAATAAGAATGGCGCAGTCATCACCTCCGGTTGCGATGAGGCGCTCATCTTCGGGCGTGTTCGAGTCGGCTGGCAGAGGTTGCCATTGCAATGCGGTGATGGCACCAGAGTGAGCCGTTATTGACCTGCGCTGGCCATTTTCGTCCCAGAGCTAAAAAAGGTTGAGTGAGCCGATGTTCACAGCACAGGCGTTTCGGGATACTTACATCAAGGATACCCTTGTCGCTTGATGTGGCAGCGAGTTTTGAGCGCCAGTCGTAGACAACTTGGGTAAAAGTGTCGTCATCCCTGCTCTCAAACTTCTTGTTCGGCAGGATGGCCGTCTCAGTGCACCGCAGCGACAGCATCACGTCACCGCCAGTGAGGAGGAACTCTGTTTCGCTTGTCCATGCCGCGTCTAGAGGCCAATTGAGCAGATCGTGGTTTGGTAAGAAGTACGACAGAGTGTTGGAGGTTAATGAATGGTAGACCATGACAAGAGCGCCGCCGTTGCCGTTGACGTTGCTGTTGTCGGGGGCAATGGCCAGAAGAGCGGCATCGCTTGGGCTCCAACGCAGCTTTATCACGGGAGGGTCTGAGACGTCGAACTTATCGACGTGCGAGCCGTCCTTGGCCCAAATGTGAACAGATGCCTTGTCGCCGTACTCAGCGGCGATGGCAATGGCAGTTCCCCCCCAGTTCCAGGCGAGTTGGCCAACTGTGGCCGACTTGGGGGTTTCGTCGTCAATAAGGTTGTGGTAAGGGCGATGAATGCCATGCACGTGACCGTCGGACTCAAAAGCTGGCACAGGCGTCATAGTGCTTGAACGTGAGATGGTCCAGATTCGGGCTAGCGCATCGGTTCCAGCAGCCGCCAAGATTGATGGGTCCTTGGGGTTCCACTCGCAGCGCAACAGAATAGGTGCGTTTTCGCCGTTAGCTGGTGAGGGCGAGGCGGCACCGGTCGCTGTTGTCGGGGCGCCATCTTGAGGGTTGCTGGTTGTGGTGGTGTCATCGGGCAGTAATCGTAAAAATGTCGTTTCAGTCGACAGTTCCTGGACTTTGTCGACCTGAGTGCCCTGTTCGGGGCCGTCTGTCCTCGGAGTAGGCGTCGGAGCTTGCTCGCCTTCCAGGGGCGACGGATAGGCGTGGTTGTTGTCCCCGTGGTTGTCTAGCTCCATGGGGTCCGTGGCTGCATCCGCCCCGTTCGTGCTTTCGTACCCATTGCTGAGCCTGGGCCGCTTGCTGGGTGAGCCGCCATTCACCAAGTGCTGCTGTGGCCGGCTGTCAAGTTGGCGTTTTCGAGAGTTTTCCATCTCCATTTCTGTGTCGTCCACCTCCCCGTCCGCATCCTCATCCTCCTCGATTTTATGAGGCGCTTGAGAGATCAATGGGCCAAACAACCCCACCTGCAATGCTTCGGCCGCCGCCGACGCATCTTGAGGCACCTGCACGCGCAAAAAAAGTGTCAGTTTGCTAGAGTTCGCACGCTACACCCGCACAACTTTTTGTCTGCCCCTTTGTCGCCTTGGGCTGCATAGCAGTGCGATCGTTGCCCACGGCGCCGGGGGGAAGAAGATAAAGTGAACGTGCCGGCCCAATTTGGATGTGAATTGCCTTACCAGTTTCTTTGCATGTTCCCGTTCCAGGGCATGGTAGCAGAGACCTTTGTTGATCACGGATACCAAAGCATGACTCTTGACGTGGTTTGCAAAGTCAAATTGGCGATGAGGTTGCTGAACGTGCCACTCCTTCTGGAACTTGGCTGCGGTCTCTCGGTAGTCTACAAATGTCAGAGGGGATTAAAAAGCCGTGGCCCAAGACCAGCTGTCGCTGGCTTGGTGTCTTTGAAAAGATCATCACATACTGCTTTCCAGTAGGTATCTAGGGTACGGCACGTTAGCAATCACATGAGGGCTCTCCTAGTCGCATCACCCGGGGGGGAATAAGAGGCGAGAGAATTCAAGGGCGAGAGATGAGAGTGAGGCGCGCGATTGTGTGTTTGGGTGTGTGGTGGTGGTGGGCGTGGGTGAGACGCAAAAAGGGTGAACTCACCTCCAGACGAGGAAGTTGACTCTGTCCGAGTCGAGGAATTCCTTGGTGACCATGCCGCGCGGTGCCGCAGTGGGCGGCGGAATAGAGAGCGAATCTGTGAGGGGAATCGATCACGGCGTCGACGAGGGCTTTCTTGAGCGTCTTGCAGTGCGTCGTCGAGGTAGCGTTGTTCACAGGATCGTGTCGTCGATTTCGAGACGAGAGGAAAGATTGAAGATTGAGGAAGCCCGCAAGAGTGGATGAAATGGAAGGATGGGCGAATCTGAATCTGGCGGTACGTAGGCAAGGTACCTTGTTGTTTAGGCGAGACCAGGCGTGAGGTGTGGCGCTAGCGCCAGCAGCCCAGTCAGTGCCTTCCATTGAAATCCAACTGGGTTGGTGCTGCTACTCTTACTACGACGCCCTTTTACCTTTAAAACTACGTACCCCCCCTTCCCACCTTTACCTTACTTTAGCACTTAGCGTCTTCGCCGGCCTAGGGGACTGCGTCTAGGACTAGGGGAAGACAGAGACACTCTCAGACCTTTTACGCCCACACACACACGCACACACGCACACACCACACACTCTGTTCCAAGGAAGGCTCTTTTCGTCCTTTTCCTGTCTGTCTCTCGTTAAATCGGATAGCTGCAACAGCCAGCCATGTGTGTATGTGTGTCGCTTGGGTGTTGACGCTGGCAAAGCTTGTCATCGGCTTCGTTGCGACCTCTCCGTTATTCTCATCCTACATCTGTCTGCACAATCAGTAGGGGAATACGGGGGGAGATTGCCGCACCTGCACAAGCCAAGTACATAGTAGCAGCCGAACAAGTAGAGCAGGGAACGCGCCAGAGGGGGGGATGGACCAGCTTGAGGCCCCCGGACCCCGGTCGGGGCGGCTTTTCAAGTCCCAGGGAATAATAATGAACGAACGAGCGCAGCCAGCATCAACCAGACACAATTGTTGGAGACTCCCATCAACTGGGACGCTGGAGTTGGAGGAACAAAAAATGAGGGTACGTACCGTCTACGTCGGACGGGAGTGGAGTCGCCTCAAATGCATGACCCAACGTACTCAACCTTCGGCGTACCTTTGGGACCGTTGTTGCTTGAGATCTTGATTCCACGTACCGAGCCCTTTCGCCTTCTAGGCGGGCTTGGCCTGAACAGAAAGAGCCTGGACTTCAATTTTGTAGACTACGTTGATTGGGGGTCGTGTCTTCCCGCAGTCCATAGTTCACACCAATGCAGCAAGTCCTTTTTTTTTTCCTCTTTAGGAAAACCGCTAAAGAGCCGGGTTATGCTGTGCTGGGCTGGTCTGGCAGGGCCTGGGAGGAGTAGCGGAGGGCGGGCGGGCTTCGAGAAAACGATAATTCTCTGCTTAATCCCGTGGTCCCGTCCATCAATTTGTTGTTGTGGTCCATCGAATTTTGGGGGTGGTGTTTGGGGCTGCTACTTAAGACAGGGTTCCCGGGAGAGCCACATTTTGGGACTTGAAGGTGGCCCTGACACCCAGTCACAGTGCCGCCCCTTGCGCCTTGCCTTGCCTGAGGTACTTTGCCTTTGTACCCTCCGTCACCCCGTAACTGGGGGTCGATGCCTTGCGCCGCACAGAGTAGTACCTAGTAATTCTGAATGCATGCACTACTTTGACTCGAGGGCCATCAGGCCGTGGATGAAGGCCAATATTTCCATCTGGCGATGCTGACATTTCCGCGACTGTTGCGTGAGGAGGGGGGGAGAAAGAGAGAGAGAGAGCGCCAGCCCACCCGTCAGAAAGGGTTTGCAAGCAAGTCATCAACAGTGTGGCTTATCTCCACGTCAAGTTCAATGAGGGAGGGGGGAGGGAACTTACCTATCTTTTGATGATAGCGTTACTTTGACTCCTCCATGACGATCTTTCACATCTAGCTACCTTGGAGGAAGAGACCTTGTCGTGTACAAATACGTATTCACAATTGACAACGGTACTGCTGTGCGTGACCGCATCAAAAGAAAAAACCTCGATCGTTTCAGGGGTCCAGAACAAGCAAGACGCTGTGGATGCCGGGCTCTCCTGGCAGATGGCCGGACAGCTTTGAGGAGGGCTGGAAACGTTGGAGGTACATTGAGATGTACATTGAAATACTGGACGGGCACGCTAACCCATGGAAATGCACGCATTGGCTGCCTGGGATGCTACTACGTATGTACGTAGTACTTAGATTCCCATGACCCACCTTATGTAAGTAAACTGTCTCCCCAGCTTCGTGGAGCAAATGGAAACGCAGAAATGTCTTCAAGACCTGCTATCCGTTGTGACTTTCGCGTCGTTGGTACTGCTTGGGACGGCTTGTTTGTTTGCTGCTCCTGCTGCGCGCGCACGTTGCTAATGCATCTGCGCCCATTGACTCAACCTCTGTATCATCACTGATGATGACTTGCCTCCGTATCCCCCCCGGGTCCCTCACACCTCGTGCCGTTATTGAATTCCGCCGTCATCCCCACCTGAGCCGGTCGGGAGAACAGAAGAAAGAGAGACACGGCCCATTCATTAGGACCATTCCTCGAATAGGCCCCAATTTTGACTTTATGGCCCCTAGCCTGCACTAGTAACTGCCAAGAGGCGTATAAATAAGCAGCCGAAGGCAAAACCAGCGGAAGACCTCCGCTGCGTTTGTAGAGACAAGGCAGAAACCACGAGGTTTTTAGAAATATGTCAAGGCCAGCACCCGGACCAACTTTTGCTTGCTTCCCTTCCCCCTTCTCTGGTGCGGATGCAGTGTGCAGTGTGCAGTGCAGCGCAGCGCAGCGGTGCTGTGTCCTGATGTCTCCGCCCAACCATCTCTGAATTGCGGCGCGACTTTAGCGTGGTGTAGCCCGTCTTTGCATGCACACATCGATTCGGACAGCCCTTTTCCTTTTTCGCCCCATGCGGCCACTGCACTGGAGGCTAATGCCGAGAGAGGGCCGCGCCTCTTGGGGCTGCAGCCCGCGCAGATGGGCAGCGGTTTGTCGTCTGTTTCCAGTTCTTACCTGTAGTGTACGTACCACCGAACCTTGAAAGACAAGGCAAGGTACGGTCCCGAGTGGGGGATTCCAATCATGACAGCAGCTGGGGTGTCAAAGTAATGTTGTGCAGTACAAAGAAGTAGCGGGAATGACTCCTGTTCCTCAAAATACACGGAGCGCATCGACAAGAAAATGCCATCTTCGTCGAGGCGGCCTGCATAATATTTCGCTGTCCTCCTTCCTCCCTCAGTACTCCGCCTCAACCATTCTTCGTCGCCTCGCAAGGTCGTCTCTTGTGTACGTGGCATTGCCCATCAAGGGGCTTTCCCTGGCGGGAACCACTGGCTGCGAGGCGCCATGGGTGGGTGTAGACAAGGATATGATGGCTGCATGGCCTTCGATCTTTAATAGCTCCGGGGACTTCTTCAGGGCCCCCTGCCACCGCCTGTCTGTGACCACTGACTGCTAGCCACTCACACCGGCACATCAGGCCAAGCCGAATGGGACCTCGTTTGGTGGTCAAACTCCATCCCGTCAACGTTGACCAACGTTGTGGTGCTCAGAAACACCCCTGGGAATGGTAGGCCGCTCATCACTCAGAGGCACACCTCCTGGCACATACTAGTAGTACAGCGGCCAACTCCAGCCATCCCTGGCGAAAATGCAATTGATGATGATAGAGCAGGTGGTTGTGCTCGAGCTGATGCTGATTCTCTACCCCAAGACCCGAGACCGTCTAATCAATAGCAACATGCATCCCAGCCTGGTGCCAGTCGCTGCCGATGCGGCTAGGGTTTTGTCTTTTATTTTTATTTTACGACGCGGGCTGGGGTTTGTCGGTTCTTATCCGCCGGCCGAAGGGGATGGTAAACTGACAGCCGCGGTGCAGATGACGAATGATGGGTTGAGTGGCGACAATCCTTCAAAATTGACAATCTTCTACGTCGTTAAGGATGCTATGCCAAAACTAACGGCATTCCCTCGCTAGCCGACCGAGAGAATCAGCCTAGCAAAAGCCTGATCTTGCTCTTTCTTGTCTGGAGGTCCAAGGGGGGCCGTCCGAGGTTGGCGGCACCGTCCGAAGGCGTCCAGGGGCAATACTCTCGAGTCAGTTCTACCACCAAAGAGCCTGACCCAGCTGTCCTCAAATTGCGCAGAGGGGAAGCATGTTATGCCAGCTGCAGCATTCCTTCAGTGGCTCATCGTTTTGGGTTCTTGATTTTCGGCCTTGGCTTGGCCAGGTCGATGAAGGGGAAGAATAAAATAAAAAACAAGGCTTCCCGCCGAGAGGCCGGGAGGTGGCACGAGTGGGAAGGGAAAAGGCTGGATGACGGCAGCTTCTGGCTGGGCTGGCGTTCAACCGAACCGAGTGCCCTTGGAGTACCCTGCAGGGATGGAGCCACAAGATCTCCCCGTTTCGACCACATCGAGGACTCGTCGGCTCCACCAGTGGAACACTCCCACGCCCCTCTCAAGACCGTTCATTGCCCTGCAGATGAAAAACTCTGGGGCCTGCTTGTGTTGTTTGTGCGCCCTCCTGCTAGCTGCTGCCTCGTTCTCGAATCGCTGCCCACCTCCGAATCAGCCGAAAGTAGGAGCGATTGATGAGAGGACGATACATCAGTGATGGCAACAAAACAGGATAGGTTAGATGGGTTATTGTTCAGGGCAGGGAGGCCAGGGGCATCCGCGTTGAGCATGAGAGGGAGTCTGGGGGGAACGTGGCTCAAGACAGGATACGTACCGGAGCTGGGGGAGAACAGAGGCTGCTGCCCGTGTCAATTTTGCTGGGAATCCACCAAAACGGACCGCGGGATCCAATCAGTCCCGTCTGCATGGCCTGTGCGCTAAGCTTCCAGCTCCTGCCCCAGACGGGCTTAGCTTGTCAGCGCGGAAGAACTATATTCCATATACAGACCCACTGAAACGACCCTGGGGCGCCTTACCAGTCACGTCAAAGTGTCCCTTCGAATGAGGCTCTCCGGACCAGATATCTGGAGGGCAAAAGGCGAGCTCGCCCTGTTACGATCCCACCCTAAATGCGTTGTTAACGTCCGCCGACCGACTGGAAGCTGTCACAAAGATGCCACCCCGAATCAATATCCCGCCGGTCACTCGCGTGCTGCTGGGCGTGCTCGTGTTGCAGTCCTTCCTGAGTGCAGCCATCAGATACCGCCAATGGAGCGCAACTTCAGAGATCGTGATACCGTATCTTACGCTCATCCCTCAGCTCTCCCTTATTTACCCGTGGACTTTTTTGACCTCAACTCTGGTCGAAAACAACATCTTTACGCTTGCTATCGCAGGTGCTACCATCTACTATGGAGGTAGATATCTTGAGAGAGCTTGGTCCTCGGCGGAGCTGGCCAAATTTGTCGCCATTACAGCTCTGATTCCGAACACCCTGACCTTTGCGCTCATGATCATTTTCTTCACTCTTACGAGGAACGAGCGCTGGACGTAAGTGGAGCTTCCTTCAGTCCATCACATCTTTCCCCCATGCGTACCCCCAAGCTAATCAAGCTCTGCACCAGACTGACCGTTATTGGCGGAACGATCTCGATGCAAATTTCCTTTCTCGTTGCGTTCAGCCAGCTTGTACCGGCGCACACTGTCACGCTCTTCCGAGGCATCCTCTCCCTGCGAGTCCCGAGATTTCCGCTGCTATATCTCGGCCTGGTGTTTGCGCTCTCCCTGACGCCGCTCTTGACGACCGCCTCCTTCTCCCTTGCCCTGACAGGCTTCCTCACGAGTTGGACCTATCTCCGTTTTTATAAGAAGGTCTTCCCAGATCTCGACGCCTCCCAGCCTACCTCTCTCCGTGGGGATGCAAGCGAGACGTTCGCATTTGCCGAGTTCTTTCCCAACCCCGTCAAGCCGTTTGTGGCTGCCCTGTCTGCCCAAATCTTCGATGTGCTTGTAGCGATGCGGATATGCACCCCATTCTCCCCGGACAACGTTCCGGGCGGACGCGGTAACAACTTTATCCAACGGAGCGCTCCTGGCGGCGCAAGAGCGGAAGCGGAGCGGAGACGCGCGCTGGCGCTGAAGACGCTCGATCAGAGACTGCACGCGGCAACGGCTAACGCAGCGGCCCGGCCATCCTCCCAGCCGCCCGCGCAGCAGCCCACGGGTCCGACGGTACAGACCCAACCCCAGCCCAACACACAGACGGCCATGACCACCGAACCGACCGAGGTCCTGGGAGAGACCAATTATACCCCTGACCGGGATTCGAGCGATAAGAACCAGTCGTAGGAGAAGGGGGAAAGAGGAGCCTCCTCGGTGTAAAAGCAGTATTTTATCGTGCGGTTTCACCAATGAAGGGGCTGTTGGACAGGACAGCACAATGTACTCTGTTATGTGTGAATTAGGGGAACGACTTTAATTCTTTCCTGGTGTTTTTTTTTTCCCTACTCCTTTAGTTTCTTTTGGCATTGGCGTCTACAGATGGATACCTACGCGAGAAGTATAGTGTAGTTGGCATGAAGGCGGTGGTGGTCTTGGGATTATGAGAAGCGAAAACCTCGCCCCTTATGTATAGTGTAGCTTTACTTACAATGGGCGGGCAGGAATGGACAATGTACGTCTTTTATGGAGATGTCTCTTTTCCCGAGATTTGTCTGCAAAGCCACCCTGATGCATCATCGAGCGCGCGCCCCGCGCGCATGTATTCCGTCCGTTCCCAATATGCCATCGTATACCCACGTGCGCTGCGTCATGTCAGTATGTCAGTTCACTTCAGTCCGGTCTGGGTTTCTTTATTTCTTTTTTTTCTTCTCTTCTTTTTTACTGGTCCCTCCCTCCCCATTTATTTTCTTGCTCTACCGGTACCCCGAAGGTGGCCGTCTGAAAGGCAGGGTCCGAGTCAACGGCTCCGAAAAACCCGGCGAAACTGGGTAACGTAGCTTCGGCCCTTTTTCGACTCCTGCAACTCTCGGGCCATTGTGCAGTCGGATTATCCGTACACAACCACAATTAAGGATGGAAAAGAAAAAGAAAAAAAGATATTGAGAAAGAAAAAAAAAAAAGAAAAAAAAGAAAAGAAAAGGAAAATAATAATAATGAATAACCCTCGGACGTTTCTTGTTTCTCTCCGTCCTGACCCCATCTTATATTTCTCCGTGTGGCGTCCTGGTGAAATTTGTTTCTTCCTCTCTTCTTGCTGCTCCTCTTCCGTGTGTTGGACAGAGTCCGTGTGAAGCTCGGGTCGCGCTATCCGCTGTCGGGCCCTTCTTTATTTGGCGTCCCCCCCTTCTCCCTCCCCACCCCCTTCCTCGGTCGGAGGCGCGTGTGACACACGCGATCGCCGGTCCGTGGGCGGCCGGGCAGATCTGGCAAAACCCACTACTAGCACGATAACGACGAAAAAAAAAAGTCAAAGTGCGCCAATCTGTCCGTGGTGTTACACATGTTAAGTTGACACTCCGTGCAATTCTTCAGGTTTTCCTCCAGCCTCAGAACGCACGTCCGCCCCACGGCTGGCGGCTGCCGGGCAGTCAGGCAGTCAGTTCGCACTTAAGTCATGGAAAGAAAACGTCAATCGGCAAACATGTTCGAAGGAGGACCGAGGACCAAAATAAGAGTTGCGGCTGTTTTGACTTTTTATTTTTTTTTAACTTCCCCCCTGTGTCTCCCCGCCTCTTTATTACTTCTTTCATCCGGCAACTGATGGATGAGCTTGAATGAGTTCGCTTTTCCATAGGGTCTGTGTTTCATTGTATTCTATAGTATTCTTCAGTGTTTCCCCTTGTTTTCCAATTGGAGCCCCCTTACACCCTCGTCCGTTCACCGTTCAACCTTCATTTCTCCTGTGATCACGGGACCAGTTTTGGGAGACAAGGTTGCACCGATGATCCAGTGGTGGAACATCAAAATACCATGTGAAATTCCATGTCTCCGATCATCGACGTAGGCAAGAATGTATAATTCCCAGGAGACAGAAAAGCAAAGACGAGGGTGCTGGACCGGACTGGAATCTGCATCCATTAAGAAATGCATTCCTAGTTTCCTGTCTGCCGATTCGCTCTCTTTGTGTGTGTGTCTCTCACACACGCACATAACAAACACACCCATGGCACCGGTAGCGTAGCCATAACACTACGACACAACTACGCAATTCAGGTCGCCTCTTTTTTTCCCTTTCCGCCCCAGCAATTAGAGTTGCGGGACTCGAAAACCGAGGAACGTCGAACCGTCGAACTCCGGGACCCATGCGTGTGTCAAGGGAAAGTTAAAGCACGCACTCTCATAAGTAAAGTGGTGGTGGTGGGGGGACGGATATTTGTGTTGGATGATGCTTGGCTTTTTACTCTACCGAGCTTCCTCGACTACCCAGGCCAGGACGGAAAAAAACGAGAAGAGGGTGTGCTGAAAGGCAACGAAGTGTTTGGAGTGTCTGAGGACTTGTGCACGTTTTTTTTACTCTCCTTCTTCAACCCCCCCTCACGAGAGTGCATGGTGGTCAGATACAAAAAATTCAGATCAAACGAGACGAAAGAGGAGGATAAAAAAAAAATAACACGGCAAAAGGTAAAGATGTCCAGCATCGATGACGCCCACTTGAGATTGTCTGAGTTTCTCCTCCATTTGATTTTCATCAGAGTATCTTTCTTAGCGGCATCATCATCATCGTCTCTTTGGCAACCCATCTTTCTCTCCCCTCAGCATTCCCTCGTCTCACCATCTATTAAACTCCACGGTGATGGGCATCGCCTAACCTCCAGGTTTGAAGCGCGAGACAAGTGGGATAAAGTCTGCCCATCCCACATCCTTATGCGAAGCACTGGACGGTTAATGCCCTTAGAGAAGGCGAACACGCGTACTGGAAACAGTTACGGTACGTGCTTATAGCCTTTTTTTTTTTTTATCCCCCTTCCCCTCTCTTCTTATTCTCTTCTACATTCTCCCTCTCTCTCTTTTTTTTCCCCCTTAGGCATGGATTGGGAGCCGTCTGTATCCAGGTCTCTCCCCCGGATGACTGCGGCGAGGATAGATGGGCGCGCGGCGGGAAACTCTACACCTGACACATGAACTTCGGGGGGTTTCCGGCTGCATGACACGGCCGCGGAAAAGGGTAAATGGTCAGGGAGCCCCTGGTCGTCCCGTCTTTTTCTGATTCTCTAAAAGTGTAATAGCGTTCTTCGAATCAACCCAACGTCTTACGTCCCTTCTTTTCTTCTTCTTATTCTACGTAGTATACTGGCAGGCGAGCCGATTGTGCCTTTCTACCTGTGTAAAGGTGTGGGAATGGACGAGAGTGTGTGTGAGTGGGTATGGGGGTGTTGTGTCTCTCTGTCTGATCAATGCATGCATGTGTTGTGTGCAACACACGTACTTTTCCACACAAGACATTACGTATGCCGGACTACGGAGAGAACGGTAAGGTCCCTCACGAGTCACTGCCGCATTCCTGGTGTTAATTGGCTTCAATGATCGTTTGTACGACCCGTCTTGGTCTTATCTATGGTTCCTCATTACAGGGAGGGGGGAAATCAAAAAGGGGAAAAAGGAATCATGGGGGTAAAAGGAAGGTATCCAGCACTGTTGAAGGTTGCGGCAGGCTGAATCGTACTAAGTAGCGTGTATTAATTAACGGTAGGCAACAGGGACACCAGAACACGTATTTAAGAAAAAAAAAAAAACACGCCCAGAGTTGGGCACCTGGAATCTCGGGCCAATAGTCTGGAACATCTCAATCACGACGATGGCATGCGCCGATCTCAGAGTACGGACCGGGGATGGCGTAGCGTTGCCTTAGGCGAGAGTGGGGAATTTGGGGGGAGATGGAGGCTTGGATTTCTTGGGAGTAAAAAAAGGGAAGGGGACAGAGAAGGGGGGACACAATAAAAAAAGGAAGAAAGAAAAATTAGAAAAAAAGGTTTCTGCCGATGCAGCGTTAGCCGGCCGAGCCAATCACTGTCAAAACGTGATATTACCAGGTTCGCACAGGTTTGGTGTGGAGGGGGAAGACAGGGGAATTCATAGACGACCCACTTAAAGCACGCCTTATTCAGCAGGTGCTTAATGTGGGAAGTTTGCCATGCTTCCTGCCATGTTCTGTTGCCTTGGGATTCAGGGTTCCTCTTGGTAGTAATGACGATCCTTTGTGGTCGGTTATGGGTGACAGTGATGTATCACGGTTGGACCTGACAGGTGGTGGAAGGGAAGAAGAGGAGGACCAGCCAGAGCCGCTGGGGATCTGATCTCGGAACGAGATGAGAGAGGAAAAAAAGGAACAAATCAAGAAAAAGGAAGGGGGGACGAGAGGAAAAAGAAGAGGGCCCGTCGGATGGGCTTGGCTTGGCTTGGCTTGGCTTTGGCGCCCGCGTTGAATGTCGATGATGACTTGGCTTTGGGCTGAGTCGGCTTCCCCGTGGCGCGTGCAGCCCCTGGCGTGTGTGGCTCGTGTGTTGAGATGTGGTGTGGATGGGTCGCCGCCAGGCTTAGGCTGCATCATATGTCTCACCTTGCAATCCGTTCCTGTGTTCCACAGCCTTCACAGTAAGGTGGAATGTGCGCCCGTGAAGCCGCCGTAGGTGGTGCCCCCGTGTATTTTGAGGTCATCAGACAGCCAGCCCGCGGCCCACAGCCCGTAAAGAAGCAGCGGCATTGGCACTTGTCCTTGCGTATCAACGTTCTGGCCAGCCCTTCGACTCTAAACACCAGCCGCCAAGCCACGAGCAATCGTGACAGCGGTATCGTTCGATGCCTTGTTGCAGCGACGGGATGCGGGTGTTTAAGATGCCCGCGCTTTGCGCCCATACCGGCCATTCGATCTGCAAATACCCTTGTTGGTGCCCATTCCTTTTTCTTTCCTTATCATTTCTATTTCCCTCCGCGCTGGTTGTCACCGTGAGACAAAAGCGGGAAGGAAAAAAAAAAAAAAGGGTTTGGAATTGGACAAACGGGACAGCGGGTACAGATGTGCAGAGGGAGACAAAAATGGCCTGGACATCGCGACAAACGCATACGCCGTACTTTGCGTGGTGTCGGACCGGGAGACCAATCCAACATGACGGACGTGTGAGATGGGATGGTTTACAATGGGGCTGCGGCCGCCGGGGATAGGCTCGCCTCGTTGGAAACAAGCTCCCTCACGTGTGGTGGTGGTTGCCGACAGGACCGAGTCGTCTCCAGTTGTTCCAGTCCCCGCCGTTTACCTTCACCGCATGACGGGTCCTGGCAAGCGTTACGACTTACGTACATGATGGGGGAAAGGCTGGGTATCGTGGCCGGAGTGCGGCACCAGCCAAGCCCTTCCCTGAGTGGGTTTGGTGGACTGTGGATCGCGCCGTATACCTCTACTAGTACACATAGTACTAGGAGGAGGGGAGGGGGGACGGCAAAAAAAAAAGTTGTCCTGGGGTTTCCGAGCGACAGAGGCACAGCCGCAGGTAGCCCGCCCAAACAAGAAGAGCCCTAAACCGGGAGTGCAGGATAGGCAGGAGAATTTTGACGATTTTATTACCCGCCTGCTCGGACGACGATGAGGGAGTGTGATTCGGGGATTCGGGGCAGACAGGGAGGCGGGCACTCAGCCAATGTGACGAGGAGACACCATGTGGAGGACTCAAGCAATATGGTCGTCCTTATTAATATGGGCTCGCGCCGCCCGCAAGGCACCACAGTGGTCCAGTACAGCGCGGGAATGTGCTGCTTGGCTTAGATCAGCCTCTTAGTGGAGGCTGGCTGATGGAGGGTTGTTGGTGATGACGATGACTATCAACGATGGCGATGTTGATCATGATCGCAAAGCGAACTCCAGCTTTGTGTGTTTTGGTGTGGTCTTTTTTTTTTTTTTTTTTTTTTTTGCTTCCGTTCTTCATCCGTCTTCGTTAATGGAAGAAGGTAAAATGAGGCGGTACGTACCTTGTTGCCGCACAACGTTTCGCTCTTGTTCGTTTCCAACCTGATCCGTAAAGGGGAGGGGGCGCTAAGGGTGAGAGACAGACAGACTCATTGAGAAATGGGTGGACAGTGGGCTTCGGATGCTCAAATGTTTGTGGGGATGGTACATGATTATGTAATGTAGAGACGGACTACGTACTCATTTGCGGTACCTGCCTGTCCGGACACAGGTCCAAAGTCAGAAATTATCCGGGCTACCGGGGAGGGGCCGCTTGTACGCGTTGGGAAGGGCCACAGAAGGGCGAGGGTGCTGGGAAACATGGATAGACCCAGGCGCCGTATGCCGTGCCACTCGACCCCGAAAAGGCTCTCCCCGTCCCACAGACTTTTGATACCACACCATAACTGACGCCAAGGAGTCAGATCAGTCTGCGCGGTGTGGCACCGTGGCACGTCAGGTTCGACGACTTGGCGGATGGCAGGTAAGATGTCGATGCTGTGCTCAGTGAAGTGCCTCACTTGTCCAGCAATGGTACCGAATATGCACGCCGACACACACTACTACGTACCTGCCGGAGACCTTTCCTGGGACCCGTGCCGTCAGTCCTCTCAATTGTCCGTCGCCCTCTCTTTCCCCTTGCCTTCCTTACCTTTCCATCACAACCATACTCACCCTTACCCTTACCCTCACCCCCGACCAACCCCATCCTCATCCTTATCCTCATCCTAACCCTCAGCTGTGGGAGAGTGTCATTACTCATTTTTTTCCGACGCAATATCCGTCATCTGCACCCACAGTAATCCTTTACCCTCCTCTCTCTGTCTCTCTCGCACTGCTTCTCTCTCTCGGTCGCATCACCTCCAGCCTCTCTCTTCGCCATCGGGCCGCCTCTATCCTTACACCTTGACACATCAGGTACCTTCGTACCTCTCCAAACGGCCTGCATATGCGAGAGATGGCTGCATCCTTCCTCCGCCCACACGCACATCCAACATACCTTACCTTGCTTTACCTCACATGAGGGTACGTACATGCTGTACCGCGCAGGGCACGCACACAATCTTTACTTCATCCAAGCCAAGGGCTGGGGGAACGGCAGGCACCCCCGCCACACATAGACAGACAGACGCAAGACGACGGCCACGCCCCTCCACCCACCCCGTTGACGCTGTTGTTCCTCTCTTCGCTCTTATTGTCTCGCCCCATCAGCCTCTTAACGACACCCCCCACCCCTTGATTCTCAACTCCAAAGTACCAGGGCCAAGCCTCCGTGTCCTCCCCCCCCATCCTTTCAGCCATGATCTCGGCGGCAGCGACCGGATTCCATCAACCTATTCGCAGCCGGTCAAGGACCCAAGCAAAGCCCACAGATGCACCCGCGTCATGTGTGTGTCTGTATCTGCGTCGCCTCCATACGTAGTACATGGGCACGAGTGCTGTCGGAGATGAACCCGCCATTGCAGCGCAGAGAAATGCGTGCATCGCCCAACCAACTAGTCATCGTCGGAGGGGGAAAAAAAAATAGCCACTGCAGATTCTGGTGATAGCGTCCTCTCAACACACTCTACCAGCCAGGCCTGAAACTATGATTACCTTGACATGCACATGTCGTCGGTAAAGCCAAGCTCATTTGATGAAGAAGGCAAAATTTATTCGTTGCGACACAAGACCGGAATAACGGCCTTTCTAGACATCAGCAGCAGCAGCTCATTCGGCATGGTGGTGCCTGCAAGGAAGCCAAGGCGATGAACCACGACCCAAGCGCACCCTATCCCGATCACCAGGCGCTGAAACCGATGATCTTAACCGGGGGAGGGGGCCGAATAAGAAAGACAAGCGAAGAGGCCATGGGGATAGGGCAGCTAGAAACGAGCAAGTGAATGTCAGGGCGGCCTGGGCAGTTGTCTCTCAGGATGGGAAGATCGGGGAAGTGTACGACTTGGGAAATTTTACATTAAGAAGTTAACTGACTAGCGGGCAGTTGAGGCACGGATGAAGTCACATCGGCGTTCTGGATGGATGGATGCAGTGGTGCAGCGATGGCATGAACCAAACTCAAAGTTCGTCTTTTCTTGTGTGTTGGTTTTGGCTTCTGGCATTTCTTCGACGCTGCGATCCACCACCCCCTTCCCCCGATCAGGATCTTGATTTTTTTTTTGGGGTGGGCTTGCCTGGTTGGTGCTGGTGCATGCACCAATCTCAATTTTGCCTGCCCTGGAGACAGCCCAGCCCAGCCCAGCCCAGCCCGCCCTAAAGGGGACAGAGTGAGAGTGAGTAGTAGAGGGCGCTCAAGCCTCAGGAAGCCTGGGCAGACAGACGGCCTGTAAGAAGGTACTGACTTGGCACCTGGCTGCGAGTGTTGTGGCGGCCGGCACCTCACGTCAGGGGACATTTCCCCAGGGACGGGCGAACCAAGCCCAGGGAAGTTCGGTGAATATTAACCTCCCCGACCTGAACGCTGCCAACCCAACAGCACCTCAGCGACACGTGGGGTTTGCCGAAATGCAGTTTAGCGGCGGCGGCAGCTCAAGCGTAGCGCTTTCGATTTCCTGGAGCCAGCCTAATGCTTTTTTTATTTGGCTTCTGTTCCTCCTATCTGATGGCTGTTTCAATTCGCTCCCTAACGAACATGTCAATTTTTTAGTTGGCTTGCTTTTTGATTATTTTAAGGACCTTGGCTACCTCTAGACGAACGTCAAGTCAAAACGTTCGAGGGACTACATTTTGCCTTTAAGAAAGGAAGTCACTTGTCCGTTACGGTATTTCATGATGCCTTTCTCAGCAAAGATCACCAGTCACCTGACCATGGCTGCATCGCGACGCTCCCGTCAACTCCGGCCGCTGACGCTGGAGGCGGTCATCCTTTTGCCAGTCCCCCTTGGCTTTGGGAGACGATGCCCATCGCTGTCGGCTCCCGGCATCGTTATCTGTCTCGCGCGTCCCAAGATACAGTTCCTGTTCCGTGAACAAAGTCTACATTGGGCATCTTCATAATCATCAAGACCCATCCTGGCGGGCGGCGAGCATCCGCCGCGGAGGCTAGTAGCTGGCATGGCGTCGTAAGGGGGACTTCGATGCGCTGCGACACGGCTGTCTTTTGTTTCAAACCGGCTGCGGATGCTATTTCCGCGTTGGTGCTGGCCAAGAAACCAGACCTGTAGATCATTCATTACGCGCTTTGTCTGTGAGAGCCGACAAGGCCGTTCTCTGCTTACTACACCAGCCATCCTTTCTCTCTATGTCTATTTCTGTAAGTTACCATAACGTGAATACTACTGAGCGAACATGATCTGCACACGTTGCAAATGTGACAGCAGTTTGTGTGTGGGGGGGGGAAACAGGTAAGCGAAAACCGCGATGCTTGGCTGAGGTTGGCTTGGATCACGTCGCGCAGGCAGTATGCGCCGTACTGTTTTGGCTAGAAGATTTGGTCGGCTAACTTCCTCGGACATTGTCGGATTAAACCACCAAGATTGGCACCACATAAGAACTTCATTAACGGTCGGGAGCTGATAGCTACCAGTGGCAAGGGGAAAAGAAGCTTTGAAGGGGCCCACTTCAAACAGCAACACGAAATAGAAGGATTGCGGCAAAGTAATCACGCACTTAGCGACTGGCAGGTTGCGTTCACAAATTGACGATGGCCTCTTCTCCGTGGGGGGGAAAGGGGGGTGCGTGTTTCCGCTGAGGGGGGAGGGAGGCTGAGACGGAGGAAAAACGCAGCATATACCCCCGACTCTCCATTGCAGGTGTCGTGAGGAGGCAAGCATGCCAGGAAGGGTAAGGCAAAGCAGGCAGGAGAGCGAGAAAGAGTAATCAAATCAAAAGGGAGGGGTCCAGTCTGCAGTTGTGTTTCGTTAGCCTCCCGAGAACCAATCCATTCGCGGTCCCCATCTCATACCACAGATTTCCGCTGATGAGGTCGTGGTCTCCATCAGCCAAGGTACTCTGCAGTCTATACCCTTGCCAATTCGACACCCATTTCGGACCAGCAGGAGCCAAGGACAATATGGGTCGGTGCCTCAGGGAGCATGCGCCATGGGCGGGAGAGAGAGGGGGGGCGAATTGCGTTCAGTGGGAGTGCCCGCTGCCCGCCTCCATGAAATCTGTAATAGTACACCGTGCCTGGCCAGGCCCAGCGGGCTTAGGCGGGCAAGTCCCCTCCCCGGTGCGGTGGGCGTGAGCCTGAAGCAGCTGCGTGGGAAAAAAGGGTAATGGATGGTGAGGGCGTGGCCCATCGGGTCCAGTCAAATGGTACGTATCTAATACAGCGTATCTACGTAGTTGTACTCCATAGTGATGGATAAAGGTAAGGTAAGCTAGCTAAGTTGTCTTTTTAGATGAGATGGTGAAAGATACGTACCGCCTGTCGCTACCGCTACCGCGACTACCACCTTAGCTTCCCTTGCTCTTCTCCATCCTTGCCCCACATTGGCGCCCCCCCAGCATCGACTTAAATAAAAAAGCAGCGTGTGAGTGCTACGCACCCCCTTCGACGTAGTGCAGGGGGGGTGGCCGTCGTGTCGTTTCGCTTGGGAAGAGGGAGGGTCCACCCCACCCCGTGGCGTCAACTCAGTATGAGAAAGGAACGGAAGGAACAAAGGGTACGTTCCGGTACGTACTCCCTCCTTGCTGCCCGTTCACTCGTGGGTAAGGTGAGTTTGGCACAGAATGATGGAACCTACCTTAGGAACCTCTCGCAGCCTCCCAACTTCCCCTTCTCGTTTTCTTCCCCCGTCCCCAACTTCTCACAGAGCTGCAACGGGGGCGCTTCGATCCATCGCCTTCGGGTCTCGTATCCTTTCCTTCTCCCAATCTCATCATTGCGCTGCCGAGAGGGCATCTCCGCCCTTCCGATACAGCTTCACCTCGCAGTTTTTGTTTGAATTTATCGCAACTTTCGTCGCTTTGTCGTTCCTGACCCTGGCACCCCCAGCCTCCGGTTGACGGGCTGCCACATCGAACCTCAATCCGGCCGAATTGTCGCGACACAACCCCCTTAACGGCTGGACTCTGCACTTCAATAGCAGCAGCTAAAGAGGGTTTTATTGTTTTTATTCCTTGGACCGGCGCTCCCGACCTTGGTTATCCCATTATTGTTTTCTGATATTCAGTAATCATTACTGGGGTTGTAGCTGCATCATCGACGCCCTTTTGCGCGATCATCAGACAACCAAGCACCCACCGAGGCACAACCGCAGCTGGCCGCGCACGCCAAGTCTCTTCATATTCTTAACACAATGGCCAATCATCACCCATCGCCGACAATGGCCATGCAGCAGCAACAGCAGCAGCATGGCCCTCCCGGCCCTCCTCCGCCACCGGGCCTGCAGCAGGGCCAGAACTATGCGCCGTCGCGCCAGATCCTTCTGATGAACGAGGCCGTTTGGATGCAAATTGGTACGCGTTTTGTAACTGATGACGTCCCGTGCACACACTGACAATTGGTTATAGGCAGCTTCGCTGAGCTTCTCGGCAACCTCGACGAGGCCATGAAGGCTTACGACCGGGCGTTACAAGCAAACCCCCAGTCTGTGGCCGCCATGAATGCCATCAGCTTGATCCTGCGCACACGCGAGGAATTTCACAAGGCCGTCGACTACCTGCAAGCGATTCTCAAGATTGATAACACCAATGGCGAGGCTTGGGGTAGCCTTGGTGAGTGAAGACCTGCGACTTGGCACCTGGCAATCGCGACTTGCTAACATTACACAGGCCACTGCTACTTGATGATGGACGACTTGCAGCAGGCCTACGCTGCTTACCAGTCTGCTTTGGTTAACTTGAGAAGCCCCAGGGTAAGTTGCGCTCTTCCGAGTACCACATGGAAATGACTCGCTAATTGCGATACAGGAGCCCAAGCTTTGGTATGGTATTGGTATCCTCTACGACCGTTACGGCTCCCTCGAGCATGCCGAAGAGGCGTTTTCCCAGGTTATGCAAATGCAGCCCGACTTTGAGAAGGCCAACGAAATCTACTTTCGCCTCGGAATCATATACAAACAGCAACAAAAGTATGGTCAGAGTCTGGAATGCTTCAAGTATATCGTCAACTCTCCGCCTCCTCCTCTGACCGAGGAAGACATCTGGTTCCAGATTGGCCATGTTCATGAGCAGCAAAAAGACGTAAGTCGCAAATTTTCATCAGATCAAACATTTATTGACCTCGCGACAGTATGACAGCGCCAAGGCTGCTTACCAGCGCGTCCTTGAGCGTGATCCCAGTCACGCCAAGGTCTTGCAGCAGTTGGGATGGCTTCACCACCAGCAGAGCAGCAGCTTCCAGAGCCAAGAGCGAGCTATTGAGTTCTTGGAGAAGTCTGTCGCCGCTGACCAGGGCGACGCGCAAAGCTGGTACCTTCTCGGCCGATGCTACATGTCCCAACAAAAGTACCCCAAGGCCTACGAGGCGTACCAACAGGCCGTCTACCGCGATGGACGTAATCCCACCTTCTGGTGCTCGATCGGTGTGTTATACTACCAGATCAACCAGTACCGCGACGCACTTGATGCGTACTCTCGCGCTATTCGGCTGAACCCCTTCATCTCCGAGGTGTGGTATGACCTGGGCACGCTGTACGAATCTTGTAACAACCAGATCAGCGATGCTCTCGACGCGTACCAGCGTGCCGCAGAGCTGGACCCCCAGAACCCTCATATCAAGGCCCGCCTGCAACTGCTCAGAAACGGCGGTGCCAATGGTGGTCAGCCCCCCAGCGCACCTCAGCCCGCGGACGTTCATCCTCAGGCCTACCAAGTCGGTCCCCCGGCTCCTCAATGGGGAAGTTCTGCTCCCAGCCAAGGACAGCAGCAAGGCCAGCAGCCTCCACCACCTCCTGGTCCTAACGGCCCGGGTCCCAACGGCTGGGGCAGGCTCGCGGATATCAACCCCCCTCCGCAGCCCCCTAACCCGTACGAGCAACGTGGTGAGCCCTTCCGTGGCCCGGCACCCCCTATGCCGCGACAGCCCAGCCCGAGACAGGAGCAGCAGCAGCAGCAGCAGCAGCATGGTGGCCGCCCACCCTACCCCGAGTCGGTTCGCAGAGGACCGACCCCTCCTCCGGCGCACTACCAATCGGGACCGCCGCAACCCTCTCAGCAGACTCACCAAGCGCCGCCGACTTCGGCGCCTCGTATTCCCAACCCCAACTACTCGCAGCCGTCCTCAGCCCAGATGCCTCCCATCCAAGCGGGACCTAACGGCGGGCCTCCCAACCAGCCACCTCAGTTCCGCGGAACGAACAGCCCCCGACCTGGCGAGAGGCCCATGCATGACAACCGCATGCCGTCCCCCAAGTCTGCGTACCCTCAACATCAGCCTCCGCCACCTCCCCCTTACGGTCACCACCCTGACGGCCCCACTCCCGGTCCCATGGAGGCCGGTGCGCCGCCTCCACCTCCTCCGGGTAGCATCGGTGCGGACAGTACAGCGCGCAGCGAGCATGACCGCCCCCCATCCGTGGGTCCTAAGCGCATGCGCGAGTGGGAAGAGGAATCTTCTCACAAGCGGCCAGCCAATGACGAGAACCGCGCCAGGCTCGACGATGTGCGACCGAGGCGTCCGTCGACTCCTCCCGGCTCTCGGGAGCCGTATCGCCGGAACTCGTCTGAGGCTCGTCGTTTTGACGACCAGCGCCGTGCGGAGGATCAGCGCCGCGCAGATGACCAGAGAAGGGCGGACGACATCCGCAGGGGTGAGGAGCAGCGCCATGCCAATGACGGGTACCACCCTTCAGAGGCGGCTCACCACCAGCCAAGCCACCCGATGCCGCCAAACCACCTCCCTCCTATGCAGTCGGCTGCGGCGCCGATGCAGAACATCCTCCATGATGGCGCCCAGAACGGACCCGGACCTGCTCCGGGGCCTGCCCCTGGTGTTAAGGAGTATCCGGCAGAGGAGAGAGCGCCCATTGAGCATGCGCCGGCGGCTCGCCCACCGCAGCCCAGCGAGCCTGAGCGTGCGGCCCGCAAGATGGATGTTGACGAAGACTACGATGACAGCGGAGAGGACGAGAAGAAGGGCGCAGTCGCCGCGACCAACGGCTCAGGCCCTGCTCCCACATCAGGAGAGACTAAGACGCCGACGAGCGCAAGCATCAACGGTATTATGGGCCCAACCCCCAAGGTTGAGTCGACTTAATGGATAAATGGCAGTTTGACGTACTATTTTCTTTGTCTGCGTACCCTGTGTTCCCGTTTCATGTATACCATTTCGTTCCTCAACCTGTCCTCTGTCTGAGACCTACCTTTCGTTGATGGACACACTGGGGTGGCTAGGCAATTAGGTATCTTATGAAGAGAATATTAGTCCTGATAGCTATGCATCTACTCAAATGATTGAACAGCTCATTAAGAGATTCTATGACTAAGCTGTGAAGTGGTCCACATGTCTTCTACTGTAAAGTTGGCTGACTAACTCAGCCAGTTCCGCTGAAGTTTTAATGTGGACCGATACTGTGGAAATAGACCCTAACGTATCCGTGCGGGCTTGGGTCACGTGCTTGCCATTCAGGCGAATGAGGAAGGAGCGGGCCCACTCGCGGGGGTGCACCTGCATTTTGAATCGCACAAAAGATTTCCTCGCTAGAGTTGAACTTTTCGAACGCCAGGCTTTTTTTCCTTCTCAGCGACCACGACAACCGTCGATTGCCTGCCCTTACAGCCTACCCTTCGGCTTCACTTCCTCACTAACAGTAGGTAGCAACAACACAGTCGAAGTCATGTCTCACAGAAAGTACGAGGCTCCTCGCCACGGTTCGCTGGCCTACCTGCCGCGCAAGCGTGCCGCCCGTCACCGCGGCAAGGTCAAGTCGTAAGTTCACGAGATTCCCGTTGCTGGATGGTCACCCTGGGTTCAGATTGGTCGCAATTGGAAAAGACTCAGGCTGACAATGTACCACTCTTCGCCAGCTTCCCCAAGGATGACGCCAAGAAGCCCGTCCACCTGACCGCCGCCATGGGCTACAAGGCTGGTATGACCACGATTGTCCGCGACCTCGACCGTCCCGGTGCGAAGGCCAACAAGAAGGAGGTCGTCGAGGCCGTTTCCATCATTGATACTCCACCTGTACTACCAACGCAGCCCGCTTGGCTATGTGCCTATGGCTAACATCTCTGCAGATGATCGTTGTTGGTCTTGTGGGCTACATTGAGACCCCCCGCGGCCTGCGCTCGCTCACCACCGTCTGGGCCGAGCACTTGAGCGATGAGGTCCGCCGCCGCTTCTACAAGAACTGGTACAAGTCCAAGAAGAAGGCTTTCACCAAGTACGCCAAGCAGCACTCCGAGAGCTCCGGCGCCTCCATCACCCGCGAGATCGAGCGCATCAAGAAGTACTGCACTGTCGTCCGTGTCCTTGCCCACACCCAGATCCGCAAGACTCCCCTCAAGCAGAAGAAGGCCCACTTGATGGAGATCCAGATCAACGGTGGCTCCGTCCCCGAGAAGGTCGACTTCGGCTACGGCCTCTTCGAGAAGCCCGTCACTATCGACTCCGTTTTCGAGAAGGACGAGGTTATCGACGTCATTGCCGTCACCAAGGGTCACGGCTTCAACGGTGTTACCTCTCGTTGGGGCACCAAGAAGCTTCCCCGTAAGACTCACAAGGGTCTGCGTAAGGTCGCTTGTATCGGTGCTTGGCATCCTTCCCACGTCCAGTGGACTGTTGCCCGTGCCGGTCAGATGGGTTACCACCACCGTACCTCTGTCAACCACAAGGTTTACAGAATCGGCAAGGGCGATGCCGACGACAACGCCGCTACCGAGCTCGATGTTACCAAGAAGACCATCACTCCGTACGTTCAATCTTTACCTTACGATAGATATGCAGACCGGGTTTGCTAACTTTCTCTCAGTCTTGGTGGCTTCGTCCGCTACGGTGAGGTCAAGAACGACTTCGTCATGGTCAAGGGCTCTATCCCCGGTACCAAGAAGCGTGTCATGACCCTCCGCAAGTCCATGTGGACTCACACCTCCAGAAAGGCCCTCGAGAAGATCGACCTCAAGTGGATCGACACCTCGTCCGAGTTCGGACACGGTGCTTTCCAGACGCCGGCGGAGAAGAAGCAGTACCAGGGTACTCTCAAGAAGGACCTTGCTACCGCATAAATGGGGTCTTGAATTTTCTTATATCATGGTCATGGCATCGGTGTCGAGGGTTCTTCACGTTACATTCGGATGGTTTGGGACACCTTTGAGGTTAAAATGAGAGTGCCGAGGAATCAAAAAGTCAAACCAATGATACCTAGATGACCGTCTGCATGTTGTCCCCCAAAAGTAGTGTCTGTCAACGTAAGATGCCGTAGTAAGGTGAAAAGCAAATGTACCATATCACCGCTCAGAGTTTTTACATTCTTTTTTTTTTCCCTTCCCGTAATGTGGATTGAGCGGTAGTTGTCAAACACCATCCGTGCTGTGGGGCAAAAAAAGTCCGACCACTGCGGCAGCGAGAAGCGTAGCTAGCCGGCCGGCCTTGTTGCGTCATACCATCTACCTAACCATGTCGTGCATGCTGCTACGACCCAGGCTCGCGATTACAACCCCTCCTACTGTCTTTCTTTCTTTTTCAACCCCTCAGTCAGGACGAATGAGCGCATTACTCCCTCGAAATTTCCATACCAGAGTGTTTCGCTCCATTTCCCGATCATCTTCCACGTCATCCACACACGCGATTAGAGTTCGACCGACGAACAACAACACATACTCCCAGCTCCTGCGCGCACCACAAGTAATCTCCAGGTTCTCCACGAGCACGCACTTCAGCATGTCCGACGCAGACTACGCCGCTTTCCTGGACAAGGCGAACCAGGACCCCAGCGAGGGCTACGCCAAGCCCGCGAGCAAGAAGAACAACGAGTTCAAGGCGCAGGACGAGGGCGCCGAGCTGCCCAAGGCCATCGAGGAGGTGTTGAAGCAGGACAAGGTGTACATTTCCGACGCAGACGAGCCGTTTGTCGGCGTTGCGCTTGGGTGGGATGAGGGCGGCAAGGGTCTACCTGACGAGGGTTAGTTGTTTCCGCTTCGTCGCCATCTTGACTGCCTCTTAAGACTATGTTGCTAATACGTGTTGGTGTTTGCAGTTGAATTCGCTCAGTTGATTCAGCATCCTGACCCCGAGAACGCGGACGTCGACCTCCAGGACCCCTTTGACTGGGATTCGAACGGCGATTACAAGGACATCATCGAGGCGGTTCGCAAGGCGGGCAAGGGCAATGATGTTAGAGTGTACAGGGTGCCCAAGGGCGGCGTGAGGACAGAGTATTGGGTGGTTACGACGGAGGGCAAGGGCAAGGGGGCGAGACTTGTTGGTGTCAAGGCTTTGTCTGTTGAAAGCTGAGGGGGCTATCAGGGTTGCTACGACGGCATGAGTAAGGTAATACCATAACAAAGCAGTAAAATCATACATTATTATTTAAGGTAATATCAGGGGCTAGACATAGCTCAGCACAGGAACACTACACCAAGGAGAGCAGACCCCAGAGCTCAGATCAGGCGCGGCGTGCTGTCGAGGTGAAATCGGTGGGCAACGGCATCTCTGGCCCGTCGTTAGACCAGCAGAATCCGAGTGTTGTTCGCCTTGTCCCATTGGAAAGTGTAATCCTCCATCTCTTTGAGAACCTTGGGATCATTTGTGTCCGGTAAGTCTGGATGTACATCGTCGTTGTGGGGATTCGGCTTGATGATTATTGTGAAGCCTAGTCGTGAGTAAACCGGCCTCGCTTCGGTCCACTCTGGGCATCGTCTAAGCGCCAGGAGGCCCAGGGATGAGCTATGCGTACTTACGGTCTCCATGAGTACTAAGCACGACAGGACGGTCCCGTATGGTATGCTCGTATCATTAAGGCAGTCCGGGGCGAAACTACCTTCATAGAATCCGTCATGTAGCCAGATTCCGTACCGGTCGCTTGTTTTGTATCGGCCAGGCTCAAGAGTGCCTTCCAGGATGGGACCTGATATATCTATCACCCCTCCAGACACCCGTCCCGTGGGATCTAGTCCTTTCAATACACAGCTAGCGTCGTGTATGTTGCAGAATGTGTTAACCAACTCATCGAATGGTATGGTGTTTTTCTCATCAGACCATGTCTTGCAGCTGGTTGTTGAGACGACAGAAGCCCAGGACCATGTTGGGGCGCAGTAGGATTCTGGCCGTCTAGCATATGCCGCCGTCCCGGGGAAGCCATACTGGACTTCAGTGTGGTGGAACCAGCAGAGGTCCTCAACCAGACTCTTCCGCCAAAGCCCTGCAAGATACTGGTCGTCACTGTCTCGGCGAGCCAAACAATACTTGGCGATACCTGATAGCGCTGGCAACTTGTCCGTGTCGTATGTCAGCTTTCGTCTGGTATAGTTCTGTAGCACTCGGTACCACTCATTGGCAATATTCTGGCCATCATCATAGAAGGATATGTGCGTTCCCGCCACCTTAGAGTATCCCGTGTCTCTCCCGCGTTCTGGGGTTTCACACTCGCATAATGGCTCTGTTAGATGATTGCTTTCACGACAGGACCAGTGTATCTCTTGGGCGCCAAAGTGAAGACAACGCCGTGAAAGGAGAAACTCCTGGTAGGTCCAGGCACGGGTCTCGAGGGGGTTGAAGGCTTCAGGTGCGCGAGAGTTCCCCATCCATTGGTGAGGGTCCACACGTACGAAAAACCGCAGCCCCTCGAAGTGTCCCAGGAAACAGTCCGGCCACGCAGCTTCTGAGAAGATACCTGCGTGGGCACCATTGGAGCTTTCCGCGCAAATGGTCAGGTACGCATTCTGATAGATGAATACCATCTGTGCCGACTGTTCATCCCAGTCATTCGTGTCATCTTGAAGGATGCAAAGGGCATCGATCCAAATATATGGGATGCCTAGCTTACGGGTAATGAAGATGGCGTCACGGAGCGTTGCTGGCAGCTCATCCCATTGTATTCCTTCCATGCGCAATGCTCGCGTGTACGTAGTCGTCGTGAAGTTCATGTCATCTCCCCAACGGTAGCTAAGGCAAACGTAGCGACTTTTCTCCTCTGGAGAAGTTTCCACGAGGCGGATCTTGTCGCCCTCAACTGAAATTAGCCTTTTTGGAAGCGCAACATCGTCTCCTGGTCCACACTTCTCGTGCGAACGGAGGCAATTCCCCAGCCACTTCTCTGCCTTCTTGAAAGAGTCATCGGACGCGGTGGAAACTGCCATGGTTGTTGCTTTTATGAAACGAACCCCATTCACTGCTTTGCTGTACATATCCGGCTCATTGGATTGTTCAGCTTTCTCAGAGGAAGTGAAAATTTGAAGTTTCTCAAGTGGTTGACCATGGAGTTTGACGGAGATGCTATCCGGAAAATGTCCTTCAGGGAGCCATGGCGGTGGTTTTGCCAAAGTAACGCCGTGCAAGCCGGAAAGATCACGCAGGTTTGCGTTCGGACAAGCATTCTTGATCACTCTAACTGCCGATTGTACCCATTCTAAGTTGTGATAGGCAGCGGCGACATTCTGCCAGGACCGAATATTACCGTTAACATATTGCGACTGAGGGGTGTCGTGCATAATGTCCGCCAGATACAGTTGCAAAACTTGCCTTAGTATACTGCAAGTAAAGCATCCATTGTCGGCAGCCCTGGAAACAGCTTGTAGATCCTCAATCTCGGTGTTCGCGTATGATGCAAGGCCACACGCCGGACATCCCGCCAGCTTTGAGGTTGGCGATTCAGTAGTGTTGAGACTCATTTCCTGCCTCCTGAGGAAACTGAAACAGTAAAGACAAACAAGTGGATGATCAACGCAGATGCATAGATTGAGTAACAGAAATTCGAAAGCGTACACAGATTCCAGCGGACTTATTCACATAGTTGACTTCTTTGATAATTGTCGTAGGCATGAACTGGTAGTTGGAGGCTTGAAATCGAGGCGGCACACGCAATCAAAAGAGGACCTGCATATTGCGGATTACTTGATCGCTTACTTCGGCTGGGCCGCCGAAGCGATCTAGGGTTCCTTGGCTGAGCCTGGAGTCGGTTGCCTTGATTAAGTCTGCGACATCATGCTCTTCTGATATTGAACATCATAGGGCAAGCTATATTATTTAATGGTTCTATAGAGTCCAGTTCAGTGTCAGTAATTCAGATCGAGCAGAAAAGTTGGCAAAGTCGAATATTGCTCTTAGAGCAAAACCGTCGGGTAACATTAAGGTCCATGGACTGACCAAACTTCGTCTGCAGACACTGTAATTCAGCTTCAACTACAAAACCATTTAACCATCTATGCCGTCAGTAACGTTGTCCAACGTTTCTCGGCTCTTCAACGTCTTTGACAAACGGTCTAGACCAGGTTGGCGGAACAGTCCAAGACAGTGGGGCCACGGAGCTTTGTGAAGTGAGTCGCCGCCCGTTGAGCGCGGGGTTGCCACAAACGGATGGTGGTCTGGCCTTATCGAAACGCTCCGGCAGTAACTTTCCGCTTATCGGACCCTGCACCCCTCCAAGTCCGCTGTATGCAAGCCAAATAATTAAGTCGGCTCCGGGAGCCTCAGACTGTCGATTGCGGTGACTCAGATACAACACATACCACCGCCGTACCAGCTCACGATCAGTCTCTCCTGTGTCTGGATCAGTATGTCAGGACCTGTAAGCCTAGTTGTCTCTCAATTGGCCTCGTCGCGGTCTCGCACCAAACCAATGACTAACCACAAGCAGCGCGCATTCGTCCCGTCCCTCGAGACGGTCAGGTCCGTCCTGTCCGCTCCCGCCGGCAACAGGAAGCCTACCCTCGTCCCCGTTTACCGCCAGATCTCCTCCGACTTGATCACGCCCTCTGCCGCCTACCTCAAGGTCTCTGCCGCCCACAAGGACTCCGACTTCTCCTTCCTCTTCGAGAGTGCCGCCACCGAGCGTGTCGGCCGCTACAGTTTCGTCGGTGCCGGCCCCCGTAAGGTCCTCGCCACCGGTCCTGGCTACGGCCCGGAATGCGATCCCCTACCTGCCCTCGAGGCCGAGCTGGCCCAACACGTCGTCGCACATGTGCCGGGTCTGCAGCTCCCGCCCATGGCCGGTGGTGCTGTCGGATACGTGGGTTACGACTGCGTGCGATACTTTGAGCCCAAGACGGCGCGGCCGATGAAGGATGTGCTCAAGATCCCCGAGAGTCTGTTTATGCTTTTCGATACCATTGTTGCATTTGACCGTTTCTACGGCGTGATCAAGGTCATTACCTATCTGCACGTCCCCGAGGACCTGTCGCAGCTGGAGGCGGAGTACCAGAAGGCGACGCGGACCATCGATGAGCTCATCGCCGTGCTCAACGCCCCCGAGATCCCCTTGCCGGAGCAGCAACCCATCAAGCTGGGCCAAGAGTACACTTCCAACGTCGGCCAGAAGGGTTACGAGGCGCATGTGACGGCGCTCAAGAAGCACATCGTCAAGGGCGACATCATCCAGGCGGTGCCGTCACAACGGTTTGCACGCCCGACGACCCTGCACCCCTTCAACATCTATCGCCACCTGAGGACGGTGAACCCCTCGCCGTACCTCTTCTTCGTCAACTGCAAAGATTTCCAGATTGTTGGCGCATCACCCGAGTTGCTCGTCAAGTCCGAGGGAGGAAGGGTCATTACGCATCCGATCGCGGGTACGGTGAAGAGGGGGAAGACGCCGGAAGAGGACCAGAGGTTGGCGGATGAGCTTCGCAGCTCGCTCAAGGACCGCGCAGAGCACGTCATGCTGGTCGATTTGGCCCGCAACGACGTGAACCGTGTTGGTGACCCGTATACAGTCCGCGTGGATCACCTCATGGTTGTGGAGAAGTTCAGTCACGTCCAGCATCTGGTATCACAGGTTTCCGGCGTGCTGAGGCCAGACCAGACGAGGTTCGACGCATTCCGGAGCATTTTCCCGGCCGGCACCGTCTCTGGCGCACCAAAGGTCAGGGCGATGGAGCTGATCGCAGAGCTGGAGCAGGAGAAGAGAGGTATCTACGCCGGTGCGGTGGGATACTTTGGATACGGCGGTCTTAATGAAAAGGGCGAGGAGGTTGAAGGCGCTATGGACACCTGCATCGCGCTGCGGACGATGCTTGTGAAGGACGGCGTTGCATACCTGCAAGCGGGTGAGTTTTACCCCTATTCCAGTCGAGAGACCCGATGAAACTGACTTCTTTTCTACAGGTGGCGGTATTGTATTTGACTCAGACGAGTAAGTGACTCTCTTTTGTGCTTTGAAGGGCTTTATACTGACTTGGACGCAGGTACGACGAGTGGATGGAGACGATGAACAAGCTTGGTGCGAATATGCAATGCATAACAACGGCGGAAGAGCTGTATTATGAGCAACAGCAGGCGGCGAGTAAATAATGATGGACGACAAAAAAATACAAATGACATTTTTCCTGCGGCGTTAAACATAATTGTCAACTAAAACAAATGCGTGTATAGGGGTTGCGGGAGATGACTTTTCCTGTAAACCAGGCGAGTGGAACTCTAGAACTTATGCGAGGCAATGCGATGTAGTCGACGGCGACGGAGGTGCTGTTTGCATCAGCCACGAGCGTCTGAGGACCCCTTTAGTCAATGAATTCGTAGCGATGGCAAAAGATAATTTGCGAGGAAGGATGTACGTCTTCCGTCGCATGGTCATGCGGCACATTGGCCTCTCTGACCACATGCCGAGGTCAAGAGTTCGTAGTGACGAATTGTATGTGTTTATTACAAACTATGTATACCATGTCCCAGACCGTTATTATGCACGCTACCCAGTAACTTTTTAATCGTTCTCTTTATCCGACCCTCCAGAAAAGACTGCCATGGTATCATGAAGCGCCCATCAAGAGCGTATATACTCATCAAAATAGATTATATGCGGGTATAAAAATGGAACCGATGCCGAGTCCGATAGTCGTCAGCCCAGCCCACAGCGCCGCTGAGGCGACGACGCCGTCCTGCAAGATGCGGAGGTGCTTGTTCTTGCTCACGATGCTCCGCTCGAATACCCGCCGCCACAGCCATCGGCTCTGGTACGTAGTGACCCACTCCTCGTTCGCAAACACGTTCTCCGGGCCGAGAGTCTGCAGAGTGGGCTTGCGGAGCGGGTCCACAGCTCCCGAAACGGTCTCCGCAGTAGCGGCTCGACGGTGTTGTTTATTGGCCCCGGTGCCGGTTTCCAGATCGGGAACCTCCCATGGTCGGACGTGGCGCCTCCGTGAGAGATGGAGAGACAGGGACACACCGTCCAAAGCAGCCACGAGAATGGCCAGGCCCGAGAATAGAAACGGAGTTGAGAGGAGGCGGTAATACTGCGAAATGGACGAGAGGATGAATGCGATGTCCAGGGCGATGCCGATGACGACCAAGATTAGGCCGAGCAGGCGAAGGATGTTCGTCGCCGCGCTGTTAGTGTTGGAAATGCTGTGGCGGATGAAGTTCGGGTGGAGTTTCCCGCGAAGGAGGGCCTCGGCCTTCTCAAAGGCTGGGAGCAGGGCAGAGGGGTGTGTTGTGGAAGCTGCTGCTGTTAAGACGGCAGTGCGGTCGTCTTTTGTAAGATTGAGGCGGCGGGGAGCGTTGGGGCTGATGTAGTGGTTTACGACAGCTGTGATATCGGGGCGGAACGGTTGAAATGATGTTGATGCTGGCTGAATTAGCTTCGATGAAGATCTCGTAAAGTTTCAACGGAGACTGGAGGGGAACGTGGTGCTTGAACAAATCATTAAGCAGTGGAAATCTTACCAGGTCCCGATATCGTCTCCTCCGCCTCCTTCTCATTCTCCTTGGTTGGTGTCGCTTTTGGGAGAGAAAAGTTGGTCGTGGCGGATGCGTTACGGCTGTGCTTTCCCACGTCGTTGTTGTAGTTGCTCTCTTCATCAAGCAATTCGAGAATGTTGCTAACTTTACTCGAGTTTTTGGCCCTCCGCTCCTTGGCAGTGAGTTTCCTACCACGATCCGGATCCCAACGAGGTGCAAGAGCACGTTCCTCGGGCGATAACGCAGTCCAGGACTGTACGTAACCGCAGTACCAAAGGAAGAACTGGAGGGGTTCGGCGTCTTGCTCGACATAAACCAGATAGTCCATAAAGTCATTTAATGAGCAGGGCTAGAATGAGTGTGTTAGTTCGGTCGGGTGTATGTATATCTGCTGTGCTCACCGATTCTGTATTATTTCTGATCACCTCCTCGAAAGCCAACCTTGGTGGAATCCATTTGTTACTTCGTTTTGTTCGGCGGCGGTACCGCCGGCAGTCTTCGTCCATGACGGGCGGACGCCACGGCCGCTCAGCACCGGGCGTCCTGTAGAACCTGAGAGACATGTCGACCGTCCCAATGCAGCCCCGTGCTCTAGATCCTCCAGCTTCAAGCTGTGAGGATGTGTTCTCGTATGCGGTGGTAAGGCGATTAGCCCGCCGGTCCGATGTAGAAAAGATTTCCTTTTACAGACATCTGGGCTTTCAAATCAAAAGGGTGTGTGTGTGTGTGGGCGCCAGGCCAACCTTTGTATAAAAGACCAGAAACAGATCCAGGGATCCAACAGAACAAAACACTAGCTTCTAGATGTGCGCGGCAAGTGTGCGTGCGCAGTTGCAACATTACATATACCAGGCTACTGCAGACCGCTGCATGACCGCATCCGCATCCGCACCCACAGGATTCCAGCCCCGGTCTGCCCTGTGTGCTTCAGCTTCGTCCGACGTATCAGCCGTAATGGCGGAACTACTCAGGGTCTGCCCCAGATCACAACATGGGTGAGATAGAGAAGAAGCGACGAGGTGCAGCGGAACCAAGCAGTTGTGTCCAGGTTCTTACCTGAGGGCTATCGCTCTTAGCATTTATCCGGCATGTACAAAATGTAATTTTGTCTGTAACCTTGTTTCCATGCCGTGTTGTGTCGCTGATCGGTCATAACATCAGCCCAGGGCCAGACGAGCAGGCATCAGGGAGGAGACGACCGGCAAGGGCGGGGCGCTGTGTCCCTCTCTTTCGCTTCTCCCTCATGATCCTCTCGCGTATCGGCGGCCGGAGCGGGGATAAGGGCAGAGATGTGCATTTGACCAAAAAAGACGGGACGACAAGAAGATGCGTGAGCGGCCGCGATACAGGCCCAGCCCGGGACACTCGTCTGCCGGAACAGGGAGATGCTGAGACGTGATATAGGCCATTATAGGTCCGGCACTCCGGTGGTGAGGTGATAGGCCAAAGAACGGTTACGATTAAGAGACGAGACTAGAACATTTGTCGTGTTACTTGTTTCTCCTTCACATCGTGCCTGAAGCAAGGACTGGAACGTAAGACTATTGTTCGTTCTTCCCTAGCATAGTAGAAGAACAAAAACGAACAAACTTGGATGGACTAAACGGAGGAAGTCAAATACGCAAAACACCTCCCCGCACTGTCATTTGAAGTGTCGTGTCCTGCGTCCGCTGCGTCAGCTTGGATGGACCTAGTCGAAACCCATGGCAGCAGTTCCACTGATTGTGGTGCGGCTACTGGTACTAGCATGGCGTCTTCTGACTTCTCTGGCTTGACCTGCCAAAGGATCTGACGGGCGTATAATTATGAGACATAAAGTCCGACGGGGTACCTCCGGAGAGTGAGCGGTCAGGGCGTCGGCCGTTCATAGAAAAGAGGGGACCCTCATGACGTGAATGGGGTGCAAGCCATGTTTCAAGGGAACGTGCAGGTGGTGTGAAGAGTTAAGAAGAGATGCGGTCGTCAGATAGGGGACGCACACCGATTGGTTCCTAGATTTGGTGTTGAGTCGTGTTTCAGAAGTTCGTCCTGTTGTTGCCGTTGCGGCGCGGTTGGTCGGGGTCAAGTGGGTAACAAAGTACTCTCGGCAAGTGCCTGGCTATCTATACCTGGAATCCGCGGAATGTACAACCGGAACCAAACCGTGAGCGAGTTATATGTGCGTGAGTTGGGATTGAACGAGATACGTGACATGATTGAACACCAGAAAACCGGAGAAGTTAACGGGCAGACGATAAGATCGGCGATTGTTGCTGTTGCCCTCGCTCCAAGCTGGCTGCACCATGGCCGGACGACGTCGCTTGGTTTCTGCACATTCATGCTGTATGCCAATGCAAGTATCTGCATGTACACACAACTTTAAAAAGTAGGAAGTATGGGTGTAGGTGATGCCAAAGGCTGATCAATCGACCCAATTGCGGAAGCCGCTGACAGGCCATCATGACTTGTACCATATAATAAAGTCTGGCCAAGGTATAAGACCAAGGTGTCAGATTATCGTTGTGGATGGATGAAGATTGACTGGTTTTTTTTTTTCTTTCTTTGCCAGACAGCTTATTTGTGACAAGCCCCAAAATTTTTCAAACTCGTCCTTGAACTGATCTTCGTTCTCGCAACCTCATCCCCTTCGCTTCATTCCGTTCGCTAGCGCCTTGCCGAGTCGGTGACTGGCGCAGCTCAGACTCGGGGTTCTTCAGCGTTGGTATTTTTAGAGTAAACGAAGGAGGCGTAGCACTGAAAACACCAAAGAAGGAAATAGAAAAGTCAGGACGAAGAAACGAAACCGGGTTCACCTAGTAGTAGAGTTTGGGGGCAGGCGAAAGTGGGCTGCACTCCCGGTCCGGTGATCAGATCGCCGGTGCGTCTGGTCAAGAGAACATCTTCAGGTTCGACAAGCGCTCAGACTCTGCACCAACTCTGGGTCTCTTAACTTCACAAGAAAACTGTATACATTTTCGCACAAAAGACAGAGTTTTTTCATTCCCTCTTTTCCCCCTACGTGAAGGCATATTTCAGTTAACCTTTCTATGCATACAATATTTCTTATGATGAGACTGGCAGCCCATTAAGCTTCCATCAGGCCAAGTCAGTCAAAAGTAAAAGGATGTCTGTTATACTTCTGCTTGCCTTGGCACGCCAGAGGTACGATGAACGCAATGAATAAAACCGGGTCGCCTCATCTTCAAAACTCTCTCTCCTCGAGTTATAGTACACATGCCTTTCCAAATCATACCTGAACCCCTGGTCCTGACCATGGCACTCACCGAACGCCGACCACGCTTCCCGGCCAAGGCAACATGAAACTTGCCACCAGCGTCAATATCAGGAATTGGATATCGTCGACAGCGTCATGTCAAAGTATCAATAGCACGGAAGAGACAGGAAGGCCCGTCCTTCAAACATTTATAGTATTCAGCGCAGTTTCTGCATTTGGTCAACCGACGTGGGGGTTTAAGAATATCCGTTATTCGCCAGCATGGAATTAAATGTTTTACCCAAAAAAAATAAAAAAATAACCGAAATATCAACCATCTAGCTTACCATCCGGCTTGCCATGTGTGAGAAGATGTCACTGTTTAAGTACCATGGTCGTGGATTTTGCAGGCCTTAGTTTCAGAACAACTTCGTAACGTGATTTGGAGACTATTTCTAATTAGCGGAATGCTCAACACACTCACCTGGGCATCGTCGAGGCATACGAAAACTCTCAAATAATCATCATAAGTAGTGTAATCATCAATGCAATCATATGAAGCCTGGTGGAAACACAATTGTGAACCCCAGCAAGAGGCAGCTTACGGCCAGCCACAGATCTCCGGCTGCCCAACACCAATGGCGTGTCCAGATCACCTTCTATAGCATTGATAACATCGATGGCATCTGTGACACAGCTGACCTCGTGCCTAATAAGTTGTCCGTGCCCGGGGCTAGCATGATGACAGCCAGCTTGACACAAGTGCCACATCGAAGAAACACGTCAGTCCTTACCTTTCCTCACGTTGTGACTGGCTCCATTGGCGTGGATTTTTCTTGATCTACCTGCCGCGTTTCTAATCAGCCCCTTGTCGTTCACAGCAAACCGTTCGGCATTGAGACACCTAAGAGAATGACAATGATAATGTCCTTGTAACACCAACCCATCGCCTCCGCCCTCTTCTCGACTCACTGGGTCTTCATGCAACTGCCTAAGGACCAAGTTTTCACGGCATTTAGATCGATTAGTGGTACTTTTAACACCAGCCCACAGCGGGAAACACTTTGCCGTGTCCTTGTTAGTTTCTGTTCAGTGCCTCTATTCAGTCATACCATAAAGGTCTGTGTTTGATAGCAGTAAAGAACGTATTTGCTTGCTACTGAACATGGACTTCTCGAAGTCAGATCTTCATGTTCTTCATAACGCCCTGAAGACTGAGGTTTTAGAAAGTTTCCTAGAGTCCCAAATACGAACTCAAGCTGCATCTTCCAGAGGTACTTCTTACTGAGAGAGGCGGTCTCTGAGACGGACAGTTCCACCTTTCCATCTCTAGTTCTGATACTCCCGATGAATGCGTCTTCGAGCCCGGTGATCTCTGGTCTCAGATGTTGTACCCACCACAAGGTCCTCGTAGTAAACCTGGTGCTTCGTTGGTTGTATATTCTTTCCTTCTTGTCCTGATAGAATCGCTGTCGTACATGCTGGTTGAACCAACCAGACGTAGGCCCATTTCTATGACCGCGTTGAAAATCATGGTGATGTTTAGTTTCTGGATTCCGAGTCTCCGTAGATTTCATGACAACAGAATCCTTGTCTTTGTGAGATCACCTTAGATAGTCGACGAAGACTTTGCCATCGAGCTTCTGATATATAGTATTCGAAACAATAGATGGAGGGATATCCGATAAAAAAGACAATGACACAAATCAACTGAGTCGGCGGCATACAGTATGCAACCAAAAGTTATCTGGCGTCGAACAGTATCCCTTTCTTGAACGTTGCTTCGACAGAAATAACGGGAATACATCCTATGAGGATATGCCAAGCTCTCACCCGTTGATACCGCTCTCGGAGTAGTATACTCGTACCCAAATCCGTAGTCTGGTCCTATTAGAGTGGTGAAATCCACGTGCCGAACAATAGCAAAACACACCCACAACTGATTGAATCGTTTCTGAGCAGGAACAACAAATCAAAACACAAGAAGCAGTCACCAAGTCATAGGAACAGAATCAGCCAAGAAGCTTCAAACCAATACTGCCACCGTCTATTTTCTTCGTCAACACCTTTGTATTTCCCTTTCCACCGGGGTATTATCGATTAATCCATCATTAAACTTTTCTCAGTATCGATGCTGGACTGAATAGCATCATCAAACCCTCCAAGCCCACCGTGTATACCGGCTCCCACACCTATCGAGCTTCCCCATACCGACTTATGTACAAATCGACATAGGACATGCCTGTCCGCCTGCCAAGACAACAACGCCGTATGCAATGCAATTCCTCAGAAACGAAAACAGTCCGTTTCCTCGCAAAATAGGGTATAAGCCGTGGTCCCAGTCCGTCGTGAAAACATATGCACAAAAATGTACAGGAGAAATAGAGAAGCACTCGTGGCAATTACATCCACACTGTAAAGAAGATCATGACGCCGACAAGACCAATGGCCATGCCGGCGATCTGTTTTGTACCAGAGCCCGACGGCCTCTCGGGCGCCGAGGACTTGGTCGATTCTGTAGGAGCTGCGGAACCAGACGCGCCGGTGCCTGTGCCAGGCTGTGCCGTTGGATTGGTCGAGTAACTGCCTTGAAACGTCTCTCCCAGACTGGGCAGTGCGACGTTACCTTCCACAAGCCAGCCACCCGTGGCCTTGGGACATTCCCGAGTAGAAACACTGCTTGGGTCGTAGTCAGATCTCATGACACCAGTGGGTGTGATGGTGGCCCATTTGGACTGGAGGTTTTGAAACTCTGGGGAGCGAGGGATGGGAGTTCCCTTGCGGGTGAAACCGTCGTACACGTCGCCAGCAGTGATGGTCTTGGAGACTTCGGGCCCGTACGAAACGATACCGTACCGGTTTTCCTCATAGATCCACTCGTAAACCATAGCTCCGCTCCAGTCATCGATCATGGGCTGACTGAAGATGGCGTCCTGATCGTCCCACGTCCGTGGACCCTGGCCGGTGATGCAGCCTGTTTCAGTGAAGAAAATAGGAACAGGAAACAGCTCGGCCATGGCTTGCAGGTTCGCGTAACCTGAAGTATTGTAAGTGTTGGGGTCGCACCATTCGTACGAGTTGAGCCCGAAGAAATCAATGTTGTCCTCCGGCTTGCCGCCGCAAGTGAGATAGTCCTGCAGCATGGGTCGCAGCTCAGCAATGTCGGCAGCAGAGTACCCAACGGGAATCTTGCGGTAGCCCTTCTTGTCCCTGTAGGCTTTCATATCGCGTGCGGCAGCCTTCATAAACGGAGCGACTTGAGACTGGTTGTTAAGCGCAATAATCTCGTTGCCAATGAAGAAGCCAAGCACGTTGTCGTACTTCTCAAAAACGTCCATGACCTTGGCGTATGCATTAAACTGCGTTTCGTTCCAATAAGGCGTGTTCTGTCAACAAGTGTCAGTGAACCATTGCAGCAGCGATATTGGACTAGAACTGACGGGAAGAATGTAAGAGTCAAAAGTGTCAAGATCGATGAGGGTATAGATGCCGGCTTTGTCGAAGACGGCCATGCATCCATCATGATTAGCCTCAGGGTCAACGTGGTATATACGAATGGCATTGGTGCCCAGCGTCTTCATGAGGTCGGCATCGCGAGTACATTGGTCGGTGTCTACCAGCGGATCATCTGAACAAGCTTCATGTTAGACGGTAAGCTTTTTTGAGCATGTAGATTAAGCCGGGCTAACCTGGCCTCAGTTGATAGGCAATGCCTGCAGAAGATGTCAGCTAACAACATTTTGTAAACAGCAGAGATTGATGATTGGCGCACCTTTCATAAACCATTGTCTGCCCTTCTCGTCAAAGAACTTGTTGCCGACAATTTCAATGGGCGCCAGAGCTGCGGCAGTGCCAAGAAGCAATGCCGAGAAAAGACTCGAGATCCGCATAGTGGAGGCTTAACCTAAGTTCGAGCTTCGGTGCAAGTAATGGCTAGTAATAGCAAATGCCGGACAGCGGAGGTTGCGAGGATTGGTGATGTTTAAATGCTGCGGGTCACACCCCAAAAAAGCGTCCAAATGGGAGTTGACGATGATTACAGAGCACCAGGGTGTGGGTATTTTGGTCCCAACAGAAGATGTCGGTGGTTTGCCTTTCCTCGCAAGTCGACAATGGCCCCCAAGTTTCTTTCCTCGCGACTACCCAAAGCTGAATGCGCGCCTGCACCAACAAATACGTCCTCCTTCCCGTTGCTGTCTGCACTCCAACACAACACTGCCACAACTGCAGAATGCGAGAAAGAAGCAACGTGCCCGTCAACGGGAAACGATCCAAAAACAGAACTCGACGATCGTAGCAACCGTGCTGGGTGGCTGTACCCGCCAAGCAACGTGGAATGAAGTGAGGGACGCAACAGCACCTGGGTATCGTGGGTAAAAGCAGCTTCTGTCCGAGTGACGTGAATGACGCTCGTCGGGGGACAGAGTTTGTTTTATTGCCTCCAGCTTATCGGAGCAGCTCGACGCGGCACACGCTTTGAACGAGCAACATGGCCCTGGTATTTTTTCCGCCTCCCCTGTCATCGTTCTTACATCGTTACTCTCTTTCTCTTTTTGGATTTGTATCCCACCTCTCCACACACACACACGTGGAGTACAAACCGACGACAGAGTGAGAGAAAGAGAGCAAGGAAAAAAAAAAACTGCCTATCTCACGCTAAGGCAGGAGACGGAGCTGGGAGCTTGCTCTGGTGCTAGTGAAAGCCTGGCCAGGGTGAGAGACGACGGCGACAGGGGTACGGAAGAAGGCAAAAAAACGAACAAGGACTCAGGAGTTCAAGCTTGAGGCACAGGACAAGGGGCTAAGTGCGCCATGTTGTGCCAATGGTGGGGGGCAGGGGGGCAAGCTAAAGCATCTTGATCGTCGCCCTCGCCCGGCCGCACAGTCACAAAGTCTGACTGGACCACCGCAACCACAATCGGCCTCATTGGGGGCACAGCATGGGTGGGTTGATGCAACATGTCGAGTCCAGAGCCAGTAAGCAGTCAAGCAGGCTTTGGCGGGCTGCAACTCTGCAAGAAGGCGACGCGTTCTCTCGACATGCTTGACGGATATGACATATTTTCTCCAGGGTGGACAACTTTGTCTAGAATCCTTCGACTCCTCCCGGCAACCGTCTCCAGTCTTCCAAAAAATTAAGCATGCCGCCTTATTGAAGTGACTGCTGATTGAACAGAAAGAAGAACCTTGTCGCAGAAGGCCAAACAAGACACAATTGCAGGATACTTTCCCGAATCCACGATGACAAACGGAGTCCGCGCGCCCGCCCTTCCACCCGAAGCCACGCCGTCTTTGATAGCAGTCCAACCAAGCCACGCTATTTGCTGTTCCAATCAAAGATCCAATCAAAGATTGGCCAAAAATCTTGTCGTGTTCTGTCCCGCTAAAAGTAGCCTCGCGTAACTGCTTTGCGCCATAGGGCCGGGAAACGGACCGAGCTTCTGACTGATGTGGGCTAGTTCATCAGCCAAACCTTCTAGCGTTCCGGCAAAACTCACCCAAGGAAGATGTAGACGCTAGCAGCGCTTCTTCAATCGCCACTACTCGATGTTTTCTTCGTCTTTTCGTGTTGCCGCCCTCACTATTTCCCCCGAGAGTCATGTCGAAACTAAGGGGGGCCTCAACAGTCTATTTGTTCGTTGGCTCGTCCTTGTCCACAAGGAACAGCCAATCCAACCGTGAACAATCCACCTTCCTGAGCAACACAGGGACCTCTAGGTTCCCTGTGGTTTGTCCCTGTTCGTTTCGATTTCTGCCTGTCTGGACCCGCCTACGGTGTCATCTCTCCAGATTGCCTACGCTTATACCAAGCCAGACATGGGTTGAAATTCTCATCTTGATTTGTGTACTCATTTACTGACCAAGGCACACTTAGCGGCACCCATTGTTGCAGGTGCCAGCACGGCAAAAATGGCAACATATTGCTGATAGTGCCTCCATGATAATGAATATGACGCAACACCCTCAGCACAACGTCCCATCCATAATCCCTCTTGGCTCTGCAGTCAGGCAATTCTTGACGAGAGCCAGGGTAAGCATAATCCTGGTCCAATCCTCTTCTCCTCATCCTTGTAGAGTGCAGTTGCAACAATGATTGCAAAAAAAGACATCAAAAAGCCAGGCTTCTGTTTCGTTTGAGAAGCATATCGACCCCTGATGGGGTCGATGAGGGATTAGGTGGAGAGAAGGGAGACAAACGGAGGGTGCATCGGAGCTCGACGTCACCTGTGGATACAGGTAACATCTGTTCCATATCGCTGCGACCTTTTTTGAGGGACTTGGACGCTCGAGAGACTCGTCGTTGCAGCACTTCCATTGCTGGATTCCTCTGAGAGCCTCTTTAGCTCCATCCTCGCTGCCATCACCTGTTGTATTCGTAGCCGGACTGTGGTGGTGTCGGAGAGATGTGGCATGCCAAGAGCGAGGCCTCTTAAACCCTATGCAATGGACTTCCAACTGCATCAATGACACGTCTCGCAAGCGCCTGCGCCGCATGCTTCTGTTCGTCTCGTAACCGCATAAGAAAATCAGCACACAGCAGGTCATGAGTCAGCAATGACTTCGCCTCTAAGCGTTGGTACCAGCAAACAGAGAGGTGAACAGGAGTATATTTCGTTTTTTTCCCGATAATTCTGAGACCTTTGACCGGAACCAAAATATGATCTCCATTCCACCACATCGTTCGATCAAAGACAAGTATAGATGATTGCGAAATGCAAAACACAAACGCTCCCTGTTGGCCACGGCGTCTTGCATACACTGAAACGTGAAGGGAGCAGCACCCTGACAGCATCATCCGACTCAGCTCCCCGGCCGATATCTGACCCCGCGTCGTCCAGCCAGAGGCGGGGTTGAAGTTGACAGTATGAAGAGGCCAACGAGGGAATACTCCAAAGGAGCCAAGCGGATGGCGCGTCCATCAAGACGGTCGATCGCTCTCGGCGCTGGCGATAAGGATATCCGACGACACAACACGACACCAACCACACTCTGTCTCTACCATCCCGAACGAGACTAGACAAGGACGGTTCTGATTCCCACTCTTCCGGCATTCGTAACCCATGCATGCATTGCCTTGGCCCTTTTTCAAAAGTCGTAAGCCAGCAAAGCCAAGGTGCGGAGGACTTTCAGGGTCGGAAAAGTTCTACACCGAGTTCGGTTTAGACGGCCTACCGCATTCCGCAGGTCGCGGCTCCACTCAAGACGAGAGGCGAGCAAAGTGATGGTGTCGTGATTGACTCGACATTTTGCAGAGTATCGTCGAGATGCTCGCCCAAAATGCCCCCCCGGCACGCTTCAAGGGGGGAGTTGCCTCCGCCTCACCGTACTACTATGTTTACACGAAGAAGAAGCGCAACTTTAGTCCCTCATTGTAACCGGCAAGGCGAGACAAGACGAGACGACACGAACACCCTTTTCCGCACAGATGCAGACACCGCCATACAACGGATGCACAGGCAAACAGCCAAGCTTCCTGCAATTGCAATACCCCGATAAAGCGAGTCTGGAACGCATTCGACCATGGGCTGACAGGCCAGCGGCCTTGCTCTCCCTTCATCGCTCAGAGTAGTATGTCAATATGTTGAACAGCACTCCACGACGAGACTTTTCCTTCTTCTTCTTCTCTTCTTTTCTCTCTCTCTTCTCCCGCATCTGGATGAAAATAGACTCAGCGGCCTCCGCTGCTACATGACACGCAATGCGACGACGGTAACGCGCTACAAGAACCCAAAAAAAGGCACCATTGCTACCACCACACGTACATACACAGCGACAGAGGTCCACCAAACAAACACCAAACAACCACCACCACCACCACCACCCCTCCCCGGAAAAAGCCTCCGGGGTCCCTGCTGAGCCTCTTTCATTTTCTGTTTGTCATATAAACTGCCCCCATTCGGCAGAAATGGCATCACGTAACAGCTAGCACAGATAATGCCATAACCTAAACCGACAATTCCAAAAACCCCCGAGGGCCGTCGGGTAGGTATGCTCTGTAAGGCGAGATTGGTTCGAGCTCTCGGTAGAGATAAGGTCACTCTTTTTACAGAAGCTTTTACAAAAGAGATGGACAATCCCACCTCACCCAGCGCTTCGTCGGGGACTTGTTTGTTTCTCATTTGACATGTGTCTCTGTGTATATATATATATATGTAATATCCGCGTCTTGCAAGCCCTGGTGCAATTTGTTTTCGATTGACACACAGGAATAGGTGAGTACGACAAAAAATGATCTGCAAGAGAACCCCAAAAAAGAAAGCATGTAAGACCGGTAATCACTACAAATCGAACGGTTGAGTCTCTCTTTCTCACCCTCCGTTTCCAACCTTTTCTCCACTTCCTCAGTCTGTAAAGCGTTACAGACCGTGCCAGCGTTACGACAAAGGTATCGATCGCATGTGTACACGACAACTCCAAACATATCCGGAAAGGGGGGAAAAATCCATCATATACGGATGCTATCCTCCGTTTTTTTGTTTTATCTACTTAAAATTCTGATGCAAGACCCAGGCAACCTGGTGTGGTATCGATATCGAAGAAATAGCGCCAACCCAATAGAGAAAAAAAAAAGAACTCCCAAACCACAAACAACCAGATATTTTTGTAGGCGCCGCTCGCTCCCGTCCTTTCATCTTGCAATACGATGACCTCCTCGGGCTAGTACACCGGAGCTTGATCGCCACGACCTCCCCGTACAGCGGGGCCGGAGTCCCACGCACCTGGCGATCTCACCGGAGGTACTCGAATGTTTCGCAACGCTGTGAATCCGGCCCCGAGCTCCTGGTCCTGATCTCGATCTTGCTCGCTGCTCGCCGCACTGCTGACCCCGCTGTTGCTCGACATCCCGCCACTGCTATTTGTCCTTGAATGGACCAAGCCTCTCGGGCTGATGCTTCCGCTCACGCTGCCACTGTCACGTCTGGACGACTGTGGCAACGAGTTTTGCCGGATCAACTGCGGCATGAATTCGGTGTTGGGAATTACAGGCTGGATTCGCAAGTGCGATATTCCAAAGTCCCAACCGCCATACTGGTGAACACAATGCGGCTCAGTGATACCACATGAATTTGTCAAGGTGTGGTAAATTTGATTTTGCACCTCGGCTGCGGGTGGACGATCATTTGGATTCGCAGAGAGCATGCGGGCTACGATGTGCATCAACGGGACGATGCCTCGAAACACGGAACCGCCATCCAGGTCAGACGCTTTCTTCGACGCCTCCTTAGCCAGTATGGACATCCAGGATTCGACTTGCCCCAGGTTTTTGTGGAATGACGAGTCCGGCACAGCTCCCCCGCGACCTGGGGTTTTGTGCTTTGCAGCGCGGTGAGCTGCAAAACTCTTGGTCGTCTTCTTGACGAGGTAGCTCATCAGATCCAAAATGACGCACCCGAGCGAGAAGATGTCGGCAGCTTGCGGGCTCAGTTGAGGGTTGGGTGTGTTCAACATTGCGTTTGGGCTACTGAGGTTATCGCTCCTGGGAATCGAAAAGTTTGTGTGAGCTTCTGGAGAAGTCGACATGGCCATTGTCGCTTTGCGACCCATAGGACTAGCCGGGCCGCCGGTTGGACGAAACCATTGCTCCGGTGCCGCATAGTCGTAAGACTCTCGGTCGAACGAATGTTTATCTGAGTATCCAGCCAGGATCTCAGGATTGAGTCTGGTAAAGTCAGAGTAGAAGATGTGGAGCTGGGTGGTGAAAAGTATTGTCGAAGGCTTAATGTTGCCGTGGGACATTCTCCGGCTGTGAAGGTAAGCGAGAGTGTCGGCGAGACAGAGTATCCAGTTCATGATCATTCGTCTCCGGTCTTTCTTAAGAAGGTTCTTGAAGGATGATGGAGTATTGCTGAGAAAGGACTTCAAGTTGGAGTCTGTAGCCGGTGTGAAGAGAGTATATGCTGCTCCGTGCTGAGTGTACGATGCGCAGTAGGAGATCAAGTGGTCATTTTGTACACCTCTGATGCTGTTGATAATCTCTACAAAGTCTCCTCGAGAGAGCTGGTTGGGGCCGTTGCCGAGAGGGATGCGACGACGGTAAAAGACTGAACCAGGGCAGTTTGGCAAGACGACCTTGTCAATAGCATTGTTGCCAGCCGTTCGGCGTTCGATAACTTCAAGAGGAACGATCTCGTGCTCGTCGAAAACTATGTGATCTCCCCGCCTGAAGGGCTTTAAAAGGTAGTTGAACTGGCGGACGAAGAACTTGCGCTCGACTTTGTCGTCCTTGACAGGCGTTAACTTGAGGCGGCCGATTTGGTCGGCGGGAACGGGCAAGTCATGATCGTCCCATGAGTTGTCGATTATGCCAAAGATCTGAGGCGCAATCTTCAGGTCGACGAGGATCAGGAAGACACGCTTGGCCCTAGTGTTGATCCCGTCCCAGTAGGTCCCGTTTGCCAGTCCGCCGGCGGAGACCAAAGGTCTGTCCAGGCGCTCGATTTCTTCGGGCGACAGAAACCGGCAGACGAACTGTCGGGTGACAGTAGCGTCAATCTTCGCGCTGTCCCACCATTGAACCATGGTGTAGGATGGACAGGTGGAGTTGACGACGGTAGTGTGATCAACTTCGTCGTCGGAGGTTTGGCTGGTTTCGATGTACCTTCGCCTGGCGTCGCTTCGCCTTCCCTTGTCGGCCCCCGGGTTCGCTGTGACGTGCCTGCCGCCTAGGACGCCGACAACACAGGCTGCATAACCGCGTGTTTCTCGAGTCTGATGCAGCTTCACACTTGGGGAGCTAGCGACAGGACGTGGAGACTGCTTGGGGCTGGGCTATTCAGCACGAGCACGAGAAAGGAAGGAAAAAAAAATCTGGTGGTGTGTGAGGTTTATGTTTGAGACGAGGCAGATCAGAATGGTACGGAAACGGATTTATTTTCACAGGGTCTGAGGTGCGTCGGTGTCGGATTGTTTTGTCAGAACACACTTCCACGTTGAGACCGTCCGTCCACCTCCTCATTTGGGTGTCCTTAGTTAAAGGTAAATGCGAAGCAGCTTACCCTTACCTTTCTTACCTAAGGTAAAGAGAAAAAAAAAAGTGTCTTGCGGGTACGGAGTACCTGCTGGACCCTGCTTTGCCTGCCTGCCTTCAGCATGTCACATCAGTAGAGTCCGTGGCAGGAAGGGGCGTTCCTATGGCTTTTTTGCCTTTGGGAACGCAGCGGGCGGCACGACGGAGCCAAGGTTAGTAGTAGTAACAGAGGACAGAGGGCGCTACCCCGACATGGCCCACAGTAGCGAGAAGCCCCGCCCCGGCTGCGGGCGCAGACGCGGGTGCATGAGCCTTCAGTGTCACTCTCGTGTGTCTTTCGGCTTTAGCGTACCTGTACTTGTACACAGTCTCATCAGGGGAGTCGGCACCTGTCCTCGTGCTCTAACAACTCCAATATCTTTTAATTCTTGAAAGATCGCCAATCAATATTTGCACAAGCTCCCCACGCGTGCTTCTGATATGTCTACGGAAGTTAGTCAGGATCAAGAACCGCGCAGAAGCTGGGAGTATTTGGAAGCTCAATAGCCAAAGATTCGGCGGCGATTAACGGCGTGTCATTATTTAAACTCAGATCCTCATCAAAGAACCCGTTGATTTGGTTCGGAGCCCAACTGGCATTGCTTGCCGTAGCTCTTAAACATTCACAACCATGTAGGGGAGCCTGACTCTGTCCCTCACAGAGTTTGATGTTTTCATTGGGTCGATACGACGAGAGATAAGAGCCCGTAACACCTGAGTGGCTGTTGACAAAGCTCTGGTGTCATTCCTGCAAGAAATGCTATTTTCACTTTGGCAGCCCACCAGACGCTTCACTCGTGGGATGCCACACCGCACGCAAACTATGCTGTGTTGACCAGGGTTGCCGGGCGAAGAGCTCCCCTGAGATATCCGACTGCACGCGACACTGATGACGCTCATCCTATGATGATACCGCGCATCCAGCCCATTCCTGACTCCTACAGCGTGGTGCTGAAGACCCCAATGGACCCCCCGCTCCAGCGACAGACTAACGTCATGTTCAGCCCCAAGGTGGGTGTTGGGTGGGATTGTCCCAGAACGTTGTGAGACTGCAGGGAATATCGAAGCCACCCCCACCAGATATCTCCCAAGAGTCCCCCGCGAGAGGCGATCAAAGTTCATCTCGTCGGCTTGAAGAAGGGTGGTGAGAAGAGAACCTCAAGGACGAAGCCAATAATCTAAGGCGAGTGGTGATAGGAAGATATGAAATACCTTGTGCCAGCGGGGGAATACGATCGTGGGCTACGCAAACAGGCTTCTATCGACGCATAGACAAATCGGAGGGTCGCACGATGCAGACGAGCGGGCGTTCGACTAGTCCTCCCGGCGGCGGTTCAGCCGTGAGATCCGGCACGCTGGTCTTCGACAGGGTTTCGCCAATCATACCGTCTTTCGGGGTCTGTGTAGACTTGTTCCTCCTCTCGGGGACCACCGAAAACCACAATCGTCGGCGACTCTAGGCATGCTGTGATGGGCGGGGAATGGCTCTGGTTGGATTTGGGCTTCCTTGTCTGGTATGCTTACAGTGGTGGAAAGCTCTAGATCGCATTCCTTTCATGGATGAATCTTGTCATGAAGAAGCCTCAGCCGGAATGAATGTCTCAAGGGACAGGATTCACTGGGTAGGCCGTAACCGTAGCTTACAAAGTAATTCGATGTTCTCAGTAGAGGCGTACAGTGGCAGCGATGGAACAGGGGATGCGGTAGTGTGAGTGAATGATGATCTGAGTTATTATTTCTCTTACCCACAGCTAAGAACTATTGGTAGATCGCCTTGTTGGGGCTTTTGTGGGCGAAGTAATCGACCTGAATCAGAAATGAAGAGGAAAAATATCATGATGTAGCAGTGGAGGGCCGGTTCGGTGGTGAGGTAAGGAAGGTCTAGACAAGGCAGGATAGTGGGGTAAGGTACAGATACTTTCACACTGGCTGCTTCAGCTTTCCCCCCGTGTACTTGACTTCTTATCTAAACACGCTCATCTACAGTGTCTCTTGGTCTGCTATTGATTCTAACTGCCTTACTTTCCCAACAACACATTTCACACATCCTCGGTTCTCATGATTCCACAAGTCGTCAGGCGATGGTTTCCCAGTTTGCTCGACATCTGCCGCATGTTCAAAACAACGAACCACATATTCATTGCTTCTTCCTCAGGCTCAAAAAGATCAAAAAAGTTCCTCACCTTTAATATGTGGCTGCCCAGAAAACCATGGTCTTGGCAAGGATGAAGGAAAGCCCAATTTCGCATACATTGAAACTCAGGGCGGCAACAGGTCTCGCCCGCAGTCTTTGGCCCGCAAGCACCCCCCGTCCTGATAGTTCTGACGTATGACAGAGTTTAAACTCGCAACGAGTGCATGCAGCCCAAGAGTGTAATTTGAACATAGTGCAGCCAGCCATTCCCTCGGTTACGGGTCTACTCGCTGATCCTTCGACAACGTCAAAATTCTTAACAGTCTCCAACTCGTGCTACTTTAAGATTCATCGCACCTTATGGCCCGACTTCCGAGAAGAGGACATGCCGTTGCTTCGGTGGGGACTACAATACATCGAAGTCCTTGCTTGTCCCATTGGCTGGAACATAATCTTGGAAGGCGGGAAACGGGCGTCCAACTCAACGGGTGTCATACCGCTCCAACCATTGGCCATGCCACAAGATCACGACACGGCTTTCGGGAGCCACATCCCGCAACTGGCCCGCATGTCCCGCTCATGCTCCGTCGAGACAATTTACTACGTAGTACTTAGGTATAGTAGAGGGTTGTGACCCTGGCAGATGAGCCTCTCTATCGTGCAACTGATCTCACCGCTTATTGGCCCCGTTGGTTGGTAAGCTACAATACTGCTTGGTCTTTGATGGGTAGGCGCGCATGTTCACATGCCCGTTGGGTCTCATCATCGACAGCTATGAACACCTTACAATTTCTCTTCCTATTGAATGCTGCAGCCATACAACTCTTTCTACCAACCCCAAATATCGTTCGCCTGAATTCTCGCTCATTTCTCTGCCAAGTTACATGAAAAGCAGCACAGGCAAAATCCGCTTAGGTGAAGCAACAGCTACCAACAATACAACCTGGCGCGTCCAATGTCAAGTCAGAGGAAGCTCAAGTTTGAAGGAAACGCTGGGCACGGGCAGTCCGCTGGTACAAGAACCGTCACAAGCTTTTTTGTTGCATTCAGCAGCTCAGCCCAGTCCAGCCCGTGAGCTGTCAGACTGAAGAGTGAATAACTATAACTTGAGAAACCGATATCTGTGCAAAGACCATTTCAACCGAGGTTGCAGTTCAATGACATTTTTTACATAAGCATCTCTCACACAAGTACTCTCAGACCGAACGACGATCCTGAGTCATCAAGGTGAGAAGCACCCAATTTGTATCCGCGACTGCCAATTCTGTTGTGAAATGACGAGTGCTTTACAGTGGAGGGCGGTGAACAGCTGCCGAGTTTCGGATTCACGGAGAGTTGAAGCTGACTGGTTCAGCCGAAAGACGCGGGCCTTCCGTGCTGATGATCAGATATGATGGTACCTAGGGTGCGCTATAGCCCCGGTGGAGTCTCCAAGTACTGTGCAAACAGGGAGAATGCATGGGCCTGGTGACCAGTGCCCCGCAAGCCCCCAAGCTTCCCGGCAGGGAGTTGAGGCTACCTACGACATCTCAACTCTAAATACGTAACGTGGCCAGCATCCCGTTGTCGAACATCAACCGCGCATTACCAGACGACGACCGACGGTGCCGAAACATCTTCCGCAGCATGGCCTTTTGAAAGGCCGCTTCTCCATTCTCTCGAAAGCCATAGATTGACTTGAATCATCCAACCTTCTTTCCGCAGTCGTCGGTCTGTCTCTTGACCGCGTCAACATGCCCGATTCGATGGAAGCTCCGCTCATGGACGGTCGTCCGGACCGGGACGATGAGCTGGATTATCGCGAGGACGAGGAGGCTGATGTACTTCCCGAGTCGTACAAGCATACCCAGTCAGGACCGAGTCTCTTTGTTTGGCTCCTCACGTTTGCTGCCGGCATCAGCGGCCTACTGTTTGGATGTGTGTTTGGCCCGCTCTAGTACGTCAAAGCACATGATGGACAACAATGCTAACCCAGCTGCACGCAGATGATACCGGTGTGATATCGGCAACGCTTGTTTCCATCGATACGTCCCTGTCGAATCGAGTCCTTACATCTTTTGACAAGTCTATAATCACATCCAGCACGGCGTTGTTTGCATTGCTCATCTCTCCCTTCTCCTCCGTGGTCGCCGATGCTCTAGGCCGCAAGCGCGTTATACTTGTGGCCGATGTACTTTTCATCGTGGGCGCTTTGCTGCAGGCCTGGAGTGGCACTGTAACAACCATGGTCTTGGGCCGGTCAATAGTTGGCGCGGCAGTCGGAGCTGCTAGTTTCGTTGTGCCTCTGTATATTGCGGAACTGGCCCCTGCCAGTCACCGGGGCCGGCTCGTCACGATGAACGTCTTGTTTATCACTCTAGGCCAAGTTGTTGCGTATATTGTAGGATGGGGCTTTGCGGTCTACGGCGACAAATCGACGGGTTGGCGATGGATGGTCGGCCTGGGTGCGTTACCTGCTGCCGTGCAGTGTGCTATCCTGATGGTCATGCCAGAGTCACCACGCTGGCTCGTCATGGTGGGAAGGTCATCCATGGCGAGGAAAGTTGTTGAAAAGGTCCTGGGCTCAACCGTTGGCGCCATGAGAGGCGCCGAGGCCGTGGTCAAGGAGATCGAAATCGAAATCAAAGACGAGAGAGAGGTCATGAGACGAGAAGGAACGCCTCGCCTGGAATGGTGGGGTGGCTGGAAAGAGCTCTTTTCCGTCGGAAGAAACAAGCGCGCCCTGGTGATCACATGCCTACTCCAAGGCCTCCAGCAACTCTGCGGCTTCAATTCGCTCATGTACTTCAGCGCAACCATTTTCACGATGGTGGGTTTCGGAACCCCGACCCTCACTTCGCTCAGCGTCGCTGTTACGAACTTCCTGTTCACGGTTGCGGCGCTATGTCTGATCGACCGTATCGGCCGGCGTAAAATCCTGCTCTACTCCCTTCCGTTCATGATTGCCGGGTTATTGCTGTCGGCGTACGGCTTCTCTTTCATTGACTTGGGGACCGAGACGGCGGCTGCTACTGAGGCCGGTTCGGCACCGGGAGCTGGTGGGGAGCGCGGGGCGGCGGTGCTGATTCTCATCAGCATTATGTTATATGTCGCGGCGTACGCGCTCGGACTAGGCAACGTGCCATGGATGCAGAGCGAGCTATTCCCGCTCGCGGTGCGATCCATTGGTAGCGGCGTGTCGACAGCGACGAACTGGGGAGCCAACTTTATCGTAGGCCTCACATTTCTGCCACTCATGGACGCACTCAGCCCGTCCGGAACATTCGTGCTGTATGCCTTGGTATGCTTAGGAGGGTACGGGTTAATCTGGCGGATCTATCCCGAGACATCAGGTCTAAGCCTAGAGGAGGCAACAAATCTGCTTGAGAACGGATGGGGGGTGCGACGATAATCTCAATCTACTGGGAACATGCATCAGGCCCTTGCTCTTCGACAGGGACCCTGCTTTAAACTAGACTCTTTTAGCGATACGACATGCAATCTACGTATTATGGTATATCTCACAGAACCAACTGGTGAATTCCGCTTTGTGAAAAATTTTGTTTTACCGCCAGAAAGCGAGGTACGGCGTGTTCGAGACTATTCTGGAAATTTAGGTACGGTGGGGCCCAACCACTCGGGATTTTTTCCATCGTTGCAGGTTTGCGACGGATTTAAGTCATTCTATGGCCATACATCAACTTTCCGTTCCGTAGCTTCGGAGGCGGTAGCGGCAAGAAGCGGCATTGGGCTTGCATTGGGCTCGGTGGGAGGGTCAAAAAAACCGCCGAGGGCCGCCAGAAAGGTGGATGCCTCGTGTGAACAATGGAAATAATGGATCTACGATCATCGTCCTTGTCTGGCGCCTAATTTTACTTCAGAGCAGCATCCTGTATCAGGGTCGAGGGCTAAGTCCTACCCTGTTATCTTTAGGGCCGTTTTACCAGCTTGAATATAATGGGACGCCGTGTGGACGGGTGTACTGAATCTTAAGGGTTAACGCAGGCCTCATGTAAGCGATCCGATACAAATAGCACCTCACATTTCGGTGGCCAAGACATGAGGCAAAAGCCGAGCGTAGGGAACAGACCTGCGGGGATGCCGTGGTTTAGTCAGTGTCAAGCAAGGTGACGTTTAAGGCTGATGACTAAAAATGCCAATGGACGGCCAGAAAACCGCGGGGCCGAGGCGGTCCAGAACGTGCTGACATTTGGGAAATTTTTTTCACTTTCGACTTTTTCGCTTCCATTGTGCTTAACTCCTTCCAAACTCCAGCCCAGTGACATCACCCGACGTTAGCCCCCCCCTCCTTGCCTCGGATCCGACCGGCACCACCATGCGTACCATGTTCATTTGCCGGGGGGTCAAGATCTGCGTGCATGTTCCTCCTGCAGCTTAAGGTGCGGAAACTGCTCGAGCCTTTCCGAGGACTGTGAAAGGTTCTGCGCAGAAACTCTGTTAGGCACGTTGTCACCATAAACATAATTAGCCCTATTTTATCCGTGTGGGTGTTTCTTTCCGATGAGATGATGGAAGTCTAATAAAACAAGGGAAAGAAAGTTTTTGATAATGGTCATCTTATTGGCATTCCAATGAACGCGTGGGCAAGTTTAGCAAATGTTTTGTAACAACACCGCCTCAAAGGCCGACGTATCTCCTCGCCAAGTGCCTTGACCAATACCACACTTCCTGCTGCAGCAGAGACTGCAGAGACTGCAGTGTATGACCCCATCCAACTTCCCAGTGCCGGATGCCGCCTCCGGGCCTGGCCGGACCCACTCACTTTCCTCTTTTTGCAGGAAATCGGCTCGTGTCGCTGGTTTGTTCCCGCAAGGTGGTGCCGAATGAACCTCGCCCCAATTCCATCCATGTCTTTCTTGCCGAGCTCGTTGCCGAGTCCTGAAGGCTCTGCAATGAGAAGCAGAGCCGGAAGAGAAAAAAAATAGGAGGGAACCAGCATGAATTGCGACCCAAGTGGGACTACATGACCCATTCCTTCCCTTTTCCCCTTGCTTGGTAACCGGGGAGATTTGCGCTGTCAGTTCCCAATCAGCTGAGGGCAGAGTCATTCGTTCCTCATTGACAAATTCATTTTTCTCGTCCGTTTATATCCTGGCCTCGGCCTTTCGCGCTCTGCTCTCTCCAGAGTACATTGGGTTCCATAGCTTACTTACCCATTCTTGCCAACCCACACGCTCACTAATAGTTTCTTATTCATCTGGACTTTCACCTCTTCCTTGAATCAGATAGATTTCGATCTCGTCTTTTAAGACGAAAGGGTGCTGCTGTCTTGCTGATCACGTCGCATTATTATCTCCAGTTTATTACCCCTCCTCCCACGTCTGCGCGCACCTCTCATATCGCCACCCCATCTCGACCCCAAATCCGACTGGTGTCCTTTTCCATTGACGGCTTATTATCTAACTACCTAGCTTGTCATTACTCTACATTGACGTAGCTCAGCACGCCGTCTTCATATTAGCTCCGGACCACTTGTCAGCACAGCGCAGAACTGTATAGCGCCTTTGGTATTGATATTTCATGCTATAAGGCTCCTCAGCACTGTCCAGGTTTTTTCTATCTACCTTGCTGGTCTCGACATATCCCTCCGACCTGCTCCCTTCGCTCTGCAACACCATAACCTGAAACTTAGTCGACATCGTCCATAATGGCAATGGACGAGATCGACCGCGAAATCGCGGCCGCCGAGCGCGCTGCATCCCCCGAACGCTACCACGGCCGTGAGAGCCACGAAATCGAACGTGTTCTCTCTACTTCCTCTACATCCTCCTCCTCATCTTCTGCCTCTCATGGACCTCGTCCGTTCGCCCGTACTGGCACCGGCATCAGCCGTGTCTCGACCCAGAATGACCTCGAGAGACACCCGACGGCCCTGAGCCGAATCGCAACGGCCCGCAGTCAGCACTCTAACACTGTCGGTCGCAGCATTAAGAGCAGACAGTCGACGAAACCAATCCCCTCTATGGGAGCCGGCAAGCCATTCCCGCCGCCATTGCCCGAGCAAGAAGAATATGTGGTCGAATTTGACGGTCCCAACGACCCTATGCATGCGCAAAATTGGCCACTGAAGAAAAAGTAAGACAATCACCTTTTGCAGCGCGCATATTGTTGGTTCTTTAAAAAAGCATCGTTACTGACAGGTCTTGGCGCAGGTTGCTAACAGCCGCAATGCTTGGCTACACCACCATGACGTCCGCCTTCACTTCTAGTATCTTCTCAGCAGCGACGCAAATCGTGGCCGCAGAATACAATGTCTCGGCAACCGTTGGTACCTTGGGCGTTTCTTTTTACGTCCTTGGCTTTGCCTTCGGTCCCAGTTTGTGGGCGCCCCTTTCCGAGCTTCGGGGTCGCAGACTACCCCTGGTCCTCTCCATGTTCGGCTTCTCCATCTTCTCCATCAGCACCGCCGTCGCCAAAGACTTGCAGACTATTCTGATCTGCCGTTTCTTTGCTGGCTTTTTCGGCGCCTGTCCACTGGCTGTCGTCGCTGCCGTCTTCTCCGACATGTTCGACAACCGTAGCCGTGGCAGTGCCATTACTGTCTTCTCTATGGCCGTCTTCACTGGCCCGCTCCTGGCCCCCTTTATTGGTGGTTATATCGTCGAGTCGCACCTTGGCTGGCGCTGGACTGAGTACATTCCGTCCTTTATGGGCTTCCTCGCCTTCTTCCTCGATCTGTTCTTCCTTGAGGAGACTTACCCGCCCGTTATCCTGGTCGCCAAGGCGTCTGAACTGCGTCGCCGTACACGCAACTGGGGCATTCACGCGAAGCAGGAAGAAATCGAAATTGACTTCAAGGAGCTGGTTAACAAGAACTTTTCTCGTCCCATGCGTCTTCTCTTTGGCGAGCCCATTGTCACTGCGCTGTCGGTTTACATGGCCTTCATTTACGGACTGCTGTATCTCTTCCTGACGGCTTACCCCTTTGTCTTCCGTGGCGTCCATGGCTTCAATGCTGGACAATCTGGTCTCACCTTCTTTGGCATGATCACTGGTCAGCTCATTGCGGGTGTCACCGTCCTGCTCCAGCAACCGTGGTATCTGCGAAAGCTTAAGGCTAACAACGGCGTTCCCGTTCCTGAGTGGCGTCTGCCCAGTGTCATTGCTGGCGGCATCTTTTTCGCAGCCGGTATTTTCTGGTTTGGATGGTCTGGTTACCGCCAAGATATCCATTGGATCGTTCCCGCTCTTAGCGGCCTCTTCACTGGCTTCGGTCTGATGTCCATCTTCCTCCAGGCGCTTAACTATCTTGTCGACGCCTACCTCATGTTCGCCGCCTCCGCCATTGCCGGTAACACCTTCCTCCGCTCCCTTTGTGGTGCCGGCTTCCCGCTCTTCGCGAGCTACATGTTCAACGGCATGGGTATCGAATATGCTTCTACGCTTCTCGGCGCTGTTGCAGTCGTCCTCGCACCTATCCCCGTGATCTTTTACATTTGGGGCCACAAGATCCGTGCCAAGAGCGCTTACGCACCGACTTTCGCTGCCCCGGCCGACGAGCCCGAGGATGAGCCTGTGGACGAGCCGCTTTCCAACGGCCACTCCAGCCAAGAACACGAAAAGCCGCCTTCCCTCTCCGGACTTGAGGCCAGCATCCCGAGGACGAGCGGCAACAAGGCCGAGAACGCTGTTTAAATCGAAAGACTAATACGACGTTTTCTTTTGATGCATTTCAGCGTATATGACCTTGATCTATCAGCGAGGTTCTTTTCTTCACGAATTTCTGACTTTGTTTTCTTCTTTATTTTTCTTTTATGATACCACCCACCGGTCAGAGAGGAAGGAAAAGTAAAAGTTTTGGCGGCCATACAGCGTCTTGTTTAATTTGGGAAGGCTACGAAAGAATCGTCGTTGGATGATACCATTTGCCTTACCATACCACACTATATAATAATGCTTTAGACTAAAAAAAGAAAGAAATTAACTCAACATGGTATTAACTCAAACTAACTCGGATGATCTGCCTTGAACATGTACTGATTAAAGTTTAAACTTGTGCTCCCCAGATTTAATTCCACTTCCGTCCCAGCACGTTCAACGTTCTCGTTCTGAGCACTGTCTGGAGTCTGCAGCTACTGTAACCGTAGGTGAGCTCTCGTAGCACCATCTCAAAAGGCGTGGATCAAATATTGCGTTTTCGGGGACCTCACAATTCGCGACCCTCTGGCCCTCAATCCCCTCTCAGTTCTTCCGTTTCGTTGTCAAAGAAGTGAATTGAACAAGCAAGCAGGCTAATGGCGGGGCACCGTAAGACACACCGCCACCGCCTTCACCCCGCGAATTATTAGTGCACTTATGCGCCTGACGTATCACAGTCCTGGTGTCCCAATTGTCCTCCAAAGAGGAAGACTTCTCAAAAAGGAAGATGGAATGAGAGCGGTTCGGCATCGACAGGGGCTAGTGCTAGTTACCTGTGCGCCAGGGCGCGAGCTTACACAAGGATAATCTGATCAATACGAAGGGCGCGGGTTCTGGAAAGAGGGGGTTTTTCCTGGGAGGCCAACTGCGCAGGGGAAATCCTCCACTCTGCGGGATGAGACACGCATCGGCTTATAAAGCTGCCCCTCTCTGTTGCCTGTTTGAAATCCCATCGAGAAATCTGATGAGTGAAGAGAGATAGAACCGACACCCTTTTCTTTTCTTTTCTTTTTTTTTTTAGTATTAAAAGTTAAGGAATTAGGCTCTGGGATTCGTCTTATACGGGATTGCGCAGAAGCACGGCATCTTTGCAGCTCGCGCACAACAACCAATAAAACACCACATCAGCCAGCCGTCAGATCGGACCATTACAAAATGTCTGCCGACAAAGCCTCGTCCGAGCCCTCCAAGACATACGACGGGAGCTGCCACTGCGGCAACATCAACTTCTCGTTGACGTTGTCGCCGCCTTTGGAGGAGGGATACAAGGTCCTCGAATGTAACTGCTCCATCTGCCGGCGCAGCGGATACCTTCTCATCTGTAAGTCCTCCACCCCCAAAAAGTCATCGCAAGAAATCGCACTCTGGGCCTTTTTTTTTTTTCTTTTTTTTTTTCAAGCCCTCCAAATAGCTTGAATTGTGCCTTCAAAACTGCAAGCCGGTGTGATGCCCAGCTAACGGCCGGCAGACCCCGAGAAGAAGGACGTCGTATGGCACGACGGCTCCAGAGAGAGATGCAGCAACTACCGCTTCAACACCAAGACCAAGGACCAAATGTTCTGTGGGAAGTGCGGTTCGAGTCTGGGCATCGACTTTCACAACGAGACATACTACGGCCTTAGTGTACTTACTCCCTTCACCAACCCCCCCCGTGGCCTTTCTCTGCCCAGCCCTGTTTCTGATCACGAGTTTGCTGACAAAATCGTAGGCGCGGGCTCTGAACGGCATCGATCTTGACAAGCTGACGTATAAGAAGCTGGACGGCGTGAACAAGGTCTTCCCGGCGCAAGATTTGTCCGGGGAGGAATCAAAGCAGGCGAGCACCTAAGAGGTAGAGGCAGCATTCATTTGGAACTTCATAATTAGAGTATATTTTATCCACATATGTCTTGAGACTTTGTTTACAGGCCGCTTGGTATTACGGAACCCCGACGCCGGCGCCGTAAGCTCCTCGATAAGAGCAGCAATCGCCTAGATCAAGTTTCCGTTCTTCTCGCTTCTTCCACGCTCCTGCCTTCCGATGAACGTCTTCATGGAGGTGTCCACGCCCGCCAGCCTCCTTGCGACCTGCTGTACAGACACGGGGAGGACGTTGTACCAGTGAATCCAGCGCGCGTACAACGGCATCGCAACATGCGCGCTACGTCCGGCGTCGATAGCAGCCACAACCTCTTTGCAAACATCCACGGGCTCGACAACGGGCGCAAGGAAAGCGTGAGGGGTCTGCACGCCGTAGAAAAGCGGGGTGGAGAGCTGTCCAGGCTCGACGAGGATGGTGCGGATCTCGGGGTGCGAAGCGCGCAGCTCGGCGGTGATGGACTTGTGCAGAGCAGTCACACCGGCCTTGGCGGCAGCGTAGTCGGTCAGGGAGGCGGCACCGAGGTGACCGAGGACGGAGGACATTGTAACGATAGTACCGCCCTGGCCGCCACGGATCATTGGCGGAAGGAAGTTCTTCAGGGTGATGAAGTGTGCGGTGAGATTGGTGGCAAGAGACTTCTCAATTTCTTCGATCTCAAGGTCGAGGAGGGGCTTGCCCTTTACGATGGCAGCGTTGTTAATCAGGACAGTGGGTGTACCGAGCTATTTCACACAAACATGTCAGCGACTTGGCGGGATTTTTAGGGGAGCAGGATGGCGAACTTACATCTCTCTCAATCTCTCCAGCCACTCTAGCGACCTCGGCCTTGTTCGTCACGTCGCACTTGTAGAAAGTCACACCTCTCGCCTCGCCGTTCTCCATCTCGTTGACATCGAGAACGGCAACCGTGGCGCCGCGCATGCCGTAGACTTCAGCAATCAGCAGACCCAGACCGCTGGCGCCGCCCGTGATAACAATGACCTCCTCGCCGAGGTCGACCTCCCTTGGCAGACCATATGCGACGCGCTGGTTGATGATATTGGCCATCCAGCAGAGGGTAATGACGGAAGCCCAAGCAATGGAAACCAGCATTTGTGGTGCTTCCCAACGCAGCGCTTGCGCGCGGAAGCAGAGGGGAATGATCCATGCGACGAATGGGTGAAAGAATGTAATCTTGAATACCTTTACGATCAGATCGACCGATAGAGGTGCGAACCAGGACTCGCGTTGGGGTGGGCGTGGGTAGTCCATCGTGAGCAGCTGAACAACGTGATGAGCTTGCAGTGGTGAGAGGGGATAGGACGTCGGTAGTAACGACAACGGTTCGAGAGTTATTAGGATAAAGAGACCACGTGTTGCGTCCTGCACAGAAAGAGTGGAAGATTAGGTTGTAGATGGATTGAATCGTACAGGTGTCGTCCAGCGTTGGAGGGAGGAAGGGGGGAAAAAACTGCAGGACGGCCAAGATGAGACGAAAGCCAGCTCAATCGGGCCACGAGGAAGCTTGACGCTCTGGTGGGAGGAATTCGTCACATGTGGATGGACCTCTCAGCGTTGAAACGGGAGCCAAGCGCTAGGGGATCCCCCTGACAGACAGCCCCTGGAAACTGACCCCTGGGGCGGGCTACCACTAAAACGCCCCTCTCGCCCCCCTTGCAGCCGCCCATCTTTAACGGTCTGTTTAGCCGCAGTGCCCCACTCTGGGCCGTTAGGATTGTGTTTCGCTCCGAGCCGTTGGCGGACTTGTCGGCCACCGAGCAGAAGTAGACCCCGGGTTGACACAAGGGTTTAGTGGAAAAGCTGGGGAAAACTCTCATTCTAGGCGTGTTTGCACGCAAGTGAGGCGATTAAGGCTAAGGATGTTTAATATGAATGGGGATGTTGAAGATCATGGACTGAAGCATTCTTTTCCTACAGTCATTCTGCAGCGGATATATATCTGATGCAAACCCGACAATCTCAGCGATTAGACACTTAAAGGGGCCTCATAAAGATCATTGATTTATTCTTAAACCAAGGACGACTTGACCTGTGGTATATTGTCCCTGAAGTTACACTTTTCACACAATAATCCCCCCGTCCCGTACATACAGATGACATGTCGCCCAAACGCCGAACAATGCAAGAAGCAGCGCCATCATAGGCCCGTTCGTTAGACCGTCTATTATTTCTCCCGAGCCAGAACCGGCTTTTCTCTCTCGCCCTTCCGTCTCTCGAACTGCTTCTTGGTGTGTCTCCGCTCGTTCTCCTCGCGCCTCTTGATCGACTTGAGCTCCACGCTCTTGATCTCGCCAGCCTTCTTGATAACCTTGGGCAGGTGGCGGTGTCTCTTGATACGCCTGATCTCCGGCATGTGGCTATACCGAGAAACAAGAGCATCGTTGTATTCAAGTGCCTGTCTCTGCTTCGCGGTTCTGATTCCCGATCTCTCGTTGGCGTTGGATCGCCAGATGCGCACGTTTCCGTCGTCGGAACCAGTAAGAATGTACTTGGAGTCGGGGGTAAACATAGTGCTGAAGACCTGCTCAGGGTTAGTTTCCATTTAGCAGTTTTGTTACATAGAGACAGATTACTCACTCTCTGCATGCGCTTGGTATGATACATGTCTCGAGAGTGACCTTGGTCACGGTTCCAGATACGAACTGTTCTGTCGTAAGATCCAGATACCAGCTCCTCACCCGTCGGGCTGAATTCGACGCTCATGACGGCAGCCACGTGGCCCTTGTAGACGTTAAGTGCCCTGTCGAACTTGCGCATATCGAACATCTGTAAAAGGTTAGCCTAATGCTCAGGGTGATACCAGCATTCAACCACATACGTAGCAGTTGTGATCTTCGCTACCAACAACGAAGTTGAAAGCCTCCATGGGGTTCCAAGAGAGAGAGTTGCAGGCAAAGGTCATGGTCGTCTTCGTCAGGGGCATAGATGTCCGGACATCCCAGAGGATGATGCTTCTGTCGGCACCGGTGCTTCCAAGTATCGACTGCTCAACCTGGTTGAACGAGACAGAAGTGATTGTATCGGTCGAATTGGGCCATCGCAAAACTTCAGGGGCCGCGCTCTGTCGCTCCAAGTCGTAGATGGCAATTTCGCTGGAGGAAGACGAGGCTGCGAAGGCATTTCGCGATCTGTGGTGAGACAAACTCTGGAAACCACTGCTACCCAACCACGAGGAAATCGGTGCAGAATCGCTAGGAGTATGGTAGGGGTCCCAAAGCTTTATCGTTTTGTCGGCCGCAGCACTGAGGAGCTTCCCATCCTTCGTCCAGCAGAGGCTTCGAACAATGTTGGTATGAGCGCTCTTCACCTGCCAAATTTCTTCTCGGCTCGTGAGGTCGAAGGTCTTGATCGCACCGTCACCGCTTCCAGATGCAAAGTTCTTCAAGGAGTTCGGGTCCTTGGCCATTGAGTAGACCTACGACGGCTGTCAGAGAATTGTTGCGAGTGCTATTATTTCACGAAACAACTTACGCCGTCTACATGGCCGCTGCCCATTTGTCCAACGAAGGGGGCGGCATGCATGCGTTCCAATTTGACTGCATTGAGAGCCTTTGTGTACCTAAAATCTTCGTTAGACTGAGGATTGAAAAGGTGGCGAGGTCGACATACTCTCGGGCGCGTTCCATAGGATGCTGAGCAGGATCGAGGTTTCTTAGGCAGAGTTAGCTCACATGAAAGAAAACCTTTTGTTGCGTTAGGTATTACCTAGGAAGCTTCTGCGCATTTGCGCCGGGAGGCTGGTAGGCCTCCACGCTCCGGGAAAGGGCCTTGATCTTCATTTTGGCGGATGCAATGCAATGTATTGCTTCGCTAGAGAGATGGCAATGGCTGCGAAGCCATCCAGAACTTCTCCCAAAAATTTAAGTGGGGGTGGGGATTGGTCGGAGAATTTGAGCCAATGGGCGACGTCATCGGATAATCTGCGGCCCGGTGGCCCCTGCCCTCTCTGCTCTGCCCCAGCTTGCGTCGCGGTCATGGCAACCTGGACCTACTGAAGGCGGCTGGCTGGAGCTCTTGACAAAGTACGAAGTAGCTACATCACGAATCCGGCGAATAATCCACCACCACCTTCTCTCTTCCCACGACGAAAACTCGACATATCCTCACACATTCACACAGGAAAAATCGAATCACCGACACGACCGAAGGTCAAATATCCAGAATGGCTCAGGGCGACTCGGCGAGGGTGCAAGAGGCACAGAAGGTGGCCAAGTCAGATCCCCGAAAGGCAGAGCAGCTCTACCAGGATATCATCTCTCAACCCCCATCCGTAACCTCCGATGCTGCGGTGAAGGAGTATGAGACAGCGTTGATTAGCTTGGGAGAGCTGTACCGGGATGAGAAGTGAGCCCCTCCCCGCCCGGTGATGACATCGTAGGGGGACCCATTTTGCTAACTCCCAGTTCAGGAAGACGCAGGAGCTGGTCGACCTTATCACAAAAAGCCGGACGGTTCTTTCGTCATTCGCCAAGGCTAAGACAGCAAAGCTCGGTATGGGCTGCCCACTATCGCATTGTGTTTCGTGAAGATGGCAAAAAACTAACACACTACCCCTCTAGTCCGCCAGCTACTCGACCTCTTTGAGAACATTGAGGGCAGCACCGATATTCAGATCGCTGTTACGAAGTCATGTATAGAATGGGCTACCTCAGAGCGTCGTAGCTTTCTGCGTCAGAACCTCGAGACCCGCCTGGTCACCCTCCTCATGCACAAGCAAGCCTACTACGATGCCCTCACTCTCATTAACGGCCTCCTTCGCGAGCTCAAGCGCCTAGACGACAAGCTTGTCCTTGTCGAAGTCCAGCTCCTCGAGTCACGCGTGTACCACGCTCTCGGAAACATCCCCAAGGCTCGAGCCGCCCTCACCAGCGCCCGTACGAGCGCCGCCTCTGTATACACCCCGCCCCTCCTTCAAGCCCACCTCGATATGCAGAGTGGTATGCTTCACGCTGAGGACAAGGACTTCAACACGGCCTTCTCCTACTTTATCGAGGCCCTCGATGGCTACCATACTCAGGATGAGTCCGTCAAGGCCACTGCTGCCCTGCAGTACATGCTACTCTGCAAGATCATGCTCAACCTCGTGGACGATGTCAACAACCTCATGACTTCTAAGCAGGCCCAAAAGTACGCCAGCAAGAACCTCGAGGCCATGAAGGCTATCGCCCGCGCGCACTCGAACCGATCTCTTGAGGAGTATGAGCAGGCCCTGCAATCATACCGCGAGCAGCTCGGTAGTGATGCCTTCATCCGCAACCACCTGCGACGCTTGTATGACGCCATGCTTGAGCAGAACCTCATCAAGGTTATCGAGCCCTTCTCTCGAGTTGAGATCAACCACATCGCTAAGATGGTCGGCCTCGATACGCAACAGGTTGAGCGTAAGCTCTCTCAGATGATCCTTGACAAGGTCATTATCGGCGTTTTGGACCAGGGTGCAGGATGTCTCATCATTTACGACGAGACGGAGCGCGACAGCGCATACGACCACGCGCTCGCTACAATTGAGAAGCTCAGCAGCGTGGTGGATGTCCTCTACACCAACCAAGCCTCGATGCTCGAGTAAGGCAAGGCAGGCGTCAAGGGTTATGGGGGGAAAGGAAGCGAATGAATTCAGAACTGTACTATTACCATAGACACACAATGCCGGCGGTGCATGAGACAGAAATTCATTCTGATGATGTGGTATCCTACAACTACGGGGATTTCCCGAGTTTTTCAACAAAAAAAGTGATGTTCCTCCCAACTCCCGTGAAAACCAGACCCAGTATGTACGTTTCTTTGTACAATTATTTAGCATGATACCTTCATAAGAACCTCCACCCCACCCCCATGATTCCTTGTTATTCCCACATTACTTAAACCCAAAACGCCGAAATACGCATACCGCGAATACCGTATGCCCTAAGCAAACTTGACCGAAGGGGCCCGGGGAGCGCGCCCCTCCTTACGGAGCTGATCCCCAACAATCAATGAAAACACCCTTTTGGCGAGCATCTCCTCTTCCCAACCGCCGACCTCGGCCTTGAAGGCGTCAACAACATCAAGGTGCCACTGCTCCATAACCAGGCTGGAACCATGCGAGTTGACAGCTTTCCCCAGCAACCAACCCGATTTGGGCTGAAAACCAGCCGGCCACTGGAAGTTGAACGGACCCTGCCGACGCAACTGGATGAGTTCGTCTAAGAGCAGCCAGTGGTCTCGTGACCACATGGTCTGCGACAGACGATTCTCAATAGGCTTAGGGGGGCTCGCCTCGGGAGCGTCGGTCATGGAGACGTCCATCTCCTCGTTCTCCTCCGAAACGTCATTCTCCTTATCCTCCTCGATAGTGGTGATGTTGCGCTGCTGGGTAGCGGCCGCGCTACCGTTTGAGCTGGCGGACATACGACGCTCCGCGCGAGCCTGCGCTTGAGCCAGCGGGGAGAGGACGCTGCTCGTGAACTCCACCACTCTACCCGGGGTACGCGGCTTCAGTGGAGACCGGAGGCAAGATTTGCTAGGCGACATATTCCTGTCCGGCAGAGGACGGAGGCTCTGACGCGGCGACTGGGGACTGTCTTCGGCAATAGCGGAGGCGGAGTCTTCTTGCCACTTCTTAATATCCGCACGAGTAAGCTGCATACGCACCGGGGTCAACGAGGGAACCGGAGCGGACGTCTTGCTAAAAAGGTTGTTGGTCTTCTGACCGGACCTCGGCGTGAAGTTCTTCTTCTGCGCAACGGAGGGGAAGGTGATCTCGTCCGACATGGCGGGCTGAGAGTCAGGGATCTCGGAAGGATGCCTGACATTACCTCGAGACCTGGTCGAGGAAAACAGCTCTCGGCGAGTGTCCTGAAGAGGCTTGACAGCACTTGACTTGGCCGGGGAGAAAAGGTCTGAACGACCGCTGGCGGAGGGATTGAATGCCTTCTGGGGGATGGAGGGGAACATGGAGTTCGTCTCGAGCCCAGTGGCGAACCGTTCAGACGGCCGAGCGATGTCCTCCGGCGCGACAGCATTCTGACGCTTCTTGGCTTCCAAAATATCCTGGATACCCTCCGTGCCGGGTAGAAGTGCGGGGGAAGAGAAGAACGCCGACAAGTCTTTCTTACCTGACGGCTGCTGAGAGATCTGGAAAGCTTTCTGAGGGATCTGCTTCTGACGGCTGCGCTGCTGAGAGAGCATGGAGAAATCTTCTGCCTCGCTGTCGCCCACGATCGGTTTGCGGTTATGAGATGCTGCAGGTGTAAAGATTGTCTGCTTGTTGGGTGACTCGGCGCGTCTCATCCAAGGGCTTGGGAGAGCAGCCCGTGGTGCTGAGATTGATGCAATGGATTGTTTACCGAGGGCTTGCTGGTGACTTGATTGGGACGCTGGGCGCGAAGCCTCAACCGCCCAGATATCTTCGTCGTCCTCTTCATCCTGTGTATTTTCATCCTCGACCTCAGTTTCATCGGCGGCGGGATCGACGACTTGGTTCTCAAAGCTAGGCTGTTGACTGTCCATTGACTCCCCAATAGCTTCCATGCTAGTGTCAGCGGAGCGTGACTGAGCAAAAGGCTGCTCACGAGGAGCAGGCTCCTCATGCATCCAACTCATCTCGTCAATCTCGTCGGCTGGAGCGACTCGTAGAGACCCAGAGAAGGACGCATGGGCTTCATTTTCTCTCACAGGAGAAGAACTTCGCATGCTCTTGGCCAGGGCCTCCATGAAGCTTCGTTGGCCAACATGGTTGTTCTCCGCGCCGAAAGGATCATCGTAGTGTTGACCTGATGATTGAGGAGCTTGAGCTGGAGGCTGAGCAATCTGTCGAGTTGGCGACTGGAAAAACTGAGCTCCAGCTTGGATCAGATTCGATAATGGATTAGTCCAACTGTTTCTTGACTTGGATGCCGATTGGGGCTGACTACTACTCGTAGTAGGTCTGAATGGGCTACCAAGGGAGTTTTGGCGAGGAGGAGATGAGGCATCTGACGTGACACTCTGCAGAGCTCGGCCAGCCCGAACTATTGGGGACAGGGTCGGACGAGCGCCATTCTCGGGTGACGCTGCACGAGGTGCCAAGAGGTTGGCATCAGGCGACGGAATAGGCGATGACGCTGGAGCGACTGGTGTGATGTATTCAGACGCTGCGGCGGGCAGATTGGTTGTGAGATCACCGACGGGAAGAGAAGAACTTCTTCCTCCGTTCCTGATATCACACCGTGTCTCCGGTAATTGAGATTCCTCGGCGACAGGAGAAGAGCTTCTCTCTGGTAGGTGGGATTGCTCAGCGATGGGGGAAGAGCTCCTTTCTGGTAAGTGAGACTGCTCGACAATGGGAGAAGAGCTCCTCTCAGGCAGATGAGATTGTTCGATCATGGGAGAAGAGCTCCTGTGTTGACTCTCTGCTTGGCTCATTTCTTCAGCCAGGTGTGAATGCTCCGCTAGAGGAGAAGTATGGGGTGCTTCAATGGTCTTGCCATCCGATTCAGGAGCTGGTATGTCGTTAGGAGATGGGGTGTCGTCTGGTGTCAACATCCTCCCTGAGTCTGAGCGAGTGAAAGATACGCTCGCATTGGACGGAGCAGTGCTCTTCGTCGGAGAAGGTCTCAAGAGGACTTCATCGACTGTCTCGTCTCGTTCTTCCATTACATCGTCTTCCGGCTCGGCTTCAGGCACGTCTTCCACTTCAGCGTCCTCTACCTGATGCAGGGCCCTGCCAGGGGTAGCGGCCTCTAGGTACGATTCTGGGATGTCGGAAAATTCATCTTCGTACATAACAGACACCTCCTCATTGGCCATCGAACTTCGTCTAGAGGCCTTTTTTCCAGGCGTCGCGGCGGCCAAGATTTTGGACGGTATACTTGAAAAAGAATCATCCATCTGGCGTGCCTTGGACTCAAGAAGTTTCCTGCCCAACGGGATAGACTTGCGACGAGGACTGCTTCGAGTCCAGGTGGGCGACTGGTTTGTCTTGCTAGGCGTTGCTTCATTGGCGGAGATAGAAGGTGCACGAAGACGTGGAGTCGGCAGTTCCGGGAGTTCAACAGGAGAATGGGCAACAGCGCTTATGTCCACGATGGACTCAACGTTGACTTCGCCGGTAACATCGGGGATGAGTTCAGTGTTGGCCTCAGCGTTGAGATCAACGATGGAGTCCATAAGTGCCTCAATTCTTGTCGATGGCAGATCTTCCTCAATGTGCGTAGTCTCCTTGTAGACCTCCACGGTGCGCTCAGTGGGTACGCCAACAACTTCGTCTTCCTCATCATCTAGACGCAGAGCACCACTCTGTCTCAGGGATTCCAAGGTTCTGTTGATAATCAAGCTCGTTTCCTCTCCGAAATCCTCTGGAGCGGACGTCTGTACGCTCATGTTGCCTCTCAGCGAAGGGATTGAGTTTGCAAAAATCATGCTGAAATCCTCGCCTTGAGCAACAGTGTCCTGCTCTCGATCTCGAAGCCCACCGTTGGCATCACCGTCCCCAATAAGGGACGAAATGTCACTAGCAGGTCCTGGACCAAAATCGTAATCGTTGTATTCAACTTCATCCCCAGCCTCGGAATGGAGCTGCTCAGATGGCGTCGGGCTCTTTTCCTGTAGGTAAGCGGGAGGTGGGCTATGTTGGAGAGTTGTATTTGTCCGCATTGTTGGTCGAGGTGTTGCTTCATCATCCAAAGTTTCCATCCATATATCATGGTCGGAATCAGGCATTTTCTCTATTGGTTGCTCCCGCGCTGGTGTCATGTCGTCCACAGCCATCTCTTCCATGCCTGCTGCAAGCCCGTCGTCCGAGGGCGCGACACCTTGACGCTCATCTTCCTCGATTGTATGGACGGTCTCGTCGGGATTGAAGTCGACGCGCCTTGGCCTGCCGCGTTTCCGAGTGGTCGAAGGCGCGGGATCTGCAGAGCTCTCACGCGGCTGGCGACTTGATGCGCGCGTCGTGCGGCGCAGGATAGATTTCGGCGTGCCTTGGCTAATTGTCAACTCAGAATTGATATCGTCTGAATCCCCAATCTTAGGTTTGCGGCTTTGTCTAGGCGTTTTCCTTGGTGTCGCCGCTCTCTTCCTAGTTGCGGTGCTGCTGGGCCCAGGTGTGCCATTCTTGGGTGGACGACCCCTCCGCGCCGGGGTCTTAATAGCCGTGACTCTCCTATCGCCACCTAGCGGGATAGTGGTTGTGGTCGCACCTCTTCGTAGACTGGGTGTCTGGGCGTTGAAGAGTCTGCGTCCGACGTTCTCATATTCATCTTCGGCCTCAACGGTGACTAGCAGCCGTTGTGGCGCGCGATTGTCCCCAACCTCGAGTTCAAAAGTCTGCTTTCTAGGCGAAGTACTGCTGCCCCCAATGGAAAATAATCGCTGCGACCGTTGGCTTCGTGTCATGCGACGAGATGAAGGGTAAAGCGCTGACGAAACCGTATCGTTGAGGGGATCGGGCGAAGAAAGCTGCTCGTCGCTGGCGCTTCTGGTTATTGGTGTTGCCATCTTCGCAGCGCAACAAAAATAGCACGCGCAATGGGTATAACTGTTCGGTATACTATGTGCAAAGGAAAAAAAAAAAGTGACAGCCAAAAAAAGGGACGCGCGTAGGGCTCTCTGGCCTTCCTGTTCGTTAGTGACAACGACGTTGAATTCTCTGCAGGAGATAGGCACGCTGCGCGTAGTGGTGTGTTGGCCGTGTGCGCATTTGGTCTGGTCTAATCTGCAGGAGGGACGGGGTCCTGACCAGTTGTCAGCCAAAGCTATTTTGTTTACTTTCTTCCAGATTTGGAGTAGTGTAAGGCCCCTCGGCCACTTGGCGGGGGACGACAGGGGAACAATATTTCCCCGCTCTCCCGATCTTTCACGCCAACCCCACGAGATCCCGAAGGGTCCCGTTGGCCGTGACTTCTCCGAAAATTGCCCAGCGTGCCCAGTAGTGCCCCATCACATGCGACCCGATCCCTGTGGTCGCATGAATGACATAGCTGGGGTTAAGGTTCTTAGTGGCAGCCTCTTTCTATCCCCCCCCTTCGGCATTGCTAACGTGGTTGACCTCGGCTCCAATAAAGGGACTGTCAATCACTGTTTGAGATGGCACAAGGCCAAACTCCTCTTCATAAACGTCGCATCCATCAATTTTCACATCCCGCATTTGGATAAATTACCTGCAGTACCCTTTCCCTTCGTCCCAACTAAAGCTAAGCTTCTCACGACACCATCCAATTTCCACAATCATGTCCAAGCCAGTGCTTCCTCAGAACGACAATGTCGCCCATGCTCTTGCTGGCGCTGGCGGGGGTCTGCTCTCCATGGCCTTGACGTAAGATTCCGGGGGATATTTATGGGACCCTTCCCAATGCCCTGGAACCTGCAGAAGTTCTAACATGTCGCAGCTATCCTCTCATCACCCTTTCCACTCGCGCCCAAGTCGAATCGAAGCGTGCCGACTCTGCCTTCCTGACGGCCGTCCAGAAGATTGTCGCTAGGGAGGGAGTTTCTGGCCTTTATTCTGGCCTCGAATCGGCACTGTTCGGCATCAGCGTTACGAACTTTGTATACTACTACTGGTACGAATGGACTCGTGCCTTCTTCGAGGCCGCCGCCGAGAAGGCCGGGCGTGCTAGCAAGAAGCTCACAACCGTCGAGTCAATGATTGCAGGAGCCATCGCGGGATCTGCGACTGTCATCATCACGAACCCTATCTGGGTTATCAACACCCGCATGACCACCCGTAAGCAGGGCAAGCAAGAGGGTGATGAGGAGTCGCAGACCGCGAAGCCTGCAAAGGCTCCTTCGACTATCGGCACGCTGCTGTCGTTGCTGAAGAATGAGGGTCCCCAGGCTCTCTTCTCGGGTGTTATTCCCGCCCTGGTGCTCGTCATCAACCCCATTCTGCAGTACACTCTGTTCGAGCAGATGAAGAACACCCTGGAGAAGAAGAGGAGGGTCACACCTACTATTGCCTTCTTCCTCGGCGCTCTTGGCAAGCTGTTTGCCACATCGGTTACTTACCCGTATATCACGGTCAAGAGCCAGATGCACGTTGCCGGCAACGGCGAGAAGAAGGAGGGTATGTCCCAGACCATCAGCAGGGTCATCAAGGAGGAGGGCTACGCCGGCCTCTACAAGGGTAAGCTTTTACAACTGAAAATAATGAAAATGTTCCAATGCTAAGGAATTCATCAGGCATCGGCCCCAAGGTCACCCAGAGCGTGATCACCGCCGCTTTCTTGTTCGCATTCAAGGATGTCCTCTACGAGCAGACTATCAAGCTCAGGACTATTGCTGCTAAGAAGCGCGCGTAAAGGCTCACAGACTCACACGCCGCCTCGAAACTTCGAAACTGCAACAAGTAAACTCACAGTTGAGACTAGAGGTTGTCCTTCAAACGCATATATAGATCAAGCCAGCTAGAAGCGCTATTGCAATCAATGCATGGTAGCTCAGCGTATATGTTCGTATCACGCGACTTGTATCAAATTTTTGTACGGAAATCACATGAAAATACCCAAAAACGGGTAGTGGGTTGGGAAACGGTCGGGCATGGCTGCTGGGAGTAGCATCACATGATTCCTGGCAAATTGGGAACGCTCTATAGCAGTTTAGTAGTAGGATCAAATTTATCCACTATAAATCTATGATCCGCCTCGGCATCGCTTGCTTATCTCTTTATTTATTTTATTTTTTATTTTTACCGAACCGGCATGACTTTTGGAACGATCCACCACTCGTGATACGACTTATCAGGAGTCGGCACCTCGGCCTTGAGCTTGAGGTCCCCGCCTTCGCCCGACTTCTCTAGCGCCTTTCGGATAACCGACACCGCCAGCCCCGTGGCAATGCACGACTTCAGTCCGTTCTTCATCGTCGGCACCCACCGATCATGTGATCCTACTGAGAAGGACTCTGTTTCCGGGAACTTGCTCATCACCTCGAAACCCTTTTTCGCGCCCGCAAGGGCCCTATCAGCCAGCGCGAGCAAGTCGCTCGTCGAGGCGTCCGATTGCTGCGTTCCGATGGTGAATTCCTCGAACGTCGGCAGGGAGGGCAGCCCGATGACGGCGAACGGCTTCATCCGCAGCTCGTAGCGGAGCTCGTCGGTGCTGTAGGGGCGTGGAGGCGGCTTAAGTAGACCAAAACGGTGGAGGGCGGTGTACAGACAGCAGAGCGCGTCGGCAAGTCCCTCCGTCACGGCGGCGTCGAGGAGTGTGAGGCGGATAAAGGCCAGGGATTTGGTGTACTGCGCCTCCACCGCCGGCGCGAGTCGCTGCCTGCTCGACTGGGCCTGCCTAAGGCTCCTGACGACGAACGTCTTGATGCGCTCTACATGCTGCAGGCGATTCTTGGCGAGGAAGTTGAGGTACCAGTACATGCCGGCCAGCTCGTCTGGCTGGTAGACTTCGAGTTCGAAGCCGAGCTGGACGATCCACTCCATCTGCTTGACCTTGTACAGATACGCCCACGATGACAGTGGGAGAGAGTACGTCTCGATGGGGCCCGAGGCGGACTCATAGACGACGGGCTGCTCACTGATCTGATGCTGAATGATTTGGTCAATGTCCTCGGCGTCGAATTGGAGGTTCTCCCAGTCCCGGACGATGTGGCAGAGCGTGCGGCGGACGCGGCAGCGGTTCTGGCAGAAGGTGCGGAGGATATCGAGATAGGGCTGGGCCGCACGCTGGCGGAAGGACTCCATCTGCTCGGCGATGGTGAAACGTGGGTCGTGTGTCGCTTCGATTTCATCATTGGCCCGGTCGAGGAGGAGGCTGTTGGGGAGTGAGACGATGGAAAAATCGTCGTCGAGAAGCTGGCGGATGCTCTTGTGGCCGAGGACTTCCATGTCTTTAAAGAGGAAACTCTGGAGGAGGGTGCGGACGAAAATTAGGGGCTGGGGCTTTTTGGCCTGGAAGGTTGATACGTAGGTCTGGGACCGTTCAATTAGGTTACCTGTTTGAAGAGCGAGAGGGAGGGGTGGTAGCCATACCTGAAGACAAATGGAGTCGGTGTAGTTGAGGACGCCGACAACCTCTACTCCATCGCCGATCATCCTCGTCAGATTCGCTAGAGCATCTTCAAAGCTGGTCTGGACAATGGGCCGCGGTGGCATCGTGCTTGCGAGTTTGCGCTGAATCTTGGCACTAAAGGCCTCAGAAACAGGCTTGCCGAGAGCATGGCTACTCTTGATGCCCGGCAGCATATCGTAGGCCTCCTTCCACGGGCTTCTGATGCGATCGGGGTCGGTCCGATATTGCGTGTGGTCGATCGCCGCGAGGAACGTATACCGAAGGAGTAGTCTCGCATCCAGTGCCTCGATGATCTCCTTAGAAACCGAGCCCGAGAGCTGGCGAAGAATAAAACTGGCGTCTTTTAAGACTTCTCTTACAGATTCCACGCTGAAGTCATCGAGCAGGATCCTGTTGTACGTATTCGTGACAAAGTCTTCCTCCTGTGCTACGCTTTAGCCAAGCCTACGGCAATAGTAACATCAAACTCACCTCGTAATAATGTTCGTTCTTTATCCTTTCATTGACGTTGCCGCATGTTTTAAGCAGTCCCAGGCAATATGCCCTCAGGACGGCATGCATCGGTGACGGCGGCTTCCCGTTGGCGTTCCTGATGAAGTGGGCGTCGTCGATGGTGGTCGGGTTGGGCATGAGAATCGACTCAACATACACGCTTGTAAACACAGTCTGCGATAACGGATATCCGATATGCCAGGCCATCTGGAGGGTGTTAATTGTGAGAATGTGGAGTGGAGGTAGGAACTGACTTCATGACAGATGAGCTGGTCGATTATGCCAAGGACCTCCTCAGGGAGAAGGGGGCGCGATACGTCGTAGTCAGCGTCGAGAGATTCCCCGGCTTGGAGGCAGCCGCTGTCCATTTTCGGGTCCATAATCTGACATTAAAGTCAGCGAAGTGTTGCCGGACATACCGCGATGTTCGGGTCATACTTCCAGAGCCCCGACGGACTCAAACAGTGTGAAGAAGCCATCCTTCACCAGCTCACCGGGCGACAATTCTTTGAACAGGTTAGCCACGAGGTCCTCTCGTATCTGCAGCCTCTCAATACTTCTGCTTACTCTCGGCGGCTGCAGTGAATTTTGAAGTGATATCAAAGGCGACGATGCCTTCACTTGAGATTTTGGGCGGCGGGGGCGGCGGGGGCTCACGCCCTTGCTCGAGAGAGAGCCTTGAAATGTCTAACAGACTATTTAGTGACGTCTTGTCAAATCTATATGAGTGCACACTTACCATCGGACATTCCAAAGCCGGATGGTATGGCCATCTCAGTATATGCGCCTCATATGAGGCTCCGTTGAGTGACGAGACGTTGAGTGAGGGTGGTTTTAGTGAGGTCACAGATGCTTTGTGGCCAGGCTTGGATGGGTATACCAATTAAAATGTGGCACTGTGCCAGAAGCGCGGCAGTCTCCGACAAGAGAAAAAAAATAATTTGGCGATAATGCCTGCAAATGAGCGGTTGAAACAAAAGACAACAGTCACACTCTATTACGGCGTGTATTTACAATTCTCGGTGTTGTTGTTGAGGTACAGGCGACGGGAACATGGAGCGATCACAACCGAGTTTGTCCGGCGGCGGGCAAATTTGGGTCTGTGGAGGAGCACGCCCAACATTCTGGCGGATGTCGAGCCTTCCGTCGCTCTGGCCCGACATCGCAACTTTCAATCGCCAATTCCACCGGCAAAACACATGAACAAACCAGTAGAGAAAAATTGCAGGATGGGCATCGGATTGATAGATTTTATGCCACTTTTTTGATATGATACAGCAGCTCACTGCCTAGGAGCCGGCGGGTACCCGGAGGGCGTTTTTGCATTTCACCTCCTCCATCTCCCCCATCTATCCCTTTAGATGTCACTTTCGGTCCATCTCTCTCCTATGCCATCTATTCCTCTTCGGCGATGAGAAAAGTCGGTTTACGAGGAGGCGGTGCGGGTGGCCTGGGCCAGGGGCTTGACGTCGCCCTGCTTGCCGTTCTGCGGTTGCGGGTATTTCAGTCAGCGCGCGTTCGTCATTTATCGGCTCCTTTTGAGGGTTTGTTGCTCACCTCCCACTTGGCGAAACGCAAGTCCATCTCGCCGCGGCGCTCAGCGACGATTCTCTTGTCCTCCTTCAGGCTGCGGCGCACGACGCGGGAAGCGACGGCGAGGTAGCGGTTGTAGCTGTTGATCGGGGGTTGCCGGGTTAGCTTTTCCGTCCGTCCTTCTCTGCCTCTTCCCCGGTATCGTTCGACAACGTTGAGGGGGTGCAATTGCTGGGGACGGAATCAATTGACTCACGTGAGACCGGCGGCTTTCCAGGCGAAGACCATTTTGGCGGTTTTGTTTGATGGTTGATGAACGGGTTTGGGGTGGGACGTAGCTCGGCGGTTGTGATGCCAATTGAAGGTTTCTAGATTCCGAAGCGCAAGCTCCGAGTTCGATGCCACTTGCTGCCTGAGGCATTAATAATGCAACCAGACTGTGCTTGCTCCACCCAGACATCTCGCAGCAACTCGGCCCGGACCACTCATTCTTAGCATTACCACTGGCTAGATATGGGATGACAGAGCCTCTATAGCGGCCGCCTCTGTGGCTTTGTAACATGTCAGGATCGTTGTCGCTCGGGTTTTCGTCACGTTTCTTGCTTTTCGTTTTTCATTTGATCATTGTTTACCAGCCCGGTGTGCCGTCTTTCGACGTGCAGGTTACTGAATAGGAGCGTGCCGTGGCAATGTAGCGCCAATCACATCCCTGAATGAACAATCAATGATCTCCTTAATTCAAACTGTTCTCAACCTGCACACGATGTCTGGTATCTTAATGACGCATTGAAATTTGTGATATTTTATCCTCTGGCTACACATTACTATCTGTTCAAATAAGAACAGCCTAGCAGGGCTGGTTAGTCTCCCGCCGATGCCTGATGTAGGTAATCATGTAATCATGCTACAATGCGGAAAACCGGCTGTCATATGCAGCCATGTCGTAGGCTATCACTGGATATGGAGGGTGCAGGACGCGAAGGCGCCCACGCGGCGTTTTTGAGAATACGCCAGCCATAGCGAAGCCAGTTAGGCAGCGGGATTCAGCCCAGGACCAACGACATACTTAAGTCTTTGTTTACACAGTCCTTCACTTGCTTCAGGTCTTGCTTGCATGTCAGATATCATTCGAAATAGAGAACCATTCACATAAGACCTACCACTCTCGACATTTGTCATTTTGACAACACGACATCAACAACATCAGGATACATAGCAGTTGAAAATGTACAGCCCTAAAATAGCTATTATTGGAGCAGGACCTGCTGGTGAGCCCATGACTTTATATCCATCATTCCTATGATTAATGACTACGCTCTCGACAGTGCCTGAGAACTGTCTAATTCGTCGCTAGGTTGCCTATTGGCACGCCTGTTGCACCTGTCCCAGATCGAAACAATAGTCTTTGAGGGTGAATCCTCGCCAAACTTTCGGTCCCAGGGCGGTACTCTAGACCTTCACACCGACACCGGACTACTCGCGCTTAAAGAGGCTGGTCTCTTTGATGATTTCAAGAAGCAAGCGAGATATGACGGCCAGTACATGGCTATCGTCGACAAAAACCATAAATACTGGTTTGTCAATACCGCTTTCGGTTTGGGGAACAAAATCCAAGAACGTCCAGAAATCGACCGATCCAAGCTACGTGAGCTGCTTGTGAACTCACTGCCAAAAGACATGGTCAAATGGGGGCATCGCCTCAAGTCAGTCAATGAGGACGGCACTCTCATCTTCGAGCATACTACAGCATCAGGTTTCGATCTAGTGGTAGGTGCAGACGGGGCATGGAGCAAGGTCCGCAACCTGCTAGCACCTGACGTCAAGCCATTATGGACCAACATTGGACTATACTCTTTGAGTATCCCGAACGCAGCGGAAACTGCTCCGGAGCTTTACAAACGGGTCAACAGGGGCAATATATTTGCCAACAGCGACGGAAAGCGAATTACGATCCAGCAGATGGGCGATGGAAGTCTGAGTGTATATGCCTCTGTAACATCAGAAAACGAAAACTGGTCAAATCCGGAAGTGTGTGGGTATGATTCGAATAACCTCGAGGCGGTCAAAAAGGCTCTTTTGGAGCAGTACGACGACTGGAACACGGATTTGACAGACTCCATCGCCAAGGCGGAAGGTGAATGTACGCCGAGGTCGTTATACGTGTTGCCGGTCGGCTTCAAGTGGACACACAGGCGCGGTGTAACGGCTATCGGAGATGCGGCTCATCTCATGACGCCGTATGCTGGTGAAGGTGTCAATGTTGCTTTGGAGGACGCGATGGTGTTGGCAAAGACTATCATCACCAGTGCAACGATTGAGAGCGGCAATCCAGAAATGCTGGATCGAATGGTTGAGGCGTTTGAAAAGGAAATGTTTCCTCGGGCGGAAAAGGTGCAGCGGCTGACGGCTGAGCTCATGCACGACTATATGTTCACCCCAGGCTCACCGCAAACCACGATCGCAACATCCATAGCAAGGCACGCTAGGTTCGCAACGCCGTGGGTTATTCATCCCCTGGTGACGGGCTCGGTGCACTCTGTCTTCTTCATGCGCAGACTGCTGGCACGATAGGGCGATATGCGTGGCTGAGCTGTCCAAACGGTTGAGCGAAGCACGATAGGTTTGGAGTCGGGATAAGGTCCCTGCCGAGGTGTCCTCAGGTTAATGCTTTATTCCGTAATAGTTACCCATGTCGTTGGGAGCCGCCAGGATATTGGCCGATCACAATCCCTTTGTGTGGCGTCGTGTGCAGGCTTGACTGCAACGTTGTCAATTTTTTACCCAGTGCCAAACAACTCCTAGCATTCTTCTTAGTGGTTCGTTGTGCAGATCATGGAAAATAAATCAGCAAGAGCCATAGACCTCTCGGGCTAGCGTCCAGTTGGTGATGTAATAATACGTCCGAGTCATGGTAAACCCGGCCGTGAGGAAAGGTTGAAACGCCTGGCTCATCTTCCTCCGACAGTAGTTTGCAGGGTTTAGATCTCCGCCTTGTGCTCTCTCCCAGCCTGACAGTAGGAGGTCGGATGCACTGACCGTATCCTCGATGGGCAGTTTGTCCAATGAGGGAATGATTCCACTGCACCTTGCGCTTGCATAGCAAACGCCCGGACTATAGTGAACGTGTGGAAGCTTGGAGTTGGCGGGAGTCAGTTGACCGCATACATCTCGACACGCCGAGTAGAGATGATGGCCTTATATGGGGATTGGCTTGGATGGGGGGGGGCGACAGGCTGCACCCCGCTCTGCGCATATCACAGACTATCGTTGTTTTGAAACATTCCAGACCTGTTTCATCCCAGACATTTTTTTTGTTATATGGTATTTGTCGTCCGGCTGAAGGGGGGGTCGACATGGTGACGAGTTGGATGGTCGAAAGCAACTGCAATGGCACATGAACTCGGATTTGGGTGGCTGGTAGTGGGCACGTGCGCCTTCGGCTTACAGGGGTGTCAAGCCACTTTAGAAGCCCTTCGGGCCTCAGCGCTCTCCACTGCTAGGATAAGGTGACGGGCAGCGGACAGTGGGCGGACTGGGGAGCGAGCGGATTGGGTGCTGGAACGAAAAGTGACGAGGGACCATGCCTTGTATTCCAGGGCAGAGGGATTGTGTATTCAGTGTGCGTTTTCTCCAGCAGACACGCGGGCTTGGGCTTCGCTGCAACTGGGTCTTTAGGCCGAAAAAGCAGTGGACGGTCGCGGCTAGACTCTCCGCTTTCCGAACACGGTTCATCATTGCATATACGTCCTGCGACCTGTACCTCGTACCTACATACCTTCACCTCGTAATTGCTTTGCGCTCCTCCTCCGCAACTTTGCAGTCATCATATCGACTTTTCCTCAGCGACACCTGCAGCTCGCGCTTTCAATACCCGCCCGAACCACGCCGTCGACGTGTATTACTTGCCCTGCCACGGCCTTTTTATTTTTTGCACGCCACACTCGTGTCTTTCGCTGCACCGAACCGGACGATCCCCTACAGCCGCCCGCCGATATCTTTTCGTCCACGGACTCGCCATCAGACGAGAATAGCTCAACCTCCTTAAACCTGCATAATCATCTCGGCAGCTCAACATATTTCGCCCTCGTCGTCCTTTTCGGTAGGGATGTTGACGACCCTTAGCTCGAATAGCTACTACCGACCCCCCACATACGAACTGCTTCACTGAGATCTCGGTTTTGGTTACCTTGTTCCGGAAAACCTATCTGGGGTATAAGGAAAAAGAGGAGGACATTCTAATCGCAAAAGCCATATATAATCAACCTGCGGCATGATGCAAGCACCGCCAGGCCCTTCGCAACGCATGCAGCGACGCTCTCCAGGTGCTGAACCTGGGCCCCCACCGAATGTGCCCGTACGCTCGATATCCCCCGGTAATGGCGTGCAGTCGCGGTCCTCCAATGCCTCGAATAGATCCGCTCCTCCAAATGGGATGCGGAGGTCGAATGTGAGTCTTGAATGCTTTTTTCCCAGACATTTCGAGCTCACTCTTGGGCTCTCACTCAATGTCCGACCCTGTGTTCAGAAGCAACCCCACCAAGCCCTAGCTCCCTCGAAGACCTATCCAGCAACTGACGAAAGTATGCACAGAACTCTACAAGCTCTGCTATGCCTCTATCTCAAATAGAAAAGAGCGTCACCCACCTGTTAGTCGCAACGAAACAACTTCTTGAGACTCTTACACAATGGTCGCGTGGCCAGGCCACCGATGGCCAGGTTTCCGACGTCTATGTGAGACTGGGATACGAGTTCAACATGGCGTGTCGGGCATTCACAGCAATCAACGTGGATACGTCCGACCTGGGTAACGTCCCCGAGTTGCTACGAAGTATCCTAGAAGCCACATTGAGCCAGGAAGCGAGCACCGAGAGCTTGGAGAAATATCTCCCTCGCATTCGAGATATAATAATCAACCTGCTTCACGGCCTTAAACGAAAGCAGCAGAAGCTGCGCCAGAAGGGACCGAGGGAAAGAGAAAGCGGCGGCTCAGCAGGTGTTCCCGAGCGGACGACGAGTACCAGTACAGTCAATAGCACGAATACTGGCCTAACGAATCTGCTTGAAGAGGGTATACAGAATGGCTACCGGCCAGATGCGCAGAGAGAATCGTCTCAATCGGCCGGCGCCCCTGCTACATCTCCGAACCGCCGCTATATCCCTCAAAGGGACCAGTCGCGGGGTTCCGTCAACTCGGAGCAGTCTTCCCTGTCTAGCAACACTTTGCAGAATATCCCCGTCATGCCGCCCTACCCCGGCGACGACTCCTCGATGCCATCTGCGCCTTCCGGAGAGATCAATGTTGACTCTTTCCCACCGCCGCCGCCGCCGCCGAAGCAGCAATCAAGTGCATTCGCTGCTTTGCAAAAGGGAGGTGACTTGGAGAGAAGAGCCTCTCGCCGATACTCCCAATATCAAATTTCCAAGCATCTCGGAGGTTCTGCGAATGGTGTGCCCTTGTTACCCTCACAGAACTCTCCGATACCCAACCGAGGCCGGGGAGAGGTGCGAGAGTCTCTTCGGGCTGTACAAACACGAGAGACTCTCCGTCAAAACCGCGCTTCAAAGCAACCTCAGTTCGAATCTTCACCATCTCAAACTCCTCGCCGTTCCAGTGACGAATCTCCGGCGGCAGAGTTACCTGCCGGCAGACCCGAGAGCCCTATTATTCAAACTCCTGAAGACAAATACCCCAAACCGAGCGCGACCCTGAAGGGCCCTTTGAGCGATGACCTCCCTATTATGTCTCATGACGACGACCCAGCGCAAAGACCTATACCACCAAGCAAGGACGAGCCAACGACCCCGCAAGTCAAGACGCCGGAGAAAAAGCGTGACACTACATTCCTCCATGAACAATCCCCGCCCTTGACAAAGGACTTGACGCTGTTTCTGCAATATAAGTCGAAAGTCAAGAAATTTGTACTCCCTGAGGGCTACAGCGAGCTTTCTATCGGGCGACTGCAGCTGGCGTTCATTGAAAAGTTCTCCTGGAACACACAGGCAAACGGTGCTGATCTGCCTGAAATCTACATCCAAGACCCCGTTTCGGGAGTGAGGCACGAGCTTGAAGACCTGTCAGATATCAAAGACAGAACGGTTCTGGTTCTTAACATCGAGCCTCTGGATGAGGTCAAGCGCCATATTGATGATGGTCTCGGTCAACTAAAGAAGATTGTGCAGGACGTGAAGCAGAACATGGATGACCAGGGTTTGGCGATTCAGCGGGTTTCGGAACGTCAACAAGAAGCGGCAACGGAGATGGCAAGACTAGCTGCGATGCCACCTGTGGCCTCGGCGCCAGCTGATGGGTCCAAGGCAGTAGTAGCTGCTGGCGGCCGCAAACTTGGCGCAGGTCATATGGCGGAGATCCAAAGTCTCCGCCGCGATTTGGCGGTTATGCGACAGGCCTATGCCAACTTCCAGTCAGAGATCCAGGGTTCCATGTCTGCCATTCGTAACAAGGCGAGCAACGTCAAGGCTGCGGTGGTCAAGGCCTCAGTCCCTAGTATTGAAGGTGATACCGGCCACGCCTACGTCACCAAGGGCCGCGAACAGCTCAACACGGATTCCGATAGGCTCGTCGCCCGCGTCGATGACTTGCAGGATTTGGTGGAAGACCTCCGGAAGGATGTTGTCCACCGTGGTGTGCGGCCACTGCCTAGGCAACTTGAGGCCGTCGCCAAGGACATCACGATGCTCGCGAAGGAGCTCAAGAAGGTGGAGGAGTACATGAAGGAGGAGAAGCCCATCTGGACCAAGATTTGGGAGAAGGAGCTCGAGGATGTGTGCAAGGGCCGTGATGAGCTACGCCTTATGGAGGATCTCATGGTCGATCTGCAAGACGATTTGGAAAAGGCCTCGGAAACGTTTGCGCTTGTTGAGCAGGCCACCAAGGAACAGATGAAGGACAACGGTACTAGTGCAAGCGCTGGCACCGCTCGTAACTTTTCCAAGGGACTAAACAGCCTGGGAAATAGTCTTGATCAGAACGCGGCGAAGGATGGTGTTCTTGGGGAGGTGAGGGCGCTGCAGCCCAACCACGAGAACCGGCTGGAGGCTATTGAAAGGGCGGAGAAGCTAAGGCAAAAGGAACTTGAGGGTCGACAAGGCAATGAACTGCAGAGAGAACTAGCAAACTTTGTCGAGGAAGGCAAGCTGAAGAAGTCTGGCGGTTTCGAGGAGGTTGAAAGAGCAAGGAAAGCCAAGGACGACAGGATCAGGAAGGAGGTCTGGGAACGACAGAATGGCGTTGTCGCTGGCGAAGGCGAGGAGGACGAAGAGGGTGTCGAGTATGAGTACGAGGAGGTGGAAGAGGAGGAAGAGGAAGAAGAGTCAGGGGCCGGCGCCGCAGCGCCTGAGGCAGAAAAGCCGCCAGCACCGCCAGCGGCTTAAGGATTCATAGGTCTACGTGTTATGCCCGTATGGAGGATATGTCAAACCCCCTTTATCTTTCCTTTCTTTACTTCATATCACGCGCCCTTGCCTCACATGGCGGAGTTTTGGGTCCGATTTATCTATTTTTTTTTTTTTGTAAGCATTGCAGGATTGGGTCATCAGCCTGGGTGGCTGTATACCTTTTGCGCTTGTCATTTTGGCTTCCAGCGAAGGCGAATGATGGACCTGTAGTATTGCATTGCAGCTCTAGTATTTTGAAATGCCTGATATACTCGACTGCATCACAGACGGTGCGTGGGTGAGCTCCGAGGTTGAGACATGCATATGGTTTCGAGTCCTATCAAAGTGCACTATGAGATTTGTTTCGTAACTTATCCAAGACAAGTTTTATAAATGATTGAACAAAGCAAATTATAGCGTTTATACGTGTCTGAACATCAAATTCTTATAAATACAAAAAAAACAGGAACATGCTTTAGTTTGCAATTTCGTATCCCAACTCTTTCCTCTACAACGCTCTAGCCCTCGCGTATATCTCGTCCTCGAACGCCTTGATATAGTCCTTTGTCACCACCTCACCCGAAGGCGACATCTGTGTGCCGAAGACACCGCAAATTCCAGTCTCGCGATCAATCCACTATAGCTTTAGTTAGCTTCTCGACTTTCTATGCTGTAAAAGGCCATGGAGGTAAGAGATAAAACGTACCCAGAAAATGTTGGCCGCTCCGCTCCAGATCAAGGTTCCGTTCTTGCGGTACTCGTGGCTGTCTCCGTCAACAAGCAGCCCGCCGAAGCTCCAATCGTACTCCTGGGTGTCGGGGAGGTCGCCAATGGCCCACGATGGGTCCTTCATCTTTTGCAGCAGAGCCTTCTTTGGAAGACTGTCCAACTGCGGCTTGAACATCTCTGCCGTGGTCTCGGGGCGGAGCAGCTTTCCGTCGTCGACGAGAAGAGAGTAGAGAATCTCAATGTACTCATCCATTCTGCCGTGCAGACCTTGACCTCCAAGAGGAGACTTCGCGTCCCTGTTGAGGTGCTGTCCAGTGAAGGGAATGACCTTCCCGGTCACAGGGTCCCTGGCGCTGAGGGGCCAGAGTGTCTTGTCCAACTTGGTCGTGTCGAAGGTGAAAGATGTAAGGGATAGAGGTTCAAAAATGTTTTGACGCATGTACGCCTCCAGATCCTGACCCGTCAGGACTTCGACGACACGCCCTGCCCAGTCGATGGCATTGCTGTATGCCCAGGCCGTCCCCGGCTCGTAGATCATGGGGTACGAGAACCGCTCCTCGACGTTGGAACCACTGACTGGTGTTTTGCCGTTCAAGGCCTGCCAGCGCTGGATCGGGTCCAGAGAGAGAAAGTCATAGGCCGTTCCCGCAGAATGGGTTAGGAGCTGGCGGAGACTGATGGGTGATTTCCGGGGTGAAATAATGGGTTCATTGGAATCAGTGAAGCCAGTGATAACCGACTGGGAGGCCAAGGCGGGGATGTATTGGGAGACGTCTTCTTCGAGAGTCACGAGCCCGCGTTCGACGAGTTGGAGGGCGGCAACTGTAGTAATGATTTTGGTGGCGGAGGCGAGCCAGAGTGTTGATGAGGGCTCCAGTTGCGGGAGATGTGGTACATCTTCCGAGCCGATGACTTTGGAGTAGTTAAGGCGGCCTAGATGTTATGTTAGGGGCGGATTCGTGTAAGTGGAATAGTAGGCTTACCTGTCTTGTCTTTTGCGTATAAGACGACGCCTGGAAGAATGCCGTCACGAACGGCGGTTGAGATTGTCTCTTCGAATGAAGGCATGGCTAGTTATCGGAGGGTTTTAAAGTTAATATGTCAAATAATGGCAATTTGCGACTGAGGAAGTCGTGAGAAACAGATTCGGCGAGCTTGTCGAGCTGGGTTATACTGTTTGGTTTGATGATGAGCTGGTTGGTCTAAGACTACATTTGACCCCACAAAGGTTTTCTTTCCGTGACTTTATACAAATTCTTCCTCCTGCTCCTATTGACACCATGGCTGCCGACAAACGTGCCCCAGATGTCGTTTGCAAGGATTTGTTCACCTCGGAGGGATGTCGATGTTACTCCTGACAAATTAAGCTTTGGTTGGAGGATCACTGCGTCGAGAGCCCGCCACTAAGTTTAGTGCGGAATTCCCGCCCATGTTCCAGGTACCTCCCTGTCATTTTGCTGACATCAGCCGGCGAACTTCAGCCCGACCACGAGTTTTTAGCCGCAAAATCTCAATCTAGTGGGTGGGTTCCACGGAGTTGGGTCAATTGGTAAGGGTCCACGGATACGGGCTAATTGGTAAGGATCCATTGACGGTGGCGCTGTGGTAGCCATTGAAGGATTCACGATTTATCACCTGCATACATCCAATTGCGCAAGACATAGGAGTCACGCCAGCGCACAATCAACTCGCCCCGTTATCCTTGTTTATCGTGGCCAAAAATCATTGTATCATGAGAGCCATGCTTCAACATCATCAATGACAATCTGATTCAACGCTTTCACGGCTACAGAAGTAGAACAATGCTATGTATTTAACCTATGCGATATGTTTCACACCACTCAAGGCTTATTGTCTTTTCGATGGTCCGCCTCGCATTTTAATCACGGAAAGGAGAAGCTAGATTTCCAACGATAGCCACAAGATGGATCAGCAGACCCAACACCAGACTAGGCCTCGCAAGATCACCCGGCAACGAACTCAAGGCCGCGTTGCCGATGCTGGCGACAACTCCTGATGCGCCCCACGCTGTGAGAATTTGGCCATACTCAAGAGGGAACAGTTCCGGGCGAGCCAGTTCCGCCTTAACCAGGCCTGGGAGGATGCTGAAGCCGACGCCGTGGCCGAACAGGATAGTCGCAAGTGTGCCTATCGCCAAACCCTGGTTAGGCCATTGTGAAAAGGCAACTAGCAAGAGTCCCCGGGCGCAGAACAGGACGTTAAAGGCGCGGGGGATCCCAAGAAATGAGCTGAGAGGGCTTGCAAGGAGCCCGCCGGCAGCAAGCGCGAGCATGATCAGCGGCAAACCGTTCGGAGAAGAGGTGTTGACCGCCGTCGGATCATAGTATGAAGCCCCTGGCAAGAGCGCAGAGAATGCCACCATTCCGGGCAGAGCGTTGAAGAAGAGCAGAGCCCAGAGCATACCCCTCCTCGAGCCTCGGGAAACTTTTTGATCATGGCCAGTAGATGGTCCTGGCTCGGATTTAGAGGCATCGCTGGGCAGCAGAATGATGGTCGCGACACCGACACTGATGAACGCAACTCCTGCCAACTTCAAGAAACTACCAATTTCGTCTGAACTCCGTGTGCTTGACTGGTAATAGGCGGATATTGTGAAGCTTGCGGCTGCTCCCGAAGAAAATCCTAGTGGCCCTATGGCGCTCCTTGCTAGTGGACTGTTGGGGAACGCTTGGCTGACCATGAGAATAATGGCAAGGTATGTCCAACCGACGCCGATTCCACCAAAGACGAGTGAGGCGAGAACGGCTGGAAAGTTCAGAGAAGCCAAAAAATGACCCGTCGAGAGCACGGCAAGGCCCCAGAGTGCCGTACCTCGAGCAGCAGTCGAACGGCCACCGCTCTCGGCTATCAAGGTGGAGGCCGTCACAACTCCCACTGTAAGACCAGCGCTGGCGGCTCCGAAGGGAGCAAAGGACCAATTGTGTGAAGTGTTCATCAGTCTCGGAAGATCAGACTGGAGGATACTAAGAGCGTAGGCGGTTCCAACGGCGAACATATTGACGTAGCTTGCCAAAGCAACACCTAATGGTGCAGCTGTTGGTGCTGGTGTGCGTGTAGAAGTACTTGGCTGTGTCATTTTTTGGCTTTGTGTCTCAAAGAGCTGTCTAGAAGGAGCATTAATCTATAGGTATCAGCTGAAGAAATATTGTTGTCGAGAGCCAGAGAGTCAAAGTCCCAAGTCTAAAGTCTAATAAGAGAGGAGACTCATTCTTTCTAATCTCTTGGTGAGTGTTAATGAGTCTTTAAAGAACATTGAGCGCTCCGGCCTATCAGGTTGGGTCAAGGAGTAGTTTGACTAATAGACAAAACTTTAGCGGAACACCATCCGCCTTTCCGCCAGTAAACACGACAATCGTTAAATTCTGACGAAATAGCACGCATCCGCCATTCTCGTCCATTGCCATTACCCGCCGGCGGAGTATATCCGCACTTGCCGCCTGAAGCATCAGTTTCAGCACATAAAGCGCCACTTCCACTTCGTGTCCCTCGTGACCCATCTATTCCCAATGACACGACTAGAAAGACGAAGACTCTCACAATAACAACCCAAGAGGAGGGCGCAGTTCTTATCAAATGTCGTGATGTCAATGATGACTTCTTCCTCATTCCCCCCCTCTCGCGTCGACAATTTGGCCAAAGTCATGAACGCTATCAGCATCCATTCAAGAGAAGAAGTAGGTGTCACTCATACTGTGCGTCCCCTAGTTGCAGATTTCACTCTTTACCTTTACCCATCATCTACACAAACATACTAGAACACAGCAATGTTCAACGCTTGTCACCTGTCGTCAAGATTCACAATGGTATAAACGCCTTTGCTATGTGAACATAATCCCATTCAAGGTACCCTAACGCTGGTGCATTCGGCACGGTAAAAAAAAAGAAAAAGAAAAAGAAAACACTATATATGAATACAAACCCCCCTCTGGCGCTGCATCTGCCCACCTCCGGAACGTTCTCATGTACCCAAGCCAGTTTAATCCGCCCGATCCTTTGAAATAATTCGTACTTTGATACAGTTTTTAAGGACAATCGTCATGGAATCCATGGATCCAGGACAGTCTGTTTATAAAAGCTCCGAGCCCGGTAGCGTCCAGTGCTATTCGCCCCCATCCAATGGCCATGTCGCCCGGGAAAACTTCTTTCAGTGGCTTTTTCCGGGCGGGCCTATCTTTCATTTATGTTCGCATTGCCTCTAGTGTGGGGCCTCCCATATGTACTGAACAAATAGCAAACCGATATTACTCCTTTCCTAGCGACCGTACCGATCAGGTTGCCTTTCGTAGCCATCATGTGGACGCAGCTGGCGCTGAAGCATTGCCTGCTGCTGCAACTCCCGAGGATCTCTTGGATCTCTGGGGTCACGACCCATCTCGCGCATTTGCATCTCTCTAGGATCAGGAGCGTAGGGTCCAGGAGGTGGACCGCGAGCATCGTAACCAACAGGCGTGTAGCTGCGTGGTGGCATTTGATCCCGTGGATCTCTTGGTGCCGGTGTTGAAGCGTACCTCGGCGGGTACGCCTGCTGCGCCTGAGGTGGCATCGGCTCAGGTGCCCGGGAGACAGGAGGTGGGTAACGGCCCTGCATCGCGTGCTGATGCTGAGGCGGGGGCTGGCCGTACATAGAAGCGCCTCTGTCGTCTCGCATTGACATATGATGATGCTGTGGTGGGGGTGGCGGTGGTGGTTGTTGTTGCTGCTGCTGAGGTGGAGCAGAGGCCCATGATTGTTGCGGCATGCCGGCCGCTGGGGGTATCTTCTGGGCAGCTGTGCGTGGAGAAGCCCAGGTCGATTGAGGAGGCGGCGCCTGTTGAGCTTGCTTTGGTGGAGGTGCGTGTGACGGCGGCCAAGCGGACTGGGGCTGCTGAGGCTGCTGCGGCTGTCCCATTGCATGGCCCTGAGGCCCGGTGGGCCAGGCATTGTCCCGGCCTTGCGGGGGTGGCGGCTCCCTTCTGGACGCCGACTGATGAACTGCATATTGCGGAGGTGGTGAGCCGGCGTGAGCCGCAGGAGCTCCGTATGCAGGATATCCCGTCTGGGGTTGGTAAGGGTCTCTCGGAGGTTGTGACTGTGGCGGGTAAGGCTGTGCAATCTGGGGCGAGTTCGTTGCAGGCGGTGGTTGATGCTGGTATTGGTGGCGGTAGTAGTCACGCTCCACTGCGTTTGCCGCATCGTGGGGAGAAGCCATTGCTGATCTCGGCGCACTCATATGCTGTGCCTGTGGCGAAGCGGTGTATGTAGGCTTCAAAGGAGGCATAGCGGATGCAGATGGGGGAGCATTCCGGCCAAAATATCCCTGAGGGGGCTCTCTCTCCGGTCGCAGCGGCGTTGGTGCGGGCGGCGGCGCGGGTCCTCTTGACATGCTCTGAGGTGGAGGCGTAGGTGACGGCTTAACTTGGGCCACATCGTTGACACGCTTAGGTTGAGGAGTGGACACAGGAGCGGCAGCGGCAGCTGGTGGATCATCGTTCAGCAGCGCCATCAAGTTGGATGTCTTGCGCTCCGACGGTGCCGGGCGGGCGGGAGGAGGCGCCGCAGCTGCTGGCGGTTGCGGTTGTTGAGGGGGAGTGCCATACGAATCCATGTGAGTAGGCATAGGCCTCTGGGCGCTGGCAATCGGCCGCTGGCCAGGTGGTGTCGAGACAGTCTGTTGAGGGTCTCCAAGCAAGCCACGGCTGGCTGGCTGCGGCATTGGCTGGCCGTATGCTTGAGGGACTGGGGTGGGTGCACCACGAGGCGGTTCTGCGGGCTGCCTTGGTGCAACCGGAGGAGGTTCTGATCGAGGTGGTGGTACACTTCGAACCGGTTGTTGACCAAAAGAGAAAGGCTCATAATGGTGGTGAGGTGTTGTCATCTCTGGCTCCTGCTTCATCCGTGTACGTTCCGTTGGCCGCAGATGCTCCTTGGATTGCTGTGCCTCCATCTTCTGTCTTTCCATCTGTTGCCTCTCCATTTGTTGTCGCTCAGCCTGTTGCCGCTCGATCTGCTGACGTTCAATCTGCTGCCTCTCCATCTGTTGCCGCTCGATCTGTTGTCTTTCCAGTGCCTGCCGCTCAAGTTGCTGTCGCTCCATCTGTTGACGTTCCATCTGCTGTCTCTCAATTTGCTGCCTCTCAAGTTGCTGCCGCTCTATATGCTGCTGCTGTTCTATCCTTTGACGCTCCATCTGCTGCCTCTCTATCTGTTGTCTTTCGATGGCCTGTCTCTCCAAATGCTGTTGTCTTTCAGCCTGTTGTCGGTCAATCTGGGCTTCAGGTTGCGCAGGCTGGATGGGCTGGGCGGCAGCGAGAGGACGCGGCTGGACAGGCTCGGTAACTGGGGTTGCAGCTGGTTTTTGAGAAATTCTGACTGGTTGAGGCGGTTGGGTTGATTCGCGTTCTCTCTCTTGGAAGCCAAAGCCTTGCGGTTGAGGAGCTCTGACAGGGCGGGTGCTGGGCGACCCAGATTGCGTAACAACTGGCTGGGTAGCAGGATGTGGCTGCTGAACAACTACCGGCACCTGCGGGGCTTGAGAGGGTGCCAACGGGGTGCCTTGGGTAGATGCGGGTGCCTGCACCGAGGGTTGGTGCTGCTGCTGCTGCTGCTGCTGCGGTTGTTGCGCCGGAGGCGTCGCAGTAACAGGAACAGGGAAGCGTCCGAAAGGTGGGTTGGCGGGCGACTGAGCAGCTGACTCGGCTTTGGGCGTAACGGCTTCGCTGGGCGGATCAGCCGGGACGGCTGCCGGGGGCGCTGCAGATGCAGCTGGTGTTACCGACGCTACAGGAACAACAGGCGGGACTGGTACAGCAGGCGCGGACGCAATAGCACGATGAGACCCCCCAGGGGTGGCATCGTACTTCTTGCGCCCTCCAACAGTCGGTGGCGGAGGGTCGGGCAACTTTTCTCCCCTGGCTCGCTTCGCATCCGCATCATTGGCAAATTGTTCCCAGTCGCTCTTGCCCTGGTCTCTCTGTCGAACAAAGTAGTTCTTGACCATGACAGCTGTCTTCGAACCCATGTGTGCGGCAATGGCTGGCCAGTCTGTTCCGAAAGACTTGAGCAGACCTGGGAAATCATTTGCTTCAGACACACTCCAATAGCTTGATGCTGTGCTGGGAGGGCGGCGCTCGGGTTGCGGTTGGGCGATGTCGAACGTGGCGATAGTCGGTTGAGCAGGCGGCGGTGGTGGTTCCGGCCGCAGTGACGGAGGCGCCATCACTTCGGATATCGCTGACGGGGTTACGGAAACAGGTCGCTCTTGAACGGTCAGCGGGGGCTGCTGGGCCGCCGCAAAAGGAGGCTGTATGCCAGCTGCGGGGGCCTCGAATTGCGCTGGCAGTCGATTTTCTGGTGGTGCAGGTGTTGACGATTGGGCTTCAGTATTCTGAACCCTCGAATTGGACCGGGACCGACCCTTGCCCGAGGTTGGCGTCGGCGCAGCTGCAAGAGTCTGTTGAGGTTTGGCGGCCTTGGGCTCCTTATCCTTCGCTGCTCTCCTTCCCCTTTTCCTGCCGTCAGGCTTGTCGGGGTCTGCCTTAGCACCACGGCGGCCAGGCGTGCCGATGGGAGTAACGTTCTCGGAATCCGTAGGTGGCTGCTCGAAACCCCAAGTCGGAGCGGCAGCGCGGCGGGGTCTTCTCCTCTCTCCGTTCTCGCCGTTCTCCTGGTTCTCCTCGCCTTCATTTTCGGCGTTGCCGAGCTCAGAAACGAGGGCACTGGAACGAGTTTTACCCCTGCCCTTCTTACGACGCTTAGGTTGCTTCTTCAGTTTGTCTTTCAGATTAAGTTCCTTCTTCATCAAGTAGTAGTACTGAATGCAGGTGCCAAAGTTGCGCTTTGGCACGTTTTCAGCAACCACACCCCATTGCTTAGGGTTGGTGAGATATCTCTTCTCAAAAAGCTCTGCTTCCTCCGGCGTAAAGTTGTTAATGGGTGGTAGAATCTGCCAGGCTGGCACGAGCTTCTCGACAGGCGTGAATCCTGTAGTGTCTTTGAAAAATTCGGCATCTCTGTCCTCTTGAGTCCAGTACATTTCGGGTATGACTGCCTCCTTTTCGCTGCGATACTTCTCTTGCATGGCACGCTGCTCTCTCTCCTTGCGTTCCTCGTCCTCCCTCATGGAGGCTTGCAAAACCCTTTCCAGATCTCGCTCGCTCGCATACCTTCTGCCCGCACCTCTACCTTCTGGCTTGAGTTCCGGCGGCGGAGGAATAGGAATATGTTTTTCTGGCATTGGCAAACAGCTAATGAAAGTTTCTCGGCTCTTGATGGCGATTGGATCGTTGGATACAGTGAAGTCAAGGTACTTGACATAGTTGTCGGCATAATCCTTGCGTGCTTCTTCTTGCCCGGCTATCTTCTCTAATGAGATTTTGTCAAGCTGTTCCAGAATGAAGTTATCGATCATAGGGTCAGATTCAAGAGATTGCAAAAAATCCCTGTCTCGATGCCAGGGGCGGCAACCAAAGTCCGGAAGGCTATTAATCGGTGGTGTCGCCGAGTACTGACGAATTGTGTCAATGAGCATGACATCAGCATCTTCCGATTCGGTCGAGTTGTCGTCCTCGTCATCTTCCATTTGCGACGGCGTGCTTGGGGGAACCTTGTCGCCCTCAATGGTCTCGATCGGCATGCTTGGAGGCTGGAGAATCAGGGGTTGGCCACTGATAGTTGTTTGCTTAGACTCTCCACGGTTAACAGCCGATTCCGCAGATGCCGTCTCAGGGCCGGCGTCCTCCATCGCAGCATCCTGGTCCTTCTCTTTTCCCTGCTCAGGTGCCGGGGGAGAAGGTGCAGAGTGAAGCGGAGCCGGTTCATCAACATCCATCTCCTCAGTTTTCGGTTGCGGCTCAGGAAGGCTGAGATTGATCGCAGGATCTACATTCATTTCAGCGTCAGGCGCAGGAGGCACTTCGGCGGGCTGATCCACAGGCTTGTCGGCGGCCTTCTCAGCAGAATTCTCTGCAAACTTCTCGACTAATTGCTCCAGGGGCTTCTCAGAGTTGTTTTCAACGACGGCGTCGATGGGTTTCTCAGCAGATGTTTCCACAGGTTTTTCAACAGAGACTTCGGTTGGCTTTTCAACGGACTTTTCTGGGACGATTTCCTTTTCAGCGACCTGTTCAACAGCGTTTTCAGTATACTTCTCGGTTTCAACCTTCTTTTCGGCTGCCTTCTCAGGCGTCTTTTTGGGTTCAGGCGCAGGTTCTGATGGTGGTTCTGGAATGGGTGCTGGTACTGGATCCGCGATGTTGTCCTTTGGTGATACTTTGGTCTGAATGACAGGACTTGGGATCTTGGGTGTCTTCTCACGCCTTTCCGTTACTGGCGATTTCGCTGGCGATGTTTCCTTGGGAGGTGGGACGATTTCAGGAATTGGCCCAAGCAGGTCAACAAGGCCTTCTGATTCCATCACAATAGATGCCATTGCCTCGTGTGAAACCGATGCGTATCGAACAGTAATTCGGTCCGGTGCATCATCGGCTGCCTGCCGTAACTTTTGCAGTTCGGCCTCTTCTTTAGCAATCTCGTTGGCGAAATACTCTCCGTAATCTTCATCATCGTCGGACTCGGATGTCTGTTCTGATACAGGTGCTGAAGGCTCTTGTGGAGGCAAAACAAATCGTACTTTTGGTACAGACATGCGACTTTCCTTCACGGGCTTAGACGACTTCTCGTCCTTTTCCACCAAATCGTCCTCAATGGCTGGTCTGTCGGAGAAGCTGGGTTTTTCTTCATTTCTCGAGGGGGGTCGGTAGTCGTCGTGTCCGTGCGCATCGGTACCCGTCATGACTGTGTCTCTTGAAACGTCTGGTTGTTCTACATCCCGATCCATCGACGCTCTGGCCGAGTAGCTGTCTCTCTCAGATTTGATGATGATTTCGCCAGGCTCCGGGAGATTCAGCGACTTGACTGATCCTTCTGTCGTTGAAGCATGTGAGTCGGCCTTCGCGTCGCTACTGCGAGGACGCCTTTCATAATCGCCTTGGTCTGCCGGGACACTGTCATGTCTGAAAGGGACCGGTCTTTGCTGTTGGGCGAAGCTTTGAGACCTCATAATCTTGGGCGACTCGGGTATCTTTTTACCCGCCAAAGCAGGATTGATCCATTGTTTACTGGACGGCCTCTGCTGCTTTTGTTGCTGGGCTCGGGGGCCTGAGGGAATGGGCGGGCTGCCCTCTGGGAGATTTAGTTTTGCCGGTCCTGTTGGTGGTGGTGCTGGGAAATCGCTGCCACCGGCATGGCCAGCAGAAACAGGCCGCTCGGAGTTGAATGCCCTGGGGGCCGTCGGCGGGAGCTTGCCGGTACCTCCGATGATGGGCGATCCGTCGGCGGCGCCTACATTTCTACTGGGAACCGTACCAAATGCAGGTGCCGATGGTGCCAGGGGTGGCGGCGAAATATCTTTTGTGTTCGGAGATGGTGCCTGTAAAGACGCGCCGCGGTCTCGGTCTCGGTCGACTTTGGGCCTTAGCAGCTCGCGATCACGAGCGTCGCGGTCGTCGCGGGGATCCCGGCGAGAGTCGGTGTCAATCCATCGGTCACCGCGGTCACGTTCGTCTCGGTCACGGCCCCAACGCCCCTCCTGGGAGCGGCTGCGGGGTCCAAAGCGATCGCGGTCCCGGTCGTCATAAAAACCCCCTCGACCTCTGCCTCTGTCGCCCCAGCCACCACGTCCTCGATCTCTGCCTCCTCTGAAGCCGCCGCGAGACATAGCATATGGAGGATCGGAATTGGATGAGCCAGCTGAAGGTGGACCTCCGTCCCTTGAACCCCGTCTAGATCTTTCGGCGTCGACGCCTAGGGGAGGATCCCTATCACGGAAATCCCGCGGTGGCGGCGAGCGGCCTCTGCCTGGCGATCGAGGCCGTCCTCGATAACCTTCTCGGTCTCTCCAATCCCTGTCCCGTTCACGTTCGCGACTTCTTTCATCTCTGTAAGGGCCATCGCGTCGATCTCTAAAATCAATGTCGCGGTCTCGTCCGCGGTCTCTGCTGTCGTCCCGAGACCAGCCTCGGCCTCGACCTCGACCTCTTCCCCTGCTAAATTCACCCGCATAGCCGCCACCTCTGGGGCCGCTTGGGGGATCTAAGAGTGCTTTGGGGCCGCGTGGGGGCTCGCGGGACAGATTATCGCGAAATGAATCTCTATTGTTTTGAAATGCCGAAGTATTTGAACGTGCTTCGGCGGAGGAGCGACGGCGGTCGCCATCACTGTACTGCGAAGCGCGTTCGTAGCGATCAGGCGAGCGGTCGCGAGGCGATCTGGAGCGACGATCCCCGTCATACCTCGAGGAATATCTCGAAGCCCTGTAGAGATCGGGGTTAGCATTAAAGGGCCGGTCGACGTTACGCCTCGCATCCGCATGACGCCTCGCATGGTCATGTGGAGGTCGCATCGGGACGTCTAGTAATTCTCTTTTACGACGCCGGCTCGTGGAAAGAGGGGCATGCGTTGTGGATGAATTGACTATAGTCAAATGTAGGTATTTTGGGGTTGTTTTCTCTACTCACATCGCGCTAGGCCGGGCTGTCGCCCTTAAGGTTGGCAATGGAAAAGGCCCAATACCATAAGTGTAAGGATTAGGAGGACGTGGAACCAGAGAACCTTGGTTGTCGTGGGTCGTGAAAGACTTTCAGAGTGGTCGGGTTCCAACCTCGGATAAGCGTCTGTCGGTCGGTCCTCGCTGTTCAGGAGGTTAGGTAGCAGGAGCGGACACGGCGGGAAGTGGGTGCATCCGATAGCGGGTCGCGTTATTTGATAGCTGGGTCGAGTATCGATGGACGAAAATCAAAAAAATGAATGAGATTCGTCGATAACGCTGCAGAGTAGTGACTTTTTGGGTTGTGCTGGGAGGCGCAGAGATGCGACACACAACGGGGGAGCAATCGTGTGATGTTGAAGGATTGAAGACGGTACCCCGGCCACGTCCAGCCTGCAAAATCGGTTCGCGTGCAGTGGCGCTTAATTGGCATTGGATTGGATCTTTAATTCACTCGGCGCTGGGGGGCCGCCAGGCGGCAGGCCAGCTTTTACCGCCATGGGCGCTAGGCTGCAATGGGCCTGTAGCGGGAACCCCCGGCAGTTCGTTCACCATTAGGCCCTGCTAATTTCCAGCCTGTGTTGCTGTGCTTACGGCACCCGGCAGTCCTCCTCGAAGCAGATACGTACCTTGAATTTGATGGTGGGGACGTAGACGTACTATACTAGTAGTAGCACGCAGATAAAAGTGTACGTAGTAAAAGTGGTCTTCACAGGGCGCCCTGGTACACCTCAGACCCTGTGGCCCTTCCACATCCATAACTCCACCTTTCCATCAAAATTCTTTGCAGAGTGGAGCCGGGCCGACCTCTGAACATCGCGGCCGTGGAGTCACACCCATTCCGTGCCCGCAAGCCCGCCCACGGATTGATTGGATGGAACCATGTGGTGTATGTCTGTGTGGATGGACTTTTTCACAAGGCGGCTTCTCTCCATCACGTTTGGCACATCCTGATTGAGCTTTGGACGAGTTGAGACCGAGACAGGGTTTTGTCTGATTTTATCTTGCAATTCTCCGCCGATTCTTGTTCCCACATTTTCAGATCGCCACTCACTGGTGTGTACTTGTTCCCGGGCTAAGACAAACAATATCATCTGAGAACTTACTTTGCTCAATTCTGAATCATTGATGTCGGATAGTGACTGACGTGATTTTAGTCCTTCACCAAACAGGCAGTATGACTTCTCAAGAGAACCCCAATGCTCCTCCGGCGGCTGCAACCGATGCGGTTCTCGTCGTGTCTGAGGAGATGCCCGAGGGCACTCAGAAGGTAGAAGAGCTGGATTTTGATGAAATCCAAGGCCCGATCACTGCCGATAGTCTTTTCAACGGCATGAGGTACATGGGCTTCCAGGCCTCGTCCCTTGGAGAATCCATTCGGATCATCAACGACATGGTAGGCTGCCACGCCGTCTTGTTGTGATGCAACCCAGCTGACATGGGTGAAAGAGGGCGTGGAGAGACCCAGAGACAGGGGAGAAGACTACCATCTTCCTCGGCTATACATCAAATATGATCTCCTCTGGCATGAGGGGTGTTTTCAGATGGCTTGTCAAGCACAAGCATGTATCTGCCATCGTAACCACGGCCGGAGGTGTCGAAGAAGACTTTATCAAGTGTCTCGGTGACACTTACATGTCTTCTTTCAGTGCCCCGGGTGCAGACTTACGCAAGAAGGGCCAGAACAGAATCGGCAACCTTGTCGTCCCCAACTCAAATTATCGAGCCTTTGAGGATTGGGTGGTGCCCATTTTCGACAAGATGCTCGAGGAACAGGAAGCCAGCAAGGGCACCGATGACGAAATCAATTGGACGCCTTCCAAAATGATTCACCGTCTAGGCAAGGAGATTAATGACGAGCGCTCGGTCTACTACTGGGCCTGGAAGAACGATATTCCCGTTTTCTGCCCAGCGCTCACGGATGGAAGCTTGGGAGACATGCTCTATTTCCATACCTTCAAAGCCTCGCCGAGGCAGCTCAAGTGCGACATTGTCGAGGACATTCGTCGCATCAATACCATCTCTGTACGTGCAAAGCGGGCAGGTATGATTATCCTCGGCGGCGGTGTGGTAAAGCACCATATTGCGAATGCCTGTTTGATGCGCAACGGCGCAGAGTCCGCTGTGTATATCAACACCGGCCAGGAGTTCGATGGTAGCGATGCAGGGGCTCGGCCGGACGAGGCTGTTTCTTGGGGCAAGATCAAGGTTGGCGCAGATGCCGTCAAGGTATGTTGCCATCTAGAATATATACGATCACGAATCTGTGCTGACTTTTTTACTATAGGTTTATGCAGATGCCACCCTGGTTTTCCCTTTTATTGTGGCAAATACATTTGCCAAGGACCGTTCATAGATCATCCAAGTCAATTACTAGAGCAACGGCCAGTCACGGCTTTGCACTATTTATGTTCCCATTTTGATCACTCTGATGCACGTGGCTTGATATGACAATACTATTTCAGGTAACAGCAAGAACAACGGTACTAACGACAATGCACTCACGGAGATAGCACCATGCTCGGACCCTGCATGTGCTGTAGAGTATCTGACTTGAAAAGAAAAGAAGGGAAAATTACATGCTGCTCAAATCCATGTACTGAGCAGATGTTCTGCCGCTCAAATTGCTTGCCGAAGGTGGAATTGTTTGCCGAGGATGTCGTCGCTAGATGGAGGCATGTCCCTGGGCTCATTTGAGGCTTGGAAAGAGGAAGCAAATGACAGCAGGTGCTTCAGTATGTTCACCCGGATTCTAGGTGTAGCGTCTGAACTTTTTTTGTAACTTTTTCTCATTTTTTGTTTTTGGGGAATATGTTGTGTCGAAAATCGGCACTCTTTCTTCGGAAAGTGGGCATGTAACCGACATCACTCGGCCGAATCAAATTTGGAATAGTGAGGCGTAGATTGCTGCAGGAGCTAATCATCAATTGGGGTGAATCTAAGATCATCACCAAATCAGTTATAGATCTCCGGTGCCATACATCGGAGTTGATCCGAGTTGTTTGGATTATTGGCCAACGTGAATTGCCTTCCGAAAAGGTCATGGAAGCCGAGAGAGTTGTATCGAGACAAATGACGTTCAAATGCACCACACGTGATCTAATCGATAAGCCCAAGCGTGCAACCCGATGATATGCATTTTCCCCCGAAAGTCTCGAAACTACCTACTGCATCCACCCCGATTTCCCCACGATTCACCATTGTTTATATCAGCCTCACGCATTGGGTTCGGTCTTAGACTCAACTTTCAAGCCTTAGGAGGACGTGGTTGCGACCGTGTAAGATGTCGTCAATTTACAACCTCGAGCCGCAACCGACGGCGTCAGTTATTTTGCATACGACACAAGGAGATATTTCCGTCGAACTTTTCGCGAAGCAAACGCCACTTACCTGCCGCAACTTCCTTCAGCTGGCCCTCGATGGCTACTACGACAACACCATATTTCACCGTCTGGTTCCAGGTTTCATTTTACAGGGAGGCGATCCGACCGGCACCGGTAATGGAGGGGAATCGATCTACGACGGAGGCGCCTTCAGCGGCGAACTGGATCCTTGGCCGATGGACCAGCGACGAGGACAAAATGCTGGCCTCACTGGTGTTGGATTTAAAGACGAGTTCCACTCGCGGTTAAAGTGGAATCGGCGTGGACAGCTGGGCATGGCGAATGAGAGTAAACCCGATACGAACGGTAGCCAATTCTTCTTCACTCTCGACAAGGCCGAGGAACTGAACAATAAGAACACATTGTTCGGACGAGTGGCGGGCGACACAATCTACAACTTGGCGAAAATGGGCGAGGCTGAAGTTACCCCTGGTACCGACCGACCGACTTATCCTGTCAAGATCACGAGCGTCGAGATTCTCGTGAACCCCTTCGAGGATATGGTGAAGAGATCGAGGATCGCAACCCAGGTGCCGAAGGCTGCGGCTCCCGAAAAGAAAAAGAAGAGGAAAGGAGGAAAACAATTATTGAGCTTCGGAGACGACGAGGGGGACGCCGAAGAGGTCCCAGTCCTGAAGAAAACCAAGTTCGACACTAGAATTGTAATGGATGTGGAGGAAGAGGAAGGAGAATCCATGGAGAAGAAGTCAAAAGCAAGGTCAAAGGCCAAGGCGAAGGAGAAGAAGATGGAATCTGTTACCCCTCCTGCAAGACCTGATTCCAGACCTACCGAGACCGAGGAGATGAGGACGGCATCGAAGGATTCTTTGTCACCACGGAAGTGGAGCGATATTCCCATTCGGGCGCAGGACAGCCCGTCGTCCGAGGTCAAGACACTGAAGCCCAAGTCTGCTCTCGAGAAGGCAAACGAGGACATTGCTGCGCGCGATGGTTCAAGGGAGCGGAGTTTCCAGGCCGAACCAATCAAAGAGACGAAGAAAAGTGCTCTCGAGAAGACAAATGAGGAAATTGCTGCGCTCAAGGCTTCGATGAAGCGGACTTTCCAGACCGAACCAATCAAAGAGACGAAGAAGAGTGTTCTCGAGAGCATGATCCCGGAAACATCAATTAGAGGTAGGAAGAGGAGGCATGGTGGAAACACGAGCGCTCGTGATGACCAACAGGCTCTTGATTTTCTGAAAGCCTTCAAATCAAAGCTCGATCAAGCTCCGGAAGACAAGGGCAATGGACCCGTTTCTGTCGATCAGGAAGATAACGGAAGAGAAAAACATGGCACGAAGGTCGACGAGGAAGCGGAACTGTGTGATTTGCATTTCATCGCCGATTGTCAGAGTTGCAAGGCGTGGGACCAAGCTGCAGAGGAAGATAGCGACGACGAGGGATGGATGTCTCATGCACTCAGTTTCAAGGCAGACAAGCTGGGCAAGGACCTGAATTACCGCAAGAAGGCAGAAGAGGAGCTGGTGGTGATTGATCCCAGAGAAAAAGCTAGGACACTCCAGGAAGACAGGAAGGCATCACGAGAAGCCCGGAGCGGAAACTCCGGGCGGGAATGGGATCAGGCGCGGAATGCAAAGATGGCGAGAGCTTCGGCTCTTGCGGGCAGAGGAGCCAGGTAGAGAAGAGGGCCAGGCGACATGGGTGCAATGCGACTCTGTCGATGGCATGGAGCGGCAGTAAACCAATGATACCCCTGAAAAGTGATCGAGATGTTTGAAAGTTCAGGTCTACGTTAGTCATTCGATTCCTTGATGCTATTCAGACAAAAATTGAGTTGGGCCGTGCCGTAGGTGCTGAGATCGAAAAATAAGCTAGGAATCGGCGAAAAATGACGTTACAAAGTACGAATCTCCCCGCTGGCTCCACCGGCCTGATCGTGATGGCCTCAGGAGTATAGCGGAAGTCACCGAGAATAAACGGTAATTCGGCCGAGTCCAGACCCTTGCTTCGAGCAGGTTTTGGTGGACACACAGCTGGTGCCAGTCTCTGAAATGGGGTCTCAAGGGTCTCCATTGGGAGGGGGACTCCATGCTGGCAGCTGATGGCTCCTGCACTAGGTTCCTGAGCTTGGAATTTGTGCAACGGAGAGTCGGCCGTCTGTGACAGATTAACATGAGCAACGGCATAATCTACACGTGACTTTGTAAGAGAGCGTAAAGACAGCCTCGGAAGATGATTGGACCGGAGTTTCTATCCCGCACACAAGGGACCTTATCCTGACCAACCTCGAGGGGTCCTGAATGCCACGATGCCTATGTGAGCCGCGTACTATCCTCTGCCCAGGGGGTGGGTAGGGAGGCTTTCTGCCCAGGGTCCCCACTTGGGGAAACACTCAGCCTTGGCCCCTTGAGAGTTGTGGTCTTGATAACGTGCCCATCATCCTCGTCCAAATTGTGCCTCTATCGCCAGACCAGCCTCTCTTTATTTTCACTCTCATAGCAAAGAATTATTTTGTGTATTTCCTATATTTGGGCGCGCTGTCTTACTCTTTTACGTCTCAATTCATCACAGATACGGACATAAACACGGAGACAAACCCCAACACATTTTATACAACTTTGCCTACCGAGACACCTGCACTATAAGCTGTGTGGCCCCCACCTTAGGAGAGACCAAGGAAGGGAAAAAAAAAAAAAAAAAAAAAAAAAGACAGCAGACGCGATTGTTACTCCGCAGTAATTGGCTGGCTGGCTAACTGCTGACTGGCGCCTGACGCCTTACCTCACCGTGATTTACTTACTAACACAACCTTCGTCACCTCTCCGCCAAAAGAAGCGGATCTTCCATTCAGAGCTTTCGCGAGAGCCCTCTGACACCAAGACAATCCCATCCTTGCGACGAAACCGACGCCCGCCTTATCGCGACAAGGCCCCTTTGCCCGCCCATAGTCTGAATTCTTGTTCTCGGTTTCCTCCACACAATAGATCTCCTTTGCGGGAGATTCTCAGGCCTTCTGGCGATTGATTCAGGCTGAGGCCTGCCTGCCTTTGACGATTGTGACATAAACTAGGCCACGCCAGCACATAAGGCCTGGTGCAGTGCTCACCGCCCACATACGACCTCCTGGAACCAGGACGCCTTTCCACCACGACAGCGACGACGTTTCTTCGTTTTCCGCCAGAGCCGGTGCTTGCCAATGCGACAAGCGACCTGCCGTCTTTGCTATACACTCCTCATCGTTCCGTCCGATCTTGGTCCTACAATTAGGTAACGAGTTCGCTACCACTCGGCAAAGTTGTCAAGCTATCTGCAGCCCAAATTTTACACACAACGGTCGCGGCCACGAAAGAGAGAACCAAGAAGGCGCCAAACGAGCACCAGTGAGAAGGACCCCGCACAGCTATCGCGTTCGCTCCGAGGCGCTCCATCGCACGGCGACTTGGTCGACCCTCGACCGTCCTCGCCCCTGCCTTTGCGTGAAGCAAATGCACATATCCATGTCTTCGAACCCCCGAAAGCGAGCAGCCCCAGGAACATCACCAAACATGCCGATGCCAGCTGTGCAACCATCCTTCCCAAGCCCAACAGGCGACCAGTTTTTGCGATGGGGAGGAGCAGACGGGAGCGCTCTCGTAGACGGGACCAACCCTCAGCCTGTAAACTCTTATGGCATTGTCCCTGGCCAACAACCACAGTTTGTACAGCCTACGCACAGCCCTAATACCGCTCTTGCTCGGAGACAGATGAACAGAGCACTTGTGCCTACCGCTGCGAGGCCAAACTATGATTCTACAACCGATCCTTGGTCTTTCGTCGGTGAGGATTCTTCACTCGTGCAACAACAACAGCAGCAGCAGCAGCAAGCAAACGGCAATATCACCGACACCGATAACGTCGAGGTCTTGGAGGAGATGGCTCGCAAAGCCATGAGAGAGGCGCAGCAGAAGCGGAAGCAAATTCCTCCTTTTGTCCAGAAACTAAGCAGGTCAGCGAGATTCGTGCCCCTTGCAGTGATGCGTTCGCAACACTGGGAAGGCAATTTTTTTTTGATGTGGGGTATGCTGATCTTGACGTAGCTTCTTGGATGACGACAAGAACTCTGATTTGATTCGATGGTCAGAGAAGGGCGATTCATTTATCGTTCTTGATGAGGACGAGTTCGCGAAGAAGCTGATTCCAGATCTGTTCAAGCATAACAATTACGCCTCATTTGTTCGACAGCTCAACATGTACGGGTTCCACAAGCGCGTCGGCTTATCAGACAATTCGATGCGAGCGAGTGAGCGGAAAAACAAGAGCCCAAGCGAGTACTCAAACCCGTTCTTCCGGCGCGGTCACCCAAACTTGCTTTGGCTCATCAACAAGCCGAAGAGCGGCAACAAGGGCAAAAAGGGCGCCAAGAATGCCGAGGTTGAAGGTGATAGCGAGGAGGATGGTATTGTCGAGGATGGAATCGCACAAGGCCTCGGTGCCAATAGCATTCCGTCGGGAAGGGCTCTTCCGTCGCCGACCGACATGCCGCTACAAAAGAAGGAGATGGCCCTTATTCGCGAAGAGTTGGCAAAACTGCGTGAGCAGCAAAGGTTGATCATGACTGCCATCCAAAGAATTCAACAAGACAACTCGGCGCTGTACAATCAGGCAGTTGTCTTCCAGAGCCAACACGACCGGCACCAAAATTCCATCAACGCAATCCTGAACTTTCTGGCCAATGTCTTTAGGAAGACTCTCGAGGACCAGGCAGGGGCTCAGAGCGTCAATGACCTTCTCGCGAGTATTATCCCGAATGGCAACAACAACAACAGTACCAACAACTCCGTGCCACAAGGAAGTGTCGTGGATCTTGGAGATTACATCCAGTCGCAGTCGACGGATGCAAACCACATAAACCTTGCGAAGCGCAGGCAGGCGCTTCTGCCCCCCATTCCAAACCAAGGACGCGCCAACACCGTTTCCCCTTCCCCGGCATCCAGCACTGCTACACCTCAACCCTACGGCGGACGTGAGATGGGCACGGTAACAGAGCTCTTCGACGCATCTCCTGGAGACCATGCATCGCCCAACAACTACCTGGCTCAAGAGCTAGAATCCAACCCCCACGAAAGCATGATGAAGATCATCCAAGACACCAATGCCAACCACACATCAAGCATCGACCTTCCAGAGGTCGTCAACAATACCCCTGTGACTATGAGCAACGATCAGCGCAATAAAATGCTCAACATCATGGCCGGCCGAACCTCGACACCCTCTGCTGCTCCACCCTCGGCTAAACCATCCGTCTCAGCCTCGCCCAACCCACCTGCTCCTAGGGTCTCACCCACTCCTGACGCGCCTTCTGTACCTACCACGGCAGGTCTTTCACTGTCGCCAATCATGGGTTCTGCCGAGCCTCCGCCTTCTCTGCAACAAATCAACTTCAACCAGGCAGACCTCGCCGCTCTTCAGCGTATGCAGGAAGAGCAGGCCGCCAAGCTGGACCACCTCTCGAGCATGTTGGGACCTTTAAGCCCCTCGGGCCGGATCCCAGGTATCGATGAGAGCGGAGGTGTTACCCAGAGCAACGGCTATTTCGGCAACGACATTGATCTCGACCAATTCTTGAATGCCGACGCTTTTCAAGGCGAAGATGCATACTCAGGAGTAAACTTTGGTGGTGATGGAACTGATTTCAACTTTACTTTGGACGGTACCAATCCTAACGGCAGCGTGGGCGCCAATCGCACACCGTCGAGTGAGAGCGGGACTGAGGAAATCCCGCGTGATGGCTTTGACGCATACACTGGCAGCCCTGATCGTGGTACCAAGCGCCGGCGAGTCGGCTAAGCGCCAATGAGTTCTGGCCTAACACCTTCCCTGGGCTCTTTTTACGAATTTTTCTCAGCCAACACCGAAGAGGACGGTGTGGTTTTCTTTAATGACACAAAAAATGGTGGGGTCTCTTCTTTGCAGGCAATTTCAGGGAGGCGGGTTTCGATTACTTTTGGAGATAATGATATCCCCAAAAAGAAAAAAGAAAAATTCTTGAGAATTTTTTTTGTTTGTTTTTTTCCTTCTCCCCTTCTGGAACGAGGGAGGCGTGGGTGGGACGTATGGGTTTGCATTTGGGAAAGAGAATAGCGAAGACTTGCGTTCGCTAAAGAAGGGGGGACTTGCCTCAGGGTTGTGTGCTGAAACAACTTTTTGTTTTTTTATTTCCTATCTGTGAATGGGCTCACGGGAACTCGCACCAACCAATATGTAGACTAGACTTGCAGCTTCAGATGGGAAGCTTGAATGCCAGTCTTGATGAACATAACTTTTGCTGGCCTCAGTAGTGGAGTGACGTACTGCATCAAACGTGTTGTATCCCTGAGCTTTACCCCACGCAAGTGCGAACCCATTCGCGAAACCTGGGGAACCAAGGGGGTGGTTATTCTATAAATGAAATCAAGGTTGTTCAGGGGTTTAGGATTCTTTGGTCTTGTTCCAAGGCATCTGATTCGTCATGCCTTAAATTACATCGGTTGGTTTACCCGGTCCGTTAGTGCTGCTAGTAGTTTGTTTCTTAAACAACCCATCCGACAGGCTTCGGAGCAGGCAGGAGTCAACAGGCGCCCGTTTATGAGACTAGTTGACAAGCTCTGCAACTGGTTGCATCTGATTTGTTGACGAGAACGAAGGCTGCAAAAAATTTGTTTCAGATTGTAGTTCGCTCCGTTTGAACATTTATTGTTCAAAAGGCGGTACAACAACAGTACCTGGTATATGGCTAACCATAAATATCATAAATGTCAATTGTACCCTACATATCGTCTCGAGAATCCCGTTCGCTCTCTATCATCTCCCTTTACAGACCACAGACCTAAGAGCCTTCCCAGATACTGAGGACTTGCAGTTATGACTTGCAGTAGATACTCATCCGGAGACGGCCGTTCGGTAGTATGTTGCTATGTGTATTCTCACGGCTAAATCTAAATGCTCCCGTTTAACAGGGTCTGAACATAATTTGTACGTGATGAGCGATTCGGCACTCGCACTCTCTAGCGAAATCATTGTTGCTGTCGTATGGTACCGCGCTTGCAGAGACATGATGCTGGGGGGTGGTTGTCCTGAATGACACAAGGGATCAGGCTCCTTTGGAGGGCGTGAGGGTGGCGCTGCAATATACTGCAAAGGTTTACAATGCGACCGAAACAAATGGCGTCTAGTCTTCGGAATTCGTTCGGGTGTGTGGTTGTGGCGGGAATGAATTGGAACAAGACCTTTGTTGACGTTTGGGCAGTGGTTGTTGATGCTAGAACAGCGGAGATCATGGCAATCATATTGGTGTTACAAGCAAGGCAATTCCCTATTCGAGTATCCTTCTCTTGCCTGTGCAGCTTGCTTCGTAGCAGATCTGTGCTTCATTAGCGGGAGATGCGCTTGGAGGCCATGGTTTCACATACGGGTATCATAAAAACAGTGACAGCTCAAGTTCGCCAGAGGGCATGCTTCCCCTTGGCGTAACACGTATCCTCCAAATTGCAGGTCAGCCTGCAAGCGGGTTCGCATGAATGGTAACCTTCTCAATCTTGACCGGTTCCTTGGGTCTGTTCTTCTTGTCCACCTCGATTGCCTCGATCTTGGCCAGCGTAACGGTGCTGTCGTCCCCAATCAGACGACCAAAAACAGTGTTCAGCCCGTCCAGATGCGGCGCCTTGTCGAACAGAATAAAGAACTGTGAGCCGTTCGTTCCGGGTCCCTTATTCGCCATCGAGACGATTCCTCGCGAGGAGTGCTTCAGCGCTGGGCGGATCTCGTCCTCGAAGGCGCCGCCCCAGATGGAGCGGCCTCCCTTTGGATTCTCGGGTGTCGGGTTCGCCGGACCACCGGTTTGGGCCATGAATTTGGGAATCAAGCGGTGGAAGGGGGAGTTGTCATAGTAGTTCGAGGCGCAGAGAGCGAGAAAGTTCTGGGCGTGGTCAGTCGTGCGATTAAGGGTTTGAGGATGGTTAGGAAGGAGGTACTTCTGCTGTCTTGGGAACACTTTCGCAGAAAATTTCTATCTTCAGGTCGCCGAGGTTTGTGTGCAGTGTGACCGACATTTTGAGGTGCGTTTGTCGAGGTAGTGAGTTTGTGTCTGTCAGAGGTGGTTTCTTCAGATGAACAAGGAAATCAAAGGAAGCTTGGAGCTTTCTGCGAAGTCGTTACTATTGGACCGCTGACGATCGGGGCGGGACCAGCCCATATCATCGGTGCATCGAGCTCCGAGTGCCGATGTGTTAGTGGGTCTTAGTACCTGATGCCCGGAGCCTCCAGGTTGGACATCGGCCTTTCTTTCTGAGTTGTTCAAAACTATTGAACTTGAAGCATAGAATGTTTCTCACCAAGACAATATGCCCTCAATTCTTACTTTAAAATAATTTCTTACTGATTTTACATTTGGAAATATGACAATGCTACCCAGCAACTATGTAGCTGCATGCGACTGGAATTTGTAGTTGCATCAAAGCCGGTCAGAGTTTACATGCGAACTTGGACTTGTACGCTCAGTCGCTGCCCAGCTTTATGTGCAAGTGAATTGTAGCCTAGTGCGTTCCTTTTTATAGACTCAAACTGCACTCGTGCTGAAAGGGTGTCTGTAAGCGATGGCCCGATCCAGTGTATCCTTCGTATACCATGCAGGCGTCTTCTAATGTTTAGACCGGGCAGTCTCTGTCAGCCATAACGACTTCACCAACACGGATCGACTGCAAGCCTTCATGTGGCGAGGTTAAGCAACCCTCTAGTGAGGGGGTGCGTTACAGGATAATAGGGTAACGGTGGCAAGAAGTTTGGCTGGTTCGGGCTATTTACATCAATCAGGAAATCAGCTTACATGGTCTTATCTCACCACATCGGTCTCTTACACACACAGACTTCTAGAGTCAATATACCAAGATAGGAAAGCAGCTTGAGTCAGTGGTAGCACGAGTAAGATGAAAGTCAATAGGTTATGTTAGCGACTGGGTGGGATTAGGGCTTAACTCGTCTCATCCTGTTCATATTCAGCCGCTCAATGTGTTGATCGTTTGGATTCCTCCTTCTGGCATCTTTGGCGCTTTGAACTCAAAGATCGTGACGTCAGACTCACAAGTCAAACCTTCAGTGATAATGCATGATGCAAGTTTGGACCAAAGTCTCGGGGACACGGGCCCGCGCCGAGTCATAGCCGTTGCGGTTGAGCCCCGACCACAGCGGAAACTCGAGCCAAAAAGCACCGAAGCTTCAGGATCACCTTCTATACTGGGCATTTCCGTGACACCGGCCACTACTATTCGGGTTACACGTATTCGGGGCTGTAGTAAAGCCGCCCGACACTTCCCACCGTCCGATCAGCTACACCTCCCTCGCAGGAAAGTGCGTGAAAATCGGCCTCCGCGGTAGCATCTTCATTTGGGCATCGACCCCCGTATACGCCGTATCGCTTCGGACGATGACGATCGTTCATGCGGCTATGAGGTGGAGATGGCCCGGGCCGAACGTGCATATAGGGGCCGGGGATCTGCTGTTTACACGCCGTGTTGGTGATTGAAGGACGTATGGTTTACTTCACAGCAACAACTGCAATATGCCCTTTTTCGACTATGTGCGAGACACGTTTGCATGGCAAGTCATCCGCTTGGTAACAGGGGGCAAACTGCCTGAATTTCAATATTACGAAGAGCGACATCCTCTTGTTCGGCAAAAATACGCAAATGAAGAGAGCTTTTGGCGACCCGGGCTTGAAGGACAGATTACGGAGGCGAGAGACGCACATATTAACAGAGGGTCGATCTTAAAGCGTAATGCGTCGGATATCAGATCAAATACGGCGAAGAAAGACCCTTACTTACAAGGGAACACGGCCGGAGTTGTAGACCCACGACTACCAAACAGTCGCTGGTCCAACGAGACGCTCGACTCCGCATTCTCGGAGAAGTTTGGCTCTACGTCTCAAATCAATAAGAGCCTTCATCTGGTTCAGTTTTTACCAGATGATCCAGAGGTATTTCAAGAATCGGGGCATAGTGTGTTCCAAACTGACGATGAATGTAGAATCCGCGGAATTGGTCTGGCCTGAAGAAGACCTTGGTCAGCTTCCAGATATGTTTGCTTATCGCCGGCACCTATGCCGGGGCCTCCATATATACGGTCGGTACGACGGGCGTCAAGGAACAGTTCGGCGTCAGCGACATTGTTGCACTTTTAGGGCTAACGGCTTTCGTTGTTGGATATGGAGTTGGAGCCGTGAGTTGCTGCTGAACCGCGTCTTCAAATACACAACACTGGCATACTGATAATAGCACCAGATGGCTTGGAGTCCGTTATCTGAGCTTCCACAAGTCAGTCGGAACACGGTATTCATTTCCACGCTCATTGTTTTCATTGTCTTGCAAGTGCCGATTGCTCTGGCCACCAACATCGGCATGCTCCTAGCCTTTCGCTTTTTAGCTGGGTTTTTCGGATCTCCAGTGCTCGGCCTCGGAGACGGAATTCTGGAAGACATGTACGCACCGAGAAAGCAAACCTACGTTATGGGCCTCTGGGCTCTTCTCGGCATCGGAGGTCCAACGATTGGCCCAATCATTGGTGGTTTCGCAGTCGAGACGAAGGGTTGGAAATGGGCTGTTTGGATCATTGCGTGGATGGGTACGGCGACTCTAGCAACCGTGGTGTTCTTCCTACCAGAAACGAGCGCCAATAATATCCTTTACCGGCGAGCTCTTCGACTACGCAGAGCGACAGGCGACAGGCGGTATATATGTGAGGCGCAAATCAAAGCGGAAGACAAATCTGGAAAAGAGGCTATCCTAGCTCATCTCGTTCGGCCATTCACGTTGGCCATGACAGAGCCGATTATTTTCCTGCTCACTTTTTACAGTGCCTTTGTATACGGACTAATGTATATCTGGTTTGAGGCTCTTCCGATGGCATATAAGGAAGTATACCACTTCGACCTTGGCACTCAAAGCATCGCATTAGTGGGCTTGATCGTCGGCGTACTGGTTATAATACCCCCTTACTTCCTCTACTACAGGAAGTGGATCGAACCGAAATTCAACCATTTGGGTGATATCGAGCCAGAAAGACATCTGATACCAGCAATGATTGGGTGCCTCTTTCTACCGGCTAGCCTGGTTTGGTTTGGCTTTACCGCGAAGCCCACGAACTTTTGGTTGATCCCCACAGTCGGTTCGGCACTATTCAGTTCAGGTGCTGTTTTGCTGTTCATCCCGTTCATGAACTACCTTGGGGAATCATTCCCAAGCCATGTCAGCTCAGTTTTTGCGGGGAACGAGCTATTTACCAGTCTTTTTGGAGCCACATTCCCCTTGTTTGTACCGTCGATGTACTACAAGTTTGATGTTTTTGGATCGAGTATTTTGCTCGCCATCTTTGCCGTTCTATTTACACCCATACCCTTCATTCTTTATTTGGTAAGTGTCTCTGATTTCTGTTACATCCAAGTTCGTACTAACCCAAGTGCAGAAGGGCTCCAAAATGAGGAAGCGCAGTCGACATGCGAGAAGAGATATGTGATTATAAGCATTGATGTGGACATAGCAGCTGGCAAGGTCATCTTGCTTGTTACATTGGAAGTGTAATAAAAAAAGCGAAACAAGAATTACACCGCATATAATCAATAAAAACTAGTTTTATATGGATGATATTTGTCAATGAACTCTGGTGGATGGTTGCTTGAACAGAGAAGTAAACCTGGATCGACGCATCCGAACAATGCTGCTTTAGACTGGTTGAGGGCTTGGTTGGAATCCATGGATGTTCAAAGACGAATGATACTTAACAAACTCGGGACTTGTCATTTTTCTTCCACGGGTAGATCTGACAAAGAAAGATCAATGACCAGGTCATAAGCTACTTGCACATTCCGTGACTTACACCCGGTTTGTTGGCAATTAATAGTTCCGTAACCGAGAGATATTTGGCCTCAACCTTAACGACCTCACTCATCAGACCGCCTGGAGCAGACATAAATGCCTTTTGACATTTTCAACCTGATTTATTCAATTTAACCATTTCATCCCGCTTAAAATCTAGGCGCTGAGGGTCTTCAGCTCCTTCACCAAGTCCACAATACTCTCCTCCAGACTCCTCCACTTGATACCCAGAATCTTGGCTGTCTCCGAGTCATCATACCTGTACACCTTGTCCTTAGGAGGCAACTCCCCGCCCTTGGTGCCCTCGGCAGGCAGCTTCTCCTTGAGATCAGGGAAGTTCTTCCTAGTGACATCGGCAATCTCCGAGTTACTGAACCAGCCAGCCGTGGTGAACAGCCTCTTGCCACCGGCCTCTTGCCTCTCCACAGCGAGAATGTGCGCGAGGGCCAAGTCCCTGACGTCGATCCACAGGTACGCGGCTCCCGTCGCTCCGATCTCGGTCTTCCACTTTCCGTTGACCAGGTCGACGACACGCTCGTTAGAGGTGTTGATGGTGTTCAGGTCCGCGAAGTGGTCCACCACGGGGCCCAGCACAAGCGGCGGGCAGATGGTCACGAGGTCGAAGCCGGGCTTCTCCTTCTCAACAAACTCCCAAGCGGCCTTCTCCGCGAGCTTCTTGCTCGCGCGGTAAGCGGTGGCCGGGCTGCGGTGGATGTCATCCACCGTGACCGGGTTCCAGTGCTTCTCGTCGTAGACGGTGTTGGGGTCGTCGAGTTTCGCCTCGTCGATGATGGACGCGAAGCTGCTCGTCACCACGACCCTCTTCACACCGGGCGCATCCCTCTTCAGCGCTTTGAGGATGGCGGTCGTGCCGACCACGGCGGGGTCGACGAGCTCCTTCTTGGGGTCGGTCCACTTGAAGTGGAACGGGCTGGCCGTGTGCAGGACGGCCTCGATGCCGGGCGTCTTAACAACCTCGTCGAAGGCATCTTCGCGCGCAATGTCAGGGACGATGACGACGGTCAAGCGCTTGGAGTCGAGGTCCTTGTGAGCGTTGCGGATCTTCTGGGCCTTGTCCTCAGAGCGGACGGTAGTGACGACATCGTGGCCGCGCTCGAGGAGCTGCTCGAGGATATGAGCGGCGATGAAGCCGGAGCCGCCTGGGACGTGTCAACGTGAGTCCCTAAAGGTTTATGTACGCTCCTCTGTTTTTGGATAAAATAGTCCCTCTCACTCACCAGTAAGCAAGATCTTGGTCATTTTGCCGTTATTCTTGATCTTGATATCTCAATTGACAGTTTTTTGAATGGTATCCTCAGCTCCGAATTTCTATGACTACTTTGCCAGAGGAATGAATGTCTGTCTGTCCTACTTGTCAAAAGTCAAAAGTCAAAACCCAAGCTGAGAGCTTGACTGCACACCCCTGGTATTTATTTATTCAGCACCGCCGTGTCTGACCCCCAACTATTTTACCCCTCCATTGCATGATGAATTAACACCAAAACTGCCCCGCTTGACCTTATCCCTTCCCCACCTGCCCGCCATTGAGGTCCCAGTATCTGTCTGGGGTGCCCCCCCAATCATCACGTCATTCCGACCATTCAAATGCCATCACTCTGCTTACCTATTGCTCCAGAGCTCTTCCCTGCCCTCTACCCTCGGTCATGTTTCCGCCGGTGTCGCAAGGGCAATGGGAACTCGGGCCCGGGGTTTACTGGTAACAAAATCCGTTGCTGACTTGCTATGCGGCTCTAATCGCCGAAACGCACCATGCCTGGATTCGCTGAAGGATTGATACCCTGGCTTCTCCTTACCAACCCACCGGGACACTCTGTATTGACCATCAACAACATCGACCCGGCGTCGAAGGTACATCTAAATCACCATAGAATATTGTGGTAATCACTTTTAAAGGAGCCTTTTCCCATTGGGGCTATGCATCAGGTACATATTCCTACAAACGAAATAATACACGCTGCTATTTCAGCCTCGACTTATTGAGTTCAGCCGGCCGCTCACTATACACCTCAACAGGAGCAATCTCGGCGTCCGCCGCTTTCTTGGGGGCCATTCAGTCCAACCTTTCTGATTAACCGATATATCCTCCCCTGAAACTTTAATAGCCGAATCCAATCTAAATGCCAGATGCCGCGTTTCGCGAGGCGTCATCAAATAAACCCCAGGTGAGGGGAGAGTTGTTCTTGTTGGTTTTTTTTTTTTTCTCTAGCGCAAAGTGGCTCCGTTAGTCATTGTTTTCGCATCTTTTTGGTTCGAACAACGTCGCCCAAAATGTGCTCCTCCTCTCGAAACCTGCCAGCCTAGCCTCCCTTTGCCCAAAGCAGATAATTCGCACGTTCTTCTTTCGAATCGCTGAAACGCCTGCCATGCTGTACCGATGAAATGATACAAGTAAGACAATACGAGTGCCTCCTTTCCGGCCGCGACTCGGCTTCCGCACTCGTGCATGCTAACCGTGAAGTAAATGAATGTGTCATGTGATCGGGGGAGTTGAATCACACTAATTATCACCTCCGAATCATGAGTTCTGATCCGGACCCGGAGCTATGCCGCCCGTCGATGCAGCTGGCGGAGGCGGTGATGGGGGAGGCGGAGTGCCGTCGTTAGGTGGGGGGAATGGTGGGGGAATCGTTTGGCCAATAGAAGCACCCGCATTGGCAGGGACCGTCATCGGACCTTTGGGTACGGGGACACGGTCGAGAAGCTTCTCGCCACGAATGACCTTCTCAACTTCGTTCTTGTCCAGAGTCTCGTACTCAACAAGAGCCTGGGCGAGGAGGTCCAATTCCTTGCGCTTGGTGGTAAGTAGCTCGCGCACCTTTTCATACGACTCGCTCAAAGTTCGCTGGACCTCGGACTCGATGAGAGCCTTGGTCTCTCCACTGAGCTGGTTGTAGCGCTTTCCGTACTCGACAGGGCCGAGCTTGGCGGACATGCCGTACAGAGCGACCATCTGGAAAGCCAGGTTGGTAGCGTTCTCGAGATCCTAAAAGGACGTCAGCATGGCTCATTCAAATCAGATGACATTGCACTTACACTTGAGACACCAGTCGTCACCTTGTCGGTGCCGTAGACAAGTTCCTCAGCAAGTTTGCCGCCAAGAGAAGTCTCGATGAGACTCTTGAGATCCCTGGTCGTGTACGAGTACTTGTCCATCTCGGGAAGGTGTGCAGTGTGACCAAGACTCTGGCCACGAGGAAGAATGGTAACCTTGTAGAGCTTGTTGGGGCCGCTCTCGTTGAAGAACGAAACCAGGGCGTGGCCGGCCTCGTGATAAGCCGTCATCTCCTTCTCCTTCTGTCCAATGACCATGCTCTTACGCTCGGCACCCATGATAACCTTGTCCTTGGCCCACTCAAAGTCGGTCATGCTGACAGCTGTAGCCTTGAGTCTGCTGGCGCGGACGGCAGCCTGGTTGACAATGTTCTCAAGTTCGGCACCGGACAGACCTCCAGTACTGGCGGCGATGGCCTCAAAGTTGACCCCAGCATCCGCCTTGATCTTCTTCGCGTGGTACTTGAGAATAGCAATACGGCCGCGGACGTCGGGAAGGGCAACGGTAACGTGACGGTCAAAACGTCCGGGTCGAGTGAGGGCCTTGTCGAGGAGTTCGGGGAAGTTGGTCGCGGCAATGATGACAACGCCGCTGTTCTGTTCGAAACCGTCCAATTCTGTCAAAAGCTGGTTGAGAGTCTGCTTGTGGTACGCGGCGTCGCGGGTGTTACGGCGTCCACCAATGGCGTCAAGCTCGTCAATGAAGATGATGGCAGGGGACTTGGACTTGGCAGACGCAAAGAGATCACGGACACGCTTGGCACCGACACCGACGTATACCTCGTCGAACTCGCTACCAGACATGTAGAAGAAGGGAACACCAGCCTCACCGGCAACAGCGCGGGCGAGAAGAGTTTTACCAGTACCGGGGGGTCCAACCATCAGAATACCCTTGGGGAGCTTGCCACCGAGCGTAGAGAACTTGTCAGGGTTGCGGAGGAACTCAACAAGCTCCTGCAACTCGTCCTTGGCCTCGTCGGCACCGTGAACATCAGCAAAGCGGGTAGTCTGGTTCTCGGCCTTGGCCTCGCTGTCGACCTTGCCGCCGGGACGCTTGAACAGGTTCAGACCCTCGACGAGCATCGTGACGATGACCAGACTAAGGTAGGTGAACAGACAGAACCAGAGAACGAACTTGACCCAGCGGAACACGACGCCGCCGAACGACTCGTCGACGACGACGTGCAGCGGGCCCGTCTGGCCATTGCCGGAAACCTTCGCCATAGCCATATTGGAATCGCGGGAGCGGGCAGCAAGCGCCTGACCGACGGCCTGGAGCTGTGCCTGAGACAGGTTGCCGTTGCCCGAGGGCTGGCTCAGCTCGTGGCCACCGTTGCCGAAGGCGGAGGGGAGGTGATCGTGTCCACCGAGGCCGCCGACGGCCGCGGTGCTCTGCATACCGAGGGCTTGGGCATACGCCTGGTCGACGGCCTCGTTAGTAGCGAAGCGGCCGGACTGATAGCGTTCGATGACGATGGCGGGCATGTTGGCCTTGAGGAGAAGCTGGTAGAATGCGTTCTGCGCGGTCGCGCTGCCGGGGTTCCTGTTCGCCGCCGCCTCCCTGCTAGCGAGGAGGTTGCGGGAGATACCGTGGTTCGATCCGAAAAGCCGTTGCTGTCGCTGTTGAAGTGCGAGGCCGAGACCCAGCGTCGCCCTCGTCGCGAGAGGAACGACCGGGCGAGCGGAGGTCGCCAGCCTGAATACCGACTGCATCGTCGCGGGCTGCATCGCCGTGCGCCGAAGCAGCGGGCTGGCCACGTTCAACGCCAGCGCTGCTGGGCGTAAGGCCATGTTTGCCTTTCGGGGTGGCCGGAAGGATGGCGGTTGGTTGGTAATTCGAGAGCGCGCAGTTCAAGAGGAGACGTAGTCAGAGGTTTGGGGTGATTGTGTGTTAGATGGGAAGAGATGGATTGACTCTCGTTGGAGGGAAAAGCCCCTTCCAAGAAAGGAAACAAAAGAAGGAAAAAAGGTGCTTCTGCTATCGACGTCGTGGTTTTTGCGATTGTGGTGAAGATGACATGATTCACCGTCGGTTGCTCATCGTCTTGTTGAGAGGCGACAGGCGGACGGATATGGATACGTTGAGGCGAACAGCGCTAGCTGACGTTATTGTGCAAATGAACGGGGGTCCACGCCAGGCACTCGCTGCCTTCCGGCTTTTTTTTTTCCCGTTCCGAGGCGCCGCGACCGGGTGCGCTGAGCGTAGAGTAGTCCACGTGACGTGTACTGGATTCTAGAATCTCCCCGGCGGACCGGGAGAAAGCTATTCCGAGACGACCTCAAAATTAACATTGAACAGCGACATTAGCCCTTGCCCCATTGGTCAATATTCAATTGTTCAATAAGACATGGCTTCAACTTCATCAGCCCCCAAGCATTGGAGAACTGGCAGGCTATTCATGAATGCAGATTATGATTTATTCCCAACTGAATGCTATTGTCACTCAACAGGATGAGATACTGGAACCCTTTTTCAGTGGCACCCAGCTTTGGGGTTTTCTAAACGTTAAAATAAAGACATATTATTGGTTATAATTCCACCCAATCGTAGCAGTTCCTTCAACAGGCAGGTGAGACCCCCCCTTCCATCATGTGCGCGAAATGAACGTATCCCGCCGCAATCAGACATAAGCTGCAGATCAATCATTATCCAGGTCATCAATCTACGCGCCAGCCGTGTTGGTCCGTCAAGGTGGCTCCCCCCTCTTAATATTACATATCATCTCCGTAGTTTCCCACTGCATCGATTTCACTCCCGGTCTTTTGTCGTCCTCAAATCCCCTCAAAACTCCCTCACATCTCTCTCTCTCACAGCAGGCAATTATTGTTCATCACCGTTTATCACGAGAGAAAGGATGTTCACAAGTACGGGAAAAGGACGGTAAAACACAGGGATATTACGACAAACCGACTTACATGCCACCATGAACACCACAGCAGGGCCGTCACCACTTGGCACCTAGTCAAAGGACCAAGCTACTACATTCATTTCCTGTGGTTTAGGTGAAGACAAACATCACACCACGGCCGCATACGATGAGAGGGTCCGTCAACAATGACCACTTACAAGAAACCCAGCACACACTCACGACAGGTCTGATGGCATCCAGTCAGGCGGACGAAAACCTTCTATACTCTTGTTTGCTCAACGGCCTTACTACTTACAACGAAACCCCCCTAGCCCCCCCCCCCCCCAAAAAAAAAGCACCCCAATTCACCCTTGTAGATCAGAGTCAGCAAAGTTCGTCAGCCGGACATTCAAGCCGCCTCTCGCTTGACAGCTGTTCTCATCGCAACAGGTCGCAATAGCTTCCTTCATCCCAAAGAAATAACTCCGCCGGATAGTCGCCCATCCGGCCTCGCCTCTTTCCACGGAACCATACAAATCATCAAGCTTATGCCGGCTCAAGCGACTCAGCTGCATGACGACCACGACCACGTCACAACCACACGCCAGTTTCTCTGCATACTCAACACCAACATTTACAGGCTAAAAGCGTCACCCGTCCGTCCCTCATGCCGGCCCCCCCCCCCCCCCCCCTTAATCCTACGGCGGCGATTCAACCAGGCCAAATAACCGCTCACAGAAGAGCCAAGCCAAGCCCAGAGTTATCACATAAGAGGCACAGACAAAGGCAAGTAAGTGGTGGTCACATGTGTGTGTTTTTTTTGGGCTGATAGATCTTTATTTTTGGTTGTCCGGCTACAGGTATCGCGGTTCCAGAACTATGCTTTGTTTCTCATTTCCTTCCCTTCCACATTCCAGCGCAAATGAACCGACCCAAAAAATAAAATAAAACACGAGGAACACTAAAAATACATATAGACAACGACGCCCCATCTTCCGCCCCCTCCCCCCCCAATTCGTTTTTCTCTCCTCTTCGACCGACCTGTTTACTTTCACTTCCTCCTCTTGGATGAGGGCCGTCATCTTCTTCCACAGAAACACACAATCTCTTTCTCTCTCTCTCTTTCTAGGGGATGCGCCGCCGTCAAACAGGAATCGTCGACTTCGTACTGTTGTTACAGGGAATGTCTTTGTTTTCCGATGTAAAAGTGTTGAGGCCGCGCCGCGAAAGCAACAACCGCAAACGCATATAAAAAGAAAAAGAACAGCGAAAACAAAAGCCCCCCTGCCCGACCAGAGCCTGTCGTATACCCAGGCATCTTCCGACGTCCTCCTTTTTTTGTTTACTCCCCAGTTTCCCCCTTTGTGACCACCCCTTCAACCACATTATGAAATACATCCTCCAACATCCCTCCTCTCCTCCAGGTCGTTAAAAAAAAGGGCGTCAGTAATCGGATATCGTTAAATGATTCCCAACATGCCAAGTTTCTCCCCCTTTCTGCCCGACCCCCCGCTCCGGTTGTTATGCTCCAAGTTTGCTTTCGTGGCATCATGTCACCGAGGCCTTGGTCAACGGTTGTCAACCCATCCCCGGCTCCTCGTGGAAATAAGGAGTGTGAAAAAAAAAAATATGGAAGGAGAAAGTATTAAGAGACAGCAAAACCCGCCGCCAGTGCCGGAGCTCCCCATGGTATGGAAAGAGAAGAAAAAAGACAGATCCCATGAGCAACCAAACAGAAAAAACGGCAAAGCAAAATTATTCAAAAATGACAAAACAAGCCTCCATGATATATCCTGAGAAGATTCGGATGCGTGCATCTTCGACGTCCGAGGGGTAATCGTATGTGTCTGACAAAGGAAAAAGCAGTGCCAATGAGGCAAACCAGTCGCAAGACGATCGAGGCAAAGGGGTTCGATGACCAAAGAAGACGTGTGGAGGTCGCCTGACCGTCCTTGCTCGATACGCCCCCATGGCAATTACTCAGAGGTCGGCCGGCGAGGCCCTGGAGGAGGTGTTGAAACCCAGGAAAACAAATAACCACCAATGAATACTTTTGGGGTTGGTATTAAACCTGTAACATCCCAGTTTCCTGTGTGTGATTTCTTTCCGAATCCGCCAACGAAACGGACGACAGGGGGAGGAGTATGGAACGAAGCCCACTAAACATCCGGAATTCGCTCTCTTTCAACAATCGACAGCTCGGTTCTGTGGAGCCCGCGTGGTATCTCCGTCTCTTGCATTCAACGAGGTGGGGGAATATGAAAAATCAAATCGCCATCATATTTTCCGAGTGGTGGTACAGGCGGGCGGCCCATTACGGGCTCCGCTAGGAATGGTGATTATGCGTCGGGAAGGGAAGGGCTGGAAGTGATGGTGTGTGGCAGCGTCGCCGACACAGGAGGTGGTACCATCGCCTACATGTTCTCGATCCGCGCGGAGGGAAGCTGCATCGACGGGTCCTCGAACTCGATCTTGGGTCCTCCCCATGGGTCGTAAACGCCGGAGCCGTAGGTCGGGAGCTGGCCGATGGTGGCGACCTCGACAGGTGCCTGGTACGGGACGCTGTTCCAGTACTCTTCGGGTTGAGCCTGGGGTGTCGGAGAGGCGTACTGAGACGGAACCTGCTGCTGAGGCGGAGGCGCGGGTGCCTGCGTTGGGATCGGTTGGGGAGTGTGAATCTGCTGCTGCATTTGGTGCGCGTAAGGGACCATGCCCGGCTGCTGCTGCTGCTCGATAACGGGGGAGGCATTATGCAATGCGTACGTGGCTGCTTGAGTTGGTTGGTGAGTGTAAAACCCTTCCTGGGAGGATGCGCTCCTACCAGATGCTGCTGAGAAGCTACTGGGGCTGCTTTGAATGGATTGGTTCATGCTAGCCGCAGGGTACGGGATCTCAACCTGTGACTGCTGTCGAGGCACTTGGCCGTACTGGTTCGGCATGGGGTTCGTGTTCATCGTGGCAACCCCAGGGTTGCTTTGCTCGGTCACGTAGTACGAGTGCTGCGGCATGCTCGCGGTTCGGTGTAGCATGACACCCGGGTGTTGCTGCTCGTGGACTGGGTGGCCGTGGAACTCGTGGGCACCGCCCGATGACAAGCTGTGGCGGTGAGCGCCATACTGCGGTTGTTGCTGCATCGGGTACCCGTTCATCTGCTGGCCGAAGTCGTTGAAAGAGGCGGCGCGGTGCATGGCGTGACCGTGAGCCATGCCAGCGTGGTTCATGGGCATGACGCCTTGGGGAGGCCATTGCATACCGACATGCTTGGGGGTCGAAGGTGACTCGCCGCTGTCGGAATCCGAGGTGCAATCGTCCATGAGCTCGTTGGGGTGGAGGCCGCGCTGGTGGGATCTCCTTTGGTGCTTGACCATGGTGGTCTTGCGGCAGAAGCTGTTTTAGGGGTTTGATTAGTGTCAACTCTTACAACATTGGGGGATAAGGCTGGCTCGAAGTCTACCTCTTCAGGCAACCATCGTGTGCGCACTTATACGGCCGCTTGCCAGTATGGATACGACGGTGTCTGGCCAAACTCGAAGACTACTGAAGTCAGTACATGTCACGATGCCCTCACAAATTATGGAGGACGTACATCAGAGAAACGCTTGCCGCAGCCGATATGTTGGCATTGGTGAGGCTTCTCTCCAGTGTGGGTGCGGATGTGGACAGTGAGAGCACTCCGCTGGATGAAGCTCTTGCCACAGCCGGGCGTCGTGCAGGAGTAGGGACGTTCGTTGGTGTGAATGCGGTAGTGTCTCTGCAAGTCCGACTTCCTGTTGAAGCTCTACAAGACGTCAAGATTAGATTTCCGCCTACAGACGGCGAAGACAAGGGGTCAAGTGTCCCCGACATGTTGGTTACTCACCTTGTTGCACGACTGCCAGTCGCACTGGAAGGGGCGAGCAGTAGGCTCGTTCTCGACGAGTTCCATGAGTTCCATCTCTTTGGGTCTTTTTTTTTATTTCTTTAGTGTCGATCGAATTACCAAGATTCGGACTGGTGCAGCAGTCGTGTTACTTATAGTACGACGCAGCGTGGGATATTAAAGGATGTCTTGAATTATCGGGTGATGAAGGCCAGGGCTGGTAAAGTGCTCGGGGTAGAAAGAAGCAAGGGTGGCGTGGGTTGATGTGCGTAATATGGTACCCCGGTTCAGAATGTTGCTTAAGCGGGACGCTCAATGCGGGCTCTCCGTCTGCAGACTCCCGAAATGTTGTTCAAGGAATGACAGGCGTGAGAGAAAGGGCAAGGGTGGAAAATCTAAGCCGAGAAACAGGAGTTCGACGACTTGAGACAAGAACGGTGCGGCGTCCAGCGCAAGGTTGCCGAAGTTGAGCAATGTTCGAAAGGCTGAAGACGAAGGAGGCGTCCGTGAGGTTGATGTGTGGGAGAAGGGAGAGATAGAAAAAAGGAGGGAGATGGACGGATGATAAAAGAGAAGAGGAGGCCTGAGCTGGGGAAAGGGGGGGTGTGTGGTATTAAATCAGGCGGTGGCGGTAACCGTGATGAAGAGAGAAAGCTGACACTCCTCTTGTAGAGATGAGAGTGAGAGAGAGAGAGAGAGAGAGAGAGAGAGAGAGAGAGAGAGAAACGGTGTGCACAGGAGAGAAAGAGAGGAAGGGTGGAGTGAAGCTGTACGGAAACGATCAGCTCAAGATAACCCAAGGTACGACGAACTGATGGGAGGTAGAGGGTAGAATGAGTTCATAGCGGGTGGGAAAGTAAGTTCCTTTAAGTCAGCCACAAGTGTGGACGTACCAGACGGTAAGAGGGTCCTGGTGCACAGGCACTAAAATTCTCCGTTCTTGATGAAAATTAGCCACCTGACTGGAGGATCTGTTGCGAGTGGTCGAGCGCAAACTGGTGGGAAGTGCTGATGTTGCTTGCAGGACAATCCCTTCTTCGGGCAGATGGTGAGATAAGAAGGGTGAACCAAGTTCGGGCTGGCTTGCCGTGTATTTCGTTTCGAAGTCCAAGTGTCGTGGGCCGGCGTGTGTTAAGTTTCCGAGACTAGAAGCATAATGGTGGCCACCAGGAACAATGCGATCGTCGAACCTCTGAGCGCTCAGGTACGGGAGACCAAGCGGGATCTTGGACGACTGGCGTGGGTTATTCTCCCTGGGGGTGTCTGGATGACGAGAAACAAACTCGGCTTTTCAACAAGCAGCTTCCTTGCTTCTATTCTTTCCGCGCCTCTTTTTAACGACTCGCGCAGAATTGTGCACAGAGCTCTAGATGGTCTCCGAAGAGAATAGGATCCACCGTGAAGATGGTCTAGACAGACGGACCGCGAGAATCACCCAAGTGGGGGGCCGAAGGAAGAGCCAGGAAGCACGTCTGAGGCTCTCCTCGTGTCACAACGGTGGTGGTGCTGGTTGAACCGTGGCGACGAAGCTACTTGGGGCGAAAGCCAGGATGGTGCAAGTATCGACGACGGTGAGCCAGGAATGGAGAAACCTTGGCGTCGGTGGTGAGAGTTCCGCGTGGTGCGTCGAGGATTTATTTTGAGCGAACGACTTTTATTTCCCCTCCCCAAGATCGCGATGGAAGGATGAGGGATGATGAAAGACGGAAGAACGAGTAGTAGGAGCTAGTTGGCGGCGACGGCAAACGATGTGAACACGCCCGGCACAAGACGAGGTGAGTCCGAACGCTAGCAAAGCAACGCGGAACCTTTTTTTTTTTTTTTTTTTTTTTTTTTTTTTGGGGTTGGAAGAAACGAAACAGAGCGTGTACAGTTGGGATGAGGTAAATATGGCGTGAGATTGTGGTAAAATGTGTGTAGCAGTGTGTAGATTTCGAGAGTGAGTCGTTGGGGGTTTATGTTATACTACAGGGAAGGAGGAAGTCGACGCCCGCAGCCAGTCTAAAAGTATTATCGTGGAGGCGTTGCTATAAGAGAAAAAGACATGAGGCGTATGAAGGTATGTATATATTATCAGCAGCAATATAGCATTCAGAGAAAGTGGTGCTTTTTTGCTCTGCTGGAGCGGGCAGGCTTGCCAGTCCCAGGGGGCCCTGGAAGGGTATGGGTTGTGGGCAGGGGGACAAGGGGAGAGCTGTGGAGGCGTGGAGTGAGGTGACCCTTGGGTACCTGAGGTAGTACAGATTGAGACCTTTCTTATTTTCAATGGTGCAGGACGAAAAGAGAAGAGAGAGGAGGACCAGGTACACTGGACGTTACCCTGAGGAAGGGTGAGAAAGGTCGAGTGACTTTTGGCATGTACCGTACCCGTCGTCGTAGTCGACCCCCCCGTCGTTCGGCAGCCCTGGCCTGGGTGTGGGAAACGCTCGAGCGGTGGCAGGCCGGCCTGGCTTGCTACAGAAAATGATTAGATCAACGGAGAGGGCACAGAGACCACACGCCAGTCCCAGGTGAGGTGTTGGGTTAGCTCCTGCGGGCGTAGCGATCTTTAGAACGGAGAGTAGCGTTCTGTGCGTCAGGTCGCAGAGTTCGAAACGGAATAGCCCTCGATATAAATATATTATTTGTTGATTTGGCAGATTGAGATTGAAATGAAGGACAGCTAAGAATTTCTTGAGTGCCGTTCCGGTACTGGGGTCTCGAGGTTGATTCCCGTTCGTCTCGATTGAATTTTTGGATTGGAAGAGGGGGGAAAAATAAAAAGGATGAGGGAGTAAGTGGATTCGTGAGACCGAGAAACGAGGGAGCTGCAAACGCACAAACACACACTCGCAGCTGTAAGAGATGTGCTGCTGCTGTTACTGCTGCTTCTAATGTCGTTGCCGTAAAGCAAGAAGCACGCACAAACTGCGCATCCAGCAGGGGGGGGGATGAAAAGTGCTACTAAGAAGGAGGGGTGAAGAAAAGTACAGCCTCGGAAGGTGAGGTGTACAATAGGTCGACCGAGCCAGAAACCGCAACTTCAAGAGCCGACCGAAGAAGCAAGGTATAAATGTGACTGGTCGAGGCGGCACACAGAGGATGAGACGTTCTAGGTATGCCGGTTGCAAGGGCCCCTTTGGGGTTCTCCTCTCGAACCAGGTGTGCGTAAAATTGTCGCTGGGCAGTCGTTCACAAGTTTGCTTTACGTCGCAAGGAAAAGGAAAAGAGAACTGATCATAAAAAAAAATTGATGACGAGGTTCGGTGGGGGATCCTGGGCGTTGGGATGTTGTTTGGATGGAGAGGCAGCAGGGCTGAGGTGACGGTTGGGGAGCGCGTCTGTGAGTGAGAACGAGCGGTTGAAGATGAGATGTGAGAGGCGTTTCTTTTTCCACAACGTTGGTGATGGCCGGCTCGCCTGTGAGAACGGACAAGTCGGGGGTGTCCCCTCTCGGTAGAAGAGATGTGATGAGAGAATGTGGGATAATGTGGAGGGCTCCAACAAGCCCGGGTCCAAAAGTGATGAACAAGGTTGTCGTGCGGTAAGGTGTGTATGTGTGTGTGTGTGTGTGTATGTGCGAGTATTGTGTGAAGGCGTAGACGTAAAGTGGTACACACGGACAGCGGAACAGATGTCGAGAGCAGCCAAGCGAAGGCGGGGTTCAGAAGTCAAGAAGAGGAAAATCTACCATTGAGAATTGGATGTGATGGTCGACTGCATATTCAACGAGGCGCCTTATTTTGGGCAGACTTTGTGGTCACGTTGATGTGTTACAATCTTCACCGAATGAGATTTGGAGATTGTGGGAGAAGAAGAAAAGGGAACAACCAAGAGGGCTGTTGCTAATGGCAGGGTCAAAAAATACAGAAGGCACTTGTTTAGCGACGTTGAAATGCGAATGGAGCAACGGTTGCGGCTGCGGTTACCGTTGGACGGGCAGCAAGCGATGTTGAAAGAGATGAAGCCACGGCTTCCTGTTTCTTTGTGTTGTTGTTGATGCAACAAAACCATTAGTCGTTGCAGTTGTTATGCAGAGCAACAGTGACAGTAGTAGAGGCAACGGTAATGGAAACGGGGGCAGCGAGACGACCGGCTCGGCCCAGTCATGACTAGACCGCCCCCCGGAGCGAATAAGAAGGAGCCGAAAGCGCCCGATATGAAGAAGAAGCGGAGTGATGGCGTATGTGTCCGCAGTACTGGTGGTCAAAATAGTGGTGGTATTCGGTTTGCAGAAGGGAGATGGGTGGTATGACCACGCAGTAAGTATTACGGAGTAGTAGCCTCGAGTCGTCGTGTCTGGCCTTCTCACTGGTGGGGGGGATGCGAGTACAAGAACAAAACACTGGCAACAGTGACTGGGAAAAGAGTGGAAAGCAGGTACTGCGCCGTTGCTTGTACCGTTCCTTAATGACGGTTTGGCAGGCAGGCCGGCTCACAGTAGCTGTTTTAGAGGAACAAGACTTGAGGGGGTACGTAGCTATCTCTGTCCATCTTTTTCTGGGCCGTAACCCTGTGTGCCTTGAAGGGAAAACCAACACAGGGCAAGGTGTAAGAAGCCAGTTGGCCAGCAGTCATGAAAATACCATGCGTGTGTGCTGTCCGTATACCGTGCCGTACCGATGTTGTCAAGGTGCGGCAGCAAGTTGCGCGAGAGTCATAATTCTGGGCGTAAGGGGCGCGTTCCAAGGGAAACCCCACATTCGTTTCTGGGCAAGAGAGAGCCAAGTGACGAGAGAGAGAGAAAGAGAAAGAGAGAGAGAGGCACCAGCAGGCCAACTGAATGAGGGCGGAAAGCTGATACCTTGCCGAACACTGGAGTCGCTGTAAATGGAACAGGAGCCGGGGTAGCCCAAGGGATGCCCCATCCCAGACGAACTGGCCCAGGGCGTGACAGGACAGTGGGAAACATCCCAATGGTACGTCGGGAACTGCCCTAGTTTCCCCCCTCGTAGCGAGAAACCCTGGCTTCCCACTGCGTCTGCAGTTGTGTGTGTCTGCTGGATGCGCACCTCCGCCAGCGCCGGGGAGCCGGGGTGGGTGGGGGACGAGGTACGTATCCCACCTGCCATCGTCAGCGAGAGGGAAAGAGAGCCTGCATTGGGTACGTACTCCTCTAATCCCCCCCCCCCCCCTCTGCGTTCGCGTGTGTTTGTGTTCCTGAACTGATCCACCAACTATGACCCACAATGACTCGTCGTTTCCCATTAGCACTGCACCTCAACACAAAAAGCTCAATAGCAGAGCTTTGTTAAGAACAACAGGCGACATTGGGCGAGCTAGCGGACAATGAGAAACTCTCTCTATTCACACCTTGAGGCATAACCAAACCATCGCGAAACTTCAACTATGAACAGCTTGACTGCTAGTGAGAAAAGTCTTAATCCCGTTTCAAAAATAGAAATGACAGAAAAAGAGCCAAACAGAAAAGCCACTGTGCTCCGCGTGTTGAGATCTGGACACGGGTTGGAGTGGGAGGGGCTCAGGCCAGTCCCCCTATCCGGCCATTTCTCACCTCCTCAACCCGAACCCACAGCACTTGCAAGACCGTCGAGACAGCGTTTTGGAAAAGGTACTCTCTCAGTACGGGTACCAATCTGCAAAGGCATTACTAGTGAAAGTCACCCCCCTTCAGGGACATGGGGTCGGCATTACAAGGGAAAGGAAAAGGCAAGGGGCCACCATAGAAGTCATTGCCAAGAACCGAACTTCAGCAGGGGGGTAGAGCACCCGAAGGCAAAAAAAAAAAAGGGATGCAGGCCTACTGTAGGCCCATGTTCGCTGGGGTCCCCCCTTGGCTCCGACAAGACCGCTTCTGGGGCACACCTTTTTCTCTATCATCCACTCTCCTTCCTCCCTGTACCGTCTCTGTCCGGATAGTGAGGAGCAACTGTTTTTTTTTTTTTTAACCCTTTCCCAGGCGTTCCTTTTCTCCCTCTAGACCCTCGGCCGCAATGTGGCTGTCTGTTGCTGCTGGCTGTGTCTGTTCTTTTTTTTTAAGGTGGATAAGGTAAGGTTTAGTAGGGGTAATCAGGATGGCATAAGAAACCGCAGTGTGATGGTGGAAGAGGTGAATACGGTGTATCAGGATGCGTTTTTGTTTTTCGGATATGATGTGTCGTCTCAAGAGGTCAAGACACAGGGAGACTGTTTAGAGCGGCGGAAGGCGAACATTGGGGGTCTGGGTATCACGTTAAAGGCTTTCAGAGTTTAAGCTGACGTAGTGCGCCTCATCAACTGTGGCATGGCGAGATCCTGCAGCCTATTGCTGGAGAGGATGAATGAGGCAAACTGAGATGCTGGTCAGTCCATCCTTTCCTCACTTCATCGTCGTACAAACTTCGCCTGCATGTAGCAGCCGCGGAGAAGTGGTTCAGCCCCCCGGATGTACGCATACCCAAGCTTTATCAAGGACGGCATGGCATGCAGCATCCTTTCGCTGACTGGACCGTACATCGTACTTGGGGAGTCTAGAGCTGCGTGCCGTGTATGGCCTGTGTGGTTCGCGACGTTGACACTTTCTCTGTGTGCTTTGTATCTGTACTGCCACAGACGAAGTGCCCTCTCACCTTGCTTTGGCACAGCGTCGGTCCCGTAGGTTGGCTCACCCATTCCCCCGCTCATTCCACTACTAGTAGATGGTGTCCTGGGTTTAGAGTTCGACCAGGGACCTGCAGTGGTCTGGCTGCGTCACGTCAACGCCTCCTCCGCCGCCTCTTCCGCCGTGGCCGTCCGTTGCCCTCTGCTGCCCGCTTGTCGCGCATCTCTGCGAGGCAAAGCAGGCTGCTTACCCAGTGCAATGCATCATCCCACAGTACACTACTAAATGCTCCGTAAGAAAAGCTTCCTGTCGTCACTTAATCGCCATCCATCCTCTCCGTCTGAGTAGCGCCGTCCCATTCGTCCACCTCAGTAAGATTTTCCTGCGCTTGCGCTTGCGCAAGCCTTCCCGTACCTGTCCCATCGTTGTTGTTGAGTAAGTGTCCCAGTATTTTTAGTAATATGCACCTCTAGGTTGACGACGCCTCACTTAATCAAACCATGAGCTTTGCCAGCTCTAGTATCCAGCAAACAAACATGTAGGTTATTAATGACCAACAGCCGGGAACGCCCACATTCCAATAATGGAGACGGCTTGTCCCTGAATTCAAAAGCAAATAACGCTCTTCAGCTCGCAATTGGCCCCTGTCCTTCCCCTCTTATTTAGATCTCCGCCCGCAAGTTTGTAGTGTATATTGTCGGTGCCGTACATAGTAGTTGTTGAATTCGCATCGCAAGTGGGCGGCTACGCCTGGCCTTGCTCCTCATCACGAACATGGCCGCTCCATGTCCGTTACATTCAAACACATCAATCACAGGGGCGGACAGTTGGCAGACTCCGTCAACGCGCGATCTTGGAAACAGCCGTCAGCGACTGCTACATACCGGAGTTGCATCAGTCCTCTCGGTCTGAATGGTCTGCTTTTGGTACCTAGGCGCGGATTCGGGCCATTCTAGTCTACCCAGTTGCTCTGCAGTTGTGTGGTCAATTGTGCTGTCATGCTCAGCTCGCTCTGATTGCCTTATCGCTGGCCTCGTTGCAAGCCCCTGTCCTAGACTCAGTGCCGCTCAACCCTGAGTGGCTAGGTGGCTGCGATGATGCCCTGTTTGGAGGATACGTACTCCTCGTCGCTGTTGTAGCAGCTTTGCTGCACCAGTGTGGCAGTGGTGCGAGAACCCCTCCACTGTTTCATGAACATCGCTGACCTGTCCTGCTCGTCCTTCCTTGTCCCTCTCTGCACTCACCTTGATTCTGCCCTCAGCTGCTCCAGTTCAGCTCCCACGCCATACCGTTTGGGGGCAGATCCGTGGTAGACTAGAAGCATGGAAGCAGGGAGAAGAGAAGGTGAAGGGGGTACTGAAGGCCATCCAGTGAGACGCAGGAATATGACCCCCTGTCTGTCAAAACCGACTTCCCCTCTTTTCCTCAAAGATGCCCGCTGTCTCTGCTGTCAAGGCCCGGAACTGCAGGCCCACGTCTCCCCAAGGCAAGCCATCGCTGTCTATTAGCGAGCATCCAACGTGGGCTACGGTAGGGATGACGCCTGCGATACTCCAGATCGTAGGCGCGGCGATTCAGCAAGTCGTCGATTTTATCGAAAATGGATACCCACAGTGTGCGGCTGGAGATGGCATCTCCACAACGGAAATGGATGTAAAGAGGTCTTGAGAAGATCCATTGTAGACGATTACACGAACTTGAGCTGGGTTTACTGAAGCCCATCATCTCTCCTAACCTGTCGAGAACGCTGACATACCGGCACTTGATGTAGTTCCTATTGTTTGACCCCTGCTGCTGCGGTCAATGAGCTGAAGAAAGAATGTGCGGACGATTGAGACATTCGAAGTCTGAGTGTTGCGCTAAGCCTCGATTAAGGCGGCAATTGCCTCATTGAGAGCCGCCTAAGCCTGTAGAGAGGGGCGATGCTTCTCGCCTGCCTATGTGAGCCTGCGCCATACCACTTTGTTGCGGATCACGGGATCATTGACATCGTGCGACCCGTAATGCTGTGCCGCGTTTCCCTTCTGCTTCTGTTCACGCACGACAGCTTGAGGTGGAGTTCGTTGGTTTGGTAAGCAAAATTGCCGACCCCAAATGGGGTCTGTCGGGCGTACACACTAATTTTGTAGGATCGACCGGGAGGCGCCTTACTTGTCATACTATCGTTACGAGTCACATTTGCTGCTGTTTTACGACGATTGGCAGGGCTAACAAGCTGGTAGCCGCAACCATGGCAGTAAAGCATGCAGAACACGGCACTAGTGTCCGCGATGCTCATGCAATAATCACCTAGACGGCTGCAGTCGTCTTGCATTCGTCAATTTCTGAAAGTGATCGAGGCTCAACACTGAAGGAATGTTCCTAGCAGAGAGAGTGGCTTCGACGAGAGCTCGAAATGCTGAGATGTCTTGGGGGTCTTTTCCCTCTATCTTTCTTTGTTTTCCACCAGCCTAGTGTTGATTGACCTCCGCTCCCATCATCGCTTTTAGTGAGGCGCAGGCGTCGACATTGCATTTCGTAATAGGTCTGCGGTAACTCAAACTATTGGCCAATGTCAAATGCTCAAGTCTTGGAAATCAGGCTACCTTCAACTCACCTCCTGAGCATTGAACTGTCAGGTGATTACCAGGGCTCATTGAAGGATGAGAAGACTGGGCCGGCAAGACCAAGGCCCGCCCCCTTATCGTCAAGCCCGAAGCTAGGGGACGGCGTAAATTACGATGTTGTTTCCTAGCTCCTTGTTCCATCATATCACGCTTCACGTCTTGCTGGATGCTTCACTCGGCTGACGCCACAGCAAGTGTAGTTGGTGGCTAAGAAGCACAATTTGGGTGCTGTCGGTCCCGATTCGGCCGAAGACTTGACCCTCTCTGCGTCCCGCAAACCATGGTACTCTGTTGGCAAGGCCATCATATTCTAGGCTGCGCCAACGAGGAAATCGAATTTTGGAATCACCTAGTTGTGGTTCGCTTGCAATAAATAATGATGCACTTATGGCTGGGCTAATGTCGTTTGGAGATCGGTCTGTTTCCTTGTGCAACCACCGGGTAGTTCATTATTGCTTTTTCCGCATCCCTGTTGAACAACGATAACTGCGGATTGCCTGTCACGGCTCGGCTACACCCCGCCCGTCCGCCATTAAGGTTGCATGAGCGGACATGTAACACTAAGCCGTTTGTTCAAGGGTCGTTCATGGTCAATCTATGACAACGAAGAGAACATAAAATGATGCCGGTTCACAGCTTGTGTGACCATGAGTCGAACGCACTGAGGAGGCGATTTCATGTGTATAGTACTTGGTATACAACCTAGAGTCAGTGGGGCTACTAACCCAGCAAATCCATCGAAGAATTTTAGCGGGAGTGGTTAGCTAAGGTGGAATCTTGTTAGTGGTGGCAGGTAGCTGGAGGCTTAGCTGAGGTGTCTGTTCATTGCTTCAAGGCGCCAAGCTTGTTGGTATCGTCATTTTTTGCCGGGTTACAACCCGCCAAAAATGAGCGAGGGTTATTAAATGCCCAGGCGACGAAGATGTGGCTGGAAATTTGGTCCATTGTGCGGCTTCCATCTGTTGTTGTAGGACATCCAGCTTCGCGCCGTATTCATTTCCATTGCGCTGATGTTTTCTTACATCAGCTCTTGATGTGGCCCAAGCTGAACATGGGAAAAAGAAGTCTGGAACTGGCTGTGTGCCCAGAACGCAAGCAGGCCCACAAGTGAATTTGACAAGCCCATTATCCCTCATCGAGTCTTAGTAAAGAGGTATTTCAGTGCAGGGCTTGTAGAGTGTGAGGAATTGGAACGATGTACCTGGTCATCCCTAGGCGCAAGATACAGGTACAGATACAGGTACAGGTACAGTTGATGAGGGGCTATGGGCGCCATTATGGATCCCATCCGTCAAATTAGGCAGAAAGAACGTTTTGGCATCCAGAATCACAATGCCCTCCTACTTTCATCGTTTTCGATCTACATTTGGACGGTCATAACCGACAGCTTCTGGTCAGAGACAGATCAAGAACTTGACGAGATTCTCGAAGGCCTGGCGTCTGTGCGCAGGACAAATATGGTGTGAGGCGGGTCAATTTGATAGGTTACGGAAGAAACAGTCTCCAATCAAGCTCGTCTCTACCCTTGCAATCGTACCTGTATTGCTGACCCCGGCTACGCATCGCGGGCCTGCCTCTTGACAGGAGCCCGTGGCGTGCTAGGTCTTATTCCGATGGAGCCCATTGGTAGGCTTCCTTATTAACAGGCCTTTCAAGTAGCCTAGAGGGTGGTGAGGTCTGGGGTTCAAGGAGCAAGTGGGTCCTGTTCAGCAAGGATGATAGCGCAATGTGGGATTCGACAACGAGGTGCCGGAGAACCACACCTCATAGCCGAGCCGACTGGTGGTGGAGATGGCTCGATTGCAGCTGGCCAAGTAAGTGTCACTGCGCATGTTGATCGTAGCCGAGAGACAAGGCATCTTTCTACGCCTTGCATGGTTTGGAATGATAAGGGAGACGGCATGGACTGTGGAACACCTGGGCCTTCCAAACACGCCAGCATCTATGTGGTGTACTCAACCCTTGCAGAAGTGCTTGGTTGCGTCCAAAAATCATACCACATCGTTTTTCATTCGTGTAGGCTGAAGGGGTGCTGTATGCAATGGAAAACTTTTGGTATGCATCTTGTAATGTACAAAGCCAGGAAGTGTCCTCAAGCCACTACCATCATCATAGGGTATGTGTGTGTGTGTCAGTGTCTTCCGGCTTGCGAGCCAGGCGGCAAGCCAACAAAAGACCCGACCGGATGGTTCTACCGGTAAAGCCTATTCGTTGACGTTGACACGGTGTGTCATCGCCAAACTCTAGATGTTAGTGATGCTGACAATACAAAATCATTTAATAGACGTCATCTATGCGGTGTGAAAAGAACGAAGAACAAGGCGCATGGTCAGCCTAAGCAGTTTGCAAGCCAAACTGTATAGTTGAATTGTCAGGCGAGTGCATGTGCGTCGGTCATCGGATCTTCCGCCTCCTACCAGCTCTAAGTTGGGCATCATAGATAGCCAAGTGGCGGGAAGAAAACCAGGAGTGCTCCCATTAAGGTGGGGTGTAGCAGTCGTCTCATGCAGAGTGACCTATAGAAAAAAGGAGTCTGAGCACTCCTTCCTTTCTTCCCTTTTTGTGTCGACATCGATGGTCCTGAGCGCAAAGATGAGTGGGTGGAGTCGGCGACGAAGGAGAAAACTCCATTAATGGGTGGCTTTGGTCATCAACAGAGGTTGTAAGTCGAAAAGGCGGTGGACAAAGAAGGCATGGATTAAGTGGTCGAGGGGCCGAGAATGTGGATGGAGGAATGCTCGTGTGCTTGTACGGCATGCAAAGTTGATGGGACAAGATTGTGTGTGTGTGGAGGACAAAAATGGTTGCTGCCATGGCGAAGCGGGAACGAAGTAACAGACTGCCCAGGTCTAGACATGGGTAGAAAACAGGGGCTAGCTTTGGGGCGGAAAAAAAGAAAGAAAAAAACGTGGGCGATAGGGGAGAAAAACATCATGTGTCGTCACTTCCACGAGGATATCGTTACCCTTTCCGCTTCTTTCAGATTTGCCAGTCAATCCTATGTTTTTGCCCTGCTTGAGGGGGCTAGGCTCACATTCAAAGTCCGCAACAAGAAGGCAGGAAGGAAGGCACGGTACGCTGCGATGCACCGTACTGCGCTGCACCTGCACTGAAGCGCAGACCACATGCACCTGGCAGCTGCATCTGCGCCGCACGTAATTAATGGCGGGGTTGATATCCTGCTCGAGCCTACCTGAACCTTGGCAGCCTCAGGGCAGAAAAAAGCCACACCTCCTCAGCAGTTTCTCGTTTGCTAGGCACGGCGTGCGTCCACTTCCCCGCAACGACCCGCCCCTGAGCCGTGCCTTCCCTGCTTCCCTCCTTACCCCACTCGGAGCCGAAAGGGTCCTTCCTTCTCCCTTTACCTCCCTTTCCCTAGGTATTCAACTTCCAGCCAAAAGCCCATGCCGCCTGCCTGCCTGGCCTTTGCTGTGTAGTCCTGATGTGGCCACCGCATTCGGGCAACCCCAACCCTCCCGACCGAAGAGTCGAGACCTCTTCCCCCTTACGTTAACCAATAGAGCGCCGCATACAGACTCCACAGCTTTCTCAATGCTGCAACGTCCTCATCCATCTGCATGCAACGCGGTCCAGCTCCGTCACAGTGGCTGGCCGTGGTCAACCAAACTTCGTGAAAGTCTGGTTCGAAACCGCATCCATCAAGTGATCATCTTTTCTTCTGACCGTCTTTTTATCCCGCAGTCCTAGTGCTTGCCGGCCCGCTCGTATGGCGGACTTGGGAACGCTTTGGTGGTTCTCACCCCTCGTATCAGCCGTCAAAACTCCGAATGCTACGGCTTCCCCGTCGCCGAAATGCATCAAGTACAGATACAGATAGTCGAGTCCGTCTCTCTCAGGAACCACATCACAATACTCGCTGGTCCAGGTCTCCTGCAAACCCCTCACAGAAGCCTCCACATGATAAATCCTCCACCTATCCCGTGTCCTTGGGCTTTGCCGCCAAGTGCCAAATGATTGCCCTTCTACCCAGCTATGCGACTCGAAGACATGCAAAGCACTGACGATGTCGTTCACTCATCTAACGCTATACAGGTCCAACCACGAAGAGCCTGTGTGCCTGGCATAAGTCGTTGTTGTCCTGAGCACAACTCGTGTTTCGCTTAAACGCCTATTCGCCTATTGCCTGTGACTAGGTGCTGAGAAAAACGTGGCTGGCACGCTTGGCCTGCTCTAGGCTCTTGAGCCCCTGGCTGACTTTTGGCCGTAGAACCGACAGATTGTGGGGGTTTCCTTTTTTTTTTTTTTTTTTTTTACTTTAAAAAAAAAAAATTTGCCAGTGACGGCTATCGTAAGGGGTGGCGGCCAACGACGAAGCGCATCGCGCACTAGACCAAGGTAGCCAAGTCAATCGGCATGCAGGTCAGATTCTCGTTCGACTAGCATAAGTGAGAAGAGAAAAAGAAAAAGTCTCCTAATTCCCTAGCGATCAGCCGCTCCGCCTTGGTCATAGAACAGTCAAATTGGGGAATGGCTCCACGGATAAAGTGGCTAGACCCAATTGATGGTGTCCTCGCTGGAGGCGGGCTCCCCATGCCATCTTTCGACATCAGATCAGCGCCTGACGGGGTGTGGCTCGTTTTTGTCCATAACAACCAAATTGGGTAATAAACCCATGGCTGCTGCTGCAATGCTAGAGACGGTCGGCTAGCAGTTCCTTGATTTGCGTCACATGGCAATTGCTCCGATAGCCACACCACACCTCGATTGCATTGTCATCTTGGGGGCCTGGCAATTTTACTTTGGTGCAATAAACCGGTGATAGATGGCCTTGCCCGCGTGCCGTCCATCCTGTATTGGCATCAGAACATATTTTGCCACTCCGTATCTGGAAGGGGCAAGTAAGTCGTCAAATGACTGCCACTCAAGCATGGTTCACATTTGGTTCTCCAATGTCCGCGCATACATTTGACCTTTACTCAACTGGGAGAATATCACTCACCATAGGTGTAACACACTCGGTATAGCAACTGCAACACCTGCATTAGAATTGACCGCGATGGTGCAGACTAAGGTCTGGATTCGTCGTGATTGACAAGGCCTGAGCTCCCGCCAATTGCACCAATATGGCTCGTGTCAGAGGTCTGGAGTATGATGAACGCTTTCAAACCAAAGTTGGCCGACAA